TTTCCACTGCTGAACCCAAACTGTGTTCAAGCGAACTGACTAACGCAAAGCACGCCGAGAATGACTATGTCCCCGCCCCTGGCCCTGCTTGGCCCTGAGCCACACTCAGATGCCTTGCGAGACCAGCGCATCACAGTTTGGTTCTGGCTCGGCTCCGAAAAGAGCCAGTGGATAACCACCCGTACCGTGAGGGGCCCCGTGCTGGCTCTCCTCGGATGCATCAGTGGAAAAGAGGTACAAGAGTGTATATTTGGGCCATGGATATAGCCCACAGCTCGAGCCCACAGCTCTAGCCCAGTCTAAACGTGTGTTGAGTTCGAAATCAGGGCTAGACTCAACAGTCTTAGTCCGGTCTAGCCTCGCACCTTGGGCTGCCACCTTTAAGGTAAAAAAAAACCGAGACATATCATGGGAAGAATGTCTTACTTGAGCGGAAGAGGGGGGAACTACATGTAAATGCATTGTCTACAGTGGTGTGTTGTTATTATTACGCTACTGACAACAAATGGGGCTTTTAAATGTCCCGGGAAGGTTTGGAGATTCCCCAGGATAGCAACTGCTTCCTCAACACGGGGACAATCCTGGGAATGCTAGGACAGATGGCAACCCTACTTGCGCTACCGGGGCTAATCAACACTTGTAGCCCGGGCCTGCCTGGAGCTGGGACATTCCAAGCCTCCTTGCGGGATAGTTTGACCTCCTGGCAAGATCAGATAGAGGAATTCTTGTGGGGTCCGGCCAGATGAACCAGGGACTCGGCTGTAAAGCGGTGGGGGGTTGGAGGGCCTAGTTGGGGGGGCCTGGTGACGGCCGGGGGACCCAAGGCAGACTAAAGTGGGGGGCCTATGTGGAATGAAATGGGGGTGACCCAACCAAAACCCCTTTTATCGGGGCATCTCCATGGAAACCGATTCCCTCGCCTGCCCCCCAACACCATTTTGTGCAAAATATGTGGACCAAATTTGTGATAATGCCGCTATTGCGCGCGTGTGTGTATGTGTGTAAGTGGCTGGTTTTGTAAGTGTGTGTGTTAGTACCGGTGGCTGAGGCAAGAGTGAGGTGACATTGCCTCACACCCACCTCACCACACCGTGTAAAGAGTGGCGGGGGGGGGGGCTAATTAATTAGCGCCTTTAATCCGGCTCCCTTAACATAACCCCGCTTTAAAATCGGAAACCTGAACCCTAAATTGGCCGGATGTTTTTACCAGTAACGCTTGTTGAGATACGGAAAGCTTCGTTTGACCCCGGTATCCAACATATTCCCTCAGAAGTGACTGGTATTTCGCGTAAAAAGTTTTAAGGGGGTATGTTTTTGCTTCATGTAGTTTTATTTTCCCGCCAAATTAACCGTCAACCCCTCCCCCCCATCTTTCCGCCTGCATGCGACGCAGCCGCTCTGGTCGGAGATCTTAACTCCTTCCCGTGTTTAATGTCTGGATCCGGTATTACGCGAGTTGCACTGAGACGAGTTGCGCTGGGAGATTAAGACTAATGAGCGCCGCGTTCTTAATTAGTGAGCGTCTCGTCGGCACCTAACACAGTATTGGGGGAAGGGTTCAGGATGTAACGGCTATCCAGCAGTTCTCCTAAGGGGGCATCCATTTTGTTCGTACGCAAAAATCTGTCAAAACTTGACCCCCCCTCCCCTCCCTGTACGCAAACAGACAGTCCACCTCCGGACTATCTAACTCATTTGAAGGCCAATGTAGAACAATTATTATCGAGGCTTCACACCCCCCCCCCCCCGTTTCCTATGCCTACACTGTCAGTAGACCCCCCATACGTAAGCGAACGCATTTGGATTAACCCCCCGTCCCCCTCCATGCGTACGCACGAAATGGATGGCCCCTAACACGGCCATCATCGCGGAGTAAGGAATGATCGATTCCAGTATTTTCGATTGGGTAATGCGGTGCTTCATTGGCTCCGCGTGCCCCCCTTTACAGCCACTGCTCTACTCCCACAACATGAGTGTTTACAAATGGTAGAATCGTTGAGTCGAATCTCGACTCCCCTGTTCGTGACGCCTTACTCCTAAGTCAAATCGCGACCCTGAAAATATTCAGTGTCAACATTCATTCCTGTGTACACCCGTGAGGTTCTATGGACTCGTACCAACTGCGGTAGAAATTATATTTGCACTGCAAGAACGAGCAGTGTTTATGCTTGTTACAGCACCCCTCGCATCCCGTTGGTATCGCCCAGACTAAACCTGCCTTGTCTGCAATGTCGGGCGGTACCAACGGACCGGGAACTTGTGATGGGGGCATAGTGTTGTTGGGGTATTTTCGACAAGTTTGTCGACAGATGTCTGCTGCCTTGTTAAATTATTAAGCGAGCCCTAACCCTCATATCTTCTCCGAACCTTCGCCATTACCCAATCTATTCCTCTATTCCAAGACCCAGCCCCAACCCTCGCCTACAGCCTATCACGAGCCCTTCGCTCAAGTCTGGCCCAAATCTTAGCCAAAACTGTAACTGAGAATCAAAATCTTTGATTATACCGGAGGAATCTGATGAGGTGTGAAGCTCTTTTTCACAGATGTCCCTCCCTAACTCTAGCCGTAAATCTAACCTTTGCTGTAGCCGTATCTCATAACCTCATCCCCTGAACCCTAACGTATGCCTTGACCTAATCCTAGACGTAACCTAACTCATGCATTAACCCTAGATCTATCCTCTAGATCTGTCCCCAATGTGAACTGTAACCTCACCTCTAACCCTTAGCCCTAATCCTGAACGTATGCCTGGCCCCTTCCCCTCAAACCCCCATAACCCTATTCCTAGTGCATGCCTTGTCCCTGACCCGAGCCTTAAATATATCCCTAAATGTAACCTCCGCACCCGAACTCATGCCCTGTGAATCCTAATCTCAAACCCCTAACCCTAGCTCTTGCTCCTATCCATGACTCGTGCACTGACCCTAACCCTAGCTCCAGCCTAACCCTTGACCCGACGCCCGTGCAGTGTGAGTCTGTGCGTGTGGGCACGTGAGGGGAAAAGTTGGATCCCGATGCTGCATTCCGTGCCAAGGTGCGATGGGGCCAAACGCGCAGCAGACGCAGGCCAGCAGTGGCGATGAGACATGGTACAGGGCCCAGTAGGGGAGGGCATGTCTGCCGGCCTCATGGGAGGGCATGTCTGCCGGCCTCATGGGAGGGCATGTCTGCCTGCGCCATGGGAGGGCATGTCTGCCTCATGGGAGGCATGTCAGGTAGAATGAAGTATCTAGTGGTATAGCATTGTGCAGTGGGAGGGCATGTTTGACAAAAAAACTTGAAAGGCCATGTCTGGTGGCAGGGCATGGCCGTCTCGTGGAAGGGTGTATCTGGTAGATGGGCATGCTTGCTACAGGAGATGGCATTTCCTAGATAGGGCATTCAATGCTCGATGGTGCTGCAGGAAGGTGTTCGTGGTCATGTTGGTGATGGTAGATTCGTGGCGATGGTGAGTCAAATTAGCGTGCAACAGCTACCGTTGTTTAACTAGGTGAGCGACCATTGACGCCCGAAGTCCGTGTTGCCAAGTATACCGAGTAAAGTAAGCGACAGAAACCAAAAACGTCTCATTTGTTTAGGCGAAGTTCACTGTCGCGGCTCTTATCGTAACCTTAATGGTTCGATGAAGTTCCTCCTAATAAATCTCATGAGCTGTCACTTTCACCTGGGGGGGGGACGACGACGATCCCTCTTCGTGTAGATGCCATTGTAAGTTCGACGAGTCCTCAAGTGTCACATTCGGTGCGATCTTCATCATCCCGTCTCTACCCGGATGGGGCCTCGCTATCTCATGGAAAGGGTTCACGCAAAGCTACTAAACAGTCCTCCGGTGGTCACAGAAAGTCTGTAACGGTGTCCACCCCCCCCCCCCCCCCCCCCCAGTGAAGTTTTTTGTGAAAGTCAGGATATTGTGTCTGGTTTAACAATCTGCCCTCATGATGCGGGCACTGGGCGAGGCTACCTGGGCAGGGGACGGTCGGAGGCCGCTCCCCGCGCGCGGTGCTAGTGGCTGAGTGGGCGTGGCGATGTGGAAATAGGCGGGGCAGGCAGAGGGAGGAGTTGCCCGCTCACGACCACGTGTTCTCGTTGAGCCTCCCAGGCATGTGGTCGCTTCAGGTTCACCCTCACCTCATCCTCTCCACCGATGTTTTGAATTGCCTGCATTCGTTTGTTGTTTTTCTTTCTCTAATAACCGTTCACTAGCATTAGCATACCATTTGCATATCATCATGATCAGCCGTCTGTCCACTGCTGGATGAAGGCCTCCCCACGTCATCGCCATCCCTCACGGTCTCGCCATGCAACAATCTGCATCACCACGGCGGCCGCGCTCTTTGGTTGCCACTCCGCTGTGAGTCTCGACCACGGCCACCAACCCTCCTCGCCATGATGCGTTCTGCCAAAGCCAACTCACTTCTCCTGCCAGTCATTGTGATGTCTCTAACTTATCATCATCATGGTATATCCATTGCTGAATGTGATGACGATGATGGTATCTCTAGCCCGCGTGTGTTCTCTAATCCACGTGCTCCTCTTCCTGATTCTCAGTGCAAATCCAAGCATGCGTCTGTCCATGCTGCTTTGCGCACTTTTCAACTTTTGTTCCATTTCGTATGAAACAAATTTGCGAAACATTTAAACTAAACATCTGAATACAAAAAACATATTAAATGGGAAAATAAGGAGATAAACGTGGAATGTATATTTTATTAATTTATGGGGTGGGAGGTTTAGGTGTGTGGTGTATGGGGGAAGGGTGGGTTGTGTTGTAATTGTTTTTCCTCGTTTGGTCTGTGAGCCCCCGCGTGTCGTGCCAGGTTCGAGTGTTGCCAAGTCCCTTACTTCGCACGCACTGCTGCTCTTTGTACATTTATATCAGCCGGCTCGTGACGCACGGGTTACGATTTCGCGCCCGGCATGGGGAGGGGTGGGTGGATCAGGGAGTGATAGAATGGTTGATGGATTAGTATGGGAGCGGAGGATGGTGAGTGGATCAGGGTGAGACAGACAGAGTTATGGGACCAGAGAATGACGGGAGAGATTTGTGTATCAAAGACACATGGTAAAGGTTGGTGTGGATGAAAGTGGTATGGGAGGGGTTGGTGGATTAGACATGGGAGGAGCATGAATCAAAATTTTATTAGATGAGTGAATCAGTGTAGGGTAGCCGAGTTGGTGGATCAAAATATAACTGGAGGAGTGTGTTGATTGGGATTATATGGGATCGGAAGGAGTAGTGGACAGGAAGAGGAGGAGGTTGGTGGATGAGTATGGGATGAGAGAAGGTTGAGTGGATCACCGTGAGATGGAAGGAGTTGTTAGATCAGAGAAGGATGGGGAATGTTGTGGGATGATGGTGGCATGGAAGGGGTTGGTGGATCAAAGAGGGTTGGTAAGGGTTGGTGGTTGATAGTGGGATGGGAGAGGGATGAATTTATCAAGGAAAGATGAGAGTGGTTGGTGGGCCAGGTTGGGATGGGAGGTGTGTCTGAATGACGAGATGGAGAGGAAGCAATAGAGGATCAGGTAAGGTCAAGAGGGGTTGGGATATCGGCGAAGGATGGGAGGCGTGGGGGTAGTCATTAATGGTGGGATGGGAATGGTTGGTGGATCAATGGGGGATAGGAAGAGAGTGGGTGAATCAAGGGTTGGTAGATCAAGGTGAGCTGGGAGAGGGTCCGGTTTTGTTTCTTAAGTCGTTAACTTTTTACTCCGCAACCTTAAGAACAGGAGAAGCGAGTTTTGTATGGATACAAACAGTGACAACATAATTAGTCATGAAATTACCGGGGTCTCTTGAAACCGTGGTGACTTTACAAATGTATAAGTCTCGAGAAATATTTATTTAACGTTTAAAACGTGTGGTGAAACACTTAAAAGATGAATGCTTAATAAAATGTGATTAACAGACTCGAGTGTTAGTCAATTCCATAACAAGCTCATCGCTATACAGTGCATTGTGGGAAATCACGTGACACGTTTGCTACATCAGCTGTCATCATCGCCATCTGCCTAATTTTATCTACACTTTAATGATTTTTGAAAATTATACTGCGGTGGCAGCGGTATATAAGCGCAAATAATAAAAACAAATTCATCGATAAGTGCCCCTCATATTAAATATATATGTAACAGGCAACACTCCCAGCAATGGCCACTCTTCCTCTGTGCTATGAACAAATCCATTGGCCGAGACATCCCTCGTAAATACGATAATCTCTCGCTCTGTCCCTGCTTCCCTCTATGCCCCATCTCGTTTCCAATATTTCTCCCTCCTTGCAACCCTCCCCTGGAATCAACTGACCCTGTACATTGACCAGGTCCCCTCTTTAACCTCCTTCAGTTCCTCTCTAAAAGCCTCAGCTCTTCTACATCGCCCATTCCCTTCCTCTTCCCTCCCCTCGCCCCTCCACTCCGTCCCTCTCCTGCCCTTGTGTCCCCCATGTGCCCTCTGTTACGGTCACTCATTTCTCGTCCGTTGCACTGCCCTTGCCATCTGAATCACTCGGTTTTTGTTACCGCTTCTAAGCTATGTAAAACTTCGTCACCATCGTCTTCATCGGCATCTGTCTCATCATCATTCATCGTAATCATCGTCGCAATCACCTGTCTCATCATTACTGTAATTGCTATCAATCATCTGTCTCCAATTAACACTTAACTATTATACCTTCACTAGTGCTGTTTTTTGCTGGCCACTTGGCGTTTCGAGCCGTTGAGTCTGTACTCTGCAGTGTATTAAAAACACTCGTCTCAATCATCTGCGTTATCATCGTCACCTATTATCATCATAACGCTCACTTTCAATAGGTTCTTGCATAATGTGTTTGCATAATGTGTTTGAGTAATGCCTCTTAAATTAGCAGACAACCCCCTCTGTCCCATATCTGTCCCTTCACAAGCTCAACTTATGTTTTACACGTCCCATCAGCTCTCTACGGCCTCCCGGGAGTGCACGATTGCAGCAGCATTGGTTCAAAACGAGCAAAACTCTGCACCGGGTTCCAAATTCAGTGTCTCAGCAGCAGTCGGGCTCGCTTGGATCGACGCTGCTGAAGCGCCAGAGGTTTATCGGCAAGGATCCTCTTATGATCGCAGCGTCATTGCCAGGGGAAATCTCAGCACATACTGGGACAACACACAACCCTATAGCTTCACAAGTAGGCTGTTATCAACCTATACTCTTTGGTTCTTTCTGTAAAGTCACGTAGGTATATTATTTATATTATCTTATTGTTTTAATAGAACCAAAGAGTATGGATTCCTGCAGTCACGAAAGCTTCAAATCAAGATTGTTATCAACCTACTTTATGTACTGCCTCCTTCCACCAATAATCTCTATTACAGACACTTCTCATTCGAAATTTGAAACGTGGCCCACAAATTGCTTAATTGGGAAAGAAACCAAATCGTCACATCGCAAATCTACTGGCAGACGAATGTCCCATTTGTAGGTCGGTGCTGGATTGCAGCGGTGCATTGTGATGGTTGAGCTGAGCGTGTGATGTCAGACACGTTGAGGTGGACTTTATTGCAGGATACTGTGAGAATAGAGCTGGTGCTGACTGCGAAATGTGTTGCGATCCTAACCAATTCCAGTACCCGCCATTCGCCACTAAGTGATGGTGATCTCACCACGGTGCCTGTGCGAGGCGAGGTGCACTTTGAGGCCACGTGAAGTGTCGAAGGCTCACGTACAAGAGGTCATGGGACAGACCTAGGTGCCATGGGTTGAACAGGAGATTACTAAAAATCCTAACCTTGACTTTCAACGAAACGAGCACGTCCCCTGCCATCTCCGCGGGATCCACCACCCCTAACCCCTTCTTCCCGGCGCCTTCACGGCCTCTCGATGAAGCGCATGTGGAAGGGCTTGGGTTTGAGGATGACGGTGAGCTCCCCGTCCAGGTCCGGCAGGCCCCCCCCCGGGCCCCCCTCGGCCTCGAACCGGAAGTCGCGGATGAGCAGCGCGAGCAGGATGTAGAGTTCGGCTCGCGCCAGGGAGGCCCCCAGGCAGGCCCGGGAGCCCGCGCCAAACGGAAGGAGGCTCCCCACGGGGCGGCGCTCGGCGGACGGGTCACCGTGGAGGTGACGCTCTGTTGGGAGAGGTGGGTGGGCAGAGTGGGGAGGTGGAGTAGAAGGTGGCAAAAGGAGAGGCGGGGAGATAAGGTCGGAGAATGGAGGGTGGGAGAATGGATGGGTAGATGGGGGGGGCGAAGATGGCAGGGGGAGAGAGGAGTGGGGATGCGGGGTAGGAGATACGTTGAGGAAGAAGAGAGGAGGAAGAGAAGGGAGCGTTCCTGGGAGGAGGGACGTAAGGGGGGAGAATGCGGGAGGAGAACAGAGAGGAGTGGAGTAGGAGGGTAGAGGGTGAGGATGGGTGGATGGGGAGAGAGGGGAGAATGGACGGAGAGAAACCCACCTGCAGAGTCGACTAATCAACCAACCACTCAATCACTGAACGACTCAGCCAACCACTCGTCTAACCACTCCACCAATCTACTCCCCCCACACCACCCATGCCAGGGCCTGGTGTTTGGAAAATCTGCTGAGATTGGCTGCGTCTCCAGGTGAGACGAGTGGAACATCGTCGCCTCCAGGTGAAGTGACATCTAAACGTCGCGGGGGGTAGGAATTCTCGTCGGCAGGTCTGGGTGGGTGGGGAGGTTGGGATGTGAGGGGAGGGGGCGAAGTGGGTGGGCGTGACCTGGTTTGGAGAAGGCGTGGTCACGTGGGGGCTGGGCGTGGCCTCGCCTCACCTGGCTGGAAGCGCTCCGGGTGGCTCCATTTGTCCGGGTCGTGCTGCGCGGCCCACAGGTTGGGGATGACCGTGGTGCCCCGCGGCAGCTGGTACCCCCCGACACTGCACGGAGGTCAAAGTCAAGAGGTCCAGATCAAGGTCACTGTCGTGAGCCCCACCGCCTTCCCCTGACCCCCCATCGATCCCTGAGTGTTGTTTTGCAACACAGCACGGCAGTGATGTTCGCGAGTGCCTATTAGAACTCGTGTGTCACGTGGTGCGGGGTGATACCTGCAGTCGCGCGTGGTGTGGCGCGTGGTGAGTCACGTGGTGTCACGCGTGGTGTGGTGCGTGGTGAGGTGCGTGGTGAGGTGACGTGGTGTCACGCGTGGTGTGAGGGGCGTGGTGAGGTGCGTGGTGAGGGGCGTGGTGAGGTGCGTGGTGAGTCACCTGGTGTCACGCGTGGTGAGGTGCGGGATGCCGAGTGGCGCCACGGGCCGTGTGCGCAGAACCTCGGTGATGGTCGCGCGCAGCAGCGGCGTGGCGAAGCGGTCAGCGTAGAGCGGGGCGCGCGCCCGGCCCACGGCCCCCAGCAGCTCGGCGTGCAGGCGCTCCTGCAGCTGCGGGGCGCGGTGGGGGGGGGGGGGGGGGGAGCGGTGGCGCGGTGGTTAGCGCATTGCACTTCGGACCCGGCGATTCGATTTAGATTCCCTCGGCTCACAGCCAACACCAGTGACGATTATCTGAACCTGTCTTGGGCCTCCCGTAAGTCGACTCAGCCTCAAATGGGTGCCTGAGGCGTTAATTAAACATCAGCACCTGGGAGACAAAGGCGGCCGGCCGTGGTGTTGGCCACCCACGGCCTCGTGTGCCGTGCCGGCCTTCATAGGTGCAGCTAGCTAACAGCACTTGCCCCGACAGTCTGTTTCAGGTCACACGGGGGATCTTTGTCTTTGGTGACAAGTGGTGACGGCGACGAAGATTGTCGCGATGGCGTGGTTGATAATGAGGATGCTGATGGTGGCGATGATGATGATGGTAGTGTCGCCGACACTGCCGCTACTGATGCTAATGCTGTTGCTGCTACCAGCACTACTGCTGCTGCTGATAATGCCATCTGTTACGATGATGATCATCAAGTCATTGATGATGATTCAGAGATTGATCACGATGCTGATGCGGTTCCAGCTCGGTGCAAATGGTCATCATGATGCAACCGCGACTGTTGCTGCTGGTCATCACCGCCACCTGGGGGTCGTGCATGAGGAACGCGATCGCCCACACCAGCGTGATGGCCGTCGTCTCAGAGCCTCCGACCAGCAAGTCCACCAGCACCATGTGCAGGTGCTGCTCTGTGAGCGAGCCCTGCTCCACCTGCTCCGTCTCCTCCTCGTCGTCCCCCGCCTCCTCCTTCCGCTCCACCTCCCCCTCCTCGTCCTCCTCTTCCCCCCTCTCCCCCCCGCCCCCCGTCTCCCCCGCCCCCTCCCCTTGGCCTTCTTGCTTCAGGAACCGCAGCATGGAGGTGGTGATGTCCTCAGTCCCGGCGCGCGCGCCTCCCTTCTGTGGGGGGGGGGGGGGGGCAGAGTGAGGACGGCGGTGGGGGTGGGGGGATGTGATGGCATGTATGTAAGGGGGATGGCGTGAGTGAATATGATGGTGAGTATGATGGTGTATTGATGAGCGTGATGACGTGAGTGATGGTGCATTGGGGAGTATGATGGCGTGAGTAAGATGGTGAGGTGATGGTGCATTGGTGAGTGTGATGGCGTGAGTGTGATGGTGAGGTGATGGTGCATTGGTGAGTATGATGGCGTGAGTGTGATGGTGAGGTGATGGTGCATTGGTGAGTATGATGGCGTGAGTGAGATGGTGAGGTGATGGTGCATTGGTGGGTATGATGGCGTGAGTGTGATGGTGAGGTGATGGTGCATTGGTGAGTATAGTGGCGTGAGTGGATTGGTGAGCGAAGTTGCTTTCAAACCTTGTGCGCCTCGAGGTGCCCGGCAACCACGTGATCGCGTCTCTCTACGGCCTCGAGGAAGCGAGTCCACGTGGCGCTGGGGAACCTCTACACGAGCGCGGGGTGGGGGAGGGCGGTGAGTAGGGTGAGTGGCTGGACCCATCGTGGTGAGTGTCTCTGCAGGTCTATGCGGTTCGTGTGATGGTCACGATGTCTTCTCGTCAGCTCCCACGGTGCAAATCGCAGCCTCCGACTCCTATTATCCACTCCATATCTCTGCTGTCGAAGAAGGGCCATCGCCCGAAACGTCGCCTATTACATATCTATATAGTTTTCCTTTTAAGACCACGAAGCGTTATTGATGCATGTGTTGAGTGTTGTTGTTTTTGTGTCTGGGTGAGTAATGGTTCTGATTCTCTGTCTGAGTTCCCCCTGGATCTGGTTCTGACTTGAGTCATGGCGCCGGGTCGAGTTCGTGCTGGTCCCGATTCGCACGGTTGACTACGTACGATGCGAAAGAAGCTCAGCACGCATAGTCCAACATCGCACGTGGTGATGATGCATGTTAGTCATGGGTCTGGTCCAGTGTTAGTCTTGGTTTTGTTTGTAGTCCCATGTTAGTCCTGGTTCTGAGTCTGTATACAAGTCGTGGTTGTGGTCCAGGTTAGTCGTGCTGTAGTTCCTCGTCCTTCGTTAGTCCTGGGTCCCTGTTCTACGTCAGTCCTGCTTCTCGTGCCACGTGAGTACTGGTGTGTGGCTCGAGTCCCGCGTTGTCCGTCGTTCCGGTTCGCACCCGGAGCCAGGGTAGGTGGTCGCGCGCCATGATGGTGGAGGAGCCCCAGAGGTGCACCAACTCGTCCAGACTCTCGCGGAGTCTGCGGAACTCGGGGTCCTGCTCTGCGTACTGACACGCCGAGAACGCCCCACCACCACACGTACACAACTCCGCACAGACGGATTCAAGAACGCACTCACGTGCCGTCTGTCATAGGCAGTCGGTCACAGAGGCAAGGAAGAGGATGGAGGGTGGGTCGTGAGCTTGGACTTGAGCAGTCGACAGCACGGGCCACTGGGGGAAGGAAGTTCCAGACCGAGGAGAAGGAGCGACCTGCCACTGAGCGATGGCGAACTCGAGAGCGGAGAGAGCGTGGAGAGGAGTGGAGTGAGATGAGAGGGAAGAGGTAGGAGAGTGCGTGGAGGGGGGAAGAGTGAGATGAGAGGCTTTTGCATGATATTTGTTGCTATGTTTAATATGTTATATGTTTGGTATATCCGCATTTACCGGTGTCACATGAAGCCATCTAATCAGGGGTACGGAGCAGTGGGTGGCGGGGAGCGAAAGAGGGGGGCGCGCGTGGGGTGGGGGGCCGTACCCTGACGCCGAAGCTGAGTGTGCACACGATGTTGCTCGTGTGCGTCGACAGGATTGGCATGGGGTCCACGGGGCGGCCCCCGTGACCTCGGAGTACCTGACGGGGGGGGCGGGGGGGGGTCTAATTAAGTTGAGATAATCATCGCTGCGCGACGTCACGTGTGACACACGCACACGCGTTATAATTAGCGATGTAATGCAAGTACAACGTGTTTACCAATCATCTGGCACGCGTAGCGTGTCACAAACTCAGGCACGACGTGGGAAATGGGTAAATGTGGGCAGGTGGACGGAGGGGGGGAGGGGTCAGCGGGGGGCTAGAGTTCGAGCAATCGCTGCCCCCCCCCCATTCTCCCAGCGCCATCAGCCCCCCACCCCCCTCCCCGCTCACGTGACACAGGCAGGCCCCCTCGCTCGCGATGACCGCGTGGGTGGTGTCCGCGCTGCGACCCCGGAGCCCCGCGCGCGCCATGCGGCTCTGCAGGCGCCACGCGGGCGTGAAGTCGCCCAGGGAGAGGTCGCGGCCCCCGAACGAGATGGCGCAGCCTGGGGGTGGGGTGGGGGTAGAAAGAAGACCTCGGATAGGAGAGACGGTGTCGGTTTGAGTGGAGCTCTGTGTGATGGAGTCGTGGGCCCTGCTACTGACACGCTGGGGGTTTGTTGTGAGATGTTTGCCAGCAATGAATCACGAACATTTATGCAGTGTTTGTGTTTATCGCTACAGAAGCGTGCATGGTCATTTCTGACCATTACGTGCACGGTTATAATCATAAAATCCTGCTCGATTCTTTTTAAACGTAACCGGTTTTGCTGAAAATAAATAAAAACCATGAATCGGGCGCATTTGCCCACGTGACAGCTCGATTCGTTCGGCTGCGTCGGGTGGTGGAGGGCGCACGGCACGAATGGTTGCCATCGCACCCGCACATGTTTGACCCAAACAGAAACCAATTGTGAATCATCTCGTGTTGGTCGCTAAACCATCCGTACGAGATGACACACGCATGAGTGTGAGTGTCGAGTTGATTTTATTTGTTAGGCGGAAGACGACGACGACGACGGTCATGCCGCTTGCACTAGCCACGTTGTGTTTACACGGGAGGTCCGTGGCGATGCGTGAGCACAGCAACGGCACAATAAAGACACGGACATGCGAGAGAACTCGTAGAGCAGGGTCCGAGAGGGATGTTGCGCAATCAAGGGGCGCGTGCGGGCTGGGGGTGGGGGGTCAGCGGAGTTGAGGCGGGTTCCGGGTGTCGATGTGAGGCGCGGGGGAGATATTTTCCGGAGCCCCGCCCCGGGCTGTATCGAGTACCCGTGTACGTCTGGGGACGGCCCGCGAAGTCGGCGCTCTTCTTGATGAGAGCCTCACGCAGCACCTCGGCCGAGTTGAGCACCACCATCTCTACTCGCGCCACACAGACAAAGATCTCCCGTATAGCCTCCACACACACACACTTTTGGGACAAATGCTGTTCGGGAGTACCGCCTTTGATGGCCGGCACGGAACACGACGGGGTGGATGGCCAGCACCACGCCCGGCCGCCTTTGTCTCCCCAGTGGCGATTATTACACACCGCACCAGGTACTGTACTGATTTAAGGCTGAATCGACCTAGGGGAGGCCCAGGATCGATTCAGATAGCGGTCTCTGGTGTTGGTGGCCGTGAGCGGGAATTGAACTCGGATTGCCGGGTTCGTAGCGCAGCGCGCTAACCACTGCGCTGCCGCTTCCCTGCACCACAGACCAAGATCTCCCGTCGGGCCTGTTGGCGAGGTCTGTCTGCGAGCACCTCCGAAGGCCGGCACGGCTCACGAGGAGGTGGGTGGCCAGCATCACGCCCGACCGCCTGTGTCTCCCCAGTGGCGATGTTTACACACCGCACTAGGCGCTCATTTGAGGCTGATTCGACCTAGGGGAGGACCAGAACCACTTCAGACGATAGTCAATGCTGTCGGTGGCCCTGTGCGGAAATCGAACTCGGATCGCCGGGTTCGTAGCGGGGCGCCCTAAACCGCTGCGCTACCGTTGCCCACATCATCAACAATAACAACTAAGTGGCGGTGACGTCACCACGGCGCTTGTGCCAGGCTAGGTGCACGTTGATGCCACGTGATGTCTAATGCCCGCTGGCAGGAGGTCACGGAGCAGACCCAGCAGGTGCCACGGGTCGACTGACATCACCACCGTCACCACCACCACCAGCATCGCCAACTACCACTCCCAGCCCCCACGACGAGCAGCCGCGGGCAGCGTCACCGTGGGCCCCGAGGCGCAGGCTGTACACGGGGCCGTGGCGGCGCGCGAGCTGCGCCAGGTGCCGGTGGCGGTCCGTGCGGAACAGCTCGGCGACGTTTCCCAGCAGGGGGACCCCCCGGGGTCCGGGCACCCCCAGGGAGCGGCGCCCCGAGGCCCCGCGTCCCCCCGAGTTGAGCAGCAGCAGCAGCACGAGCAGCAGGAGGAGCAGCAGGATCAAGGCGCTCCACGTGAGCTCCATGCTGACGATGGCGACCAGGGGGAGGAGGAGGGGGTGCAGGAGTTGGCGATTCTGCTGATGACATTCGGAGGTTATTTGGTAGTGGTGGTGATGGTGGTTGTGCCGCCTGATCCCTCTCCGGGCACCGCGCCCGTATCACCGTGGTCACGCAGAGCCCGCGGGCACTCCGCCTGGGTCAGCGTGACCCAGGCGGAGTGAGGCGGAGGGTCAGGCGTGGGGTCATTTGCGGACGTTGTTTATGAATGAGCGGATCGCAAGTCACGGGGGGGGGGGGGGTGTGTGAGTTTGTGTGAGAGTGTGTGAGTTTGTGTGAGAGTGTGTGTGTGTGTGTGCGAGTGTGTGAGTGTGCGTGTGAGTATGTGTGAGTCATATAGCCCGCATGCCCAGCCACCGCATGCCTCAACAGCTTTTGATCGGCTGGATTGACGGGGCTTAAACGGGCGCAGCACGGGCTAGAGAAGAGATGGAGTGATGTGGTACAGGAGGACGTGGTGCTGAGTAGACTTGCCGATGACTGGTACCAGCGGTGTCAAGATCGGCCTCTGTGGAGGAGGCTCGTGACGGACGCTACTGGGCAGTTGGAGGCATTCGCCCTCCAGCAACAACGGAGGGCGGAGGAGCGACGCTCACAACAACGAGCGGAGCACCGGGTGGCTAAAGCACAGCAAGTTGGCACAGTAGGGGGCACAGGTGGTGCATCAGCCAGTCATCTCGGTCATCTCAGTCAGTCGACCCGTGGCACCTGGGTCTGCCCCTTAACCTCCTGCCAGCGGGCGTTCGACACTTCACGTGGCCTCAAGGTGCACATAGCCTGGCACAAGCGTTGTGGTGACGTCACCGCCACTTAGTGGCGAATGGCGGTTGTTGTTGTGTTATCTTTGTTGTGTGCGTGTGTTTGCGTAACACGAGAGAACAGAGGGACAGAGATACACAAGCACCCTACGAGACAGAGACAGCCAGACATAGACACACAGACACCGACAAAGGGAGACTGACAGACACGCAGGCACGCACACAGGCGGGAACAGAGAGATGCACAAGGGGGGTGGGGGAGTAGGGAGACGCAGTTACAGAGATGAGAGACGGGAGAGAGAGAGAGAGCGCCCCTGTAGAACTCTCCACTTAGCGCCGTGTTCTCTCAGTCAATGCCCTCGCGTCATGCCCCCCCCCCAGTGCCAGTAACGCTGACGTGCAGAGTCATGCGCCCTGCCCCCCTACTAGGGGTGGGGAGGGGGTGCAGGCACGACGTTTGTGCAACTCTCCGGACTTGTTACACCACGCGCGCATCCACACGCGGGGAGCTGCAGAGCGATGGGCGGTGATCTTCTTATCCGACACAATCTCTCTCTCCCTCGCTATTGCCCCTCGCATTTCGTTCTGAAGCCGAACTTGGGGGGTGGGGTGCGTTTTGGGAGATGTTCCCAAGGAACATCTCCCAATTGTAGCCGTCCTCGAACAGAGGGCGACAGCAGCAGGAGCCGCGATGCAGCGGAGCGACTGCCCCAGGCTCGGTGCGCCTCCTCCACCTCCTCCTCCACCTCTTCCTCCTCCACCTCTTCCTCCTCCTCCACCTCCTCCACCACCTCCTCCACCACCTCCTCCTTCACCTCCACCTCCTCCTCCACTTCTTCCACCTCCTCCTCCACCTCCTCCCGCTGCTGCTGCCGCTGCTCCGTGTCTCGCGCGGCTCAACTCTCACGCGAGCAGCAGCAGCAGCGACATCGGTGAACCGAGTAATTCGCCTGCCGCTGAGTGCGACGCTGCGGCCGAGATGAAAGCGGGCGGGTCGCTCGCGCTGGCCGGTCGCAGGCCGCGTTGGGGCGTCGTGCGTTGAAAGCAGAGGCGGGGCGCGCAGTGGTCGTGAGAATGACATTGACCGCGTGTGGAGGTTCGTGAGTGCGCGCGCGCGTGTGGGGAGCGGTAATGTCGTGGACAGCGCGCTGCGCTGCCAACCCGGTGACCCGTGTTCGATTCGTACTCACTCCCAACACCAGTGACATTATTTAAATCGGTCCTCGCCATCCCCTAGGTCGACTCAGCATTAAATTAGTACCTGGTACGGTGTGAAAAACATTGGCACTGGGGAGACAAAGGCGGCCGGGCGTGATGCTGGCCACCCACCCCGTCGTGTGCGCGCCGTTCGGGATGTAGTGAACACTGGCCCCATTGTTCTAATGGCCTCGCCAGAAGATCAAATTGACACAGCGACGTCTGAGATCGCAGGTCCAGCGCGCTCGCCATTACACTCTGACAGCTCCAAGTGAGTGAAGGTGAGTGTAGATGGGTGTAGGTGAGTGTAGGTGGGTGTAGGTGAGTGTAGATGGGTGTAGGTGAGTGTAGATGGGTGTAGGTGAGTGTAGGTGAGTGTAGGCGCGTGTGTGTGTGAACAGCACTTGCCCCAACAGTCAGTTAGGCTACACGGTGCATCTTTGTCTTGTGTGTGTGTTTGGGACCTCACCTTTCTGCGCGTGGGTCCCTGGGTCCCTGAGTCGCGGTGTCGCCGTGGGTCTGGTGTCGGAGACCCCTGCGGCGCGTCGCGTCTGGCCGCTGTGCGCGCTTGTTTGTTTGGGTCGCATCCTGGTGTCGGGAAGTCGTGACGGGAACAGGCGGGGACCCCGAGGTGGGAGGGAGGGATGAGGGGAGGGGGTGGCGAATGGGAAGCGGGGGGGTGAAGTCCCCGCCAGGGTCTCAGGGGTTACGATGGCAAAGGGGCGGGGAGGGCGGGGCTGGAGAGCCCGATAAGGGAGGGTGGGGCGCGTGGGTGGCGAGTGGTGGGGGTTTGGGGGATGATGAAATGGAGGGCGGGGGTGGGGGGATGAGGGGGAGGGAGGGGAGTTGATGGTGAAAGGGGGTGGGGGTTGAGACCCCCCCCCCCCGAGAGCGAGCGGTGAGGGATAGGGGGGGGGGCACAGAGCGGCGCGGTTTGTCGGGGTGGAGCTGATAAGAAGGGGGGGGGGGGTAGAGGTCACGCGCGTCTTGAGCAACTCTGGGGGGGGGGGGGGGGTGACGTCACCCAGGTGCTTGCTCACTCGCCCCCTCACGCCGGGGGCGTCCCCCCGCGCTTTGCTGATTTGCGCTCAGCGAGACGGAGATGGTGAGGGAGGGGGGGCGGGAGGGGTGGGAGTGAGGGGGTCAGCGATGGGGGAGGGAGGGGCACGGGGGGAGTTCACGTGCACGAGGGGTCCCGGGGATGAGAGGTGGGTGGGGGGGGGGCTTAGAGAGGGGGGAGAGGGATGGGACGAGAGGGAAGACAAAAACGCGTGGGGGAGGGCAGGTGAGAGAAGGGTGGGAGAGAAGAAAGGGGGGTAGGTGCAGGGAGAGAGAAAGATGGGTGAAGTTGAGAGGGAAAGTGGTAGGGAGTGGAAACGGGGGGAGGGAGGGGGGCAGAGACGACCAAGAAGGGGAGAGAGGACGTGGGGGGTGGGTGCATGTGAGGAGGACGTGGGGGGGGGGGGGTCGTGAGAGAGTAGCGAGAGGGGGGGGGGGAGGCGCCTGGCACCCGACAGTGAGAACCCCGCTCGCCGCCATTCTCAGCCACAGGGAGAAGAATCGGGAGATGGGGGGCGGGGGAGCGGAAGGGAGAGGGGATGAGCCCCCATTAAGGGGGTTCCGCTGGGTGGGGGTTCGGGGGTGCAGGGATCTGGGGTATCGATTGAGGGACCGGTGACCGGGGTCCAGGGACTGGAATGCGGGGGGTTTGGATCCCGGGGTAGGGGTCAGGAGGTGGGGACTGGGGTCTTGGGGACCTTGTTGGGGGTCCGTGGAGATCCTGGGGCTCTGGGGGTTTATTTCAGGCGACTCGGAGTCACCTGTGGAGACGAAGGCTGAGCCGGGGCTGCCGTGAGGCGAGAGAATGATGGAGACGCCACGACGCCTCTCTCGGGCGCAGGGCTTCGGTGGAGCCCCGTGGGACCCCCCCCCCCCAGCGGCAGCTCGTCCCTGCCGTGGGACGATGAAGGTGTCCTGTAGATGTGGCAACGACCGATCAATGGGGTCACGACCCCCAATCAAGAGGTCACAGCGCCAGCCCAATGGGTCATGGACGTGCAGGTCCGGTGAGTGGCCGTGATGATGACGACGACGACGATTCCACTTGTTTAGCGAGGAGAGCCTCACTGAGTCTCGTGACTTTCTCACGAGGCTCCTGCCAAGTTATCGCAGGAGGGGGGCGATATCGCTGCTGCTGCTGCTACTGCTGCTGTGTGATCCCGACTGAGTGATTTTTGTCACATTTGTGGAGGTTTTGTTTTTGTCCAACACCGGTGACATCGCATGCAGGGGTGTTCTCGCTCTGGCTGGAAACCAGAGGTCCTGGAGGAAGCGCAGGCAGACCAAGGGGAGAGAGAGAACGTGCAGACTGCACACAGAGAGGCGCCCGACTCAGCCTCTCTGCTTGCTGCGAGGCACTGTTGTTTTTATTGCACCACCAGCCTGCCGGTCACATGTTGCTGCTGCTGCTGAACTTGATGGTGCTGATGGTGCTGCTGATCGTGATGAGAGATTCCCTCGACCAGTCGCGATCCACGTGACACGAATCATCGCGCACTGCCGGGGGCAGGGCGAGGGCGTGGGTGAGGGGGGGTTAGGGGGGAGTGGGGACGGCAGAGAGAGAGGACAACGGTGGCCGATGTTTAGAGAAACGCCGGACAACAACAACAACAACGCGTAGCGGTACAACCCGTATTCAACCCAGTGCCAATCCACTGCTGGATGAGTCAAGACATCTCCACGGCCCGTGTTGCTCATCGGTGTTGTTTGAGCATACTTCACCACGCTGGTCAATGCAGGCCACATGTTTTTGCCCGACCTTTTGGAAAATGCCCATCTCTCTGCTGTTTATGAAGAAGGGCCGTTGTCCGAAACGTCGCCTATTTTGTTTGTTTCATTTATTGTAGAGCTCCCCCCCCCCGCTGTAGTTGAGAAACGCGTTGAGTGGTTGTTGTTGACGTTTGATTGTGCACCATTGCCAACGCAGCATCACAACAACAACAACGTCTGGATCAATGACAAACATCACGTACAAAATTACGCTTCAGAGCTTTTGTCAATCCACTGCTGGATGAAGGCCTCCCCGCGCCAATGTGGATCGTGGGGGTCTATATGACCATACTTCACCACGCTGGTCAGTGCCAGTTGGGGACGGCGAGAGGAGCGTAGAAGTTCAGTACAAAAATGGATCTGTTGCTGCGGACGCGACGGCAGCGGCGCTGTCACCGCTAAGTGGAGCCTCCCTGGAAAAGTAAATTGCTTGATTATTGTGGTAATTAGCGGAGCGGTGGGAATGCGGCGGGGGGGGGGGGAGTAAGCAGTGGCCAGTCTCTGGGAGTGGCAGTGATGATGGTGGTGTAGATTCGCTGATGATGATGCTGCTGCTGCTGGGCTATAGAGGACGGGGCTGATGATGATGTAAGGAGAGAAAATGTTTGGCAGGAGGTCGCCCCCCCCCCCCCGTGGAGCGAGGGGGGGTGGGCTCGAGGAGGGCCTCGCGGGGGGGGGGGTCTGATGGCTCCGCACAGATGCGCGTGCGATCCTCACATCCTGACTCGGCGTCTCCCACGAGTGACAGTCGGAACAGTCAAAAGATCAAAGCATCAGCAGCATCGTCAACAGAAGAAGTATCATCATCAGCAGCATCGTCAACAGAAGAAGTATCATCAGCAGTGGAATTATCAGCAGAAGTATGATCAGCCGCAGATATATCGTAAGCAGTGGGATTATCATCGGCAGCAACATGAATCATCGTAATGAACATCATCCAATCAGAATCATCATCATAAACATCATCCAATCAGAATCATCATCATGAACATCATCCAATCAGAATCATCGTAATGAACATCATCCAATCAGAATCATCATCATGAACATCATCCAAACATGTGTAGTGAGTCACTTCTGAGACATTATTTTAGGAGGCAACAACGTTTATTCTACACTACTCGCCTTTAGCCCGTCCCAGGACGGGTGTATTGCAGTAAATCTGAAACTTGCAAGCGAAAATCAGACCGCGACGTGAGATATTCATTGCATCAATTCGTGTGCAATTTGTAAGGGCGCGGTGACACAGACTTATTTCATTTTAAGGTTATAATCCCTTGTTCATCATGACGTCCTTTTTACTTTGATGTCTCAACAACAGCGTAACGGAGATCGCTTGACGCGAGGGTTCTGCCTCTGTAGTGAGGGTTGTAAGTTGACGCCGAGGAGGGGGGAGGAGGCGCCTCGCCCCCCCCCATGTGGAGTGACGTCACCCGCTAATTATTATGAATGGGGGGGGGATGGTCGATGTGGAGTGACGTCACTTGCGCATGATTATTTAGTGAGGGGGGAGAATACTCCATATTGAGTGACGTCACCCGCTCATGATTATTTAGTGAGGGGGGAAGAGTACTCCATATTGAGTGACGTCACCTGCTCATGATTATTAATGAGGGGGCTGGTCGATGTGGAGTGACGTCACGAGCGTTCAGGACAGACATTCCTGGGTGATTATAGTAGTGATATGTGTATATATATCTTACACACTGTTCACACACGGGATACCGAAGTACGGGTCAGAGCAGCCAACATGCTGTCTGGCCCACGACGCCGGAGACGGAGACGGAGCACCTCGGCTTCCATTCTACCTGTAGACAGCCCTGATTCAGCCTCGGGGCTTCCCTGTTATGCCCCTCAGCGTGGCCTGGCTCCAAACATGAATCATCATAATGAACATCATCCAAACAGGAATAATCATAATCCGTAATTATTAGCATCATCATTATCCCTACGAGGTCGACACAGGGAGATGAATTAGAATCACTCTGTGTGGATATTAAGTGGTCAATCTATGGAATTGCTTGCACCCGCCATGGGAGTGTGGAATTTCCACGACTGGCTGATAGCCCAAGAAGATGAGATGGGCGTGGTTTCGTCCCGCGCTCGCGTGAGCTGCAGCTCGATTTCAAAACCCCGACTGGATCCCTTGGAACCAGGACTGGATCTACAAACTTGGTATGGATATCAAAACTCGGCGTGGATCCTAAAATTTGGATTGGATCTCAAAACCCGTCCTGAATCGCGAAACCCCGCTCGTACTTCAGCCAACTCGGTCGACTCGAGTTGCACTTGCTGGATCACAAAACCTGGCATGGAGTTTATAATTGCGGATTGGATTCCTTAACCCCACCTGCACCACTATCTATGTCGAACCTCTCCAACAGTGCGAATCGGATGTGCGGAGGGTAACAACAAACTAAACACTCAACCTGGACTGGCTCACAAATCGCGGCCTGAATCTCAAAACTTGACCTGGATGTCACAACCGGACTGCACGATGAAAAATGCGGCCTGGATTTCAAAATCCAAGCCGCATTTTTCATGGTTATTCTGACCCTTCTCATCGTTTTCTCTGCTGCCCCCCCCACTCCGCGCCCCACTCCCCGCTCATTTCGCAGTGGCTGTAATGGATGATCAGTTGGCGCTGAGCGGAGCTCATTAAGGGCTAATTGACCAGGCGCTGCTAAGGACTCTTCTCTCTTCAAAGGCTCGCCATGCGGGGGGAGGGGCTCGGGGGGGCGGGTCAGTGTGGTCGGGTTTCAGCGGGGAGAACATCACAAGTATAAAGATCCCCCGTGTAGCCCTAACAGCCTGTTCGGGCAAGTGCTGTTGGCGAGCGCATAGAAAGGCCGCCTCGACACATGAGGGGGTTGGTGGCCAGTACCATCCCCGGCCGCCTTTGTCTCCCACCGCACCAGGTACTCACTGGACTCCACGACCACTGAACTCCACAACCCGCTCGAGTCCGAGCAGTGGAGTCGCCGCACACCGAGGCCCCTCCCCCCGATCCCCCGCCTCCCAAGCCCCCACCCTCCCCCCGAGGCCCCCCCCCCCTCCCCCCCCGCAGTGAGAAGACGCGTGGCCTGCCCTGGAAGACGTTGAATGTGGTGAGTATCGTGACGATGTTGTAATGTGAGGAGGGGCGTCATGCCCAAGTCATGTCACCCTGGGCGTGTGCTCGCCACCCCCCCCCCCCCCAGTTGAGGAGTTGCGTAACAGGAATCGAGGGATGTGATGGCTCGAGCCAACAGAAACATGCGTCTTGATTGTTTGGATAATTATTTTTGCTACTTTAAATTTCCACACGATGATAACATGTCGCTTCCGAAGCTAATAGCTCAGGGGGGCCCTTACCTGGTAAAATAAAAATAGTTTAGTTTTATTTGTATACTTTATAAAGCGATGTGTTTACCTTCCCTCTGCTCTATCGTGTGTGTGTGTTGTTTGTTGTTGTAATGTGCTGACCCGGCCCTACTGGACATCTGTGAAAAAGAGCTTTATAGCTCATCGGATTCCTCCGGTACAAATACAGATTCTGATTCTATCCCACACTCAAACTCACCGCGCCCCTCCTGCACCTTCTCCTCCGAGCTCTGCTTTTACCACGTGAATAAAATTATTTTGTTTAATGTTATCGAAAGGATCTGTGGAAAAAAATTACCTTTCGTTTATGTGGACAGACAAATATGTGAAGGAAGCACATGTCTGATGCATTGTGTTGCTGGCGTTGTCCAGGACCACGCCGATTTGTTTGCGCAGCGCAGCCGAAGGAGTGCGAGTGAAGATGCGGGCAAGGAGTGGGAGGCGATGGTGGAGACTGCTCGAGTGCAGCTGCTGAGAGGATTGTCACGTCGCAGGGTCGTGAGAAGTGTCGGCGGTGGATGAGGAAGGCCTTCATCCAGCAGTGGCTTGACCATGGTTACTGATGAAGATGGTTATGATGACGCAATAAGTCGTATTGTGGCTCATGAAGAGCACAGGACAAGCACCCCCCCCCCCCACCCCCGCAGTGTGGCAGGACCCTCCTGACCCAAAGAGTCTTGAGACTCGTCGACGTTTTCCTGGGTAAAATGACGCCGTTATTACCAACAATAACAACAACAACCAGCAGCAGCAGCAGCAGCCCCCTCCCTCTGTTCGTGGGGGGTCTAGAGTAGTGGGGTCGCTAGGGGGGTCCCTATGCATTGGGTAGTGGGACCCCCCATGGCTCTGGAGTGGGATGGGGGGGGGGTCCTGGGAACGCACGTGGGCACGCGGCGGGGTGTTGATGCAGCTGCGGCAGGGAGCGCCGTGTCCAGGCAATTAGCGAGCAATTAATTGCCAATCAACTCTGATTGGTCAAAGCACCCGTAACGCCCAGAGCTCTCCAGCTCTGCTTTGATGATGATGATGGTGGTGCATGGCGGTGCTGCTGGTGATGGTTGTGGTTATTTTGGTGGTGGTTGTGGTGATGGTTGTGTTGGTGGTGGAGCCCTGACCCCATTAGCCACCCGCTGCCTTTAGCAACAAGAAAAACAAACAGCGAGGAAGCCGGGAAGGAGCCGCGTGGCCATTGGGAGCGAGGAGCGACTTGGGGCGAGGAGCGACTTGGGGCGAACGCTTCCCGGCTTCAGATATCCACCCCAGCCATCATAACCACCACCATCATCATCAGAAGGAGCAGCAGGCATGCTCACTCCACTGCTGGATAGAGGCCCACCCGCCGTAGTCGATCGTGCGATGTAGTAATCCACCAGCACCTCGACCTACCAACCCATGTCGCCGCTTTCCGCTGCGCGAGTCATGGCGGCTGCGCTGCTGTGTGACGCCTGCTGCGTTTGGGTGGTCGCGGCGTTCGGCACTATGTCCGACGTTTCGCGCCACGTGCTGGAAGCTTCTTCAGGGATTGTATTCAGAAGCTTCTGGAGGAACTAAAGGCGTGCGTGTGTATGAGTTTATGCCCAAGAAGAGTGTTTTAGAATGTTACGTCTCTTTTTGGGAGCGTTGCTGTTGTAACTGCCACCAGACCTGTCATGGTCATGATCATGATCCTCTCCACTGCGGGAAGAAGGCCTCCCCACGCCGTCGCCATCTCTCACAATCCATCTACATTACTGTCGCTCCGCTCGGAGCGTCCTCAAGGCGTCGATCCTCCTTGTGGCTGCCACTCTCCGCCGTGAGTCTCCACCACGGGCCACCACCACTGCGCCGTCTCCCCTCCGCTCCTTCCCCTCTCTGGCTCGGGGTGCAATTCCAAGCGTGCTTCTTTGCGCACTTCCACATACTTTAAGTCGGAGGGGGGGGGGTATTTGAATAAATAAATAAAATATATTTTCTTAACAGTCATTGCTCGCTTGATGTATGAATGTAAACACCGATCATGCGAGGAATGGGCGCTAATTAAGAGCAGGCCGCGTGCTCCGGGTGATGAATTTCCCTCCTTTTGCTGCCAATCCGTCCCGAGTCTCGACCACCGCCCACTGTTCCGGAGCGCTGAGTCGCGCGCACGTGCGTGACGGCTGTTCTGTCACTTAATACGGAGCCCCCTGCCTCCCCCAGCTCGCCATACACGTGCGGAGCGGATATAATTAGGGTGCAATTGTGTGTGTGTGTAGTGCTTGCCTGTGTGTTGTGTGGGCCTTCATAGGTGCTCGCTAAGAGCACTTGCCCCGACAGTCTCTGCAGCCTGTACGGGATACCTTTGCCTATTTGTTTTTCTGTGGGTGTGTCGGTATGTGTCGGTGTGTGGAGGCTGGGGGGGGGTGTTTATTCGGGGAGGTGGGGGGGGGTGCGATTCGTTTTAGTGTTGGGTGTGGGGTGTTTTTTTGGGGGGAGCGGTGGCGCAGTGGTTAACGCACGCTGCTCACAGCCAATATAGGTGACGCATGTCTGAATCGGTCCTGGGGATCCCCTAGGTCGAGTCAGCCTTAAATGGGTACCTGGCGCTTTGTGTTAACATCGCCACTGGGGAGACAAAGGCGGTCGGGCATGGTGCTGGACACCTACCCCATTGTGTGCCCTGACGGCCTTCATAGGTGCTGCTCGCGAAAAACACTTGCCTCAACAGTCTGATAAAGGCTACACGGGGGAGCTTTGTGTTGGTGTGTGGATTTGAGGCGTACGAGTCATCAGGCGCGTGCAGTGTGCCACTAAATGTGCACTTGGCCGCAAGATCACGATGGACGTGACACGTTCCTACCTCGCGCAAATCTTCCACAAGGCAGAGTCCGGTCCCGAGTTTGCGGTCAACTTTCCTAGTTAACGGGAGTCAGCTGGGGCCAATCGATGGAGGGTTGGCAGCCCGTGTCCAAGCAGTGCACTACCGTGTGCGCACAGCGTGGTGGTGGCCACGCTGCACGTGACCTGTGTCACCCAGCACCGTGGAGGCAGCAGCGAGGGTTGGTGGATCACGCACAGATGGGGTGTGAAGCTGCCCATGCCGAGGGTGGGTGTCGAGGATGTGCCGTGCCCTGGCTCGTTAGTCAGAAGGCGGTACAGCAAGTGGGATAGTCGCCAGCTGTTTATTCCGTCTGTACGGGGAGAGGCGTGGGGTTATCTCCCGGCTCCTTCCCACGTGAAGAATAATAAACACGACTCATCATTCATTGTATGAACAACATCGTAAAATAAACACCCAATGTGGCAGCAGCAGCCGCAGCAGCAGCGGCTCTCGTGGGCACATAAATAAAATAATAAATAATACACCTAAATAGCCCTGTGTGAGAGGCCGTGGGCGATGCTGGCGGGATGTTGTTATTAATTCGTGGTTGCGCATAAACCACAGAGAATGTCTTAATCGCCGCGATTAATTATTAATTACTGGGAAGATCCTCCCACGTCCCTCCTGGTGGCCATCCCCAATCCACCTTCCCCCCCCCAGCTCGCCTACCCCCTCCATCACCCCCGCTCGTAATGGGCTGGGGGCAGAGTTAGTGTGGGAGGGCGGAGCGAGTCCCTTCTCAAGTGGTCATTAACTCCCCTCCCTCCCTCCCTCATTATCTACCTCCTCCCCCTCTCCCTCCTCCTCCTCCCTCCTCTCCTCGGGATCCCTTCCCGCTCCGTCTACGCTCGAGGCGTGTCCGCGCGGTGCACGTGGACGGGCGAGCGGAGAGACCCACACAGACGGACAGGCAGTGGAGGCGGACTGACTGACTGAGTGACCAGCAGACCGGCAGGCAGGCAGGCAGGCGGACTGACTGAGTGAGTGACTGGCAGGCGGGAAGGCAGACAGACTGAGTGAGTGAGTGACTGAGTGAGTGACCAGCAGGCCGACAGGCAGGCGGACTGACCGGCTGAGTGAGTGACTGGCAGGCCGGCAGGCAGACAGACTGAGTGAGTGAGTGAGTGACTGAGTGAGTGACCGGCAGGCCGGCAGGCAGGCAGGCGGACTGACTGACTGAGTGAGTGACTGGTAGGCAGGCAGGCAGGCGGACTGACTGAGTGAGTGAGTGACTGAGTGAGTGACCGGCAGGCCGGCAGGCAGGCAGGCGGACTGACTGACCGATTGAGTGACTGGCAAGTCAGCAGGCAGGAAGACAGGCAGGCGGGACTGATGGTCAGGGATCGACACCACTCAAGTCAAGGAGGACAAACGGACGGAGACGTCGATAAACACATAGACACACAAATAGACAAACACACAGACACACATAAAAACAAACACACGGACACACAAATAGACAAACACACGGACATACACATAGACAAACACACAGACACACACATAGACAAACACACAGACACACAAATAGACAAACACACAGACACACACATAGACAAACACACCCACAGAAGTTGACAGACAAAGACACACAGACACACGACGCGTCTCGCGCGAGAACGGCTGTCTCGGCATGTGGAGTTGACCCGCCCGAGGAGTGACCGAGACATGAGTTGGATCCCGGGTGCGGCGCGAGGGGGCACAGCGAGGCGCGATCGAAGCTCCCGGGCCCCGCTGTGGCTCCCTCTGCTCCTGCTGCTCCTGCTGCTGCTGCTGCTCACCCCGTGGGCCCTGGGTGTTGGTGGATCACGCGCCGCTCAGGTGAGAGGCGTCTCGCGGCATCAGCGCGCTCTGGTGACGCCACCGCGGCGCGGACTGCGATCGTAGCGGTGCCCCCCACTCGGAGTCTCACGACTGATACTCAAGAGGGTCGTGCCACACACACGCGAGGTCGTTTTGGCCACGCGCGTGGTGTTGAAAGCGTTGACGCACCGGCTCCGTCTGTGTCTCAACGGGGGGGGCGGGGGGGGGGTCACGATGGAGAGGGCGGTTCCGCCGTGGTGGTGACACTCGCAGCAAGAAGGGGTCTGGGTTCGATTCCCGACTCGGGCGCGGTGCTGTGTGCAGTCTGGAGGAGTTCTCTCTCTCGCTGCCTGTTCTGCAGCGTGACCGGTAATGGCCCAAACACATTCCAATGCTGAACGAGTCCCTGCAAATCACTCGATCGGGATGACCCAGCAGCAGCAGCAGCAGCAACATCGCGCCCCTCGACTGCGATCGGCAGGAGCCCCCTGAAGGAGAAGGAGTCTCGTGTGTGACTCAGTGAGACCTTTGCTGGGTAGAGGAGCGGGATAAACAACAACAACAACTGGCGGAGCGACGAGGCCATGTGCGCGAGACTCCAGCGTGAAGTCGCGTGTCTGGTGGGGGCTTGACGGAGAGAGAGAAGCGGGCACATGGAGACGACTCGCGCCCCCCCCCCCACTGCCGGAGTCCCGTCGCGACCCGCGGCTCCCCACGGCCATCCCCGTGTGGCCCGGCGAGGCCGCGAGCGCTGCCGTTGCCTCGCGTGCCCCCCCCCCGTGCCCCCCCGTGCCTCCCCCCGTGCCCGCCCTCACGCGCCCCCCCCCCCCGCGTTCCTTCCCCTTCCCGAGCGTCCCCCCCGCATGCCCCCCCCTATCGCGTGCCCCCGCCCCCCCCCCCGGCGTCGCTCTTCCCGAACCGCGTGCGGGCACGGCGGCGAGGAAATCCCACAGGAGGAGGAGGGAGTCGCCGCGCCCCGCGACGATTGACGCAGACTGCTGGGGGGGGCACGAGTTCCAAACCACAGCAGCAGCATGAGCAGCAGCAGGAGCAGCAGTAGCAGGAGCAGCAGCAGCAGGAGCAGCAGCAGGAGCAGTAGCAGCATGCAAACAGAGCAAGCGAAACTCGACCCTCAGCAGTTCCTGAAGGACTGCACAGTGGGTCACCAGCCGAGTGCATTCGACCAAATGTGACACGGCTCGCTCACAACTGCAGCTGCAGCAGCAACCGCAGCGGGGAGACGGCGCTGTGCTGACGAGTCCCAACGAGCACGAAACCGCTCCACAGCCGTCTGTCACTGCAGCTCTACTGCGGCGGGGTCACGTGAGCTCGAATGTAAGGTGATGGTGAACCAAGGTGATGATGATGCTTCTCTTGGTGCTGATGATGATGTTGACGATGTTGGTGTTCGTGTCTCTAGGAAGAGGTGTCGCCACTCGACTATCGGCCACCCCCCGCGCTCACCCCAACGCTGACCCCCAGTCTACCCCCTTACCGGCCGGGACGCGACCCCCTGCGCGCTCCAGACCCCCGCTGGCAAGGGGACCACCCCCCTTCGCTTCGCCAGGAGTCCCCTCTGTTGTCCGGACCTCGCCGCGTCCGACTCCCTCGGCGCGCGGCGTTCGCAATGGGGGTTGACGGCGCATGGAGAGATGGGACGGGCCACCGAGAATTGGCGGGTCTAGACGACCTCCCGGGGTCCCAGGAGGAATTTCAGTTCGACCTCAGCGACCCTGGCTCCTGTAACCCCGGCGACCCCATCTGTGAACTCAGTGACCCCGCTGACCCTTGCGACCCCAGTGACCCCAACTGTTCATTTGACCCCAATGAACTCAGCGACCCCGTTGAACCATGCGACCCCAGTGACCCACACTGTCCATTTGACCCCAATGAACTCAGTGACCCCGTTGAACCATGCGACCCCAGTGACCCACACTGTCCATTTGACCCCAATGAACTCAGTGACCCCGTCGAACCATGCGACCCCAATGACTCCAACTGTCCATTGGAACCCAATGAACCCAGTGACTCCTGCGACACAAGTGACCCCAATTGTCCATTTTACCCCAATGAACTCAGTGACCCTGCTGACCAGTGCGACCCCAAGGACCCCAAGTGTCCGTGTGACCCCAATTCCTTGTGTGACCCCAATGAACTCAATGACCCCAATGAAGCCCAGGATTCGGCCGATTCGCCCGACTCCCGTGACCCCGCCGATCCCTGTGACGTCAGCGAACCCCTCGGTGACCCCATGGAACCCAATGACCTCTGTGATCCCAATGACCCCGGCGAGCCAGAAGAACCCACGGAGCCTCCAGAAAGGCCCCCCCTCGTCCTGCCGCCGAAGCGGGGCCCCCCTGGGACGTCAGGGTCCCGCGGACCCCCAGGATCACGGGTAACACGCCACGTGATCAGTGACGCTGCGTGCCCCGGTGGTGATGGTGGTGATTGTTAATGGTGATGATTGTTAATGGTGATGGTGATGATTGTTAATGGTGATGATTGTTAATGGTGATGATTGTTAATGGTGATGATTGTTAATGGTGATGGTGATGATTGTTAATGGTGATGGTGATGATTGTTAATGGTGATGATTGTTAATGGTGATGATTGTTAATAGTGATGGTGATGATTGTTAATGGTGATGATTGTTAATGGTGATGATTGTTAATAGTAATGGTGATGATTGTTAATGGTGATGATTGTTAAGTGATGGTGATGATTGTTAATGGTGATGATTGTTAATGGTGATGGTGATGATTGTTAAGAGTGATGGTGATGATTGTTAATGGTGATGATTGTTAATGGTGATGATTGTTAATGGTGATGATTGTTAATAGTGATGGTGATGATTGTTAATGGTGATGATTGTTAATGGTGATGATTGTTAATGGTGATGATTGTTAATGGTGATGATTGTTAATGGTGATGATTGTTAATAGTGATGGTGATGATTGTTAATGGTGATGATTGTTAATGGTGATGATTGTTAATAGTGATGGTGATGATTGTTAATGGTGATGAATGTTAATGGTGATGATTGTTAATGGTGATGATTGTTAATAGTGATGGTGATGATTGTTAATGGTGATGATTGTTAATGGTGATGATTGTTAATGGTGATGATTGTTAATGGTGATGATTGTTAATGGTGATGATTGTTAATAGTGATGGTGATGATTGTTAATGGTGATGGTGATGATTGTAAATGGTGATGATTGTTAATGGTGATGGTGATGATTGTTAATAGGATGGTGATGAAGTGTTAATGGTGATGGTGATGATTGTTAATGGTGATGATTGTTAATGGTGATGGTGATGATTGTTAATGGTGATGGTGATGATTGTTAATGGTGATGGTGATGATTGTTAATGGTGATGATTGTTAATAGTGATGGTGATGATTGTTAATGGTGATGGTGATGATTGTTAATGGTGATGATTGTTAATGGTGATGATTGTTAATAGTAATGGTGATGATTGTTAATGGTGATGATTGTTAAGTGATGGTGATGATTGTTAATGGTGATGATTGTTAATGGTGATGGTGATGATTGTTAAGAGTGATGGTGATGATTGTTAATGGTGATGATTGTTAATGGTGATGATTGTTAATGGTGATGATTGTTAATAGTGATGGTGATGATTGTTAATGGTGATGATTGTTAATGGTGATGAGTGTTAATGGTGATGATTGTTAATGGTGATGATTGTTATGGTGATGATTGTTAATAGTGATTGGTGATGATGTTAATGGTGATGATTGTTAATGGTGATGATTGTTAATAGTGATGGTGATGATTGTTAATGGTGATGAATGTTAATGGTGATGATTGTTAATGGTGATGATTGTTAATAGTGATGGTGATGATTGTTAATGGTGATGATTGTTAATGGTGATGATTGTTAATGGTGATGATTGTTAATGGTGATGATTGTTAATGGTGATGATTGTTAATAGTGATGGTGATGATTGTTAATGGTGATGGGTGATGATTGTTAATAGTGATGGTGATGATTGTTAATAGTGATGGTGATGATTGTTAATGGTGATGATTGTTAATGGTGATGATTGTTAATAGTGATGGTGATGATTGTTAATGGTGATGAATGTTAATGGTGATGATTGTTAATGGTGATGATTGTTAATAGTGATGGTGATGATTGTTAATGGTGATGATTGTTAATGGTGATGATTGTTAATGGTGATGATTGTTAATGGTGATGATTGTTAATGGTGATGATTGTTAATAGTGATGGTGATGATTGTTAATGGTGATGGTGATGATTGTAAATGGTGATGATTGTTAATGGTGATGGTGATGATTGTTAATAGTGATGGTGATGATTGTTAATGGTGATGGTGATGATTGTTAATGGTGATGATTGTTAATGGTGATGGTGATGATTGTTAATGGTGATGGTGATGATTGTTAATGGTGATGGTGATGATTGTTAATGGTGATGATTGTTAATAGTGATGGTGATGATTGTTAATGGTGATGGTGATGATTGTTAATGGTGATGATTGTTAATGGTGATGGTGATGATTGTTAATGGTGATGGTGATGATTGTTAATGGTGATGATTGTTAATGGTGATGGTGATGATTGTTAATGGTGATGATTGTTAATGGTGATGATTGTTAATGGTGATGATTGTTAATGGTGATGATTGTTAATGGTGATGGTGATGAATGGTGATGGTGATGATTGTTAATGGTGATGGTGATGATTGTTAATGGTGATGATTGTTAATGGTGATGATTGTTAATGGTGATGGTGATGAATGATGATGGTGATGATTGTTAATGGTGATGATTGTTAATGGTGATGATTGTTAATGGTGATGATTGTTAATGGTGATGATTGTTAATGGTGATGGTGATGAATGGTGATGGTGATGATTGTTAATGGTGATGATTGTTAATGGTGATGATTGTTAATGGTGATGCTAGTGATGATTGTAAGAGAATTGGTAGTGCTAGTGATGATAGCAATGGTAATGAAAGTGATGATTGTCATGGTGATGATTGTGACATGATGGTGATGCTGGTGATGATGCCATCATCATCACTAGCACCATCACCTTTTCAATGATGATCAGAGTGATGATTATGACAATACTGATATCAGTACTATACTGATAATAATCATAATCGTATATCTGATCATAGTGATAATTATAAAGTTTACGATAGTAATGATGATGATTATAAAAGTTGTGATAACGCATTGACGATAATGCTGCTCATGATGAAGCAATGTTATTGATGTTTAGCATCATTCCTCATTACGCTTCTCTACTCTGCAGGGTACCGAGGGAGAGATGGGCGAGAAAGGGGACAAGGTGAGACCCCCCCCCCCACCATGACCCCCCCATGAAGAGACCCCATTCATGTGGAGTCGGGAGCCCCCCCCCCTCACCTCAGCGCGCAGCGAGCCGTGTCGGCTCTGGTGGAGTCGAGGTGGCCGAGGGAGCTGATTGGGGCTCGCAGGGTTGAGTCGGGGCAATGCTCATAACGGTCCCCCCCCCCCTTCTCTCTCCTTCCCCACTCTCTCCCCCTCTCCCCCCCCACCCCCCTTCTCTCTCCTTCTCCCTTCTCACCCCCTCTCTCCCCCCTCTCTCTGCTCTCTCCTTCCCCACTCTCTCCCCCCCACCCCCCTTCTCTCTCCTTCTCCCTTCTCATCCCCTCTCTCCCCCCTCTCTCTGCTCTCTCCTTCCCCACTCTCTCCCCCCACCCCCCTTCTCTCTCCTTCCCCACTCTCTCCCCCCCCACCCCCCTTCTCTCTCCTTCCCCACTCTCTCCCCCCCCACCCCCCCTTCTCTCTCCTTCCCCACTCTCTCCCCCCCACCCCCCTTCTCTCTCCTTCTCCCTTCTCACCCCCTCTCTCTCCCCCTCTCTCTGCTCTCTCCTTCCCCACTCTCTCCCCCCCACCCCCCTTCTCTCTCCTTCCCCACTCTCTCCCCCCCACCCCCCTTCTCTCTCCTTCCCCACTCTCTCCCCCCCACCCCCTTCTCTCTCCTTCCCCACTCTCTCCCCCCCACCCCCCTTCTCTCTCCTTCCCCACTCTCTCCCCCCCACCCCCCTTCTCTCTCCTTCCCCACTCTCTCCCCCCCACCCCCCTTCTCTCTCCTCTCCCCCCACCAACCCACGCCCACCTGTAGGGGGATGAGGGCCCCCCCGGGCGAGTGGGGATGACGGGGGCATACGGTCCCCCGGGCCCCCCAGGGCCCCCCACCTTCCTCATCTGGAGCCACGCCCTAGAAGAGTGGGAGGAGTTCTTGGTGAGTTGAGAGCGATGGTGGTGATGGTGGTAGTGTTGGTGGTGGTGATGGTGGTGATGGTGGTGATGGTGGTGATGGTGATGGTGGTGGTGATGGCATATTGGTGGTGATGGTGGTGATATTCATGACACTAATGGCGACGATGATGATGACGATGTAGCTGTGATGTTGGTGGCGATGATGATGGTGGTGGTGGTGGCAGGGAAGGTGATTTGTGATGATGACGCCAGACAGTGGCAGACATCGCCAATAGTGATGTTGACGACGATGGTGGCTAGTGGTGATGCTGATGCTGGTGGTGATGATGATGTTGATGGTGTGGTTGTGGCAGCGGTGATAGTGATGGCGATGATGTCAGATAATTGATGGCCGTGTCAGGCCATGACGGCCATCGGTGGTGGTGGTGGTGATGATGTTGATGTGATGACAGCGATGGTGGTGATGTCATCCTCCCTCCCCTGTGCTCACAGAAAACCCCCTTCTACCGCGTGCTGTCCACGGGCTGGCCAGTGAGTTGTGACTCCCATCCCGTGGTGATGGTGGTGATGGTAGTGCTGGTGATGGTGGTGGTGATGATGGTGGTGATGGTAGTGCTGGTGATGGTGGTGATGATAGTGGTGATGGTGGTGGTGATTGTTATTGTATTGTATAACATATGTTCCATAGCAAAACACCCGTCTTCACGGGCCCTTCCAGCTAAAATAAATTACGTTGTACATTTTAAATGTGAATCATCCCCTCGTGTGCTGTGCCAACCTCCATCGGTGCTCGCTAGCAGCACTTTCCCCAAAAGTCCGCCAAGGCTATCCGGGGGATCTGTGTCATGTTAGTTGCCTGTAGAGTAATTAGTTGAAGCTGCCCTGGGCGATGATGATGGTGGTGATTGTGATAATGTAGTTAGCGACTTTGCTGCTGCTGGTGATGATGCTGCAGGTGGTGATGATGTAGGTGAGTGAATGATTAGGTGATGAGGATGATGAGGATGTTTGATGATGATTTCACCGACTCCTCTCTCGTTCCGTCTCTTGACTGGCAGAGGAAAGGAGAAGCGGGGCCTCCGGGATTTCAGGGCCTTCCCGGGCCCCCCGTAAGAACACCCTCCCCTGCCCCCCACAAACACAACCTCCGACATTCACCGTCACAGTTCAACAGGTGTCAACGCCATCGTGACTTTTTTATTTTATAATTTCCTCCAAGTTTTTTTTGTTTATCGCGGGCCACCTTCTCGACGCCACGAGACGACGATCTGTTACGGCGCGGTGCCGTTGTCGATTGGCAACGTTGTCCGACGTTTTGCTCCGCATGCAGTGCCATTCTCCCATCGTCGTCATCGTCATCAGCCGTGGTCGATCCACTGCTGAATGGAGGCCCCCCTAAGCCGCCACCGCCTCTCACGACTGATCACAGTGCTACATCTCGGTGGACGTCCTCTCGGCAGGCGTTCCATTCCGTTAGCTGCCGCTCCGTCGTCAGTCTCGACCATGGCCTCCATCGTACCGTCTGGCCGTGACGCGTTCTGCCCAAGCCTAGCTTTGCGTCACAGTTTGAATAGTTTGAATGACGTCATTGATCCCAGGCGCGCGTCCGTGTTTCGCTGTGAACCTGTTTTTGTTCATCCATTGTATCGTTGGTGACCACGTGTCTGACCCGTGCGTCATAGCAGACAGAGCACACCCGGCCACGTGACTCAGATAGAGCACACCCGGCCACGTGACACAGCGGCAGAGCGAGCGGCTTGCAATCCCACGGTAACGAGTTACAATCTTGGTTGGGGATTTGACTCATCATCCCATCTCTCTCTCCGGCATCGAAAAAAGCATTGCCACTTAGTGGATAAATCAACAACGATTGTCCTGTGGATAGCATCATCCTCGTCATAGGAACGTGGAATTTACGCCACCGGCCCTGCAGCGGTCAAAACAGCGGAAGAGTCCTTCCACGGGGTGGTGACGCGATGGCGCAGAGGTAGCACGTTCGCTAATTGTTGCCGCGGTTCACGTTCGAAAGGCCACCCTGGTGAATACTGCGGGAGCATGAACGATAAGAACACGAATCGCCACCCGCTTCACCGTGCACCTCGGTGATCCCGTGACGTCATTTGAAACGAGTTGTCGGCCAATTGTCCAAATTTTTGCCATATTCGAAATGTTCCCCCGAAGAGCGATGGCACAAACTGCAACATCGCCCCCCTGAAACCGCCCTGCGCTCTAGGAACGATGGCGTCAATACCAAATGTACTCAGCTATTATCGAGTCGTATCATGACATTTTATATTTCTGGACTAAAAAAAAAGTTTTGCTGGCTGGCTCGGACAGCCACGTCCTGAGGACGCGCGCGTGCCGGGTTGTCGCCATCATCATCATCATCGTCGCTTTGGCTTCGTGAGCGACGGTGCTGGAGACTGTCCCGGGCCAGGCTGCGGGTGAGAGACAGGCGCGGGGAGTCGGGATAATTGTCCCCCGCCGCCCCTCCCCCTAATAAAGTGGAGCCGTCGCGTCCCCAGCTCCCCAGCGGATGTAATCGCGTGGTAATTACGGCGATTACTTCCCCCCCCCCCCCACGCGCAATGTAAGATTCGTGCAGACCCAGCAAAGCGCCTCCACACGTCAATCAGTCCACTTATGGCGTTGTTTATTTATTTACTCACGAGACGACTCGGTGTGGCTCCTGCTGCTGCTGCCACGTGGGGTTCTTTTATCTGTAAGATGTTGTCAGCCGACGTGATGATGGGTCTCTCGCCCGCGTGTGTCCGCTAATCCACGTGCTCCTCTCTCCGTCTCTCGGTGCAAACTCAGGCGTGGCTCTCTCCATGCTTCTCTGCGCACTTTCCCGTAGAGCTGTTGTTGTTGTTGGGGTGTTTAGGGAATGACCGCGGTGTTTCTGACTGTGACACAGGCGGCGGTGAGGCTGTGCGTGTCACCTGCCGTGTGACCCAAGTGAATAACCAGCGGACCTAGTCCACAGACGATGACTCCATGCCTCATGGTGGTCGTGGTGGTGGTGCTCGTGGATGACCATGGCGATGATGTGATCGGTGTTGATACTGCTGAGAGAGTGGCAGTGATGACAGCGGTGGTAGTGATGTTAATGATGATGATAGTGGTAGTGGTCGTGGTCATGTTGATAGATATCATCATGATTATTGATGATGATGAATATTAGTTATGATGATGAGGAATATGATGATAGCAGTGTTGATGGTGGAAATTATGTGGATGATGTTGATGATGCTGATGTGATGGTAATATTACAAAAATAGTTATGACAGCAGTGATGATAATGGTGCTGGTGGTAATTGTACTGTAATGTTAATGATGAAAATGACAGTGGCTGCTGCTGCTGATGATTGTACTCATCATGATGGCGGTGATCGTGACGGCAATGATCGTGGTGTCGATGATGAAGATGATGACGATGGGGGTTCAACTAACAAGGTCCCTTCTCCTTCACAGGGGCCTGATGGGGAGCGGGGTCCAGAGGGGCTCAGAGGGGACCCGGGGAAAGAGGTAGACAAGCGTGATGCACCGTGCAACCCCCTACCCCCTACCCCCTCGTTCCCCCCGCCCCTCCACACAGAGTCACCGCCGCAACTCGGCAGCAGCAATGGGGGAGCACAGCGACTGAACCCTCTCGGTTTGTGCTCCCCGTCACAGGGCCCCGTTGGACCCCCTGGGAGACCGGGACCCCCGGGTCGCTCCGCCTCGCAGGGGACCCCGGGGGTGAATGGACGCGCGGGACCCCGAGGAGTCCCCGGGGACACGGTAAGGGGTCCTGGCCCCCTGCCCCCTACCCCCTAAGCACGCCGCCCCCCCCCCCCCTCCCAACTAAACGCAACGCAATGCGGCGGCAGCGCACAGGGGATGGCGCGCAGTGCGATGGTTGGTGACCTGACCACACCGGCTCGACTCCGTCTCCCTGCGCAGCAGTTTGGGTAATTGGGCAACTTCCGCGTCCTCCCCACCCCCCGCGCCTGCGCCCCGCCACCCAGCAGTGTGCAGGGGTCACGTGCGGTGGGGTCAAGTGTGGCTACTGACACCTCCTCCAAGACGTGTGGCCAGCGAGGAAGAGTAGGCCAATGCCCCAGGGCTGCGCCTTCACCCCGAGCTGGGGTCACGATGTGCAATGACCTCATGGCCTACTGCTGCCATTGCAGGAGTCGTGTGGAAGACAGAGCCTCGTTCCCACTTGGCACTGGGGCTGTGCGGTGCACCAGCAGCGCTGCTCGATATTTTACTGGTCATATTTATCTAAAAAGATGAGTTTCTTTTGCAGTAAATACGTTGCAGTTATTGAAGGGGGTTTGTCTGTTACTCGATAGCTGCTGATAGTGCAACTACTCATCTGCCGATTTACACGACTGGGTCAATAACTGAAGTGGCTTCAACACTGAATTGCCATCAGGCCCTTCCACGGTGTAAACCAATCCAGTGTCTCACTCTTATCGACTGGCCTCTCTATCCACGAGCTTTGAAGGATTAGGGCCATAGCCCGAAACGTCGCCTGCATACTTTTGCTTTTAAGACTGCATTCAGCGTTGTTCGCGACCGTGTTATGTATTAATTAATTAATTTAGCTTGTGCACCACTGCCAACGCAGTAGCAGCGTCAACATCATCGCCACATTATTCGTTTGAAGACCCAATGACCTTATGACCTGCGCATCCCTCCCACCCCCCACACCCCTTCCCCTGCCTGGCCCCCTTTCCCTGGCAGGGTCCTCAAGGATACTCAGGGGACAAGGGACGCAAGGGGCAGAAAGGTTTTGCGGTAAGACAACACCGAAGCCAACAGAGGCAATTTCACATTCCCATGACAGGCTCAAGTCAGAGGGGGAATTATACATTCCTTCTGATAAAATTATTATAATAATGATCATAACTCTGCTGCTGCTGCTGTTGAGTCAGCCCATCATCCGCCCCTCTGGGGTCGATAGAATGAGTACCATTTTGTGGGGGAAGTCAGCAGTGATTAATATATGGTCAAACTCACCCTCGCCATAGGAATGTGGAACGTCCACCACTGGCTTAGGACTGTAGGCAGATGAGCACCAATGTACGGATGTTCGTGTGAACAGCAGCCAATATATTTTATTTAGATTGTATTATTATTTTATTTAGATTGTATTATTATTTTATGTAGATTGTATTATTATTTTATTTACATTGTGTTATTATTTTATTTAGAGTGTATTATTATTTTATTAAGATTGCATTATTATTTTATTTAGATTGTATTATTATTTTATTTAGATTGTATTATTATTAAATTTAGATTGTATTATTATTTTATTTAGATTGTATTATTATTTTATGTAGATTGTATTATTATTTTATTTAGATTGTATTATTTTATGTAGATTTTATTAATATTTTATTTAGATTCTATTATTATTTTATGTAGATTGTATTATTATTTTATGTAGATTGCATTATTATTTTATTTAGATTGTATTATTATTTTATTTAGATTTATTATTATTTTATCTAGTTTTGTATTATTATTTTATTTAGATTGTATTATTATTTTATTTAGATTGTATTATTATAAAATTTCGATTGTATTATTATTTTATTTAGATTGTATTATTATTTTATGTAGATTGTATTATTATTTTATTTAGATTTTATTATTATTTTATTTAGATTTTATTATTATTTTATTTAGATTGTATTATTATTTTATGTAGATTGTATTATTATTTTATGTAGATTGTATTATTATTTTATTTAGATTGTATTATTATTTTATTTAGATTGTATTATTATTTAATGTACATTGTATTATTATTTTATTTAGATTGTATTATTATTTTATTTAGATTTTATTATTATTTTATTTAGATTTTATTATTATGTTATTTAGATTTTATTATTATTTTATTTAGTTTGTATTATTATTTAATGTAGATTGCATTATTATTTTATTTAGCTTGTATTATTATGTTATTTAGATTGTATTATTATTCTAGTTAGATTGTATTATTATTTTATTTAGATTGTATTATTATTTTATTTAGATTGTATTATTATTTTATGTAGATTGTATTATTATTTTATTTACATTGTCTTATTATTCTAGTTAGATTGTATTATTATTTTATTTACATTGTATTATTATTTTATTTACATTGTATTATTATTTTATTTACATTGTATTATTATTTTATTTACATTGTATTATTATTTTTATTCCGTTTCTTTACCGAGGAGAGCCTCATTTTTTCTGGAGAGTCCTGCCACATTTCCACAGTAGGAGGTGGGGAGGGGAGAGGGCGATGCTGCTGCTGCTGTTGTGCCTGTGCGGTCCCCGTCGAGTGACTTGCAGGCGATTTCTCAGCATTGGGATGTTGGTCAATATCGGCTACGCTGGGTGGGTGGGTTCAGCCATGGGGGGGAAATCAGCGAACCTGGAGAAAACTCACGCAGAACAGGGAGAGAGAGAGAGACCATAACACTCCACACAGAACAGGGAGAGAGAGAGACCATACCACTCCACACAGAACAGGGAGAGAGAGAGAGACCATAACACTCCACACAGAACAGGGAGAGAGAGAGAGACCGTAACAATCCACACAGAACAGGGAGAGAGAGAGATCATAACACTCCACGCAGAACAGGGAGAGAGAGAGAGACCATAACACTCCACACAGAACAGGGAGAGAGAGAGACCATAACACTCCACGCAGAACAGGGAGAGAGAGAGAGCATAACACTCCACACAGAACAGGGAGAGAGAGAGAGACCGTAACACTCCACACAGAACAGAGAGAGAGAGACCATAACACTCCACACAGAACAGGGAGAGAGAGAGAGAGACCATAACACTCCACACAGAACAGAGAGAGAGAGAGCATAACACTCCACACAGAACAGGGAGAGAGAGAGAGACCATAACACTCCACACAGAACAGGGAGAGAGAGAGAGACCGTAACAATCCACACAGAACAGGGAGAGAGAGAGATCATAACACGCCACGCAGAACAGGGAGAGAGAGAGAGACCATAACACTCCACACAGAACAGGGAGAGAGAGAGAGAGACCATAACACTCCACACAGAACAGGGAGAGAGAGAGAGACCATAACACTCCACACAGAACAGGGAGAGAGAGAGATCATAACACTCCACACAGAACAGGGAGAGAGAGAGAGACCATAACACTCCACACAGAACAGGGAGAGAGAGAGAGACCATAACACTCCACACAGAACAGGGAGAGAGAGAGACCGTAACACTCCACACAGAACAGGGAGAGAGAGAGATCATAACACTCCACGCAGAACAGGGAGAGAGAGAGAGACCATAACACTCCACACAGAACAGGGAGAGAGAGAGAGACCGTAACACTCCACACAGAACAGGGAGAGAGAGAGAGACCGTAACACTCCACACAGAACAGGGAGAGAGGGAGAACATCCACACTCAGCGCAGAACCGCGCCAGAGTCGGGAATCAAAGCGAGGCCCTTCTTGCTGTGCCGCATCCACGCTGCTCACGACGTTGATCGTCGGAATGACGCCATCAACCAGTTGAAGTGACAGCTAGCTGTGATGTCGACATCCTGCCACCTTCTGATGTTTGTTGTCATTTTCCCCGTGGCTTCGGCTCTCCGATTTCACGTTAACAGTCAAATGTCTCGCACCGACACAGCCACCTCCACGATCTGACATGAACATGCTAATCTCTCACATTGACATGCTAATCTATCACATTAACATGCTAATCTCTCATATTAACATGCTAATCTCTCACATTAACACGCTAATCTCCCACATTGACATGCTAATCTCTCACATTAACACGCTAATCTCCCACATTGACATGCTAATCTCTCACATTAACATGCTAATCTCCCACATTAACATGCCAATCTCTCACATGAACATGCTAATCTCTCATATTGACATGCTAATCTCCCACATTAACATGCTAATCTCTCACATTAACATGCTAATCTCCCACATTAACATGCTAATCTCTCACATGAACATGCTAATCTCTCATATTGACATGCTAATCTCCCACATTAACATGCTAATCTCTCACATTAACATGCTAATCTCCACATTAACACCTGCATAATCTCTCACATGAACATGCTAATCTCTCATATTGACATGCTAATCTCCCACATTAACATGCTAATCTCTCACATTAACATGCTAATCTCCCACATTAACATGCTAATCTCTCACATGAACATGCTAATCTCTCATATTGACATGCTAATCTCCCACATTAACATGCTAATCTCTCACATTAACATGCTAATCTCCCACATTAACATGCTAATCTCTCACATGAACATGCTAATCTCTCATATTGACATGCTAATCTCCCACATGAACATGCTAATCTCTCACATTAACATGCTAATCTCCCACATTAACATGCTAATCTCTCACATGAACATGCTAATCTCTCATATTGACATGCTAATCTCCCACATTAACATGCTAATCTCTCACATTAACATGCTAATCTCCCACATTAACATGCTAATCTCTCACATGAACATGCTAATCTCTCATATTGACATGCTAATCTCCCACATTAACATGCTAATCTCTCACATTAACATGCTAATCTCCCACATTACTAATCTCTCACTGACATGCTAATCTCTCATATTGACATGCTAATCTCCCAATAAATGCTAATTCTCTCACATTAACATGCTAATCTCCCACATTAACATGCTAATCTCCACATTAACATGCTAATCTCCCACATTAACATGCTAATCTCTCACATGAACATGCTAATCTCTCACATGAACATGCTAATCTCCCACATTAACATGCTAATCTCTCACATGAACATGCTAATCTCTCACTATTGACATGTAATCTCCCACATAACATGCTAATCTCTCACATTAACATGATGATATCTCACATAACATGCTAATCTCCTCACATTAACATGCTAATCTCCCACATACATGCTAATCTCTCACATGAACATGCTAATCTCTCACATTAACATGCTACTCTCTCACATTAACATGCTAATCTCTCACATTAACATGATAATCTCTCACATTAACATGCTAATCTCTCACATTGACATGCTAATCTCCCACATTAACATGCTAATCTCTCACATGAACATGCTAATCTCTCACATTAACATGCTAATCTCTCACATTAACATGCTAATCTCTCACATTAACATGATAATCTCTCACATTAACATGCTAATCTTTCACATTGACACGCTAATCTCCCACATTAACATGCTAATCTCTCACATTAACATGATAATCTCTCACATTAACATGCTAATCTCTCACATTAACATGCTAATCTCCCACATTAACATGCTAATCTCTCACATTGACATGCTAATCTCTCACATGAACATGCTAATCTCCCACATTATCATGCTAATCTCTCACATTGACATGCTAATCTCTCACATTAACATGATAATCTCCCACATTAACATGCTAATCTCTCACATTGACATGCTAATCTCTCACATGAACATGCTAATCTCCCACATTAACATGCTAATCTCCCACATTGACATGCTAATCTCTCACATTAACATGCTAATCTCCCACATTAACATGCTAATCTCTCACATTGACATGCTAATCTCTCACATGAACATGCTAATCTCCCACATTATCATGCTAATCTTCCACATTGACATGCTAATCTCTCACATTAACATGCTAATCTCCCACATTAACATGCTAATCTCTCACATTGACATGCTAATCTCTCACATGAACATGCTAATCTCCCACATTATCATGCTAATCTCTCACATTGACATGCTAATCTCTCACATGAACATGCTAATCTCCCACATTAACATGCTAATCTCCCACATTGACATGCTAATCTCTCACATTAACATGCTAATCTCCCACATTAACATGCTAATCTCCCACATTGACATGCTAATCTCTCACATTAACATGCTAATCTCCCACATTAACATGCTAATCTCTCACATTGACATGCTAATCTCCCACATTAACATGCTAATCTCCCACATTAACATGCTAATCTCCCACATTGACATGCTAATCTCTCACATTAACATCACTAGCCCCGCCCACGTCGTTTGTGACCCTTGGGCTACACCCATTCTAAACCTTTACAACAGTCTGCTTTTATACTCTAAAATTAAGTCTGCTTTTAGCAGCTTCCCCCTTTGTTTCCCTCCTGATGATGCTCGCTTGTGTTGTCATCGAAACGTCGTAGTTTTTATTTTATTTTTATTAATTTGAACCTATTTACGTGACTTTACCGAACCCAACGACCCGGGTTCGATTCCAGTTTACGGCCAATACCAGTGACAATTATCTGAACCGGTTCTGGGCCTCCCCTAGGTCGACTCAGCCTTAAATGAGTACCTGGTATGGTGTGTAAACATCGCCACTGGGGAGACAAAGGCGGTCGGGCGTGGTGCTGGCCACCCACCCTCTCGTGTACCGTTGCGGCCTTCATAGGTGCTCGCTAACAGCACTTCCCCCTACAGTCTGTTAAGGCTATACGGGGGATCTTTGTCTCTTTTTTGCGTGTGTGGCAGGGTGGTATCGTCGCACGCTTCATAGGTGCTGCTCCTCGCTAACGGCACTTGCCCCGGCAGTCTGTTCAGGCTACAGGGAGATCTGTGTCTGTGTGTGTGTCTGTGTGTGTGTCTGTGTGTGTGTCTGTCTGTGGGTGTCTGCGTGTGTGTGTCTGTGTGTGTTTGTCTGTGTGTGTGTTTGTTGGTGTGTGTCTGTGCGTGTGTCTGTCTGTGGGTGTCTGCGTGTGTGTGTCTGTGTGTGTCTGTCTGTGTGTGTGTATGTGAGTATATATTTCTGTGTATGTCTTTCTGTGTGTGTGTCTGTGTGTCTGTGTGTGTGTGTCTGTGTGTGTCTGTGTGTCTGTGTGTGTGTGTCTGTGCGTGTGTGTGTCTGTGTGTGTGTCTGTGTGTGTCTGTGTGTCTGTGTGTGTGTCTGTGTGTGTGTTTGTGTGTGTCTGCGTGTGTGTGTCTGTGTGTGTCTGTCTGTGAGTGTGTCTGTGTGTATATATTTCTGTGTGTGTGTGTCTGTGTGTGTGTCTGTGTGTGTGTCTGTGTGTGTCTGTGTGTGTGTCTGTGTGTGCAGGGTCTCCGTGGACTGAGGGGCCCGCCTGGCGATAAAGGCGAGAAGGGATTAAAGGTAACGCCAATTATGGGGGGGAGGGGGGGTCCGGAACTCACCCCCCGCCCTCTAGAGCCCCCCCCGACTCGCCCCCCCTCCTCCCCCCGTGAGCTGCCAAACAGAAGCAAACTCGGCACGGCGCCATGGGAACCGACGCACGCGGGGAAGGGCAACTCGAGCACGAGGGGGGCGTGTGGGGTGTGAGTGGGGGTGTGAGTGGGGGTGTGAGTGGGGGTGTGAGTGGGGGTGTGAGTGGGGTGTGAGTGGGGGTGTGAGTGGGGTGTGAGTGGGGGTGTGAGTGGGGGTGTGAGTGGGGGTGTGAGTGGGGTGTGAGTGGGGGTGTGAGTGGGGGTGTGAGTGGGGGGTGTGAGTGGGGGTGTGAGTGGGGGTGTGAGTGGGGGTGTGAGTGGGGGTGTGAGTGGGGGTGTGAGTGGGGTGTGAGTGGGGGTGTGAGTGGGGGTGTGAGTGGGGGTGTGAGTGGGGGTGTGAGTGGGGGGTGTGAGTGGGGGTGTGAGTGGGGGTGTGAGTGGGGGTGTGAGTGGGGGTGAGTGGGGTGTGAGGGGTGTGAGTGGGGGTGTGAGTGAGGGTGTGAGTGGGGGTGTGAGTGGGGGTGTGAGTGGGGGTGTGAGTGGGGGTGTGAGTGGGGGTGTGAGTGGGGGTGTGAGTGGGGGTGTGAGTCGGGGTGTGAGTGGGGGTGTGTGGGGGTGTGAGTCGGGGTGTGAGTCGGGGTGTGAGTGGGGGTGTGTGGGGGTGTGAGGGGGTGTGAGTGGGGGTGTGAGTGGGGGTGTGAGTGGGGGTGTGAGTCGGGGTGTGAGTCGGGGTGTGAGTGGGGGTAAGTGGGGGTGTGAGTGGGGGTGTGAGTGGGGGTGTGTGGGGGTGTGAGTCGGGGTGTGAGTGGGGGTGTGTGAGTGGGGGTGTGAGTGGGGGTGTGAGTGGGGGTGTGAGGGGGGGTGTGGGGGTGTGAGTGGGGGTGTGAGTGGGGTGTGAGTGGGGGTGTGTGGGGGTGTGAGTCGGGGTGTGAGTAGGGGTGTGGTGGGGGTGTGAGTCGGGGTGTGAGTGGGGGTGTGAGTGGGGGTGTGGTGGGGGTGTGAGTGGGGGTGTGAGTCGGGGTGTGAGTGGGGGTGTGAGTGGGGGTGTGAGTGGGGGTGTGAGTGGGGGTGTGAGTGGGGGTGTGAGTGGGGGTGTGTGGGGGTGTGAGTGGGGGTGTGAGTGGGGGTGTGAGTGGGGTGTGAGTGGGGGTGTGAGTGGGGGTGTGAGTGGGGGTGTGAGTGGGGGTGTGAGTGGGGGTGTGAGTGGGGGTGTGAGTGGGGGTGTGAGTGGGGGTGTGAGTGGGGGTGTGAGTGGGGGTGTGAGTGGGGGTGTGAGTGGGGGGTGAGTGGGGTGTGAGTGGGGGTGAGTGGGGGTGTGAGTGGGGGTGTGAGTGGGGGTGTGAGTGGGGGTGTGAGTGGGGGTGTGAGTGGGGGTGTGAGTGGGGGTGTGAGTCGGGGGTGTGAGTCGGGGGTGTGAGTGGGGGTGTGAGTGGGGGTGTGAGTGGGGGTGTGAGTGGGGGTGTGAGTGGGGGTGTGAGTGGGGGTGTGAGTGGGGGTGTGTGGGGGTGTGTCGGGGTGTGAGTGGGGGTGTGAGTGGGGGTGTGAGTGGGGGTGTGAGTGGGGGTGTGAGTGGGGGTGTGTGGGGGTGTGAGTCGGGGTGTGAGTGGGGGTGTGAGTGGGGGTGTGAGTGGGGGTGTGAGTGGGGGTGTGAGTGGGGGTGTGTGGGGGTGTGAGTCTGGGTGTGAGTGGGGGTGTGAGTGGGGGTGTGAGTGGGGGTGTGAGTCGGGGTGTGAGTGGGGGTGTGAGTGGGGGTGTGAGTCGGGGTGTGAGTCGGGGGGTGAGTCGGGGTGTGAGTCGGGGTGTGAGTGGGGGTGTGAGTGGGGGTGTGAGTGGGGGTGTGAGTGGGGGTGTGAGTGGGGGTGTGAGTGGGGGTGTGAGTATGGCGGGGGGTGTTAAGTGCGGTGGTGTAGGGAGCGGTTGTGCAGCGGTTAGCGCGCTGCGCTCCGAACCCGGCAAGCCGAGGTCACAGCCACCATCGTTGGCCAATGTCTCAGCCAGGTCGACTTGGCCTCAGTTGATACGGCCGGGCGCGGTGCTGGCCACCCACCCACCCACCCCCTCGTGCGCCGTGCCGGCCTCCATAGCTGCTACTCGCTAACAGCACTTGCCCCAACAGTCTGCTAAGGCTGCCCGGGGGATCTGTGTCTGTGGGGAGTAGAAGGGCAGGGGGGAGACATTGCTACTGTCACCACGACTCGCTGGGTTATTCGTGAATGGCGGTCAATGTGCGCCCCCCCCCCCCAATCATTCTACCCACCCCCCCCCTGTAATTACCGCCCGTGCTGTTGCCGAGAGCAAGGTGGGTGACACGGGCCACGGAGGCGTCTTTACACTCGGCTAGAGTCGCTCTTTGGCCACTCTGAAGTTTCCAAAGAATTACTGGAAATGTTTCAAAGACAAGACGCCCGGAGTAATACTTCATGTTATAAACTGAAACGATAGACAATGTGCAGCTCTTAGTCAGTCCCCTGCTGGATGAAGATATCCACACGCGGTGTCGGTGGCCACGGCCATACACCGAGGGGTGTATACTGGATGTGATGTGCCGGGTACAGAAATATTTTCCCGGGGATGCCAACTTCGGAACTGGCCCGGCCGAAACGAATCGGTTTGCCATTGTACGCGTGGTGGCTTTCCTCCGGGGAGACAGCAGCACGGCAAGTGGGTTCGTGAATCCATCTGTGCAGAGCTTCGAGCGTGATCCCTTCCTGTACAGCGCGTCGCTGGGTTGTCGCCGGCCAAGCCTCCCACGGCAGCAGCAGCAGCAGGCTCCTCCTGGGAGCGAGACTCGAGACTCGCTGCGGCTCTCCTGCAGGGTAAATATCCATGCCGTGTCACCTTCTGTCATCCCCAGGGCAGCGACGGGGACGAGGGATTCCCTGGGGGATACGGAATGCCGGTACAGATCTCTCCAACACACGTGCACACATAAGTATACACATGATGCATACGCACAAATATCCCCCCTATAGCCTTTACCAGGCTTCTTGGGCAAGTGCTGTTAGCGAGTAGCGCCTAGTAAGCTATTAAGGCCGGAACGGCAGAAGAGGGAGTTGTGTGGCCCGAACCACGCCCGGCCGGAGGGTTCGTTGTGCGGTGCAGCAACCCCTGCGCCCAGCACTCCCCACACACACAGACAGGTGTACAACAACAAGACAGATCCCCCATACAGCCGTTTACAGACTCTGTTAGCAAGCACCGAACGATGGATGTCGCAGCACATGACGAGGGGCTGGGTAGCCAGGAGCCCGCCCGGTCGCCTCTGTCTCCGCAATGCTGATGTCCACACGCCGCACCAGGACATCGTGTTTGAGGCTCATTCGAACCCAAGCAAGGGAGAATAGAACTTTAGTCCCCCGGGTTCGTAGTGCAGTGCACTAACCACTGCGCCACCGCTCCCTACATGAGCACGCACCACGTGTGCCCTGCGCTCCTCCTTGGAACGCGCACACCAGATGGAGAGGTATTTCTCTCTCTGTAGTGGCCTTGATGATGATGATGGATGATGATGATGGTGGTGGTGGTTATTATCGTGCAATGTGCGCCAGATATTGCCTCGCGGCGGTTTGGCCTACAGACCTCCGTGTTTGATTCAGGGGCCCCTATATCGGACACCCACCCATGATGATTACCCTCCCTTGAGGACAATCGCCCCATCACCCTCGCATTGCTCGCCCCGTCACTCCATTCGCACTTAAACGAAACAAAGACAAAGATCCCACCGTGAAGCCTTCAATAGACTGTTGGGGCAAGTGCTATTAGCGAGTAGCACCTAATGAAGGCCGGCACGGCACACGAGGGAGTGTGTGGCCAGCACCACGCCCGGCCGCCTTTGTCTCCCCCAGTGTCGATGTTCATTACACTACACCGCTACGCCAGGTACTCGGTTGCCGGCCGAGATCTCAGCACTCCGTGTGGGGTCCGGACTGGGGGTTGGGAGTGACATTGAAGGTTGAGGGGTGGGGAGGGAGGGGGGATACCTGCTGGGGGAAGGGGGGGGGGCACTGTGCCCCCCCCTTTTCTCCTCTTCCTGTCCCCACTGAGCCACTGAGTACATCGTAGGTGGTGAAGATGGTGGTCGTGATGATGATAGTAGCGATGATGGGGATCCTGATGATGGCCAATTATGATGATAAGTGTGATGAGATGATAATGATGATGGTGGATTTTTTTGCAGGGCATGCTCGGACCACGTGGTCCCCGTGGTCTACCTGGGCTGTCGGGACCTGAGGTGATGCACAGACACGCACTCACCTGTACTCGCACACACCTGTACACACGCCAGTGCACACACCTGTACACGCGCATGTGACCACACACATACACACTCGCCTGTACGCATACCCCTGTTTACTCACCAATAAAGACACCGCTGCACACCTGTACTCTGAACGATGTACACTCATCTGTACGCACACTTGTACGCTCTCACCTGTACACACCTGTACACTCACCTATAGATACACATGTACACACACCTGTGCGCACCTGTACATACACCTATTCCCGCAACCTGTAGACACATCTGTTCGCACTATGGTCACCCGCTCAAGGCCAACGCCGGTGACGATTATCTTAACCAGTCCTGGGCCTCCCCTAGGTCGACTCAGCCTCAAATGAGTACCTGGTATGGTGTGTACACATCGCCACTGGGGAGACATGCAACGGAGCGTGGCGCTGGCTCACCCACCCCCTCGTGTGCCGTTCTGGCCTTCATAGCTGCTACTCGCTAAGACTATGTTGAAGACATACGGGATATCTTTAATTTATCTTTGTATCGGTGTGCACAGGTGGGTCACGTGTATGTCGGCGTGTCCTATAGGCACATGCACACGCCTGGTCACTCACTCACCTGGTCACTCACTCACCTGGTCATTCACCTGGTCACTCACTCCCTTGGTCACTCACTCACCTGGTCACTCACCTGGTCACTCACTCCCTTGGTCACTCACTCACCTGGTCACTCACTCACCTGGTCACTCACACGCCTGGTCACCGTGAACGAGTGCTAACGGCGCGACACGCGTGTCCTGCAGGGCGGATATGGAGACGAGGGGAGGTATGGAGCACGAGGCAAGCCGGTGAGAGTCCCTCTTGGAGTCAACCATTCGTTAACTGGCTCATTAAGCAACTCTAACTACCGTACTTACTGGAGTATAAGAGTAAGACGCACCCCAAAACGTGTGCCCGGTGTCAATAGAGTTCGACAGATCGAGTCACACCAGAACCCCATCGCATCATCGTCTCAGCGGCTATTATCTGAACCCATCCTGGGCCTCCCCTAGGTCGATTCAGCCTCAAATGAGTATCTGGTGCAGGTCGGCCGGGCGTGGTGCTGGCCACCCACCCCCTGGGATACCGTGCCGGCCTTCACAGGTCCCACTCGCCAACAGCACTTGCCCCAACGGCCTGTTGCGGCTATATGGGTGGAGGGGGGGGGGTCTTTGTCTGTGTCGTGTGTCACGGGGGGGAGGGGAGTGGGGACAGCTCTCGTCGAGTTGTCGCTGTCGGAGCCAAACTCTCGCGTCAAGTGGCGTGGGAGTGGGGGACTCACCCTTGTTGTCGTCGTTGTTGTTGTTGTTGTCGTTGTTGTTGTTGTTTGTTGCTGAAGGGTCAGAGGGGTCCCCCGGGGACGAAGGGGATCAAGGGTTACCCCGGCCCACGGGTGAGACACCACACCCCCCCCCCCCCTCCCGAGTGACGTCCCCCGTGGAGACGGAGCGATGAAGTCGCCTCGTGTGCTGGGTCTGGGTGGTGCGGGCTCGTGAGGGATGGCGAGAGGCGCGGGGAGGGCTTCAGCCAGCAGCGGATAGAGCAATGGCTGACGAAACCCTCTCCGCGCTCTGCTCCCTCTCCACTTTGATCTCGCTCAGGGGGATCACGGGAGCGCGGGTCCCCCGGGCTTCGCGGGGCTCCAGGTGAGTCGACGGTGTGTCTGTGTCACTGGGGAGACAAAGGCGGCCTGCGCGGTGCTGGCCACCCACCCACCCCCTCGTGTGCCGAGCTGGCCTTTCTAGGTGCTCACTCGCTAAAAGAACTTGCCCCGACAGTCTGTTGAGGCTATCCGGGGGATCTTTGTGTTGTTGTTGTTGTTGCTCACAGCAACGAGTGGGGAGCACCGCTGGTGTGCATCTGCCGGTCAACTCAGTCAGGCCACCTGCAGTCTGCCACGTGACCCGCTGTCAGCAGCGAGCCTTCGACACTTCACGTGGCCTTGGAGTGCACCTAGTCTGGCACAGCCGCCGTGGTGACGTCACCGCCACTTAGTGGTTGTTGTTGTTGTTGTTGCAGGGACCCTCAGGTCCCCCTGGCTCCAGGGGTCTCAAGGGGACCCACGGCTTGCAGGTGACCCCCACTCGACACACACAACACCTGCACACGCACACACAGACAAAGATCCCCCGTGTAGCCTCAACAGACTGTTGGGGCAAGTGCTGTTAGCGAGCACCTATGAAGGCCCGCACGGCACACGAGGGGGTGGGTAACCAGCACCACCCCAACCGCCTTTGTCTTCCCAGTGCTAAAGTTTTATACACAGCGTACTAGGTACTCATTTAAGGTCGCGTCGACCTAGAGGAAGCCCAGGACCGGTTCAGATATTCTGAATTCGAACCCGGGTCGCTGGGTTCGTAGTGAGCTAACCACTGCGCCACCGCTCCCCGAATACACGCACGCACGCTGACACACACACACGTGGGTGATGAATTGCTACACACACACATAAATATTAAATGATTGCTAGATCAGCGATCACACCTCCTGATCCGATACAAACAATAAAGCAACAGGGATTGCCTCTCCCCTTAGAGAGAGAGAGGAAGAGAGCGACAGCCAGAGAATAAAAATGCGTTGAATTATTAATCTCTGTGTAGTTACACGTGTGTTTGTGTGTGTGTCTGTGTGTGTGTGTCTGTGTGTCTGTGTGGGTGTGTCTGTGTGCCTCTCGTGTCTTGCTGTGTCTGAATGTCTCTCTGCGTGTATGTCCGCATGCCTGTGAGTTTGCATTTCTATGTGACTATCTGCATGTCTGTGTATCTGCATGTCTATGTGTCTCTGCGTGTGTCTGTCTCCATGTCTCTGTGTGTATCTCTGTGTGTCCGTGTGTCTGCCTGTATGTCTATCTGTGCGTTTGTATGTATATCTGTGTGTATGTATGTCTATCTGTGTGTCTGTATGTTTATCTGTTAATCTGTGTGTCTGTATGTCTATCTGTGTGTCTGTATGTCTATCTGTGTGTATGTATGTCTATCTGTCTGTCTGTGTGTCTATCTGTGTGTCTGTGTGTCTATCTGTGTGTCTGTGTGTCTATCTGTGTGTCTGTGTGTCTATCTGTGTTTGTGTGCAGGGAGTCCCTGGTCTGGACGGGTTGCCAGGGGACACGGGAGACCCGGTTCGTCTCGCAACCCGCCAGACCCCCACTCCTTTGACGAATCCCATCATTCACTATCGCCCATAGACTCACACGGAGCCCATAGACTCACACAGAGACCCATATACTCACACAGAGACCCATAGACTCACACGGAGCCCATAGACTCACACGGAGCCCATAGACTCACACGGAGCCCATAGACTCACACAGAGACCCATAGACTCACACGGAGCCCATAGACTCACACGGAGACCCATATACTCACACGGAGCCCATAGACTCACACGGAGCCCATAGACTCACACGGAGCCCATAGACTCACACGGAGCCCATAGACTCACACGGAGCCCATAGACTCACACGGAGCCCATAGACTCACACGGAGCCCATAGACTCACACGGAGCCCATAGACTCACACGGAGCCCATAGACTCACACGGAGCCCATAGACTCACACGGAGCCCATAGACTCACACGGAGCCCATAGACTCACACGGAGCCCATAGACTCACACGGAGCCCATAGACTCACACGGAGACCCATATACTCACACGGAGCCCATAGACTCACACGGAGCCCATAGACTCACACGGAGCCCATAGACTCACACGGAGCCCATAGACTCACACGGAGCGGAGCCCATAGACTCACACGGAGCCCATAGACTCACACGGAGCCCATAGACTCACACGGAGCCCATAGACTCACACGGAGCCCATAGACTCACACGGAGCCCATAGACTCACACGGAGCCCATAGACTCACACGGAGCCCATAGACTCACACGGAGCCCATAGACTCACACGGAGCCCATAGACTCACACGGAGCCCATAGACTCACACGGAGCCCATAGACTCACACGGAGCCCATAGACTCACACGGAGCCCATAGACTCACACGGAGCCCATAGACTCACACGGAGCCCATAGACTCACACGGAGCCCATAGACTCACACGGAGCCCATAGACTCACACGGAGCCCATAGACTCACACGGAGCCCATAGACTCACACGGAGCCCATAGACTCACACGGAGCCCATAGACTCACACGGAGCCCATAGACTCACACGGAGCCCATAGACTCACACGGAGCCCATAGACTCACACGGAGCCCATAGACTCACACGGAGCCCATAGACTCACACGGAGCCCATAGACTCACACGGAGCCCATAGACTCACACGGAGCCCATAGACTCACACGGAGCCCATAGACTCACACGGAGCCCATAGACTCACACGGAGCCCATAGACTCACACGGAGCCCATAGACTCACACGGAGCCCATAGACTCACACGGAGCCATAGACTCACACGGAGCCCATAGACTCACACGGAGCCCATAGACTCACACGGAGCCCATAGACTCACACGGAGCCCATAGACTCACACGGAGCCCATAGACTCACACGGAGCCCATAGACTCACACGGAGCCCATAGACTCACACGGAGCCCATAGACTCACACGGAGCCCATAGACTCACACGGAGCCCATAGACTCACACGGAGCCCATAGACTCACACGGAGCCCATAGACTCACACGGAGCCCATAGACTCACACAGAGACCCATAGACTCACACGGAGCCCATAGACTCACACGGAGCCCATAGACTCACACGGAGCCCATAGACTCACACGGAGCCCATAGACTCACACAGAGACCCATAGACTCACACGGAGCCCATAGACTCACACAGAAACCCATAGACTCACACGGAGACCCATATACTCACACGGATCCCATAGACTCACACGGAGACCCATATACTCACACGGAGACCCATAGACTCACACGGAGACCCATATACTCACACGGAGACCCATAGACTCACACGGAGACCCATATACTCACACGGAGACCCATAGACTCACACGGAGACCCATAGACTCACACGGAGCCCATAGACTCACACGGAGCCCATAGACTCACACGGAGACCCATATACTCACACAGAGACCCATAGACTCACACGGAGACCCATAGACTCACACGGAGACCCATAGACTCACACGGAGACCCATATACTCACACAGAGACCCATAGACTCACACGGAGACCCATATACTCACACAGAGACCCATAGACTCACACGGAGCCCATAGACTCACACGGAGACCCATATACTCACACAGAGACCCATAGACTCACACGGAGACCCATATACTCACACAGAGACCCATAGATTCACACGGAGCCCATAGACTCACACGGAGCCCATAGACTCACACAGAGCCCATAGACTCACACAGAGCCCATAGACTCACACAGAGACCCATATACTCACACGGAGCCCATAGACTCACACGGAGACCCATAGACTCACACAGAGCCCATAGACTCACACAGAGCCCATAGACTCACACGGAGCCCATAGACTCACACGGAGCCCATAGACTCACACGGAGACCCATATACTCACACGGAGACCCATATACTCACACAGAGACCCATAGACTCACACAGAGACCCATAGACTCACACGGAGACCCATATACTCACACAGAGACCCATAGACTCACACGGAGCCCATAGACTCACACAGAGACCCATAGACTCACACGGAGCCCATAGACTCACACAGAGACCCATATACTCACACGGAGCCCATAGACTCACACGGAGACCCATATACTCACACGGAGCCCATAGACTCACACGGAGACCCATATACTCACACAGAGACCCATAGACTCACACGGAGCCCATAGACTCACACGGAGACCCATAGACTCACACAGAGACCCATATACTCACACAGAGACCCATAGACTCACACAGAGACCCATAGACTCACACGGAGCCCATAGACTCACACAGAGACCCATAGACTCACACGGAGACCCATAGACTCACACAGAGACCCATAGACTCACACAGAGACCCATAGACTCACACGGAGCCCATAGACTCACACAGAGACCCATAGACTCACACGGAGACCCATAGACTCACACAGAGACCCATAGGTTCACAGGAGGACCCATAGACTCACACAGAGACCCATAGACTCACACAGAGACCCATAGACTCACACGGAGACCCATAGACTCACACGGTGACCCATAGACTTACACGGAGACCCATAGACTCACAAAAGACCCATAGACTCACACAGAGACCCAAAGACTCACACAAAGACCCATATACTCACACAGAGACCAATAGATGTACACGGAGACCCATAGACTCACATGGAGACCCATAGACTCCCACAAAGACCCATAGACTCACACAGAGACCCATGGACTCGCACGTAGACCCATGGACTCACACAGAGACACATAGACTCACACAGAAACCCATCGACTCACACGTAGATCCACAGACTCACACAAATACCCATAGACTCACACGTAGACCCACAAACTCACACAAAGACCCATACCAAATATTCTGGTGTTTGGTGAATTTGAGATTTTAGTTCGGGGGATGGAGGCCAGAGGGTGTGGGTGGGGTCACTAAGGGTGAGGCCACCATCACAGGGGTCCTTGATACCCGTGTATCCCCTCTGTACTCCCCATGCAGGGCCCTGGAGGAACAAAAGGGGTCCATGGGGAGTGGGGTCCAACAGGGGACAAGGTTAGTGTTGCTTTGTCGTGCTGATGATGGTGGTGGTGAGGGTGATGGTGGTAGTGATAATCATGGTTGTGGTGGTGATGGGCATGATGGTGGTTATAATTGTGTTGGTGATGGTGGTGATAATTGTGGTGATGGTCATGATGGTGGTGATAATTGTGGTGATGGTGGTGGTGATGGTGGTGAGTCGTGCTCTTTGTCTTCTAGGGTGACCCTGGGAACTTGGGCCCCCTGGGACCTAAAGGAGACCAGGTGGGTTGATTCACATCTTCCCACCTCGCGCGTCTCACTCACCTGTACCACTTACCTGTATCCCTCATTCACCTGTCACACTCACCTGTGGAACTTACCTGTCTAACTTATCACGGCTGAACTTCACATCAGCGTCTCGCTCGAATGCCGGTGATCAATCCCGGGACTCTTCCCGAGGCGCCACCAGTGCGGAGGTGGGGGTGGGGGGTTGAGGGGGGTGGGGGGGGAGGAGGGGGGAGGAGGGGGGTGAGAGGGGGGTGAGAGGGGGGAGGAGCTTTATCTGTCAGAATTTGATGGACACATCCGGACGTTGTTAAGAGAAATGCGATGATAATACTAATACTAATATCTGCGTAAACGTGACCATCTCGTCGGGTGGTGGAGGGTTCCATGACAAGGGTGTCACCACGCAATCCCTGCGCACACGGACTCGGTGCGTCGGCTTCTACCGCGGGCGCGTTCAGGTGAACATGCTCCTCGCGACGCTTCGAGGCAATCCGGGTCAAGTCACACCACGTGGGAACTTGAGAGTGGAGGTTGGCGTGACCAGTGGTTAACGACGATGTGGTGATTGTGGCTTTTCTTTGACATTGAATACTGGCGTCCATCGACATCATCACCATCATCACCACTATCACCATGATTGTCATAACTACCATCACCATGATTATCATCATCACCACCATCACCATGATTATCATCATAACTACCATCACCATGATTGTCATCATCACCACCATCACCATGATTATCATCATAACTACCATCACCATGATTGTCATCATCACCACCATCACCATGATTATCATCATCACCACCATCACCATGATTATCATCATCACCACCATCACCATGATTATCATCACCACCACCATCACCATGATTATCATCATCACCACCATCACCATGATTATCATCATCACCACCATCACCATGATTATCATCATCACCACCACCATCACCATGATTGTCATCACCACCATCACCATGATTATCATCATCACCACCACCATCACCATGATTATCATCATCACCACCATCACCATGATTATCATCACCACCACCATCACCATGATTATCATCATTGCCATCATCACCATGATTATCATCATCACCATCATCACCATGATTGTCATCACCACCACCATCACCATGATCATCACCATCATCATTGCCACCCCCCCCCCTTCCCACAGGGAGTGACTGAAAGAGGCCAGAAGGGGGACACGGGACCCCCGGGGTCAAAGGTGAGCCCCCCCCCCAGTCCCACCTTGCCCCCTGAACCACCCTCACAAGGTCTCTACCATCACCACCATCATCTCCATCACCGCGTGGATCCCCATTCATAACGCGAGCCGCCTTTGTCTCCCCCAGGGCGACCCTGGGGCCCCAGGCCCTGGGGGCCATCGAGGCCCCCGAGGGGCGGATGGCGACGTGGGGGCCAAGGGGGAGGAGGGGCCCGAGGGGGAGCCGGGACCCCCCGTGAGTTGGGGTCTGGGGGACAGGGGTGGGGGCGGGGGGTGGTAGTTGGGTGGGAGGGGGAGCAGGGGGGGGGGTGTGTGGTTGACTCAGTGTGGGGAGCGGTGGTGCAGCGGTTAGCGCGCCGCACTACGAAACCGGTGACGCGACTTCGATTCCCGCTCAACGCCAGTGACCGGTACCTGTGTGTAAACATTGCCACGAGGGAGACCAAAGGCGGCCAGGAGTGGTTCTCGCCACCAAAGCCCCTCGTGCCGGCCTTCATAGGTGCTCGCTAACAGCACTTGCCCCAGCAGCCCGTCCTGGCTATACGGAGGCTCTTTGTCTCTGTGCGACTAGCGGCGGGCCCCGGTGCGGTGCCGCCCTCTGGCGGCGCTGCTGGGAACTCCCACGCGGGTTCCCCCCCCGCCCCTCCGCCCCCTCGACGTTGAACTTCATTCGCACCGTACGTAGGTGCGGGGCAAGGACGACCGAACACAAAAGCGCCCCCCCCCCCCCCCCCCACTTTACTCTCCTAAATCTTCATGCTTTCATGGCCCCCCACACTACAACCGAGGTAACCCCCCAATCCTCACTCTTCACCCGGCCCCCCTTTCCAAATCACCGCCCCCCCCCACCACCACCACCGACCCCTTCCTCTATTGGCTGCCACACCAAAGTTCCCACGGCCCCCCCACACCTGCACACATCCCCCACGCAATGAAGCCCCCCCCCCCTCCATTTACATAATTGTTTTTTATTGCGTGTAATTGAAGGCCTCGATTTGCATAAAAGGGCTCGAAGTTGGTGCACGCGAAAGCCCCAATGGGTGTGAGGGGCCCGGCTCCGTGACTCCTCCGGAGATGCATCACGCGCCGCTCCCGATCACGGCGATCAGGAGGGGGGGGGGGGTGGATCACGCAGCAGGAGGAGGCAAGGGGGGGGGTGGATCACGCAGCAGGAGAAGGAGGCGAGGGGGGGGGTGGACCACGCAGCAGGAGGAGGAGGAGGCGAGGGGGGGTGGATCACGCAGCAGGAGGAGGAGGAGGCGAGGGGGGGGTATACCACGCAGCAGCAGGAGGAGGCGAGGGGGGGGTGGATCACGCAGCAGCAGGAGGAGGCGAGGGGGGGGGGTGGATCACGCAGCAGGAGGAGGAGGCGAGGGGGGGGGGGTGGATCACGCAGCAGGAGGAGGCGAGGGGGGGGTGGATCACGCAGCAGGAGGAGGAGGAGGCGAGGGGGGGGGGGTGGACCACGCAGCAGCAGGAGGAGGCGAGGGGGGGGGGTGGATCACGCAGCAGGAGGAGGAGGCGAGGGGGGGTGGATCACGCAGCAGGAGGAGGAGGAGGCGAGGGGGGGGGTGGATCACGCAGCAGCAGGAGGAGGCGAGGGGGGAGTGGTGGATCACGCAGCAGGAGGAGGAGGCGAGGGGGGAGTGGTGGATCACGCAGCAGGAGGAGGAGGCGAGGGGGGAGTGGTGGATCACGCAGCAGCAGGAGGAGGCGAGGGGGGGGGTGGATCACGCAGCAGCAGGAGGAGGCGAGGGGGGAGTGGTGGATCACGCAGCAGCAGGAGGAGGCGAGGGGGGGGGGGTGGATCATGCAGCAGCAGGAGGAGGAGGCAAGGGGGGGGGTGGATCATGCAGCAGCAGCAGGAGGAGGCAAGGGGGGGGGGGGTGGATCATGCAGCAGCAGCAGGAGGAGGCGAGGGGGGCGGTGGATCATGCAGCAGCAGCAGGAGGAGGAGGAGGCGAGGGGGGGTGGTGGATCACGCAGCAGCAGGAGGAGGCGAGGGGGGGTGGATCACGCAGCAGGAGGAGGAGGCGAGGGGAGGGGTGGATCACGCAGCAGGAGGAGGAGGAGGCGAGGGGGGGGGTGGATCACGCAGGTGGAGGAGGAGGCGAGGGGGGGGTGGATCACGCAGCAGGAGGAGGAGGCGAGGGGAGGGGTGGATCACGCAGCAGGAGGAGGAGGCGAGGGGGGGGGGGGTGGATCACGCAGGTGGAGGAGGAGGCGAGGGGGGGTGGATCACGCAGCAGGAGGAGGAGGCGCGGGGGGGTGGATCACGCAGCAGGAGGAGGAGGCGAGGGGGGGGGGGTGGATCACGCAGCAGGAGGAGGAGGAGGCGAGGGGGGGTGGATCACGCAGCAGGAGGAGGAGGCGAGGGGGGGGGGTGGATGACGCAGGTGGAGGAGGAGGCGAGGGGGGGTGGATCACGCAGCAGGAGGAGGAGGAGGCGAGGGGGGGGGGGGTGGATCACGCAGCAGGAGGAGGAGGCGAGGGGGGGTGGATCACGCAGCAGGAGGAGGAGGCGAGGGGGTGGGGTGGATCACGCAGCAGGAGGAGGAGGCGAGGGGGGGGGGGTGGATCACGCAGCAGGAGGAGGAGGCGAGGGGGGAGTGGTGGATCACGCAGCAGGAGGAGGAGGCGAGGGGGGGGGTGGATCACGCAGGTGGAGGAGGAGGCGAGGGGGGGGGGGTGGATCACGCAGCAGGAGGAGGAGGCGAGGGGGGGGGGGGGATCACGCAGCAGGAGGAGGAGGCGAGGGGGGAGTGGTGGATCACGCAGCAGCAGGAGGAGGCGAGGGGGGGGTGGATCACGCAGGTGGAGGAGGCGAGGGGGGGGGGTGGATCACGCAGCAGCAGGAGGAGGCGAGGGGGGAGTGGTGGATCACGCAGCAGGAGGAGGAGGCGAGGGGGGGGGTGGATCACGCAGGTGGAGGAGGAGGCGAGGGGGGGTGGATCACGCAGCAGGAGGAGGAGGCGAGGGGGAGGGGTGGATCACGCAGCAGGAGGAGGCGAGGGGGGGGGGGGGTGGATCACGCAGCAGGTGTTGTGCTGCCGTCGGGGCTCTGCCGGCTTCCTCCGGCCACGCGGAGAACCGAGACGCCGCTCCACCCCCAGTGAGACGTCGCTCCACCCCCAGTGAGACGCCGCTCCACCCCCAGTGAGACGCCGCTCCACCCCCAGTGAGACGCCGCTCCACCCCCAGTGAGACGCCGCTCCACCCCCAGTGAGACGCCGCTCCACCCCCAGTGAGACGCCGCTCCACCCCCAGTGAGACGCCGCTCCACCCCCAGTGAGACGCCGCTCCACCCCCAGTGAGACGCCGCTCCACCTCCAGTGGGATGCGTGGCCCAAACACCCCCGAGGCGGCAGGGCCCTGAGACTCCCTGAGGCGGTGTGGGGGGAGGGGCTGGGTGGGTGGCGAGGGGGGTGGATGAGGGGAGGGGTTTGGTGGGGCGTGAAAGGGGGGCGGGTGAGGGGCTGTGTAGGGTGTGAGGGGGGGTGGGTGAGGGGGGGGGGGCTGAGTGCGGGGTGAGGGGAGAGGCTGTGTGGGGTGTGAGGGGGGTGGGTGCGGGGTGAGGGTAGGGGCTGAGTGAGGGGGGTGGGGCTGGCTGTGAGGGTGGGGGGGGTCTCTTAATCTGCGTTTTGTCTTCAGGGACAGGAGGGGGCTCTGGGGGTCCCCGCTGGGACCAACGGCACCGAGGGGGCCCAGGTGAGTTCGCTGCGTGTGGCGGTGTCTGTCGCTGTCACCACTTCCCCTCACGGTCTGCGGAGGCGACGTGGGGCACCTGTGGACGTGTCGTTGTTTTTGTGCGTGTCACTGTGCCTGTGTCGTGGGGAGCGGCCGTGTCGTGGTTAGCGCTACGCCTCGCTACGAACCCGGCGACCCGGGTTCCATTTCTGCTCACGGCCACCAACACCAGTGACGATTATCTGAACCGGTCCTGGGCCTCGCCTAGGTCGACTCAGCCTCAAATTAATACCTGGTGCGTCGTGTCGACTTCGCTACTGGAGAGTCAAAGGCGGTTGGCCTTCATGGGTGCTTCTCGCGAACAGCACTTGCCCCAGCAGTCTAGTAAAGGCTACGCGGGCGATCTTTGTCTTTGTGTGTCTTGTGCAGGGAGCGATGGGAGCGGAGGGGGCGGCTGGCGTGAAGGGCAACCCAGGGAAGAGAGTGAGGCCCCGATGAGCACCGCTCCCGCCCACGGCAACACCTCCAGATCATTCACAGCTGCAGCTGCACTTGCCCCGGCGGTGTGTTAAAGCCATACGGGGATCTTTGTCTTTGTGTGTGTGCAGGGTCGCACGGGGCAGAGGGGACTGGGGGGTTCACCTGGACTGCAGGTACAGTGACGTCACGTGGCAGGCCACTACTCACCCTGTGCCCTGCTGCATCCAGGGGTTGGTGGACCGTGCAGTGACCACCGTGCATTGCTCGACTTGAAGGTGGCAGTACAGAAAATAGGTTGCTGCCCGCTCAGTGTGGTGGAGCTGTACCGAGTGCGGCAATGTATCAGCATCCCCCAACAGAGCCAGTGATGTAAATTCCATATTACTATGACAGGGACGTGGCTCCCCATAGGATGAGCACAGTTGAGCTCACATGCACACTGGTACCAATGTTATCAATCCCGGAGTGATGATGGGCTGAGATGACCCACCCCGCTCCAGGATGTAATCTTGTGAATTTGATGGAAATGTTCCTTGACATTCTGCCCCAGTTGTATTCCTGTTTGGCCCCCCACTCACCCTAGGGAGAGAAGGGAGCGCAGGGCCCCCCAGGATTGGATGGAATTCCGGGTACACAGGTTCCCGCAGCACAACATGACCCCTACACATGACCCCTGCACATGACCCCTACTCATGACCCCTACATCACAACATGACCCCTACATTACAACATGACCCCTACATCACAACATGACCCCTGCATCACAACATGACCCCTGCATCACAACATGACCCCTGCATCACAACATGACCCCTACACATGACCCCTACTCATGACCCCTACATCACAACATGACCCCTACATCACAACATGACCCCTACACATGACCCCTACATCACAACATGACCCCTACACATGACCCCTGCATCACAACATGACCCCTACACGTGACCCCTGCAGCACAACATGACCCCTGTGTGTGTCTGTGTGTATGTGTCTGTGCGTATGTGTCTGTGTGTGTCTGTGTGTGTCTGTGTGTGTGTGTCTGTGTGTGTGTCTGTGTGTGTCTGTGTGTGTGGTCTGTGTGTGTCTGTGTGTGTGCCTGTGTGTGTGTCTGTGTGTGTGTCTGTGTGTGTCTGTGGTGTGTCTGTGTGTGTGTGTCTGTGTGTGTGCCTGTGTGTGTCTGTGTCTTTGCAGGGCGTTCCTGGAAGGGCAGGAATCACAGCACGGAGAGGGCGCAGGGTAAGTAAACGGTGGTGGGTGAGTGGTGGTGGTTGAGGGGTGGTGAGTGAGGGGTGGTGGGTGAGGGGTAGTGGGTGAGGGTGTGGGTGAGGGGTGGTGGGTGAGAGGTGGTGGGTGAGGGGGTGGTGGGTGAGGGGTGGTGGGTGGGTGAGGGTGGTGGGTGAGGTGGTGGTGGGTGAGGGGTGGGGGTGAGGGGTGGTGGGTGAGGGGTGTTGGGTGAGGGGTGGTGGGTGAGGGGTAGTGGGTGAGGGTGGTGGGTGAGGGTGGTGGGTGAGAGGTGGTGGGTGAGGGGTGGTGGGTGAGGGGTAGTGGGTGAGGGTGGTGGGTGAGAGGTGGTGGGTGAGGGGTGGTGGGTGAGGGGTAGTGGGTGAGGGTGGTGGGTGAGGGGTGGTGGGTGAGGGGTGGTGGGTGAGAGGTGGTGGGTGAGGGGTGGTGGGTGAGGGTGGTGGGTGAGGGTGGTGGGTGAGGGGTGGTGGGTGACTGGTAGTGGGTGAGGGTAGTGGGTGAGGGTGGTGAGTGAGGGTAGTGGGTGAGGGTGGTGAGTGAGGGTTGTGGGTGAGAGGTGGTGGGTGAGGGGTGGTGGGTGAGGGGTGGTGAGTGAGTGAGGGGTGGTGAGTGAGGGGTGGTGAGTGAAGGGTGGTGAGTGAGGGGTGGTGAGTAAGGGTGGTGAGTGAGTGGTGAGTGAGGGGTGGTGAGTGAGGGGTGGTGAGTGAAGGGTGGTGAGTGAAGGGTGGTGAGTGAGGGGTGGTGAGTAAGGGTGGTGAGTGAGGGTGGTGAGTGAGGGGTGGTGAGTGAGGGGTGGTGAGTAAGGGTTGTGGGTGAGGGTGGTGAGTGAGGGTGGTGAGTGAGGGGTGATGAGTGAGGGGTGATGAGTGGTGAGTGAGGGGTTGTGGGTGAGGGTGGTGAGTGAAGGGTGGTGAGTGGGTGAGGGGTGGTGAGTGAGGGTGGTGAGTGAGGGGTGGTGAGTGAGTGAGGGGTGGTGAGTGGTGAGTGAGGGGTGGTGAGTGAGGGGTGGTGAGTGAGTGTGGTGAGTGAGGGGTGGTGAGTGAGTGAGGGGTGGTGAGTGGTGAGTGAGGGGTGGTGAGTGAGGGGTGGTGAGTGAGGGTGGTGAGTGAGAGTGGTGGGTGAGGGGTGGTGAGTGAAGGGTGGTGAGTGAGGGGTGGTGAGTAAGGGTGGTGAGTGAGGGGTGGTGAGTGAGGGGTGGTGAGTGGTGAGTGAGGGGTGGTGAGTGAGGGGTGGTGAGTGACATCTGTGAGCGTGGTGAGCGCCCTACGCTACCACACTCCCCCTCGAGTTTGATTCCCGCTCACGACCAACATCAGTAGCAAGTGGAGTTCAAACTTGTTCTGGGCATCCCCTAGAACGACTCAGCCTTAAATGAGTACCTGTTGTTGCGTGTGTAAGCATCAGCATTGGGAAGACAAAGGCGGCCGGACGTAGTTCCTAGCCACACCACTCCCACAATGAATGTTATTTGTATGTAGCGCGTTAGTTGACAGCACCCCAGCAGTCGATGAAGACGATATGGAGGATCTTTGTCTGTATTTGTCAGGGTCTACGGGGGGAGCCTGGCCCCCCGGGATTGAACGGAACTCTGGGCCCCCCGGTGAGACGTTCCTGCAAATCACAGCGAGTCTAGAGACAAACACACACACACACATACACACACTCACATACACACACTCACACACACTCACATACACACACTCACATACACTCACACATACACTCACATACACTCACATACACACACTCACACATACAACAACAACAACAACCGCCATTCGCCACTAAGTGGCGGTGACGTCACCACGATGCTTGTGCCAGGCCAAGTGCACCTTGAGGCCACGTGAAGTGTCGAAAACCCGCTGGCAGGAGGTCACGGGGCAGACCCAGGTGCCACGGGTCGACTGACCGAGATGACCAAGATGACTGGCTGTGCCTCCTAATGTGCCAACTTGCTGTGCTTTAGCCACCCGGCGCTCCGCTCGTTGTTGTGAGCGTCGCTCCTCCGCCCTCCGTTATTGTTGGAGGGCGACTGCCTCCAACTGCCCAGTAGCGTCCTTCACGAGCCTCCTCCACAGAAGCCGATCTTGACACCGCTGGTACCAGTCATCGGCAAGTCCACTCGGATCTACGTCCTCCTGTACCACATTACTCCATTTCTTGTCTAGCCCGTGCCGCGCCCATTTAGCCCCCTCGATCCGGCCGAACAAAAGTCGTTTAGTGGTGGCTCACACCTGTACACACACACACACTCGACACTCCAGACACTGGCAGATCGACTTCCCGTTGGGGGGCGGTTTTGAAATGTCAGTCTTTTAAATTGCGCCCCCCCCCCCCCCCCCCGTATTAGGAGAACAATAACAGGACATGTAGTTTGCTAAATATCAATAAAATACCAATTGTAAGTCACCCCATAGGCACCCCTCCCCCCTTGAAACCGCCACTGCACAAAATATATCTGCACAGTCCATGCAAAGGCAAAGATCCACCATATAGCCTTATCAGACTGCTGGGGCAAGTGCTGTGAGCGAGGACCAACAGGCACACACACACACAACAACAACAAGTACCGTTCGCCATGAAGTGGCGGTGAGGTCACCGCGGCGCTTATGCCAGGCTAGGTGCACGCACACACGTCACGGTGTGCCGAGTCACAGCCCCTCCCCCCAACTCCCTCCCCCCAACTCCCTCCCCCCAACTCCCTCCCCCCAACTCCCTCCCCCCAACTCCCTCCCCCCAACTCCCTCCCCCTCCAAGACTCCAATGAGGGGCGCGCTACAGAGCCGGCCACCTGAGTTTGATTTCCAGCCACGGCTAACATCAGTGGCGATTGATATCTGAACTGCTGAACCGGTCCTGTGCCTCCACTTGGTCGGCTCAGCCTTAAATGAGGACCTGCTGCAGTGACTTTAAATACAATTAGCCACAGGCGTTCGCCAGCAGCACTTGCCCCAGCGGCCTGTGTAGGCTACACGAGGGAGCTTTGTCTCTATCTCTATGTATGTGTGTGTCTGTTCAGGGATTGCCTTCAAGCCCTGGCAAGAGAGGGGACCCGGGGCCCCGTGCTGAGAGGGTGGGAGCCGTCACCCACACCACACCACGTTTGTGTCAATGTCTTTGTGTATGTGCGTGTCTGCGTATATACGCGTGTGTGTGTGTCGTTGTACGTGTGGGGAGCGGTGGTATAGTGGTTAGCGCGCTGCGCTACGAACCTGGCGACCAGAGTGCGATTCCCTGGGCCTCTCCTAGGTCGACTCCGCCTCAAATGAGTACCTAGTGCGATGTGTCAACACCGCTACTGGGGAGACAAAGGCGGTCGAGTGTGGTGCTGGCCACCCACCCCTTCGTGTGCCGTGCCGGCCTTCATAGGTGCACACTAACAGCACTTGCCCCAACAGTCTGTTAAGGCTACACGGGGGATCTTTGTTTGCGTGTGAGACAGGGACTACCTGGAGCCCCAGGTCGTCAGGGACCGCAGGGATCTGTGGGGATGGAGGTGAGTATCGAACGCACGTACACACAGCAACTTACATACATACACCAACACACGCACACACAGCAACTCACATACATACACCAACACACGCACACACAGCAACTTACATACACCAACACACGCACACACAGCAACTTACATACACCAACACACGCACACACAGCAACTTATATACATACACCAACACACGTACACACAGCAACTTACATACATACACCAACACACGTACACACAGCAACTTACATACATACACCAACACACGCACACACAGAAACTCACATACACCAACACACGTACACACAGCAACTTACATACATACACCAACACACGCACACACAGCAACACACGCACCAGACACACACAAGGTGTGCGGTGTGGACGGGCCGTGCGGTGTGTGCGGGTTGTGTGCTCGTGTTCCGAAAGGGATTCCCGGGTGAGCTGGGTGAGCCGGGTCTACCGGGAGCCGTGGGTGTGCAGGTATCTCTCACCAGCACCACTCACCCCACCACTCACCCAGCACTCACCAGCACCACTCACCCCACCACTCATCCCACCACTCACCCACCACTCACTCCACCACTCAGCCCACCACTGACCCACCACTCACCACTCAAACACGCTCCCACCACCGCTGAGAACTCGTGGTCTAACCACCTGCGCTGGACCCAGGTTTCTCAAGGTCAGAAGGAGTTGATGGTCTTAGCCCGGTCACCAAGGACCAGACGCAATCGCTGCCATCAAATCTGGCAAATTCGAAACATGACTCCACAATGTTCTCACTTGGGCTGGCACAGTGGCAATGGCGGCCCACTACCGGCAGACTCGCGCTCGCTCGCCGCAGGAGCAGTCGGCTCCGTGTCTCTGACCCCTGAGTCGCTCGGTGACCTCCTGCAATGGGCTTTAAGCTCAAGTCACACCCAACACAAGTGGACTTCCGTCGGCAACATCACGATTCGCAATGGCTGTGTCAGGTGGTGGAGGGTTTCACAAAACTATCTATCCCGGTCACAATGTGGCCTAAACCGAATAATCAATTATGGATCGTATCAGACAGCCCTGGGACACATCTTACTGGGACGTAGGTGTTCCTGGCTTGTGCGTCAGGGCTGTCCCACGCGAGTGCGTCTGGCTCGCAGTCGGACGAGCGAGTGGTTTTGTCTGCGCCAGGGAGCGCGAGGAGACGGCGGAGACCCCGGGGAGATCGGAGACCCTGGGGCCAAGGTGAGAGAGAGAGGAGAGTCCTCGTTTCATTTCGGAACAAACACAAAGGTCCCCCGTGTAGTCGCGCGGGCTGCACGGGGCGTGTGTTGTGTGGCTAGCACCGCGTATGACCACCTTTGTCTCCCCAGTGGTCATGTTCGCACACTGCAACAGATACTAACTTTAGGCTGGGTCGACCTAAGGGAGGCCCAAAAACGGTATCGCTCGCCACGCATGTTAGCCATGGTTGTGGTTGTGTATGGGAGATGGTTGCGTGTGGACTGACTACTAACTTTGTGTGTGTGTGTGATGTGGTGGCGTGTGTGTGTGTGATGTGATTTGTGTGATGTGGTGGTGTCTGTGATGTGGTGGTGTGTGTGTGATGTGGTGGTGTGTGTGTGATGTGGTGGTGTGTGATGTGGTGGTGTGTGATGTGGTGTGTGCGTGTGTGTGTGATGTGGTGTGTGCGTGTGTGATGTGGTGTGTGTGATGTGGTGGTGTGTGTATGATGTGGTGTGTGTGATGTGGTGGTGTGTGATGTGGTGGTATGTGTGTGATGTGGTGGTGTGTGTGTGATGTGGTGGTGTGTGTGATGTGGTGGTGTGTGTGTGATGTGGTGTGTGTGTGATGTGGTGGTGTGTGATGTGATGACGTTCTGTGGCAGGGTGAGCCTGGGCTCCCAGGGGAGGCAGGAGCTGATCGCCTCCAGGTGAGCGACACCTCACCTGTAGTCTCACCTGTAGACTCACCTGTAGACTCACCTGTAGACTCACCTGTAGTCTCACCTGTAGACTCACCTGTAGACTCACCTGCAGCGTCACCTGCAGCATCACCTAAACAACTTTCACCTGTCCAAGACTCACCCGACTCACCTGACTCGCCTGCCTCATCTATTTCACGGGCGTCACCTCCACCATCACCGCCCCCACCTCTCTAGCCAGTTTCACCTGCCCACATGTCCCAGCCAGTGTATTTCACTCTGTGTGTGTCCGTGCCGGTCTTGATATGTGTTTGCTAACAGCACTTGTCCCGACATCATATGAAGGTTATACGGGGGGACTTTGCTTTTGTCTTTGTTTCTCTAGGGTTTTCAAGGAGAACCTGGACTCCAAGGCCTTCCCGGATCCGCTGTAATTACAACACCCACTGACCAGCATCATCATCGTTGTGGTTCATGATGACGGTGATAATGATGATGATGAACACATGTTGATGATAATTAGTAGCGTAAGTTTGTCGTGATGATGATTGTGGGAGTGATGATGCTGGTGGTGGTAGTGATGTTGATGATGTTTGTGGTAGTGGGAGTGGTGGTGATGATGGTAGTGATGTTGATGATGAGTGTGGTAGTGGTGATGATGATGATAGTGATGTTGATGATGTTTGTGGTAGTGGGAGTGGTGGTGATGATGATGGTAGTGATGTTGATGATGAGTGTGGTTGTGGTGATGATGATGATGATGATAGTGATGTTGATGGTGAGTGTGGTAGTGGGAGTGGTGGTGGTGATGATGATGGTAGTGATGTTAATGATGATTTTGGTAGTGGGAGTGGTGGTGGTGATGATGATGGTAGTGATGTTGATGATGATTGTGGTAGTGGGAGTGGTGGTGGTGATGATGATGGTAGTGATGTTGATGATGAGTGTGGTAGTGGTGGTGGTGATGATGATGGTAGTGATGTTGATGATTGTGGTAGTGGGAGTGGTGGTGATGATGATGGTAGTGATGTTGATGATGTTTGTGGTAGTAGGAGTGGTGGTGATGATGATGGTAGTGATGTTGATGATGATTGGTAGTGGGAGTGGTGGTGATGATGATGGTAGTGATGTTGATGTTGAATGTGGTAGTGGTGGTGATGATGATGGTAGTGATGTTGATGATGAGTGTGAGTGGTGATGATGATGATGATGGTAGTGATGTTGATGATGAATGTGGTAGTGGTGGTGATGATGATGGTAGTGATGTCGATGATGAGTGTGGTAGTGGTGATGATGATGATGGTAGTGATGTTGATGTTGAATGTGGTAGTGGTGGTGATGATGATGGTAGTGATGTTGATGATGAATGTGGTAGTGGTGGTGATGATGATGGTAGTGATGTTGATGATGAGTGTGGTAGTGGTGATGATGATGATGATGGTAGTGATGTTGATGATGAATGTGGTAGTGGTGGTGATGATGATGGTAGTGATGTTGATGATGAGTGTGGTAGTGGTGATGATGATGATGGTAGTGATGTTGATGATGAATGTGGTAGTGGTGGTGATGATGATGGTAGTGATGTTGATGATGAGTGTGGTAGTGGTGATGATGATGATGGTAGTGATGTTGATGATGAGTGTGGTAGTGGTGGTGATGATGATGGTAGTGATGTTGATGATGAGTGTGGTAGTGGTGGTGATGATGATGGTAGTATTGTATTGGAAGTGCTGCTGGTGCTGGCCATGACGACGTGATGATGACGATGATGACGAAGATGATGACGATGTTTCTTCAGGGGGATCCTGGGAGAGCAGGGACAGCGGGGTCCACGGGGGTTCAAGGGGGAAAAGGGGACCTGGGCCCCCCTGGAGAACCAGGCCCACCTGGGCCCCCCGGCTACCCTGTGAGTGGACTTAGTGTGTGTGTGTGTACGTGTGTATGTGTGTGTACGTGTATACGTGTGTGAGTGTGTGTGTGTATATGTGTGTGTGTACGTGTGTGAGTGTGTGTATGTGTGTGTGGGGAGCGGTGGTGTAGCGGTTAGCGCGCTGCGCTATGAACCTGGCGACCCGGGTTCGATTCCCGCTCACGGCTAACACCAGTGACGATTATCTGAACCGGTCTCGGGCCTCCCCTAGGTCGACTCAGCCTTAAATGAGTACCTGGTGCGGTGTGTAAAACATCGCCACTAGGGAGACAAAGGCGGTCGGGCGTGGTGCTGGCCACCCACCCCCTCGTGTACCGTTCCGGCCTTCATAGGTGCTCGCTAACAGCACTTGCCCCAACAGTCTGTTCCAGGCTATATCGGGATCTTTGTCTTTGTTTGTATGTGTGTGTATGGTGAGCGGTAGTGTAGCGGTTAGCGCGCTGTGTTATGAACCCGGGAACTCGGGTTCGATTCCCGCTCACGACCAACACCAGTGATGATTATTTGAACCGGTCCTGGGCCTCCCCAAGGTCGACTCAGCCTCAAATGAGTACAGTATCTTGTGCGTTATACCCTCGTGTGCCGTTCCGGCCTTCATAGGTGCTCGCTAACAGCACTTGCCCCAACAGTCTGTTGAGGCTACACGGGGGATCTTTGTCTGTGTGTGTGCGTGTGTCCCCAGGGCGGAGATGGGGAGCGAGGTCTCGCAGGGCCCCCCGGCCCCCCAGCGAGGAAGGTAAAGGTCACCGCCCCCTCAAAGGTCACACACAAAGGCCGCGGAGCGCCGTGCGGACGGAGCTGTGGTCAAACCGCGCGCCGTGCGCAGCATCGGCGTCACGGCGATACAATAGGCGCGTCGCTGTGAGTGTGGCGTGTATGTGTATGTGGCGTGTATGTGTGTGTGGCGTGCAAACGCGAGTGTGTGTGGCGTGCGAGCGTGTGTGTGTGATGTACGTGTGTGTATGTATGTGGAGCGTGCGAGGGTGTGTGGCGTGCAAGCGTGTGTGGCGTGCAAGCGTGTGTGTGTGTGTGATGTGCGTATGTGTATGTATGTGGAGCGTGCGAGCGTGTGTGTGTGTGGCGTGCGAGCGTGTGTAATGTGCGAGCGTGTGTGTGTGCGTGGCGTGCGAGTGTGTGTGGCGTGCGAGCGTGTGTGTGTATGTGATGTACGTGTGTGTATGTATATGGAGCGTGTATGTGTGTGTTGTGCGAGCGTGTGTGTAATGTGCGAGCGTGTGTGTGTGTGATGTACGTGTGTGTATGTGTGGCATGCGGGTGTGTGTCTGTTGAGGTATTTCTGTCGTGTAGGGGAGAGGCAGTGCAGTAGTTGGCACACGGCGACATGAACCCGGCGACCCGAGTTCGATTTCAACGTCTGTAACGAATATCTAAACCAGTCCTGGCCCTCCCCTCAATTAAACATCGCCACTGGGGAGACCAAGGCAGCCAGGCGGGGTGTTGGCCACACCATCCCCTCGTGTGCCGTTTCGCCCTACAAGGTGCTCGCTAACGACGCTTGCCCGGGCAGTCTGTCAAGGCTACACGGGGGAGCTTTGTCTTTGGGGATTGTGGTGATGGGGGTTGTGTTTCAGGGTGACGCTGGAGCTCAGGGGGACCCGGGACACTGGGGCCTGGAGGGAGAGCAGGTGAGACGCGGCCTGGAGACACAGGCCGCCACGAGCACTGGCCCTCACCTTGTCTGTCATCGTCGGCGTCATTAACCCCATCCTCGACACCTGAACCAAAACCACTAACCCCTTACCACATTCCTGATCCTCCTGTGATCATCAGTGAACCCTGACCCTCACTCTGGCTCCTCGACCATAGTCGCGACAGGTTGCCACCTCTTCTGCCGCAGACCAAATCCGGGCTCATCTCTCAGTGGGCACTGGGGGCGCTTTATCCATAGACACGGTGCCGCTCGCTCTGATGGTCATCGCAGCGACACCGGCACCAGATCTCGGTAGGAATCAGAATATGTATTTATATTGGAGGATTCCGATGAACTATGCAGCTCTCCTACACAGATGTCCAGCTCCAATGCCCGTAACCTTAACCCTGACCTTAAAACAAGCCCTGACACCGTACCCCTCAATGTATATTGAACTTCTTTGGCACCGTACGCAGCAAACTGCTAATCGTCACGTCACGACACCGTGACCCCTCACGCTATGGGGCGGCCCGGCGGTCGCGCCTTCGCCGCTTGTTGTCGTGCCAGAGGTTCGCGGTTCTATTCCAGCGACCGCCATGGTTAATGCTGCGGCGTGGAATTTACAAAAGGACGCTACGCGCCATCTGCTTCATGCCGGACGTTAAAGAGCCCCGTGGCGTCGTTCGCGAGATGAGGCCGTTGTGTGCCGGCATCCAAATTTGCTGAATTTTAAAATGAATTTGTGATTATAGAGACGGCAGAAAACGATGGCTCCCTACTGGCAGCATGTCCCAGCTCTCTAACGATGAACAGAAAACGCCTGGGCCCCCTCCACACGCCGTGGACATATTTAGGGTCAACCTTCCGGAGAGTAGCCACAAGATCGCGCATGAGTGTTGGACCCTTCAGCAGCAGCAGCAGCAGCCTTGTGCCTTTGGGTTTTATTATAAATTCGTCAATAATTATCCTTTTCACGACAAGTCCTGGGAAACGAGGCATGTGTTGAGCATGGACCCTGCAGCCAACAACCGCCCTCGCATTATTTGCTGTTTTACTATCGATTATTAATCGCGTTCTTCGATGATAATAACAACAAACGTCGATTGTGCAATACGGTATTCACATTGCCCGTCGCTGCAGTAAACGGTTGGTTTAAAAAGACGGTGAGCGTGGAAGCCACGTGGTTGACGTCTCAGTCGTGGTCTCCCTCGTGGTCTCCCTCGTGGTCTTCCTCGTGGTCTTCCTCATGGTCTCCGTCGTGGTCTCCGTCGTGGTCTCCGTCATGGTCTCCGTCGTTGTCTGTGGAAGGCGCCGTGTGCCCCACCGCTCGGTGTTTCCCCTTTGCCGTCCGGCCCCGCGGGCGGCGAGACGCCAACCATTGCCGACTGGGAACCCGAGGTAACCCCCCTCTGATGTGCCGTGTGTGCTGACCGCGTCTCCCCGCAGGGCTCCCCGGGGCCCCTGGGCCGGCAAGGGCGCGCCGGCGACAAGGGGGCGGAGGTGAGCGTGACCATGTCACCTCGTGACCTGTGACCCAATGGCCTACGATCCCATGACATCACGTGATTCTCATGACCTCGTGACCTGTGACTCCGTGACCTGTGGCATCACCATCTATGACCTCGTGACCTGTGACCCTGTTTACATGGCATCACATTATTCTCAAGGCCTGTAACCCTGTGAGCCCGTGACCCTTGACCCCATTTACTTGACCTAAAAAAATCTAATAATTCCCATCACATTGTGACTCGTGACCTGCGACCCCATGATTATCATGACCCTGTTACATGTGACCATGACCCAGTTACCCCATGACCTCAACTAACTTGACCTCTCCCCATTGACCCCCTCCAAGCCAAGCTCGCTGCAGCGATGACGTGTTCACAAAGGGCGTTGTATCAGAAAGCCCAAGTGGCCTGGTAGCTCAGGGCGTTTTTAATGGCCATGTCACGGGCACACATTTCAACCAGGGTGCTGTTTGCACGTGACAAGTCGTATCTGAACCTGTTGTGAGCCTCCCCTAAGTCGACTCAGCCTCGAGTGAGTATTCGGTGCGGTGTGTGAAAACATCAACACTGGGGAGACAAAGGCGGCCGTGGGGGCGTGTTGCATGGCCACGCTCCGTCCTGGTGCGGCTCCAGCCTTGATAGGAGCTCGCTACCAACACTTGCCCCAATGGGCTGTTAAGGCTCTACGAAGGATCTTTGTTGTGTGTGTGTGTATATACGAGAGTGTGTGTGTAAACGCATTAAAGCTCACTCCATACATCACGCAGTAGAAGGCTTATTGATGCGGGGGGGGGGGGGGGGCGTGTCCCAGGACGCCTCGACACTCACGCGGTCCACCCACGGCCAAGTGCAGACAAAGTCCGCTCCAGACGATTGACATTTCAAGCGATTCCTCTCAAACCTCTCAGCCCACATCCCCTACGACTCTGTATTTCTATTTTCGTAGAGACCAGCGAGACGTGGAGCGTTCCACGTTCACTGTGCGGAGGAGAGTGATATCTGAACCCGTCCTGGGCCTCTCCCACGTCGAGTTGTCCCTACACATGAGTACCTGGTGTGGCGGTATGAGGGTGGCCACACCAAATACTCGCGCAGCACAACCCTGGTGCTGGCCACCCACCGTGACGATGTCAAGAGGTGCTCGCCAACGGCACCTGCCCCAGCAGTGTCAAGGCTGCACGGGGGACACACGCATTGGTTGTGTGTGTGTGTACGTGTGTGTGTGTGTTCATGCCCCTATCTGTACAAGCAGGGGGCCCGAGGCCACCCAGGCGATCAGGGCCACACGGGGGCTGTGGGGGAGCAGGGGGAGGACGGAGATCCGGGGGCGGAGGGGAGCCCTGGAGATCGCGGAGTTCAGGTGTGTGTATGTGTGTGTGTGTACGTGTGTGTGTGTGTGGGGAGCGATAGTGTGGGGAGCGATAGTGTAGCGGTTAGCGCTCTGCGCTATGAACCTAGCGACCCGGGTTCGATTCCTGCTCACGGCCAACACCAGTAACGATTATCTGAACCGGTCCTGGGCCTCCCCTAGGTCGACTCAGCCTGAAATGAGTACCTGGTGTGGTGTGTAAACATCGCCACTGGGAAGACAAAGGCGGTCGGGCGTGGTGCTGGCCAGCCACCCCCTCGTGTACCGTTGCAGCCTTCATAGGTGCTCGCTAACAGCACTTGCCCCTACAGTCTGTTAAGGCTATATGGGGGATCCTTGATCTTTGTGTGTGTGTGTACGTGTGTGTGTGTACGTGTATGTGTACGTGTCCGGCAAAACAACCTCCTACCTCCTCGCGGTGTCGGACGGGCAACACTGTCGTGGGCAGTGCTGTGGGGGGAGGGCCAATGCCCATTGGCCTCTCCCCTCATGGCGTCTGTGTCCACCACAGTGGCTAAACGGGGGCTCTGGACGGGTGCGAGGGGCTGGTAACCCCTCCACCTTCAATTAACCACCAGTAAACTACAAACTAAACATAAACCGGTAACTAATAAGCTTGTTCCGGAGGCCCCGGGGGGTCAGGCTTTTATGACGTCTCCTGGCCAAACCCCATTTGGCGGAGCCAGGAGATTGAATTTTCACCCTCGGGGCTCCTCCAGAAACAACAAAAAACCATTGCGGATGGCCACGTGGAATGTTCGAACGCTCACTGCGGAGGAGAGGCTGCCACTCCTCTGTCGGGAGCTGGACCGGTACCGCCTGGATCTCTGTGGCATTCAGGAGGTCCGGTGGACCGGTTCTGGCTCCTGCCACCATGAGGGGTGGACAGTCCTATACTCGGGGCAGGAGACTGCCAAACAACAGGGTGTGGCTCTTCTTCTGAACAAAAGAATGAAGGGGGCGTGGGAGCGTGGCGGTGAGGTGTGGGAAGCTGTAAGCCCCAGGATACTTTGGGCTCGCCTTCCCATCAACCAGAGGCGAGGAGTGGTGGTCGTGGTTACTTATGCCCCCACCGAAGACGAACATCCGTGGAGGGATGCAAGCAAAGCCGATGAGTCAGACGCTTTCTATGACCTCCTGTCACAGGTGCTGGCTAAAGTGGCCACTCGGGACAGAGTCATCTTGTTGGGTGACTTCAATGCCCGAGTTGGTCATGATGCTGACACCTGGTCTAAAGTGATTGGAAGGCATGGGCCAGATCAGCTCAATAATAACGGTAGGAGGCTGCTAGATTTTTGTGCAGCCCATGGGCTTGTAATTACCAACACGCTCTTCCGGCATCGGCGCATCCACACAACATCATGGATACATGCCGGGTCCAAGCAAGAACATCTGCTGGACTACATAGTGACGGACCAGCGAATGCGAGCCCATGTCCTTGACACCAGGACCTACCGTGGAGCTGATCTGCCCTCTGACCATCGACTAGTCATCTGTAAGATGCGCCTGCCTTTCTTCCACTCCGGTGGTGGGTGTACACCCAGGATCCCATTCCAACCAAAAGTGGCCTGGTCTCAGTTAGCTGATGAAAGTTGCAAGCGAGAATTTCATCATCGCTTGCAGCTGGGGTTGGCCACGTCCCCCACTCCACCTGATGTCGAGGGTAATGGGCGAGGTTTAAGACTGTGACTCATGCAGCTGCAATGGCTGCTTTGGGTACGCGGTCCAGACCTCCCCAGAAACCCTGGCTGACAGAGGAGGTGTTCAGGTTAATTGAGAAAAAGCGACAGGCCCACTCTCATCGCCTACAGCATCCCACGTCAGAGAATGAGGAGGCTTACCGCAGCCTTCGCTCGGAAGTTCGGAGAGCCGTAAGGCGCTGTAAGGATGGGTGGTGGTCGCGGGTTGCTGAGGAGATGGAGTCTGCCTCAGTGGCCCGTGATCACAAATCACTATTTAACTCCATCAAAAAAGTAACCTGCAGCGCCACACCTATTACCATCATTAGAGGAAAAAACGGTGATCCAATCTCCGACCCCCAGGAACAGGTTTGCAGATTTGCTGAGCATTTCTGTGAGGTCCTGGGGGAGGGAAATTCTCTCAGCCAGGAAAACATCATGGCACAAAGTGGTGATAACCCTGCTGAGGCTGCGGTGCCTCAAATATTGGAAGAGGTCACCCCCTGTGAGTGGCTGGCTGAGGTGCCAGCTGTTGAGGAAGTACTGAGGGCGATCCGGAGTCTGAGACCAGGGAAGGCACCGGGCAGAGATGATCTCCCAAGCGAAATGCTGAGGGAGGGTGGCGTTTGTGCACAGACTGCCCTATATGACATCATAACAACAGTCTGGACCACTGGACGGGTTCCTCAGGACTGGAAGGATGCCCTGGTGGTCCCCCTCTTTAAGAAGGGGGACCGTACCGACTGCAACAACTACAGGGGCATCTCACTCCTCAGTGTGCCGGGTAAGGTCCTGGCAAGGATTATTCAACATCGCCTTGCTAGGCACGCTGAGGAGAGGCTTGCGGAGCCCCAATGCGGTTTCAGGAAAGGGCGGTCCTGCACAGATGCCATATTTTCTGTCCGTCTGCTACAGCAGAGGTGTAGGGAATTCCAAAAAGACCTACATCTCTGCTTTATTGACCTGGTCAAGGCCTATGATACCATCAGTAGGACTGGGCTCTGGGTTGTTCTTCGTGCTTTCGGAGTCCCTGACCCTCTGCTCACGATCATTAAGGACCTTCATGATGGTGAGCGGGCCCGGGTAAAACTACGTGGCCGGGAGTCGGAGCCTTTCCCTGTACACCTTGGGGTGCGACAGGGATGTCCTCTGGCTCCCACATTATTTAACATCTATTTTGACCGCGTAGTTCGTGAAGCCTTCAATTGCTGTACCGGGGGAATTTCCATTTGGTACAGATATAATGGGAGGCTGATCGATGCCCGGGTGCGATCAAGGGATGGCTCCCTATTCGTCAACCACGTTATGTATGCCGATGATTTGGTAATAGCTGCTCATTCAGAAGAGGAGTTGGAGACGCTGCTGCTGAGACTGGAGCGTGCCACTAAGAGGTGGGGCCTTACCATCAGCCCCACCAAAACTAAGCACCTGCCTGGGTATTTTGTACCATCGGACACTCCACCCCCACAACTCCCAATTGGTGATGGGGCAGTTGTGGAGAGAGTGGAGAGTTTCCCATACCTGGGCAGTGTGCTTATGACCGGCTCCAGTTTATCAGCAGAGGTCTCACTCCGAATCAGTCGAGCGGCAATATCTTTTCATCGGTTGCGTAACGCTGTGTGGAAGCTACCTGGTCTGTCGCTCCGCACGAAGCTTCAGGTCTTCTCGGCTACGGTCATTCCCTCCCTTCTCTACGCTTGCGAAACGTGGACCCCCCTGGTGGAGCATCTTCGCCGGTTGGAAACATTTAGGCTGGCCTGCCTACGATCCATCCTGGGTTTAACCAGGCTGGATTGTGTGAGGAGCTCACAAATCCTTGAAAGATCTGGGCAAAGTCCCATCAGTGAGCTCCTCCGGCAGGCAAGGCTGCGTTGGCTGGGTCATGTAGCCCGCATGCCCAGCCACCGCATGCCTAAACAGCTTTTGTTCGGCCGGATCGAGGGGGCTAGACGGGCGCGGCACGGGCTGGAGAGGAGATGGAGTGATGTGGTACAGGAGGACGTGGAGTTGAGTGGACTTGCCGATGACTGGTACCAGCGGTGTCAAGATCGGCCTCAGTGGAGGAGGCTCGTGAAGGACGCTACTGGGCAGTTGGAGGCAGTTGCCCTCCAACAACAACGGAGGGCGGAGGAGTGACGCTCACAACAACGAGCGGAGCGCCGGGTGGCTAAAGCACAGCAAGTTGGTACAGTAGGGGGCACAGGTGGTGCATCAGCCAGTCATCTCGGTCATCTCGGTCAGTCGACCCGTGGCACCTGGGTCTGCCCCGTGACCTCCTGCCAGCGGGTGTTCGACACTTCACGTGGCCTCAAGGTGCACTTGGCCTGGCACAAGCATCGTGGTGACGTCACCGCCACTTAGTGGCGAATGGCGGTTGTTGTTGTTGTTGTGTCACTGTGTGTGTGTGTCACCTCATGGCCTCAAGGTGCACATGGCCTGGCACAAGCGTCGTGGTGACGTCACCGCCACTTAGTGTCGAATGGCAGTTGTTGTTGTTGTTGTGTACGTGTGTGGGGAGCGGTAGTGTAGCGGTTAGCACACTGCGCTACGAACCTGGCGACCCGGGTTCAATTCCCGCTCATGGCCAACACCAATTACGATTCTCGGAACCGGTTCTGGGCCTCCCATAAGTCGACTCAACCTCAAATGAGTACCTGGTGCGATGTGTGAACATCGCCACGAGGGAGACAAAGGCGGCCGCGCGTGGTGTCGGCCACACCCACCCCTTCCTGTGCTGTGCCGGCCTTCATAGGTGCTCGCTAACAGCACTTGCCCCAACAGTCTTTTAGAGGCTATCTGGGGGGTCTTTGTGTTTGTACATGATCGATGCCCGGGTGTGATCGAGGGATGGCTTCCTATTGGTCGACCATGTTACGTATGCTGATGATGTGTGGAGCGGTTTCTATCCCTGTGTAGTGAGTCACTTCTGAGACACTAATAGTAGGAGGTAACACACGTTTATCCTACACTCGTAACACCGTTCACACACGGGATAACTATAAACGGGTCAGAGCAGCCCACGCTGTCTGACCCACGACGCCGGAGATGAAGACGTAGCACCTCGGGTTCCTTTCCACCGACAGACAGCCCCGATCCAGCCTCGGGACTTCCCTTTTATGCCCCCCGGCGTGGCCTGGCTCTGCCCTCGGCCACACCCCCACCTGGAGCCCACCAGAAGGTTCTGGGCCACCTTCCACGTGTCCCCTTGGTCATCTCTGCCCCACATCCTTTACCCCGGCCTGTCGCGTGCTCCACCAGCCGGCCCGGGTGCCACGTCCTCATGTGCCCCCTGCTGCCAACAGCCAGCGCCACGCACCCTCGTGACCCCCTCCGTGGCATTGCTCTGCCGGCAGAGCAGCTGCCACACCCCGCTCTGCCGGGACGTCAGCGTTAGGCCACATTCCCTCTCTCTGTCAGTGACCAGCGCTACGCGCCGTAGTGACCCATTCTATGTCACTGCACCTGGGCACGGTCTGTGTGACCAGATGCGGTTTCACAGCAGAGGCCTCCCTCCACCAGGGGTCGATGGCAGCGGTCTCGCTCAGAATCGACGGTGACCCAACATGTTTACCGGGGCGGTGGCGGTGACTCACAAGTACTGGAGTTAGCGAATCGGTGGTTAAGAATGCGTGCGCGTGTGTGCGTGCATTTCCCCAGTGGTGTGGAGTCGGCATCGAGTGAGCGCCGTAATTGCAGGGGGCTTGAAAAAAATGTTAACACTTACATGGGACTCTCGCTTTTAATGGAAAAAGAACGGATAATGGTAATTGCGATATTGTGATGATGATGCTAATTATGATTTCCCATCAGGGGCATGTTGGGCCACTGGGCCCCAGAGGAGACCTCGGGGAGAGAGGGGAGTGGGGCACGGAGGGATCTCGGGGCCCGCCCGGTCTCCTAGGCAACAGGGGCCTCCCCGGGCTCAGAGGGGCCCCTGGGCCCCGGGGAGAGACGGGGAGCTCGGGGTTTGTGGTGAGCTCCTTTGCCGACCCACGCACCCAGTCTCATTGTTGCGCCTCCCGAAGATCGACTCAGCCTTTAATGGCTCTTATTACATACAGCATGCGCGCGCACCAGGACATACGTACGTGAGAAAGACAAAGCCGTCCGATGTAGCCGACACGGCGTGTTGGAGCAAGTGCCGTTCACACTCATGGCAAGTGCAGCGCACAACAACAACCAACATTCGCCACAAAGTGGTGGTGACGTCACCACGACGCTTGTGCCAGGCTATGTGCACAACACACACACACACACCACTACAAACAATAACAATAGCTTCAATTTTTCACTCAGTGGCTATGAACCCATTGATAACCCTGGTGCCAGGCTAGGTGCATGCACGCACCCATTCTGTGCTGTGTTGCTGCTGTTGTTTCAGGGTTCGTCTGGTGTCCCGGGGGGTCCTGGCCGAGGGGGTCTTCCCGGAGTAAACGTAAGTTCACGCGGCTCGGCTCCCTTGCCACTCCACTGCTGGATGAGATTTGCCACGCTGTGCGCAGTGGTTAGCGCACTACGGACCCGGTCATCCGAGTTCGATTCCCGCTCACGGCCAACAGCCACTATCTGAACCAGTCCTGGGCCTATCCCTTGGTAGACTCAGCCGTGTGCCGTGACGGTCTCCATAGGTGCTCGCTAACAGCACGTGCCTCCGCAGCCTGTTGAGGGCATCTTTGTCTTAATTATCCCTGCCCTCGCGGTCTTGGCGCGTCCATCAGATGACGGACACCTGTGAAAAGAGCTTCATAGCTCTGATTCTGATCTTTGGAAGCAGGGGGTCGGATCTCGGGAGTTGTTGTTGTTGACTTGGTTTCTGTCGCGCCGTTTGCAGGGACCCCCAGGGCTCCCGGGACCCGCGGGCCCCGGTGGGCCCCCGGGAGAAGAGGTAGAGCACCACCTCGTCACACGCCACCACCGCCATCGTCCTCATCGTCACCGTCGTCACCGTCATTATCGTGATCCACACTTTTGACATCATGATAATGATGATCAGCATCATCATCATTGTCATCACCACTAACATCACTACCATCATCATCATCGTCATCATTATTGCCATCACCACTAACATCACTGCCATCATCATTATTCCCATCACCACTGACATCACTACCATCATCATCATCATTATTGCCATCACCACTAACATCACTGCCATCATCATCGTCATCATTATTGCCATCACCACTAACATCACTGCCATCATCATTATTCCCATCACCACTAACATCACTACCATCATCATCATCGTCATCATTATTGCCATCACCACTAACATCACTGCCATCATCATTATTCCCATCACCACTGACATCACTACCATCATCATCATTATTGCCATCACCACTAACATCACTGCCATCATCATCGTCATCATTATTCCCATCACCACTGACATCACTACCATCATCATCATTATTGCCATCACCACTAACATCACTGCCATCATCATCTTCATCATTATTGCCATCACCACTAACATCACTGCCATTATCATCGTCATCATTATTGCCATCACCACTAACATCACTGCCATCATCATCTTCATCATATTTGCCATCACCACTAACATCACTGCCATCATCATCGTCATTATTATTCCCATCACCACTAACATCACTGCCATCATCGTCATCATTATTGCCATCACCACTGCCATCATCATCGTCATCATTATTGCCATCACCACTAACATCACTGCCATCATCGCCACCATCACAATCATCACCCCGGGTTGTGGTCTCCCTGTGTGCAGGGGGAGACGGGGGGAAGGGGTGCAAGGGGGAGGGGCGGAACGGGCGGGATGCAGGTACACACTCACACGCACTCACTCACACACACTCACACACTCACTCACACGCACTCACTCACACACTCACTCACACACACACTCACACACTCACTCACACACACTCACACGCACTCACTCACACACACTCACACGCACTCACTCACACACACTCACACACACTCACACACTCACTCACACACACTCACAAAGATAAAGATCCCCCGTATAGCCTTAACAGACTGTAGGGGCAAGTGCTGTTAGCGAGCACCTATGAAGGCCGGCACGGCACACGAGGGGGTGGGTGGCCAACACCACGCCCGGCCGACTTTGTCTCCCTAGCGGCGATGTTTACACATCGCACTAGGTACTCATTTTAGGTTGAGTCGACCTAGGGGAGGCCCGGGACCGGTTCAGATAATCGTCACTGGTGTTGGCCGTGAGCGGGAATCGAACTCGGGTCGCCGGGTTCGTAGCGCAGCGCGCTAACCGCTACATTACCGCTCCCCATTACACACACTCACGCACTCACTCACACACACTCACTCACACACACTCTCACACACTCACACTCACAGACGAGATCTGAGTTTCCCACTGCTGTGCAGAGCGATCACGTGCAGCAGCGCGTGACACGTCACGTGCAGCAGCGCGTGACACGTCACGTGCAGCAGCGCGTGACACGTCACGTGGGTGCAGCAGCGCGTGACACGTCACGTGCAGCAGCGCGTGACACGTCACGTGCAGCAGCGCGTGACACGTCACGTGCGTGCAGCAGCGCGTGACACGTCACGTGCATCAGCGCGTGACACGTCACGTGCGTGCAGCACGTGACGTGTCACGTGTGTGCAGCAGCGCGTGACACGTCATGTGCAGCAGCGCGTGACACGTCATGTGCAGCAGCGCGTGACACGTCACGTGCAGCAGCGCGTGACACGTCACGTGGGTGGATATGCGTGAGTGTGTGTGTCTATTAATGTGTGTGGTTGTGGGTGGATACACGTGTGAGTGTGTGTGCGTGTCTATTAATGTGTGTGGTTGTGGGTGGATACACGTGAGTGTGAGTGCGTGTCTATCAATGTGTGTGGTTGTGGGTGGATACACGTGAGTGTGTGTGCGTGTCTATTAATGTGTGTGGTTGTGGGTGGATACACGTGTGAGTGTGTGTGCGTGTCTATTAATGTGTGTGGTTGTGGGTGGATACACGTGTGAGTGTGTGTCAGTGCGAGTCTATAAAGGGGAGTGGTGGTGCAGCGGTTAGCGTGCTCCGCTACAAACTCGGCGACCCGAGTTCGATTCCCGCTCACGGCTAACACCGGTGACGATTATTTGAACCGGTCTTGGGCCTCCCCCAGGTAGACTCACCTGGTGCGGTGTGTCAACATCGCCACTGGGGAGACAAAGGCGGTAGGACGAGGTGCTGGCGACCCACCCCCTCGTGTGCCGTTCTGGCCTCAAAAGGTGCTCGCTAACAGCACTTGCCCCAAGAGTCTGTGAAGGCCAAGAGGGGCGGATCTTTGTCTTTACTTGTTTTGCGTACAAAGATGTGTTGTGTGTGTGTGTGTGGCGTGTCTATAAATGGTGTGTGTTTATAAATACTGTACGTGTTGGCCTTAATCGGTTCTCGTTAACAGCACTTTCCCAAACAGTCTGTTCAAGGCAATGTCGGCCATAGCACGTGCCTCTGTCTGGTGACCTCCTGCACCTTCCACAGTCCACGTGACTGCCCCGAAGTGCACCTAGCCTGGCACAGGCAGCGTGGTGGTGTCACCCTCGCTGAGTGGCGTGTACACATGGCGGGCTGTGCTGGCCACCCCACCCCCTCGAGCGAGGCTACCCAGGGGGTCGTTGTCTCTTGCCGTGTGGCGTGTACAGGGTCCACCAGGAGAGGTCGGGGAGAAAGGGGACAGGGGCCCCCCAGGAATCCAGGTAATGCATAGTCAGCACCATGATCAGCAGCAGCAGCAGCAGCCATGCTCAATCCACTGCTGGATGGAGGCCTTCTCAAGCCGCCTTTGTCACTGGGGAGACAAAGGCGGTCACGCGCGGCGTGCTGGTCTCCCCCCCTCCGTAGGTGAAGCGCTAACGGCACTTGAACCCAACAGCCTACTAAGCCTACACGGGGAATCTTTGTCTTTGTTCTTTCCCAGGGCGTTGTGGGACCAGCGGGCGAGAAGGGGTTCCGGGGACTGAGGGGACCTCACGCGGCCCGGGGGTTAAAGGGCGACCGAGGGACGACGGGGGAGCTGGGCCACGAGGGAGCGGAGGGGCCCAAGGGGCCGGCGGGGCCCCGGGGCCCCCCAGGATCCCCGGTACAATCACTTACATGGAACACAAGTCGTCACCGTCGTCATTGTGATCACCATCATCATCAGCAATAACCACGATCTATCCACTGCAGAATTAAGGCCTCCCAAGCCATCACCATCATTCATGGTCAGGCGATACACGAGCCGATTCCGTCGCTGCATCTCCACTTTGAGCGTGACGAAGGCCTTCATCGGTGCGATTCGCTCACAGCACTTGCCCCAACAATCTGTTGAGGCTATGCGGGGGGTCCTTTGTGTGTGTGTGCCACAGGGGGCCACGGGGAGCAGGGGTCCGTGGGGGCCTGTGGGCGGCGTGGGGGTTCAGGTGAGTGCTCCGCTTAGCAGCTGCGGCTCGCGGGGCCCTCTGGGCCGCACCGCGGCGCCGAGACGCAGCGAGACGCTCGCCGCCGCCGTGGCCGCCGCCGCTCTCATCGCCGTAGCCGCCGCCGCCGCGCGACATTTCGGATGTTGATTTCGTGAGTGCCAGATTGCCAAATCGGCCTGCCACGAACCCGCCGGCCCAAGGCCGATTCAAGCTCACGGACAATATCGGAGACGAATATCGCAACCGGTAATGGGCCTCCTCTAGGTTGCACGAGCACCTGGTGCGGTGTGTAAACAGCCGCACTGGGGAGACAAAGGCGGTCGGGCGTGGCGTTGGCCGCACACCCCCCCCCTCCCCCGTGTGCCGTGCTGGCCTTAATAGGTGCTCGCTAACTTGTCCCAAGAGTCTGTTAAAGGCTGTACGGGGGGGAGGGGGAACTTTGTATGCATGTGAGTCCAGGCGCATGAGTCTATATTCTTGTGTGTGTGTGCGTGTGTGTCTGCACGCTATTTTCAGGGTCCTTTAGGGCTGCCAGGGCTCGAGGGTCCAGCTGGGATCCCGGGGTCAAAGGTGAGGAAGTGGTGGATTGGTGAGGAGATGGTAGGTACCCGCTAACAGCACTTGCTCCGACAGTATGTGTGGGCTACACTGGGGATCTTTGTCTTTGTACATCTGCGTGTGTGCAGGGCGAGAGAGGCTACAGAAGGAGGGGCTCACCAGGAATTCGAGGAGTGCAGGTGAGTGGGTGAGTGAGTGGGTGAGTGAGTGATTGGGTGAGTGATTGGGTGAGTGATTGGGTGAGTGAGTGAGTGAGTGAGTGATTGGGTGAGTGAGTGAGTGAGTGATTGGGTGAGTGAGTGAGTGAGTGATTGGGTGAGTGATTGGGTGAGTGAGTGATTGGGTGAGTGAGTGATTGGGTGAGTGATTGGGTGAGTGAGTGATTGAGTGAGTGATTGAGTGAGTGATTGAGTGAGTGATTGGGTGAGTGATTGGGTGAGTGAGTGAGTGGGTGAGTGATTGGGTGAGTACGTCAGTGAGTGGGTGAGTGAGTGAGTGATTGGGTGAGTGCGTGATTGGGTGAGTGAGTGATTGAGTGAGTGATTGAGTGAGTGATTGGGTGAGTGATTGGGTGAGTGAGTGAGTGGGTGGGTGGGTGGGTGAGTGCGTGAGTGAGTGGGTGAGTGATTGGTTGAGTACGTGAGTGAGTGGGTGGGTGAGTGAGTGAGTGAGCAGGTGAGTGGGTGAGCGGCTCAGGGTGAGTGTCGCTTGGGGGTAATTGTAATATTAATGTATAGTTACATTGCTCACTGAATGTTCGGCTATGTCGCTGGGTTTCTGGTGTATGTTGCTTGAGACTTGAGTATCCACAGCCATAGCGAGAGGTATGGTGGATGTGGTGTGCCGGGCGTGTCAATGTCATCGCAGACAAATCTGGCTGAAATGAAGCCCTGTGGGTGGCGGTGCCTATGTCTGGATGTGTGTATGTGTGTGTGTGTACATGCTGTGTGCGCGTGTATGTGTGTGTCTTGTGGGGAGCGGGAGCGCACTGTGCAACGAACCCGGTGACACGAGTTTGATCCTTGCTTGGCGACGAATATCTCGACTGGCGCTGGGCTTCCCCTAGGTCAGGGGTCGGCAACCAAAATAACAAGAAGAGCCATTTCTTTCCAATTCGGTACAAAATTCAGTATTTCAAGAGCCGCAATGCATCTGAGTACATACTGTACATACGTACATATCGTCAAGAAGCAGCCCGTAAAGAGCCGCATGCGGCTCCGGAGCCGTAGGTTGCCGACCCCTGCCCTAGGTCGACTCGGCCTCATGCGTGGTGATGGCCACTCATCCCCGCTTCACGTGCCATGCCGGCCTTCGTAGGCGCTCACTAACAGCACTTGCCCCTGGAGTATTAAGGCTATACGGGGGTCTTTGTATTTGTGTGTGCGCACGTATTAATTTCAGCCAGTGGTTTGTGTGTTGATGTTGTGTGTTTGTTGGCGACTGCGGTTGTTGTTGTTTTTGTTGATGGTTGTCGTCGTTGTTGTTGTTGGTGGTGTTGCCACGTTGCTCGTGACCACGCTGGCGTTGCAGGGAGAGCCGGGCCCCCCAGGTCCGGCAGGAGTGGGGGGCCACCCCGGGTCCAAGGTAACGACGCCGCCAATCAGACACCTCGCGTCGCGAGCCACGGAGACCTGGGGTTCGTCAGGGCGGTGACACAGGGCTTGGGTGTAGGGTGATGGTGTAGAGCTCGGGTGTAGGGTTTTATTGTAGGGTTCGGGTGTAGGGTTTGGGTGTAGGGTTAGGTTGTATATTGTTCGGGTTCGGTGTAGTTTTAGGTTGTAGGGTTTTGGTGTAGGGATAGGTTTATGGTGTAGGGTTTGGGTGTAGGGTTAAATTGTAGGGTTTGAGTGTAGGGTTAGGTTGTAGGGTGTAGGGTTAGGTTGTAGGGTTAGAGTTCAAGTCTAAGGTTAGGGTTTGTTGTGGGGGCAGCAGTTCGGGTTCTGGACAACATGAGGGTTGGGGATGCTGCGTGCTGCTATATGCTGCTGTAACACCTGTGCTGTAACAGCTGTAACAGCTGTGTTGTAACAGCTGTAACACCTGTGTTGTAACAGCTGTAACAGCTGTGTTGTAACAGCTGTAGCAGCTGTGTTGTAACAGCTGTAACACCTGTGCTGTAACACCTGTGTTGTAACAGCTGTGTTGTAACAGCTGTAACAGCTGTGTTGTAACAGCTGTAACAGCTGTGTTGTAACAGCTGTAACAGCTGTGCTGTAACACCTGTGTTGTAACAGCTGTAACACCTGTGTTGTAACAGCTGTAACAGCTGTGTTGTAACAGCTGTAACACCTGTGCTGTAACAGCTGTAACAGCTGTGTTGTAACAGCTGTAACAGCTGTTGTAACAGCTGTAACACCTGTGTTGTAACAGCTGTAACAGCTGTGTTGTAACAGCTGTAACAGCTGTGTTGTAACAGCTGTAACAGCTGCGCTGTAACAGCTGTAACACCTGCGTTGTAACAGCTGTAACACCTGCGTTGTAACAGCTGTAACAGCTGTGTTGTAACAGCTGTAACACCTGTGTTGTAACAGCTGTAACACCTGTGTTGTAACAGCTGTAACAGCTGTGTTGTAACAGCTGTAACACCTGTGCTGTAACAGCTGTACCACCTGTGCTGTAACAGCTGTACCACCTGTTGTGTAACAGCTGTAACACCTGTGCTGTAACAGCTGTAACAGCTGTAACACCTGTGCTGTAACAGCTGTAACACCTGTGCTGTAACAGCTGTAACACCTGTGCTGTAACACCTGTGCTGTAACAGCTGTAACACCTGTGCTGTAACAGCTGTCACAGGTGTGCCGTGCCCCCCACAGGGCACACAGGGCCCGGTTGGCAGCGAGGGGACCCCCGGACCTTCAGGATTCCCGGTGACTCCTCCTGCTCATGATCGGTCCCCCCCTCTCCCCCCCCCCCCACATCTCCTCCCCCCACCTCTGTCCCCCCTCCCCACCACGTGTGGTCGTGTTTCACGGCTGTCCACACTCGTGCGATCATCGCCCTACGATGTCCGCGTTGATGTTTCTCGAACTCAATTTTACTCAGAACGTTTTTTTTTTAAGTGATTTGTCCGAGTTCACTCTTTTCGCTGTAAATGTATTTCACATTATCGTGGTTGACCACCGCGTCAGAAGTCCTCTATCTCGAGATCGTTTTTACTCCGATTCCTGTTTACCGCATTGCTGGACTTTGTCTTTGTAGTGACCCCAGGTTACTCGCCATACAAATGAGGGTCGTACTGTTCTCTTGACTTCTCACCTCGCACAAACAAAACCAACTTGGAACCCCCCCCCCCCCCTTGTTGCTCCTCCAGGGACCCCCGGGAGCGGGGGCCGAGGCGGGAGACGCGGGGACCCCGGGGCCCGGGGTGTGTGAGATGTTGCCGGACGTCCCCCCGCTCGCGAGGCTCTCCTCTTCTTCTCGGACTACGGCTGCCCCTTGCCCTCTGTCTCTCTCCCACTCTCTCTCTCTCTCCGCTCTCTCTCCCACTCTCTCTCTCTCTCCGCTCTCTCTCCCGCTCTCTTTCTCTCTCTCTCTCTCTCCTGCTCTCTCTCTGGGGGATTCTAGTTCCCGTTTTGCTTGGCTAAGTCACATTCCCTGAGGAGCGTGACCCAGGGATTGTTTTCCCACTGAATCGTTTCCAGGTGACTTCAAAATAACCCCAAAGCTATCCCCGCCCCTATGCCTTAGACTAACCCTAACCCCAACACTAACCCCGTCCCTATGCCTTAGACTAACCCTAACCCCAACACTAACCCCGCCCCTATGCCTTAGACTAACCCTAACCCCAACACTAACCCCGCCCCTATGCCTTAGACTAACCCTAACCCCAACACTAACCCCGTCCCTATGCCTTAGACTAACCCTAACCCCAACACTAACCCCGCCCCTATGCCTTAGACTAACCCTAACCCCAACACTAACCCCGCCCCTATGCCTTAGACTAACCCTAACCCCAACACTAACCCCGTCCCTATGCCTTAGACTAACCCTAACCCCAACACTAACCCCGCCCCTATGCCTTAGACTAACCCTAACCCCAACACTAACCCCACTCTATGTCCCTTAGACGAACCCTAACCCCAACACTAACCCCACTCCTGTCCCTTGGACGAACCCCAACACTAACCCTATCCCGATCTCTAACCCATCCCTATACTGAACACTGTCACCCCAACCCTAATCCCAGCCTTGACTCCATGAAGGGTGATGATGTCAGTGGTGGTGGCGGTAGTGGTCGTGGTGGTGGTGTTGTGTGAGTAATTGCTCAGTTTTAATTGACGTCAAATGTCGGAGTGTGGGTTGGGGGTTGGAGGGACGGTATGAGATGGGGGTAACTGGGGGAGGGGGGGAATTGGGGTGGGTGGGGGGGTGTATTGCCATGTTTGAGGTGGTGTTCATTTCGTGGTCAGGGGGTGCAGGGAGAGGTGGGGCCCACGGGGGAGAAGGGACGCACGGGGCCCAAGGTGAGAGAGTGCCTGTGTGAGTGACTGTGTGAGTGACTGTGTGAGTGACTGGGTGAGTGACTGGGTGAGTGACTGTGTGAGTGACTGGGTGAGTGACTGGGTGAGTGACTGGGTGAGTGACTGGGTGAGTGACTGTGTGAGTGACTGTGTGAGTGACTGGGTGAGTGACTGAGTGACTGTGTGAGTGACTGGGTGAGTGACTGGGTGAGTGACTGGGTGAGTGACTGAGTGACTGTGTGAGTGACTGTGTGAGTGACTGTGTGAGTGACTGGGTGAGTGACTGTGTGAGTGACTGTGTGAGTGACTGGGTGAGTGACTGTGTGAGTGACTGTGTGAGTGACTGTGTGAGTGACTGGGTGAGTGGCTGTGTGAGAGACTGGGTGAGTGACTGGGTGAGTGACTGTGTGAGTGACTTTGTGAGTGGCTGGGTGAGTGACTGTGTGAGTGACTATCAGGGAGTGACTGTGTGAGTGACTGTGTGTGTGTGTGGGTGTGTTTATTTGAATGTACAATTGTCTGTGTGTCTACGTAGGGAGGTGGTGGTGTAGCGGTTAGTGCACTGCATTGCGAACCCAGCGACTCGAGTTCAATTCCCGCTCACGGTAACGATTATCGGAACCGGTCTTGGGCCTCCCCTGGGTCGACTCAGCCTCAAATGAGTACCTGGTGCTGTGTGTAAAGATCACCACTGGGACGATTTAACCGGTCGGGGGTGGTGCTGACCACCCACCCCCTCGTGTGCCGTACCGGCCTTCATAGGTGCACGCTGACAGCACTTGCCCCAACAGTCTGTTAAAGGCTATACGGGGGATCTTTGTGTGACAGTGTATGTGTCTATCTGCAGGGGCCCACGGGTGGTATTGGAGAAGCTGGTACCGCTGGAGCCAAGGGGCCGCAGGTACTGAATACACTCACCACGTACACACACCACGTACACTCACCACACTCACAGACTATACTCACCAGAGCCATGTGGAATCTGACTGCCTGTGTTATCATGGGTTGAGTGCGTGTTGTTTTATGTTGTGTACGTTTTGTGTTGTTGTGTTGTCTGCAGGGCGATGTCGGGTCTCAGGGTCTGCCCGGGTCACAGGGGCTGTTGGGTTTACCAGTGAGTGGCAGCCAACTCCTCTCAGCCCCTCACTCCCCCCGCCCCTCACTCCCCCCGCCCCTCACTCCCCCCGCCCCTCACTCCCCCCGCCCCTCACTCCCCCCGCCCCTCACTCCCCCCGCCCCTCACTCCCCCGCCCCTCACTCCCCCCGCCCCTCACTCCCCCCCCCCCCCGCCCCCTCACTCCCCCCGCCCCTCACTCCCCCCGCCCCTCACTCCCCCGCCCCTCACTCCCCCCGCCCCTCACTCCCCCGCCCCTCACTTCCCCCGCCCCTCACTCCCCCGGCCCCTCACTCCCCCCGCCCCTCACTCCCCCCGCCCCTCACTCCCCCCGCCCCTCACTCCCCCCGCCCCTCACTCCCCTGCCCCTCACTCCCCCCGCCCCTCACTCCCCCCGCCCCTCATTCCCCCCGCCCCTCACTCTCCCCGCCCCTCACTCCCCCGCCCCTCACTCCCCCCGCCCCTCACTCCCCCGCCCCTCACTCCCCCCGCCCCTCACTCCCCCGCCCCTCACTCCCCCCGCCCCTCACTCCCTCGGCCCCTCACTCTCTCAGCTCCTCACTCACCGCTCATCCTACAGGTTTTCCTCCCACACTAAGCCCAACTCTGATTACGAATGGATTTCAAGGCCAAACTTCCCAAAGTAGCCGCGCCCTCTTGATAAGCAGTCTTGAGACTCAGGGACGCTTTCATAGCCAACCACAGAATATTATTGTTGTGATTCTGTCGTTTTTCTCATCATCGTTATTAATCATTGTTTGTGTGGGTTTTTTTATTCCTCCAGGGAATGTTTGGAAAAAAGGTAAATGTCTATTCTTATGAAGTCTTTTATACTTTCAGAAAATAATGTGAAACCCACGAATATATATTTCATGCATATTCAGCAGTGCGAGTGGTTTCCACCGGGCTGAGTATGGGGCAGTGCTCGTATCCTGCGCATTTGACGGCCCTGAGCCAGTGGTGTGAAATTCCAAATTCCTTTCCAATGGCCAAGCAGTGTTCAATGTCAGTGTTTAATTGCCACCCTACCTGCTTCGTGTTGTGTATCTGCGTCGTGTCTCCGTGGCGTTGTGACTGGTTCGTGCTGTGTTCACCTCCATACCCTGTACTATATCTCGTTTGTGTTGTGCCTCTGCGTTGTGCCTCAGACTATATTTAAAGTCGATGTGGTTTCAGCGTCTTGAGATGCAACTTGCACGAATGTCGTATATAAAATACAATAATTATTGTTACGTTATAATCACTGTTCAATCGTAACTTAAAGCTTCCGTGACTGCAGGAATTAATATTCTTTGGGTCTTTTGGTAAAGTCACGTAGATCGGTCCTATCTACGTGACTTTACTGAAAGACCCAAAGAATATCGTCATTGCTATTTGGGTTGTTATTACGCGTGCCCCACGCACACCTAAAGTGGTTGATTATAAGTTATTGTTTTTTTATTTCATTTTCTTTCCCATCTGTTGCGCTGTTTTACTTCTCTCGTACAAGAGCTGCATGTTTTCGCTACAAAGTGTCCGGAAGGTCGCGTTCCTCTGCCGTGTAAATGCCGACCGTTGTCTCGTCTCTCCGCTCCCGCCGTGACGCGTGGCTGCCGTGCGGGTCGCTCGTGCCGTGTTCATCCCTGCCAGGGGGAGAAGGGGATACGGGGCCAGCGAGGGGATAGGGGGCCCTCGGTGAGTGCCAACGCCCTCACGGACATACGCACGCATGGACCGCACAAAGATGATCCCCCGTAGAGTCGTAACCCACTGTTGGGGCAAGAACTGTTATCGGGCACCTTTGAAGGCCAACACTGAACACACGAGGGGAGAGCGTGGCCAGGACCACGCCCGGCCCGACCGTCTTTGTCTCTCCTGTAGCGATGTTACACACCGCACCAGGTGCTCATTTAAGGTCTGAGTCAATCTACGGAAGGCCCAGGACCGGGAGCGGCTCCGATGTTCATCGCCGGTGTTGGGCCCGAGCTGGAATAGAACTCGGTTCGCCGTGTTCAGGGTGCGGCGCGCTAACCGCTGGAGCCGCCGCTCCCCGCGCCGCTAGCAGACACGGCGACGCGCTCCAGCCGTGGCCCTCCGCCGCTCGTTAAGAGCAATTAGGGATTAATTACACGCGCGGCCACGTCGTTCCTGCGCCGCCGTTTCCACGGGTATTTAACAGGTGCACACAGAGGCAGTCACTTCCATCCCGATTAGAGCCCTTGACAGCTTTATGAGCGGCGCGGCATTAATGGATGGGGTGGCGGCGACGATGATGATGATTTGGTGGGGGGTGGGGGGGAGGACAGCGTGAGTTGATGAACTCACGCCGCTCTTCCCGTGCGTGCGTCTGTGTTCAGGGCCCTCCCGGGCCTCCGGGGCCCCCCGGCCCTGCAGGCCCGTCGACGGGACTCGGACACCACCGCCCTGGCGCTACGGCACGGCCCTCCTGGGTGAGCGCGGCGCGGTGTGTGGGGGAGACACCGAGCGGACGGCGCTCGAGACGGCCTTCTCGTTGGGGCTGGGTACACGCACTGCTGGATGAGGGCCTCCCCACGGGTTTTGGGGGTTGTTTGACCTTACTCTGCCATGCTGGTCAGCGCGGGTTAGTGAAGGGGGGATGTTCGAGCATAGAAGTACAGTACAACGATGAATCTTGCTGCACTGCCCTCCGCTACCTGCACAATACCCCGCGGCAGCCTATAGCACTTCTTCTATGCGAGGTGGATACCCGCCCAAGCGCTTTCCGGCTAAGTCCTGCTTAGCTTCTCAAATTCGGGTCCCTCCGGGCGATTCAGTCCTGGGCCTGCAATCTCCAGAACGTGAATTTGTCCCACGACGTCTGGGTAGAGGAAGGGAAGCGTTGCCAATTTTAAGATTAAGTCTAAGCTGTTTAAATCAAATGAAAAATTGGGGACACATCCCTAGTCCCGGATGTCGCGGGACGTCAGATTCATCTGAAAAATGTAATCAAATGGGACCTTATTACATTAATTAGTTAAATAGTGAGAAAACATTAAATAGTTACTGATCGATTCCAAAGTCTGGCTTCACAGTAAACGAGGTCACATTTTCTTGCTTCCATACTTATTCCTACGGAGAGTGGCATCATCGCGTGGCGTTGGGTGGCATCGCTTCTGCGAGCGTGGCGACGCGTCACAACGCCGCAGAGCGCGCAAGATAAAAATAAAAACCCCAAAAAGATCCGATATCGTCCTTAGAAATTCCCCAAATCTTAACATTTTTCGATCTGAAACTTAGCCCGAGTTTTGCGCCGGGTTTCTCGCGGCGCGATCGTCCCGCAGGAGTGGCCTGAGGACTGGCCGTTGTGGGGCCCTCCATGGGCCCCGGGCGAGGCCACGCGGAGCGGCGCGGGGGAGCCAGCCGGGGCCGCGTCCGCGCCGGGCCCCCCGGGCCTTGTTGGCGAGCACCCGCCGGCCACGTGCCACGAGCTGCAGCTGTGCAGGCCGGGCCTTGTCGACGGTGAGTCCTGGATGTCGGTGAATATTCCCAAATCGTCTACCCAATCTGTGCTGCCCGCTGCGGAATGAGTGGTGAAACACACACACAGAACTACACTCACACACATACACATACGGGACTACACATACACAGAACTACATACACACACCGAACTACACACGTGCAAAGACAGAACTACACACACGACGTACTCAAACAGCCCAGCACACTCGCGTCATTCACTGGTACAACCAGAAGCCACACGTCAGAGCAGTGGTCTCGATGGTTTTATGCAGCTCCTGAGCAAAAGGCCCAGAGCCCCAACATGTCAATCGGTCAGTAAGAAAAGAACACCGTCACAGTTGTGATGGATAAATGGAAAGGTTGCTGGTATTATGAACTTCGTGCCACCGTTTACTTATTTAATTAATGAAGAGCTTCCGCTGGCAGCGAGCCGCCGTTTCCAGGAGCCACGGCCGTAACTCATCCCCAAACACAGACGCTTCCTGAAGGGTCGTTAGTACCAATTAGACGTGATTATCATAAAATCCGCATTTGTAATGTTCTATAAATGTGCCCAATGGATCTCTCTGTCGTGACTTCCCCTCCCCTACCACATTCCCCCCCCCCACGCCGACCGCCCCCGCCCGCCCCCCATCTCCGTTACCCGGGAGACGCGGGAGTTCGTCGTGAGCGAGGGGAGTTGATTGACGGTGGTCTCGCGTGGCGGCACGCGACTCGGATTACGCAAAATTTGGTTCAACGATCGCGTGGCGGTGAGAACCCAACGCGCCCTCCCGGTGGGTGTGCAGGCGGTGCAGCTGCACCGGCGCCACGTGTTTGAGGGGCACCGGCGCCGGCCTTCGGAGAGACAGGGGGAGGGGGGGCGTGCCCAGTTTCTTTGCTTCCACCAGGGCCCATTCCTACCACCCTACGCCACTGCAAGTTAAGAGTTTGGGCTGGACGCAATCCAGAGCCTTACGGAAGCTTGGAAGGATGCAGTGAACAGGCAACGTTGGCCCACGTTGGCCCACGTTGGCCCACGTTGGCCCACGTTGGCGTGTGGTTTGGAACCATTGGACCAACGTTGGCGTGACATTGGCGTAACGTTCCGTGTCCCCTCCGGCTAACGTCAGTGTGATGACAGTGGGTGTGGATGGTCCGAGCCAGCGACCCAGTGCGATAATGGGACTTTCGGCTTTGAAAGAGGGGAGGCCTCCATCCAGAAGTGGATAGACCATGGCTGATGATGATGACGCTCCTACGTGCGATGCCCAGGGCACTACTGGATCGACCCCAACCAGGGCTGCCCGCTCGACGCACTGCTCGCTCGCTGCCACTTCTCGGCCGGCGGCGCCACCTGCGTTGGCGGCGTTGGCGGTGCGGCGGCGGCGGCGGCGGCGAGCCAGCGGGCCCCGCCGTACCCGGGCCTGGGCGCCGTCCAGCTCAAGTTCCTGCGCCTCCGGAGCGGGCGAGCGTGGCAGCACGTCCGTGCCACCACGCGAGGGGGCGGCACGGGGGGCGCCGAGGGGGGCGAGGACGAGGAGGGGGAAGAGGGGCCGACGCTCGTGGGAGACGACGGCACCGAGATCGGGCCGGGACACGATGCCTACCGCGTGCTGCGTCGCGACTGCACGCAGGTGCCGTGTCGTCAGCTTCGTTGTCATCGCCGGTGTCGCCATGATTGTACTTCGGTCATCACAATCATTATCATTTGTGGTTATCAACATCATCGTTTGTCATTTGATTGTCGTATTCATGGTCATCGTCGATGTCGCAATCATCGCATTTAGGAATTAGCACGTTGGCTACATACGGTGCGAAAGAAGTACAACATACAAACATCAATATCATTGTCATTCTGATCATGACCATGATCGTTGCTTTCCACTTTTAGGAGTTTGCAACATGGGTGTGTGGGTATGTGTGTGTGTGTGCATGCGTGCGTGCGTGCAGGCCGGAACGCGAGACGAGGTGTGCGTCCTACACCTCGTCGTTTCGACGAGCAGCACGGAGTCTCTGCCCATCCGCGCCATGCCCCTTCGGGGGCCCCGCCGGTGGGGGGTCGCCCTCTCGCTGGGACCTCTGTGCTTCCTCTAGCGAGGGCAGCAAGGGGGGGAGGCGGGGGGGGCAGTGCTGTGCGGGTGAGGTGGAGGGGAGGGGGAAGCAGGAGCGTTGGCTGCTGTGGTTGAGGGGCAGCAGGGATGCTGTGGCACTGGTGGTGGTGCTGGTGGTGGCGCTGGTGGTGGTGCTGGTGGTGGCGCTGGTGGTGGTGGCACAGCGATTTGCTCGCCAACACCAGGCACGATGATATGAATCGGTCCTGGGCCTCTCCTCGGTTGACTCAGCCTCAAATGAGTCCCTGGCACGCTGTGTAAACATCTTTACTGTGGAGACAAGGGTGGGCAGGCGTGGTGCTGGTCACTCACCCCATCGTGTGCCGTGCCGGCCTTCGTAGGTGTTACTCGCTAACAGCACTTGCCCCAACAGTCTGTTGAGGCTATATGGGGGCTATTTGTCTTTAGTGGTGCTGGTAATGGGCCCATGCTTCGTCAACGTTTTGCGACGTTTGCGCGAGCGGAGCGTCGAGCAGTATTCCGCTCGTTACACGCACGCCGTCAAGGCCGCGCGTCGCTCGGCACGCAGGTATCTATTTAAAACACCAGGTTTTTTTTTTATACAAAAATGTATAAATGTGTTCCCATTGTAAACCGAGACCTGTCAGAGTCGAAATGTGTTCCGTTTATTAGACGGACAACCTGCCGGCAGTTGCATGAAGACAATTAAAATCGGCGTCAATGAGAGGAGGTATTGACCCGAGGGTTGTTGTGCGACTGCCCACAGGCATATTGCTGCTGTGTTAGTTTCGTTACGATGCCCCCCGGGAGTGACAAGAGGAGGAGGGGGGGGGGCGTTTATGGAGACAAATTGGCGAGGGGAGGCTCGAGATGATGTTGGAAGGGGGAGGACTGAAAGAGGAGTGGGCGTTGGGGGGAAGGGGGGAGAAAGGTTGCTAAGTGAGTTTAAGATTTGTGGGGTTCGGGTGTGAAACGGAGGCTTATTAGAGATGGGGGGCGGGTGAAAGATGAGTTGGCAAAGCCTCGCCGAGTCTCACCACTCCTTGTTCGGAGTGTCCTACCACGGGTTGTGCTGTAGGGGAGGACAACGTTGTTGCTGTGTATGTCTGTGATCCCGGTCGAGTCATTTGCTGGTTATTATTCAGCAGTGGGAGGTTTGGGCCAATACCAGTTACACGGTGATTTATCAGAACGAGAGGACATAGAAACTCCACGCAGGAAGGCATCCGAGTCAGGAATCGAACCCAGCGGCTTCTCACTACGAGGCACGAGTATTAGCAATGCACCACCACCCTGCCAGACCCTATTGCATACCGTGTGTAACATAGGGAGTCTGCCAAGTAACGTTACATTCTACTTTACCTCGTTATATTTATTATCTGTTTGTAAAATGTTGGGTATTTTTCACACGGTTTAATTTTTTTAAGAATAAATGTAGATAACTTTGTACAACTTATAATATTGATACTCTGTGCTATTTTCTATGTTTCAATGTGAGTCTTCGTGAGGTGAGGTGACATTGTGAAGTCCCATCTCGGTAAAGGCTAACAAGCCCTCGGTGTCTTGCTTGGATGAAGGCCACACAGTGACGCGTGGATCAGAGACGCCCACGACCACAAGGAATCTGAATGTGTTTCGAGACTGGAGGAATCCGACAAGCTATGAGGCTATACTCTTAGGTTTTTTCGGTAAAGTCACGTAGGTAAATCACGACGTTTCGGAGGTAACACAAGTCTCCGTCATCAGGTGGGACCGTCACAGCTAGATTTTAAAAACTCTGACAGATAGGTGAAATTCCTCCCCGTCGAGGGTATTAATTCTGAAACGTCGTGATTTACCTACGTGACTTTACCGAAAAAACTTAAGAGTATATGACCTTGCAGTCACGAAAGCTTCAAATCTAGAGCTATGAGGCTCTGTTTCACACTCGCGGAGAGCGCACATGTCAGGGTGCAGGGCTTCTTCGTATCTCACTGGGCTCATCTGGCCGGGTGCCTGGCCACGGTGAACATCGGTGCTGAATGATATCACCGGCGGCCCTGCCCAAGCCGTCAATCTCCCAGGGCACCAACACCGCACATTGAGCGGACGACTCCCAACAGCGAACCGTGACCCCGATGAGGACAGCGGCAGCCCTCTGCCCCGGCTCGACCCTCAACAACCGCCGCCGGTCCAGGGAGCGCCGGGCGTAGCTCGCACGGCCACTCCGCGTGATTGGCCTCCAGACGACGCCGCCGCTGCCGCCTTCCCCGTGCGTCCGCGCCGGCGTTTGGTGCAGCCCCCCGCGGCACTGCGGCTCGCAACAAACTCCGAGCGAAAGCGCCGTGTCCAGAGAGCCCTTGACACCGCACGCCGCCGGCTGGGCCTGCTGCCCGGGGCACACGCGTGCCTGTGTGTGCGCGTGTTACATCGCTGGAGGCGCCGTCTAATTTGCTCGGCCGAATAATTGCGGCGGGGTGGGTTGGGGGAGGTCGTGATTGCATTGGCGTCGAGGAACACAAACGACTCTCTGTTGTTCGTGTGTTTTTTTTAAACGCCAAGCTCCGTAACGCAATAGACGGCGGCGTTTGCGGTGATTCTAATCGCTGCAATCACGGGTTCGCCGTAGCCGAGTGGCGATGATGACGACTACCCCGCTTGTTCACCACACAAGTGGTGGCGCTCTGGGCGGAGCGGGAACGCCGCCCGGTGCCCTCGGCCCCTTCACGCGAATTTGCCGCGACGCAGGAATGTGAAGGAGTCGTGACCTCCTCATCTTGGGGGTTGCCACGCCGTGATCCAACTCACGATGTTGCACCTTCCTCGTCGCTCACGACTCCCCCTGCCGAGCCCCCCCCCCACACCCAGCCAGCCAGCCAGCCGTCCGTGCTGTCGACTCCGTCCCATGCTCAAGGCCAACGCGTCCCTTTCCTCTTTCTCTCTTCCGCCTATGCTCCTTCCTACCTTTTGTAAACACCTACACGGCACCGGTCCAGCTATCGCACGAGGCACCAGGGTGACATTGGCCGTGTTCCAGAAATCAAATCTCGGGTCACGCGCTGCACCGCCCCAAGCACTGCGCCACCACTCCAGGACTCCGCAATGCAATCTCGCGCGCCTCAACAAATTGCCAACAATTACCAACATCCGACAACACATTCTCTGTTTACGTAACCGGCAGCCGCAGCATTAACGCCAACGCTGTGGTAATTTCCAGCGCGAGAAATGTCTCTAAGGCGAGCTCGCTCCCTCGTGTCGGAGCGCGGCCGAGTGTGATTATTGAATGCGAGACAAATTTATCACGGGGGGTGGTGAGAATGATTAAGACTCGCACGCTGTGATCACACGCGCAGTGAGTGGCGCGATTAGTGGGATAATCTCCATCCGCGACATGTGGAGACGCACACACACAGACACACGCACACACAGACACACACGCACACAAACACACACAGACACACGCACGTACACACAGACACACACACAGACACACACGCAGAGAAGAGCAGGGATACACGCGGCGTGGATGCAACGAGACACACACACAGACATACACACAGACACACACATACACAGACACACACACAGACATACACACAGACACACACAGACACACAAACTAACACACACACAGACACACATACAGACACATACAACCACACGCAGCCGACTACTCAAAGATTCCGGTGCTGCTGCTGCCATGCACGTCGACAACGAGCAGTGCCAACACGGACACTCAGCACGCTCGTCAGTAACGCCGCGACGTTTCGGACAATGGGCCTTCTTCACACCGCACACACACATGCACACAGACCGGAGAAGAAGAACGGATAGGAAATGGAATTCGCACTTGATATGCCATGGGGCCTGATAAACATCACATTCGAAATGTGTCCCGATGAAAATGTTTTACAGACTCCACTTCATGATATATTCCTGTGCACGCCACCTCCAGTCTGCACACAAAGGACCTTCTGTACACATCTGGAGATTCGACAAAATTGGGTTCCGGCAAAGCCCGACCCTGCTGATGAGACACTGCAGCGTCGAAACCGGTCCAGAGTTCTCCCTTGCGGGTGAACTCACAATGCTGCTGAAATTATTCAGTCCCAGAAGGAGTCCGTGTGTGGCTGATGGGATGTGTTAAGTAAAAAAAAGCTAATCTGTGTTGGAGAACAGACGCGTGGAGGGATGGTGGAAATTGTCTGCTTGTTGAATTTGTCATCTCCACTGCGAGGCGAATGTTGATGAGCGGTGTGGTTAGTGGTAGATGAGTGGTGTGGTTAGTGGTAGATGAGCGGTGTGGTTAGTGGTAGATGAGTGGTGTGGTTAGTGGTAGATGAGTGGTGTGGTTAGTGGTAGTTGGCAATGCGGCGTCAACAGCGCCACCTTGCGTCAGCCCTCGGTTCGCGTGACCCCCGCAGCCACTCACCGCAAAGTAACCACAGCGGCAGCTGTTCACAAAGAAATCAGAATCATGAAACTGCGCTTTCAACAAATGTGCAAGTTAATTTATTAGGTATAGCCCTGTGAGCCATTCGGCTCTTGAATCGGGTGCAACCGCAACAAACAAAAAACAAAAACATGAACAAGAAAACATCTTAAAGTGACAGTGTGCCAACAGAAAATCCAAGAAAAGACAGCAAAATATTGCAGAAAAAGCACCGTACACCAACACTGTGTGCACAAATCCCAGTGTGATGCAAGTCAAACAACAACAACCACAAGACAACTTAGATTAAGGCCATCAGTCTAACTCTGTACTACAACAAACATGGCCAAACCGAAAAACTTTTCGAAAATCACCAAAATAAAGCCATAAAAGCAATGAAACAATGATCATAGGAACTGTGACCGAATTTTCACAATAGTAAAGGCCCTTCCTCCAGTATTTGTACGGCAATAGGGAATGAGAAGCTGGTAAATGAGCGAAGACCTTAGGTCAAATTTGTTCTTTGAAACAGAGAGGAGATCCAGCAGGTAATCTGCGGATTTCTTTGTAAGTACATCATGAATAAATAATATCTGATGCACAAGCCGTAGAACATTGAGAGATGTTAAGTTTGACCCAATGTAGAGATCACAGTGGTGAGTCCTATATGGGCAGTTCAATGCAAATCTTAAGGCCGAGTGATACATTGAGTCAAGCTTCTTCAGTACAGTACTTGGGGCTGATTTATACACAATGTCACAGTAATCAAGTAGAGGCAGTACGGTAGCTTTTATCAATTCCAAACGGAACATAGGGGGGAAGCAGTGCTTGTGTCGATACAGAAAACCAATTTTTTTTTGTCTTTTTACCAATATAATCAACGTGATCTTCAAAATTCAGTTTTGAATCAAGAATGACCCCAAGATACTTATAGATCTTGACTTGCTCTATTTGATAATTATTTAAGGAATGTAATTGGGGATAAAATCGCCACTAAGTCGCGCGCGATGAGCAACAGTGGCAACTCTCAGGGCCGCGGCGGCAGAGAGGAGGAGCTCGCCCCTCGTGGGCCGCACACCCCCCGAGGTGGCGGGGCGGCCGCGAACCACGCGTCGGAGCGCTCGGCCAGAGGGGCCAGAGGGGCCAGAGGGGCCAGAGGGCCCAGAGGGGCCAGAGGGGCCAGAGGGCCCAGAGGGCCCAGACGGGCCCAGACGGGCCAGAGGAGCCAGAGGGGCCAGAGGGGCCAGAGGGCCCAGAGGGGCCAGAAGGGCCAGAGGGGCCAGAGGGGCCAGAGGGGCCAGAGGGCCCAGAGGGGCCAGAGGGGCCAGAGGGGCCAGAGGGGCCAGAGGGGCCAGAGGGGCCAGAGGGGCCAGAGGGGCCAGAGGGGCCAGAGGGGCCAGAGGGGCCAGAGGGGCCAGAGGGGCCAGAGGGGCCAGAGGGGCCAGAGGGCCCAGAGGGGCCAGAAGGGCCAGAGGGGCCAGAGGGGCCAGAGGGGCCAGAGGGGCCAGAGGGCCCAGAGGGCCCAGAGGGCCCAGAGGGCCCAGAGGGCCCAGAGGGCCCAGAGGGCCCAGAGGGCCCAGAGGGCCCAGAGGGCCCAGAGGGGCCAGAGGGGCCAGAGGGGCCAGAGGGGCCAGAGGGGCCAGAAGGGCCAGAGGGGCCAGAGGGGCCAGAGGGGCCAGAGGGCCCAGAGGGCCCAGAGGGGCCAGAGGGGTCAGAGGGGCCAGAGGGGCCAGAGGGGCCAGAGGGCCCAACGCGAAGTGAATGGCGGACCCCGTACCAAGATGGCGCCCGGCCAAGGGGGGCGGACTTCGTGGTGGTGACGTCACCGCGGGTAGCGCCTGAGGCTGTCTCCATGACAACCGAGCCCGCGGCCTTGGGGGCCATCCAGTCAGTGCGAACGCATGGAGGGGGGTGAAGCCTCGATCATGCAGGTAGTCCCCGAGTTACGACGATAGTCCCCGAGTTACGACGGTAGTCCCCGAGTTACGACGATAGTCCCCGAGTTACGCCGATAGTCCCCGAGTTATAACGGCCCGACTTACGCTATTTCGATCTTACGATGGCGATTCGAGAAAATTTGCCATCAACAACCAAACATCGTTCAAGTATGCAGACGACGGATAGAATCTTGGTAAGTACAGTACAATATGATACGTTACGATACGTTCAATGCATGTATGATACGTAGCTTTAGCGATTTCATTTTAAGGTTACCACCATAAATTGCTTTGTTTTGCTAAATGATCACCATTCTTTAAGACTCCTGGGTAGGCTATAGGCCATCTTCGACTTACGCTGGGGTCGTCGTAACGCATCTCCATCGTAAGTCGAGGACTACCTGTAATGTGTCTACATTGGCCTTCAAATGAGTTAGATAGTCCGGCGGTGGACTATCTGTTTGCATAATCACGTGAATATGATTAACCCTTGATCGTTTCTGCGTGGATTAAATATCGGCCGTTCTATAGGATGGGGGGGGTCAGGTTCTGTGCCTCCTCCATGGGGGCCCCACCCCTACTGAGCTTCATAGCTCTTCGGAGTCTGAATAAAAGATTGTGCATGTTGTGGCTTTGCTCTCCCACACAACCGGTGTGCTGTACCAGTGGCAACCCGCTTACGAGCCGGCTGTGTCGGGTGGTGGCGGGTTTAACGACACCACCTTTGCGGACAGGATTCTGATTCTCTAAGTCGCAAAGTGTCGTAAAATCAGTGGGCGGAGCCCTCCACGTCGCCCCGCCCCCTGCCCCACGTGCGCTGCCCATGTGAACTGGGATTTTCAAGACGCGGCGCGTCCACATTTCCCACCGCGCATCGGCCGCTCCGACCAGGCAGCGGCGGCGTGGTGCGGGCCACGTGTTGAGAGTGAGCGCGGCGCTCGCTGCCTTCGTGTTTGCGAGCGCACGTTGCCGCTGCCGCAGCCACCACCGCTGCGACAGGGGCTGGACGCGAGGCGTCTCTTGTTTGTTTGGGGCAACAGCAGCAGCAGCAGAAGGTGAAGGTGATAGCAGACGCAGCTCGTGTCGTACTGTCACTCCACTGTCGCCATCGTCACTCGTACAGTGCTGCGCATCGCCGATGTGGAGGCACGGTCGCCGCTTAAATCGATTCGCTCTCCCGGCAGTTAAATCTTGTCAATCCGTAAGTATACATTGGGGGTGGGGTAACGTGGCTACTTCCACCTCTTCCAACACGTCTCGCCAGCGTGCGGGAGTGGGCCACCTCCCTCGGCGAGCTCGAGAGCTCAGCCTGCTCAGGGGTGTCCCGACTCTGGAGGAACCCGAAGACACCCCGCGTGTACACGAGAATGCCGGTGCACTGTCGCCTGTATGTTGGAAATTCCACATTCCTATGACGGGGGGCAGTATATACACAGGACAGTTCGTGCTTTACAAGGCAGTGCAACTATGGCTGTACGCGTTGTCTGTCAGGAGATGGCAGTGCAGCAGTGGATTACTAAATGCATCGCTGCGTCACCGACTGTCACCCCCAGCCTCGTGTGCACCGTGTGTTGCATTTTTTCCGGGCTCTTCGGTTGCGTCCCAACACAAATCCGAGCTCTCGTTGATGGCATTCTTTGGCAAAAAGCAGAGGCACCCCTCCTGCAAACGAAACCCGAGGCTCCCGGAGGCGCTCCCAATCTCAGCTATCACCCGTCTCCAATGCCCCCCCACCACCCCTTAAACTCACTTGACCCCCCCAGCACCCACTCTTTCAATCCTCCTCCCCCTTTCCACCACCATCTCGAACCTTACCTCGCCAATGTGTCTCCCTTAATCTTCCCATCCCCCCCTATCAACCCAATCATATCTCGATCGCAATGTCATCCTCCCGCCCACCACCTCTCCTATTGTTCTCTCACCCCCTCCACCCTCCCCAGTCCACCTCCATCCCCTCTCCTCTCCCGTCGTCGTACCCCTCCCTCGGTCCACCCACCACCTCCCTTGACCCCCATCATCCCCTCCCCTCCACCGATATATCCATCCCTTTGGCCTTTAAACTTCACCCCCCCCCCGCCCCCAGGGATGAGCGCCGTGTCCCGTGTCGGCCGCGCTCTGGCCGCGACCCCGGCGCGCGCGTTCGCGACCTCCTCCTCCTCCTCGTCGTCGTCGTCCACCACTGGGACGCGAACCGCGACCCGAACCGGACCTGGAACCGGTGGTGCCGAGCGGCGAGGGCAAGTCGCCAGGATCGCGACCAGAACCGGACCAGTGCCCAGTGCCAGAGGCCGATCTGGGTCGGAAGAGGCTCTCGCGGGGATTCCAACTTCGCATCGGCGTTCAAATCCGACCGCGACGCTGATCCGGACCGGCAGCCCAACCTGGACCGCAACCGAGAGCTGGACGTGGCCTCCAGCGCGCGCTCCATGGAGTACGAGGCACGTGCGCGTACAGTAGACACGTGCGTTCCGTGTACAGTGCGCGTGCGAGGCGTACACGCCGCGCACGTGCGCGCTCTGTGGACAAAGCGAGTTGTGTACCGTGCGGGTTCCTCTCTTAACGGTGTGCCTCGTCGCAGCGACCACGGGGTGGGTGTCCATGGTCGTGGTGCACACGGAGATTGATGTCTCTCTGTGTGTGTGTGGGAGTGTGCACGTGTGGGGAGCGGTCGTGTAGTGGTTTGCGCGCTGCGCTACGAACCCGGCCACACACGAGTTCGAGTCTGGCACGCGGCCAACATCAGTGACGATTGAATCGATCCTGGGCTTCCCCGAGGTCGACTCGGCCTCAAATGAGTGCCTGGTTCGATGTGTAAACATCGCCACTCGGGAAACGAAGGCGGCTGCGCGTGGTGCTGGCCACCCACCCCGCCGCATAGGCGCTAGTCGCTGACAGTCTGTGTGCGTTTGCCCATTGGACTGGTCGGTGACAGTCTGTGTGCGTTTGCCCATTGGACTGGTCGCTGACAGTCTGTGTGCGTTTGCCCATTGGACTGGTCGCTGACAGTCTGTGTGCGTTTGCCCATTGGACTGGTCGCTGACAGTCTGTGTGCGTTTGCCCATTGGACTGGTCGCTGACAGTCTGTGTGCGTTTGCCCATTGGACTGGTCGCTGACAGTCTGTGTGCGTTTGCCCATTGGACTGGTCGCTGACAGTCTGTGTGCGTTTGCCCATTGGACTGGTCGGTGCTAGTTGGCGTGCTGACTGACTGATAGCAGTAATGAGAATGATAACGGGGATAAGCACAGTCAGAGTTCATGGGGACTTTGATACCGGGCTGATGTTGACCTTTTGCAGTGGCGTCTAAAGTGAAGAAACACCACCAGCATGGATGGTTTGAGTATATCACGAGAAATGGTGGTGGTCCAGGGCTTTGTGGAGTTGTAGCCCAAGTTGTATTTTTTCCCCGCAAACTCATCCCGATCGCTAAACTATGAAAATGAAAACTAAACGTTTTAACAGGATTTCGCTACCAATATCATCCATAATAGAGGTGTTTTGGGTTCGATCGTGTAAATATATAAATGTGTCGTTAAAACCCGCCACAAATAATGATGAAGCTAGTTGTAATTACTGGTGAAAAGTCGTACTCGGATTGTAAATGTTGTAGCTTGGCTCACAACATTTAGTCTTGGGATATATTTGGCTAAACCTTTGTTGGTTACCAGAGTGTCGAGTAATTTAATTGACTCGTTGACCGGAACCCTCGTGCACAGAGAAGTCGCATCAAAACCTACGAGGATATCAGTCGGGTTAAGCGTAACATATTTTATTATATTTACGAGATGTTCGGAGTTTTTGATGAACGAAGAGGTCCTACCGATGTAGGGCTGTGTGATGCCGCCGCCGCGAAGCCGTTCGGCAGGCACCAAATCCCCGACCTCGCCACCACCAAGCAACGGAGCCGACCCCGCGTCCCCCTCACCTCACCTCACCTCACATGAACACACCCGCACTCATTTCCCCCCCCCCATAGAGCTCCGAGGGGAGGTCGCCTGGCCGACCGGTTTTTATCCGAGAGACCCTTATCGGGATTAATTCTCACGGTTTCCGGCGATCAGGGAATTGGATGACCTCCCCCGTGCTACGTGGCACCGCGGCGCTGCGGCCGGCCTTAATATGGTGTGGTCGCGGCGTGGGGCATTCGGCCACCGCGGTTGAGGCGCATTTCCCCCCACACACACCCCCACGAGTCGACGGGGCAAGCAGGGGAGGCACGGGACAGCATGAATAGCGGGATCACAGGGGCTGTTGCGCATAGTCATGGAGGGTTGGGATAATTGCGCTTGAGCGCGCAGGCCCCATTGTTAGGGAGGGTAAGGGATTAATTAGGATTTACGCCTTGCACGCCGCACACTGATTAGCATATCAACAGCGCCCAGAACCGCCGTGCGCGTGCCAGAGGATCGCGAGCCCATTGTTTAGCGCAGCATCCCCTTTGAGGTAGGGAGGATAAATAGAGGGGCGCAGAGGGGAAATAGCTCTCTTCTCTCCAGGCCAGCGGATCAGCAGTAGCTCCAGCCAGCGACCCGGACGTCCGTGCGACGCATCGAGGTACGCTGTTAGCGCAGAGAGCAGCGAACCTCCGCGAGCACCAAACAGTAAGTGGGGAGGTGAAGTAGGGTAGCGTAAGCCGATAAATAGGGAATAGGTACAGGTTTGGGTGGAATAGGCCAGCCTCGTCGACTCACTGATTCAACATCAATTCGCAGGTAACATATAATAAATCATTAATAGCGAAGCGTGGTCTCGCGTGATCTTGTCGTGCAGTGTGAGCGTGTGGGTGCGCGTGGGTACGCAGTGATCCTGTAGTGCTGCGGCTCGCCTCGGGGGAGCGCTGCGCAGAGCGGTGCGAGAGTGGGTGTCGTGTGTGCTCACTCCGTGTGTGATACAGGTGCGCGATCGTAACTTGAGTAGTCCGTGTGGAGTTGGAGTGCACGAAGTGGTGTGTGTGTGCGTACGTTCGTTACGTGTCGGATACGGATGCGCATTGGGAACGTGCCGCACAGGGCTATACTGCGAGCACGGCGTTTGATTGATGATGCTGTGCGCACGTATGCTCGCAGTGTGGGAGCGCGGCGCGAGGCTGTAACAGTAGGGGCGTCGCGTTCGAATGCCGGCGAAACCGTAGCGGGTAATAGGGAGGTGGGGTAACGTAAACGAAATAGGGGATGCAGGCGGGAGGGACCCCGGGGGCCAACGGCCCCCACAGCTGTATTTGTTTCGTTAGGTATTGTGCTAATTTGTACGTGGCAGAGCCTATTGTACTATGGGTCTTAATGCGACATCAGGTTTGTGAATTTTTGGTAGCCCATAGAGTCTTGGTGTTTTTGATGCCCTTGGTTTGATCAGGTATTGCAGTTTACGTGACAACCCTTACTAGTTAGCTGTGTCGGGTGGTGGCGGGGTTTAACGACACATTTATTTATGCCATCTAACCCAAAAAACCTCTTATGAACTAAACTTTTTGCTCGAACGCCAGCGCCGTGCGACGCTTTGGGTGACCGACGAGAGCATTTTTAATCGGTGAGATTTGCAGACGCACAAGTCTGTTCGGTGCAGAGATCCGATGTAAAAGAGCGATGCATCATTGTGCATATTTAACCGTCTTGTCTGAGGTGCACCGGCTTAGGTTGCGCCCTAGAGCGTCTTGGAAACGAAGCACCCATTCCCAACTCTGTCACAAGGGCACGGCAACCCTTCGCGTTCGAGAACTGCCCACGGAAGGGACGCCGCAGAGCTACTTTCTATGTTCCACCCAGTGGAAGGCAGAATTCTCCCAAGTTGCCCTCGCACAGAGACAGTAGTGTCCCATTGGTATGACGGTCACGTTGCTTTATGTTAATTCTCAGAGCTGGGATTGGACCAAATTAAATGTACAACGAGATTTAATGTGATTGGGTTTATTGTGCAGTCATTGTTGACCGGGGCTGAGACCATGAGCTCACGACACTTGAGAACCCGGTTTAACTTACATCCCAGTTCACGTGAGCCTATGCGAGTCTGGCGGTCTCTGTGTCGGTCGTCTGGTGACCCGGCTGAGAACATCGTCGACTGAAACCCGATTCCGAACCCCGTTGCTGCTGGCCTCAGCGCTCTTGACAGCTCAGCCACCTGGCCACCTCTCTTGCTGGTTGTGTTTGTGTTGCTGTGTCTGTATGTTCATGTTATTGTGTCTATATTTGGATGCTGTCGTGTGTGTGTTTATGTTGTCGTGTCTGTATGTTCATGTTATTGTGTCTGTATGTTCATATCGTGCGTGTCTGTTTTTGTTACTAGTTGGCTGGGATGTAATTTTTTGTTATGAGCTCAGCACAGCAATGTTGGTGTCACCTGCTGCATGGAGTTTAAAACTCCAGTCCTCGCGGCCCTCAAGAGTCCAGGATTTTGTGTTTTTGTGTTACCAATGTCGGCTCTCGGTTGAGGAGGCTACAAAGTCTACCCCGGGTTGTCCAGATGGATTTAATGATAAAATGAAATGTACTAGCATTGTTATCATCACTATCTCACAGAGACCCAGAGTTTCCGCAAAGAACCGTAGACCCACATAGAGACCCTTAAACTTTCACATAAATCCACAGACCATTCAACATGCGCAGAAGCCCATAGACTCACATATAAGCCCACATAATCACACAGAGACTCCTAGACTCACACACAGACCCATAGCTTCATATAGAGACCCATAGATGTGCATGTGGTGAGTATAGATGATGTGAGTGTGGAAGGTGAGTGTGGTGAGTGAGTTTGGACGGTGAGTGTGGTGAGTGTAGACCGAGCGTGTGGACAGTGAGTGTGTGGACTTTGAGCGTGTGGCGAATGCTTGAGTGTGAATGTGGTTGTGCTCAGGAGGCCATCAAGGTGCTGAACCGGCTGCAGACCAATGCCCAGACACTGGAGCAGACGCGACGCGAGCATGGCCGCCAGGCCTCCAACCAGCTGCCCTTGGTGGAGCGCTGCCTGCAGCGCTGCCAGATCAACGTGAGCACTCGCACGCCAGTCTGCCCTCTCTCGCATATGCTCACCTGCGCTCTCACCCAGCCGCTCGCTCACTCCTCTACACACCTGCACGCTCCCCTACACGCTCATGCACTTGCTCTCCTACCTGCTCGCCTGCTCGCTCACCTACGCTCTCACCCAGCCACTCGCTCACTCATCTACACACCTGCACGCTCCCCTACACGCTCATGCACTCGCTCTCCTACCTGCTCGCCCGCTCGCTCACCTACGCTCTCACCCAGCCACTCGCTCACTCATCTACACACCTGCACGCTCCCCTACACGCTCATGCACTCGCTCTCCTACCTGCTCGCCCGCTCGCTCACCTACGCTCTCACCCACCCGCTCACTTGCCGAGCCGCTCGCTCGCCCCAGCAGCAGCGCAGGCGTTGGTCATCCCGGCGGGGGTGGCCGTGGCCGGTGCCGGCGGGAGAGGTTTGTGGTGTCGCCCGTGACCGCTCGCCGTGTGCCGTGTGCCGCGTGCTGCGTGCAGGTGGGCGACCTCGATCGGCTCAACGTCATCCACGTGAGCGGCACCAAGGGCAAGGTGCGTCACCCGCAGAACCCTGCGTCCGTCGATGTGCCGGTCCTTTTGTCCGTCTGTCTCTTTGTCCATCCATGCGTCTCTTTGTCCGTCCGTCTGTGCGTCTGTCCAACCGTCCTGCATTCAGACGACCCGCGGGCATTCTCTTTACTATTTTAAACTTTTTTTTTATCATGTAAGGCCCACAGCTATATAGCTCTTTTTCAGAAACAACCTGGCCACAAAATTACAGCTCAACTTAGTATCTTTTCACATGGAAATCTATAGCAGCTAAATACTCTTAACACATGTTTCTAAATGTGGAGGGAAAAACAGGAGGACCCTAGAAAAATCTACGCGACCACGGGGAGAGACACGCAAACTCCAAATGTACAGGCATCAGCGTCGGGATCGAACTCACGAGCTCCTGCATATCAGACGAGGTATTTAACATCTCCCCGCCCATGCATTGGGGGGCGGCACTTACCCACCCGCTTTACAACCGAGAGTAACATCCGTCGTACGGCCGTCAAAGCGATATTTAAAGGGGTGGGTTTTTTTTTTTGCAGTCAGTCATCAACGCGCTACACTCGAGAAACCGGTTTAATCACGGACAGCGGCCGTGCCAGCTCAGCGGTCTGACCTCTGAGCCACATCTCCCTCATCCAAAATTTTGTCCATTAATAGAATTGCCGAGGGGAAGGGGGGGTCGTTGGGGGGCGGGGGGGGCGTGGTGAGTTGCTGCATGTGGAGGAAACAATGGGTGCTGTGCTGTTCTTGGATAGAGAGCGATGGGCACGTGGTGTCGCGTGGGTGGCTGTGAGTGTGAATTAGCTCTGCGTGTCTGCATGTGTGTATTTGCATCTTAGTCTTTGTGCCTACATGCCTTGGTATGCTTGCGTGTATTTGCGTGTGAGCGTCTGTGTTTGTGACATTCACAACAATGAGCGGAGTGCCGGGTGGCTTAAACACAATGATCTCGGTCAGTCAACCCATGGCACCTGGGGTTGTCCAGTGACCTCCAGCTAGCAGCGAGCCTTCCACACTTCACGCTTTAAAGTGCACCTAGCCTGGTGCAAGGGCTGTGGTGACAACACAATTACTTGGTGGCAAATTATGATTGTTGTGTTTGTGTGTGCATCTGCAGAGAGGAATGGTAGTGTAGTGGTTGGCGACTCAAGTTCAATTCCCGATGACAACCAATAACAGTGGAGAATAATTTAACCTGTCCTGGAACTCCCCTAGGTCGACTCAGCCTTGAATGAGTACCTGGTGCAGTGTGTATTAAACATCAGCAATAGGGAGACAAAGGCGGCCAGTGCGTGCTGTTAATTATCACCGACCCCCCTCTTGTGCAGTGCTGGGCTTCGTAGGTGCTCTCTTAACGGCACTTGCCCCAACGGTCTATATGGGGGATCTTTGTCTTTATTGTTGTCTCTGCGTGCGACGTCTGCAGGGGTCCACGTGTGCGTTCACGGAACGGATTCTGTACAAGTTAGGATTCAAGACCGGCCTGTACACGTGAGCATCGGGGTGACGGCGGGGGGGGACACAACCGCTCGCCACGCTTGTGGGATTTTGAACGTCACGTTCACACTCAAGCTAGTTGCGCAAACTCTTCAAGCAAACCAGAGTTGTTAATTTGTTTCCCATAATCCAGAACCTGCCTTTCAGGCGGCGTGACAAACGAACGACCACACTTGCGTTTGTCTGTGTGACGAACAGTCGCGTCCTGTGCCGTGTGGTGTGTGTTGCGTTGTCATGATGCGCCAAGATATCGTGACGTGACGTCACGACGTCACGTCATGTGCAGTTATGTGATGTTGTGATATGACGTAATGTGCCGTGATGTGGCGATGGGATGCGACGCGATGTCTTGATGTTATGTGCCATCACCACGATTCGCCAGACCGTGGTGATGGTTCGTGCCGCGATGTTGTGCCGCGTTTCACCTCTGCTGTGACGGTTTTCACTTGCTGCAGCTCTCCACATTTGGTGCAGGTGCGGGAGCGGATCCGCATCAACGGCCAGCCAATCAGCGAGCAACTCTACACCAAGTACTTCTGGGAAATCTACAACCGCCTGGACGAGACCAAGGCACGGCCTGCGCACCTCATCCTTGTGCTCCACCTCTTTATTGGCTTTCACATCAAGGCTGGCTTGGTGACATTCAGAACAATTTCTTTCCACTGACACATCTGATCCGAGCCAGCGCAGGGGGTTATCCGCTGGCTATTTGTCAAGCCGAGCCAGAAATAAACCGTGACAGACACGTTGCGTCCGCACACTGGAGCGTGTGACGTGAATGGCACCGCTCAGGTTCTACAGTGAAAAAACATGTTTGTTTAGTGACGAGGCTGGTTTAGAGGGGGACGGGTTGCTTAACGGTCAGGGTGCTGAGCCGGCAGCACTGAGAGCCACGGTTGCAGTCCGGGTTTTACCGCCTACAATTAATGTCTGTAGTGAGCTGATGGTCTCAGCTCAGTTACTCATGAGTGCACACAAAAAAATCAATCGCATTCAATTTGCTTTTGCACTAAATTCCGGCTCTGAAAATTCCGTATATCAGCTTGTCTGCCATGTTGTGAGCATTGCTCTCTGGGAAAGTGCTGCCCTCTATTATGTGGACCAGAGATCACTTGAAGAAGGGATCTGGGATGTTGCTCTGTAATATCCGCTTCCGTGGACCGCTCCCTAACACGAAGGGGGAGAGTTCCGAATGGATTCTCCGTCTCGTGACGATGGGACGCCAGTAGCGCGATTGGGATTACATCGGGGCACCAATCGAAGCGATGTGGCTGGTTCGGGGAAGCCGTGCCTGGTTGTGACGGCGTGAATCATTGTTGCCGTAGGATTCTGGGAACCCCATGCCCGCATACTTCCGCTTCCTGACCATTATGGCCTTCCACGTCTTCTTGCAAGAAAAGGTAAGAAAACATTCACATATTTAGTGTTCGGTTTAAGGTCATATCGCGTCATCGCCGTTCACGCAAATCGCGCCGCTCCCTGTCGCCAAAGAACCGCATTCGAGTGGGAAGGCAGCGGCCAGGCGACGATCAACCGGCACCACCAGCAATTGCCCAAGCTCTGTTGTCCTTATATATTGGGATGTATTCAACCAATTACCTCGTGTTGACATGTGGGAGGAAACCAGAGCACCCGGAGAAAACCCACACGTATGAGAGGGGGGGCGCTCTATCCCATAGGGACATGTCGCTGTCGCGCCTTCTGGAAAAGCCAGGGTATCGCGAAAACGAAGCTCCTTGACGTTGAGCACGGCGGCGCACTTTGGTTCACTCCCAAAACCACGACGGGCGCTTACTCCGGCTCCGGAACCTGCTTCGAAACCACCACTGAGCGGCGAATTCCGGGCAGCTCAAAATACGGCCAAGCAGGGCACAGTGACGCGGTGGCCTCGGTGGTAGCCACTTGTTGCAGAGGTGGCTGGTTCGATTCCAGCGGCCGCCCTGCGTAATACTGCGGTGCGCGTGAACCCTAATAATGCTATCGGCCTTCTTCTTCACGGTGGACTTTCAAGATCCCCGTGACGTTACGGCGTCGGGGTCCAAATTTGCTTAATTTTAAAAACTACCTCGCAAATAGTTCCTTTGCAATCCACCCAGGTCATGACTCTCCTGGGTAAACAAGCATAAGAATAACAATAACGGTAATGTATCACAAATCTCTGAAAAATATTTGAAAAGTGCAAAAAAAATGCGTCGTTCGCTGGAGCCAAGTTGATTGGCATTTCAAGTCCGATTGTTGCGCAAGACTCCATAACAACTTGCCAAAACGCTCGGTAGCCGTGTTTGTGTTTGCACAGCGGTGATGTATTAACGTGAGAGCGTAAATCAACAATGGGAGGTAAACACGTCGGTCCTTCCCCCTCGTGTGTGCATGTGTGGGCCTCCCCTAAGTCAGCTTAGGCTCACATGAGTACCTGGTGCGGTGTGCAACCATCACCGCTTGGGAGACAACGGCGGCCGGTCGTGGTGCTGGCAACCCCCACCGCCTTGTGTACCGTGCCGGCCTTCATAGGTGCTCGCTTACAGCACTTGATCATGCGGTCTGTTAAGGCTATACGGGGCATCTTTGTCTCAGCAGCTGCAACCGTGACCATTACCTATAAACTTCACCGCTGGGAAGATAAAGGCGGCGGGGCGTGGCACCAACCATAGCAGAGTCCGTTGAGGCCGAGGGGGGATGTTGGCTCGTTCCAGGTGGACCTCGCCGTGGTGGAGGTGGGGATCGGTGGGGCCTACGACTGCACCAACATCGTCAGGTGCCGCCCCCCCCCCCCCCCCCCTTTTTCAAAAGGTTCAGAATGGTTGATTTGACCTTCTGGTTGTTTGTCAACGAGGCTGGTGCAGAGGTAGCCGGGTGACTCGGAGGTCGGAGTGCTGACCCGGCACCACTGAGGTCCTGGCTTCCAAGCCATAATTAAACTGGGCTCTCTAATCGTAGTTGGATGGTGGTCTTGGCCCAGTTGCCAGTCACTCTCCCTTCCCTCTGCTTTAAATTTGGTTTTGCACTTCATTTTCCAAAATCCCAGCTCTGTCAGGCAGCGCGTGCTCTGCGTGCCGTGCCGTGCGTAACGTGCCGTGCGTGCTGCGTGTAGGAAGCCCACGGTTTGTGGAGTCGCCTCCTTGGGCATGGACCACATGAGCATCCTGGGCAACACCATCGAAAAGATCGCCTGGCAGAAGGCTGGCATCTTCAAGGTGGAGACGCCGTGCCCGCGAGCCACCCACGGTTATTTATTTATTTATTTGCTCGCTGGACTGGGACACCCCGGTGGTCGGGTCGATGTCTCCGCGACGGAGACAGATTTTGGAAGAGGTGGTCGATTTGATTGCTGCCATTATGTGGAATGTCCGATGCAGTGTGTTTGTGTGTACGTGTGTGTGTCTGTGTGTGTGTTGAGTGTGTGTCTGTGTGTGTGTTGTGTGTGTGTGTGTCTGTGTGTGTGTTGAGTGGGAGGGGGCGGTAGTGTAGCGGTTAGCACGCTGCACTATGAACCTGGCAACCCGGGTTCGATTCTCTCTCACGGCCAACACCAGTGACATTATCTGAACCGGTCCTGGGCCTCCCCTAGGTCGACTCGGCCTCAAATGAGTACCTAGTGCAGTGTGTAAACATCGCCACTGGGGAGACAAAGGCAGTCGGGCGTGGTGCTAGCCACCCACCCCCTCGTGTTCTGTTCCGGCCTTCATAGGTGCTCGCTAACAGCACTTCCCTCAACAGTTTGTTTAGGCTATACAAGGGACCGTTTTTGTTATTGTCGTGCGTTAAAGCAAGCACGCATGAGTAGCAGTGTGATGATGGTGGTGGTGGTGACAGGGTGATTTTGGATGATGGTTGGTATTGTTGGTGGTAGCGGTGGTAATAGTGACCTCGGCGCTGGTAGTGGTTAGGTGTGTGTTGAAGGCAGGCAGAGGTAGTGATCAGTGCTGAGGGCAGGCGAGTGTAATGGTGGGCATTGCAGGGCGACAGCGGGAAGAAGGCTTTGTGTGTAAGGCAAGCGGATGTAATGGTAGAGGAGTGCTGTGTGTTTAAGAGAGGAAGGTAAGTAGTGGGTGAGTATTGGAGACGGGCACGGGTTGCCGAGTCTCGCTGCGTCTGTGAAGCTCTCGTCGCTGGCACCGCCACCTCTCCCGCTTCCCCCCCCTCTTGCAGCGCGACGTCCCGGCCTTCACCGTGGAGCAGCCTCCGTCTGCGATGGCCATCCTGCAGGAGCGCGCACGCGAGCTCGACGTGAGTTGACATCCTACAAGCGAGCGTTTTCCCGCGTTATTGTGGAGCATTTTGGGTGAAAGTAAATATATACTATGTTCTTTCTCTCCACGTATAAATAAATGAACACGTTGGCTTTCCAGACCAGTGTTCTCGAGCAGCAGCAGCTGTGTAAGCAAACAAATTCTGTTACGCATCTGCTCACCGAATGATTTCGATTTCCCACGCTACCTGCTTCGGTTGAGACGCTGGAGACTGATAGGAGGCGGCGTGCTCCCCTTGCGCGGACCCTCTGTGTCCTCTCCACCCCTCGTCACTCTCTCCCTTCCCTCTTCTTCTCTCTCCTGTCTTAGTTCACAGCCGGTTTCTCCTGCCGATCCACGCTGCTGCCGGTTCACAAACTCTGCGGCGGACGCCGACAGCGCGACGGAGATAAAACAACGAGACGGCAAAACGTTAACTGTGTCGTTCGCTGTGCCCCCCCCGCCCCACCACCACGTGCGCAGTGCCCGCTGCAGGTGTGCCCCCCGCTGAGCGCCTATGCGGACGACGCCGGCCATCCCGATCTGGGCCTCGCCGGCGAGCACCAGCGACTGAACGCGACGCTGGCGCTGCAGCTGAGCCGAGCGTGGCTGCGTCGGTTTCCTGGGCCCGGACTCGGAGCGCCGCCGGCTCCGCCCACCACCCTTGACGGTCGGCGTGCGAGGGGGCGGTCGCGGTCGGCGTGCGAGGGGGCGGTTGATCTCGCGGACCGTAGAATCGCCGTACGTGTTTTCGGGTTGTTACCGCGATGCGATGTCCGACGTTTCGCTGCGCACATCGGGAGCTTCTGGAGAGGCTACTGCTGCATCCAATAGCTTCCAGCACTTGCATCGAAACTCCAGCAGGTGGAAGGAAACGTCGGACGTTGTGCCAAATGGCGCCCGGTACAATACGAAAATGCTTGGGCGAGGGGACTTTTATGTTGCCATCAATACTTCCGAAACTTTCGTTTTTGTTTTATTATTTTATTCCGCATCGTGCCGCTGTAAAATGTGCGAAATTCCGTGAGTCGTCGTCATCGTCGTCGTCGCGTTCTCCAAGCCGGTCGCGATCGTTCGGGCGGGGGGATTTGAGTGTCGCGACGCCGCAGTTCGCGATCGTAACCCCGAGTGGACTCGTGCGCAGACGGGAGCGAACGGGCACGCGAGGAGACGAAGACAAACGGCGACACGCACCATGACGCGCACGACTCTGCCTCCTCGCTGCCAACCGCCGACCCCTTCCCCCCGAGCCCAGCGATGCTGCAGGGTAAGTGGCAGGGTCCGGCCGAGCAGAAAGGTGCCCGAGGAAGGGAATCAACCTCGGGAGCCGTTTGCCTGCCCCCATAGCGGACGATGATCTGCGCCGTGCATGATCCTGCATGCCCGCCCGCCCGCCGGCTCGATCGCACGACGATCGTTGCTCTGCATTCCAGGTTTGAAGGAGACGGAGTGGCCGGGGCGCAGCCAGATCATGCGGAGGGGGCCCGTCACTTTCTACCTGGACGGAGCGCACACCGTGCAGAGCGTCGAGGTACCCCCAAACCCACGCCGCGGCGACCCCCTTCGTGCTCCCGCCGCCCAGCGCGAGGCGATGGACTCGTGTACATTCACGGGCAATTGTCGGCGACGGACGCCGGCCGGTGACGTGGTTGGCAAGGGACCCGGTGACGTGGTTGGCGAGGGATCCTGGCGCAAATGTGAATGGATCGGAGACTCGCGACCCACGACGAGTGGCGCTTTTACCAAACGACGATAACGGCGCAAGCCGTGCGTTAGGCCGTGGTGGGCGACGTGCGCGTGGGTGGGTGGGTGACGTTGGCCAACCGCATTTTTCTTCTAGAATTAACCCGAACCTGTGAGCTGTTTAGCCACTCGTAATATCTCTCCCACTTACCTGAACCAATTCATCTGGCAACTCCACCTACACCACTCTGACAGATCTCCTTTTAATTTCCTGTTTTCCCGTTTCGGTTTTTATGACGCCAGGTGCGTCGCTCAGACTTGACACCCGCCCTGTATTTACACAAATTCCTAATCGTGCCTCTGTCGTTACAGGCTTGTGTCGGTCGTGTGTGTTGTGTTACAATACAGTGTTGTGTCTCGTATGTGTGTGTTGTGTTACAGGCTCGTGCTGTGCGTGTGTGTTGTGTTACAGGCTTGTGTCAAATGGTTTCAAAAGAGTGTGCTGGAAGAAGAGGGGACGACAAGGTCTGTATTGCTTGTCTTGTTGGAAGTAAAAATGACGAGCAGTGTTAAGCGAGTGGCCGTATTGGCCCGGGTTAGTGCTGTTGGCTGTCGGTGTGCCGTGTCCGTCCATGCCTTGCAGTCCGTCCCACGCCTTCCAGTTCGTCCCACGCCTTGCGTGCAACTCCTGGGTGCTGTGCAATGCCCGTGTCTGTGTGTACCGTCGCGCTCTCAAAGTGCTTCAAAGCGCTTTGGCCACCACCACCACCACCCAGTGTTGCAGCAGCGATTATCTGTGAACCGGTCCTAGGCCTCCTCCCCTCGGTCGACTCAGCCTCAATTTAGTACCTGGTGCGGTGTGTAAACGTCATCACTCGGGAGACAAAGATGGCCGGGCGTGGTGCTGGCCACCCACCCCCCACCCCCTCGGGTGCGTGCGTGAGTGTCGCGGTGCGTGCGTGAGTGTCGCGGTGCGTGCGTGAGTGTCGCGGTGCGTGCGTGAGTGTCGCGGTGCGTGAGTGTCGCCGTGCGTGCGTGCGTGCATGTCGCGGCGCGTGAGTGTCGCGGTGCGTGTGTTGCCGCAGGGACCGCGTGGTGCGAGTGTTGCTCTTCAACATGACCGGCGACAGGGACTCGGCCACCATCCTCGGTCTGCTGCAGGTGTGGCCACGATCCCTGACCTTTAACCTCCCCCCCCACTCTCCCCCTTGGCCCCCACGACCCCTCCCCACTACCCCCTCCTCCCCAACACACGCAAAACAATACGCTGTGGATTTACACGGCCGAGTCTGAATGCGGGCGACCGCATCGCAAGACGCTGTACGGAACCGGTGGGCATGTTTATTTTATAGAGGCTTTGCCTCACGATGTCTCTCTCCCTGCAACCCTCCCATCCAAAACAGGCCTGCCAGTTTGATTGCGCGGTGTTCTGCCCAAACATCACCAACATCTCACCGGACAGCTCAGGTGAGCAGTTGAATAAAAACACAAAGTCGTCGTTGTCATTGTCAGCCGGTAACTTCTGACTGCTGGGCAACGGCCTCTCTGCCCCCATCCTCTTCCTTTCCCTCCTCTCCGTGGTTTCTGCTATCAAGTGGTGGCCTCTGAGCTCTTTGCTTGAAACCAGAATAAAACCCATTCATCGTGGATTGCAAGGGTTCTAATGAAGCTATCGTTAGTAGCGCATCTCACTAAGATGATGATAATGCTGATGAACAGTTGGTCAAAACAACAGCACAACTCGAAACAAAAGTTCCGTTCATCTTGACCACGTCTTCACGAGCGTCACCGTTTTATCGGTAAAACCGCTTTTCCCCTCGGCTACTCACTGCGCGTTCGCAGATCAGGTGAACTACACGGTCACTCCGGAGAGGGTCATGGCTCAGTGCGCGGAGAACCAGACGGCATGGGACCAACTCTGCCGCAACAGCACGACTCCCTCTCGAGCTGCCGCCCTCTGGGACCCGGACCGCGGCGACGCCGCCGCCCCCGTCCCACGCCCGCTCTCGCTCGCGACCTCCCGCAACTCCGCCATGCCCTCGTCCGCCGTCTTCCCGTGCATCTCGGAAGCCCTGCGCTGGATCGGCTCGGAGTGGGAGCCGGAGCTTCTGCGCGTTCAAGTTCTCATCACGGGCAGCCTGCACTTGGTCGGAGGCGCATTAAAATGTTTAGAGTCCGACCTCTCCTGAGATCGTAAGCTCGCCGGATCGTAAGGATCGCGGAGTCGTGATCTTGGTGGTGGTGGTGTACGACCGCTTGTGACCCTTCGCCCTGGTCAGCGGTTGTTGTGTCCTGGCGAGGGGCGATGTCCGGTCGTTGCCCGAACGATTTGCTGCCCCACCCCCGCAACCGCTTTGCTGAACTCTTAAGGGTCTTCGCCGTTGCCGCGCTTGGGCTTAGATTCGCGCTTCAAGGCCGCGGGTTTTTTAACGGAGAGTTCTGTGCGGCTCGAACACTGCTTTGTGGTCGTGACACGGTGGGGCGATACGAGGAGGTTAGTGGCTGTGCCAGGCTTGTTGTGTGAGCGATGTTGCAGTTGTAGCCAAGGGGGAGCCCTTAAGTAAGTGACATTGAGGGGGGCACGGCATATGGCTTTGTCCCACTCTCTAAATATTGGGAAGGGCAGCTGCGCCCTATTTTCCAACGTTACAGCTGCCAGCTGTTTTGAGCAAGAAACGCACCAACTGTGACTGTATATCCAACAGTGAACCGCTACAGCTATGCCAACCTAAGTCGTGTATTTTTTGTGGTTTAATGTAACTGAAGTATGCAGAAAGATTGCAGTTCACTCAACGTAAGCTACAAGATGTCCCATTGTTTGAAGCTATTCACCAGATTCACACGATGTGTAAGCTATCCCCGACATCTCTGTGTTGTTCTCTGGTGTACTGAACCAGCTTCATTGCTTTGGCTTATGTGCCAATTTTATCCCAATTGTGCCATTGTATGTCACGAGACATAATCTATTCGGAACTCTCACAGAGCAGTGTAAAAATGGCCCACGGAAGTGGATATTACAAAGTTACCAATTGGATCCCTTCGAGTGGACCTCTGGTCCACCACGCACGGGAGGGCAGCACTTTTCCACCACCCGTCCTGTTCGTCGCGCGAGTCAAACCGACATTTTTTACGATTTTCAGAGCAAGAATTTAGCCAAAATGAGTGCAGCTCCGTGTCAAATTGTATGGGTTATTTGATACCATGAGTTGATGATGTTGGTTCGCTGGTATGATGTGCTTAGAGACCGTGGTGTTTCGTCATTAGATCGATCGACCTACCAGAACAGGTGGAATGGGGGGGACGGGGAATACAAACACAAGTGACCTTTTTTCTGGATGGAATTGTTGCAATAAATCACCCTTGTTATTTACTTGCTGTGCAGCGCATTAAAGGTAACGCCTCTGTATAAACTGACAATTCTTTAACCTATATTATGGACAATATTGGTCGCGAAAGCCTACGTGTTAAAAATCCCTTTTCATGTCGGTTTATGCGGACCTCTTGAAAATGGCGCCCCCCCCCCCCACAACCTGCCTCCCGAAGGTGGGAAACCCCCTATGAGCCACGCCTATTGTGACGTGGCTGATGACGCCATCAAGCCCAACCCATGACTTCCTGTCCAGCGGCACACACGTTCTATAGTTTGAATAACTAAAACCGGTAATCGTTAAATAAATAATCACATAACTACAGGAATTGGATAGCCCAGAACTAGATATTACTATTCTCTAACCATGTATTGCACACTGTATATTAACATGTCGAAAATGATTCGTGCACTGTAACTGGTATTGGCTAAACATCCCCAGAGTTCCCTGAAATGTCCTCGATTGGGATCGTGCAGCGGCAGCAGCACCTGGCAGGACCCTCCTGAGACTGAGGCTCTCCAATAATGAACAACAATACAATGAATTTTGATGTAAAGCTTTCGTGACTGCAGGGATTCATATTCTTGGTTATTTCGGTAAAGTCACGTAAAAGGGAAATAATAAAATAATACAAATATTAAACAATTAAATTCTCACGACGTTTCGACTGCAACACAAGCAATCATCATGAGGTGTGAAATCCACAGCAAATCCACAATTTTTTTCAAATTTTCTTGCTGTGGATTTCACACCTGATGATGATTGCTTGTGTTGCAGTCAAAACATCGTGAGAATTTGTATTGTTTTCTATTTGTATTATTTTATTATATCCCTTCTACATGACTTTACCGATATGGCTTAACCCCGTATTCTTATACAGGGAAATTGGGTGTACATCCGTTTCAATAGGGGCAAACATTTTTGTCTATTTGTGTTTCTCCCTTTTGAGAGGTTTACAGGTATGAGATTTCTGCACTAAAGTTAAAAATTGTATTCATAAAATATACCTGGTTTCCTTTAGCCTCACGGTTTAAACGAGCAGAACAGGACAGCATAGATTACATCCACTGTTACCATCCAGTTTAACATGCGGCAGGCTTTCGCGACCAATAGCCATACGAGAGGCTGTCGGGTTCGATCGCGTAAATATATAAATGTGTCGTTAAAACCCGCCACCACCGACACAGCCAACTAGTAAGGGTTGTTATAATCCGATGACAATCATCGACGACAAGACAAACCGCATAAAGCATCGATTACCCACGCAATTCCAATGTATATCGAATCTACTGTGACGTCGCCTCGCCTCGTGACGTCACCTCGCCTCGTGACGTCGTCTCGTGACGGCGCCTCGTGACGTCGCCGGCCGGAAGAAGGAGGAGGAGCCGTCGCCATGGTGAGCGAGGCCTGGTCCCTTCGCCTCCGTGGAGCCGGCCTCGGGTCCGGCTCCCGGGCTCCGCTCCTCCCAATGCCCCCGGAGACTTGCCAGGGTCGGGTTCGACTCCCTTGGCGGGGGGTGGGGGGCTCCTGCGGGGCCCCCCGGCGTCGTAGAAGGCCCCTGAGTCAGGTTATTCGTACCCCGCCGCGGACCCCCCGGCTGGTGCTGGTTCTCTGCGGGGGTAGGGGCGGCTCTCCCTGGCCGCAGCCGCTAGTCGAGCACGGAGCTGAACGCACGCGTGTGGGATTAAATATGCTTAGCCCGTGAGTTTTAAAGTTAGTTTATGACTTGTTTAAATTGTCTAAAGTGGCTGAACTGTCAGATTTAAGTTAGGTTTAATTGGCAGGCTTAAAGTTGTGTTTATTGTGAGGTTTAATGTAGGGCTATGGGTGGCTTAATGTGCGGTTTATATCGACTGAAGTGTCAGGTTTAACACAGGTTTGTGATTTTGTTTGACTTGAATTGCGAGACTTGAGGAATCATATATGCGTCGTGTTCATTCATCTTAAAGTGCGAGGTTTAAGGTCGTACGCGTGGGGTTGCATTCGGCTCAGCAAGGCGAGCACAGCCGGCATCGCGAGTTGAATGAATTCACTGCTGACTGGAAGACTCTCTCACTCAAGGACACCGTGCGGGTCGTAGCAGTTGCTTTGGCCATACTTCACCACGCGGGTCAGTGAGCGGTGAAGGTGTTGAGTGGAGACGCGAGAGCTTAGACGTACAGTACAACACTTGCTTCGCTCCCATCACAACTCGCAGGACGTTCCGCCAGTTCCATTCATTATCGTTTGGCTTCGTATGACAGGGATTGCTGTACTGCCAATTGCTGCTGTGCTGTTATATGTACGTGGAATTTATTCCACTTCATTTGTTTAATGCAACCATCCTCTGGGCTGCCCAGTGTCTTGAGTCGCAATCATAATCTGTGTGCATCTCTGTGATGTTGTGATGATGTCCTATATCCAGGAACGCCTCGCGGAATCACGACTCTTTTTTTCACGAGGGGCATGCATCATACATAATATTATTTGGTTCCTTCATTAAAGTCACGTAGATAGAAAAAAAAATACAAATAAAGTGAATAAAAATATCACGACGTTTCGATCGCAACACAAGCGGTTATCATCAGGAAAAGGGGAGTTAGCCTCTAAAGGCAAACTGTTTATAAAGGTTTGGAGATGGACGCAGCCCAAGTGTATTAGCATCACTTTTGCCTTTAGAGGCTAACCTCTTTTCCTGATGACGACCGCTTGTGTTGCGATTCGAAACGTCGTGATATTTTTACTCCCTTTATTTTTAATTACTATTTTTCCTGTCTACGTGACTTTACCGAAAGAACCAAAGAATATGAATTCCTGCAGTCACGAAAGTTTTAAGTCAAAATCATACATAATGTTTGGCCAATTCCATCAACGGGTCTTTGGCATGTCATAGGAAACCAGAGTATCTGAAGACAATCCACCACGTGTACGAGGGGATAACTCTTGAAGCTGTGCGCAGATGGGTTCATGGGTACACTGTACTGTCATCCCCTGGCATCCTCAATCCAAGGGGGTTTGGGAGTTGCACAAATCTCTACGCGATCCACTGACATTTCCCTCCCAAGCGCTAAATCACAGGAGCACATTACCATCACCGCTCCTGGCCAGGTAACGCATCGCGACGAGCGTGTTGGAGTAGCAGGTGTGGGTCAGAGAAATCCCACCACGGTTACAATGGATGAACACTGTCACTACAACACTACGACGGATGAACACTAACGCACTGCATCCATCCGCCTGTCGCCTAGGGAACTCCGGTTAAGGACGTGGTGATTGGGCCCGACGCGCCCAGCTCCCTGCTGCTTTCCAAGCATGCGGACTACATCGCCGAGTACAGCTCCAAGAAGGACGACTATGTACGCCCAGCGTGCCTTGCGCGTTCACGCACTCGCACCCTCACGCACACGGTCAGGCGCTCGCACGCAAGCCGGCTGTGCTGCTCTCGTATGTTGGCAGGGATCAATGTTGTGCTGGTTGCCATCAGAGCTGACCCGGTTGATGGTCAGCGCGGGCCTGAAGGCCGTGAACGCAAAGCGGTCAGCAGCCAACTTTAAACGTGAACATCAGCACTGGGGAGGCGTGGTGCTTCCGGCGGCAGCCCTTCACATGCCATGCCGGCCTTAATAGTCGCTCGCTAACTGCACTTGTGTCAATGGTCTGTAAAGATCACACAGGTGGGGATCTTATATATATATATATGTGTGTGTGCACGTACTGTTTAGGATTTTACTCGAGGGATCCGTAATCTGTTATGTTTATAGGACTGAAAAGCAGAGTTATTGTTTGAGTAAAACCATCGTTGTTCAGTTAAGTAAAGGGTGAGGAGGGCATTTCAATGTTGATGCCCAGTGAGACAGTTTTATATTGTGTGGAGGGGGGAAGTCACGTCGGGCTTTTGTACACGTGGCAGTGAAGTGTTGCTTTGTCAGATAAATATGCAAAGATAGTTATCGACAGGCCAACATTTTAAGGCAAGTATGAGAGACAGTAGAATAGACAAGTTGCCCCAGCGGTCTGTAGCGGCTATGCGGTGGTGGGGCCTTCGCCCGTTCGCAGGAGTACTGCATCACGGAATACCTGCGCATGAGCGGCGTGTACTGGGGCCTCACCGCCATGGAGCTCATGGGCCAGCTGGGCCGCATGGACCGCGACGAGATCCTGCGCTTCGTGTCCGAGTGCCAGCACGAGTGCGGCGGCATCAGTGCCAGCCAGGGTCACGACCCCCACCTGCTCTACACGCTCAGCGCCGTGCAGGTAACTGGAGGAGCGGGGATATCTGATTCCCGAGGTAGTCGATCACTCGACCGATTATCGATTACCAATTATAATCCGTAATCGATTATCGGTCGAGTTACTCGACTCGTCCGGATCAGGAGGGAGTGAAGCAATATGTTGGGACCCTCTCTGAGTGTTATTCCTTCAGACTCTTCACCCGGAGCAACTGAAATGCCAAATAACTGCATGAGTAGTATCTGGCTAAATCAATTTTGTAGTTACAATTGGATTTATATACCGACTATGGCAGTAAACGAGATGATATCACCCCTATAATCCAGTCGCTCCACTGGCCCAATCCAATCCCAACCCGAGTCAGTTTCGCGATCGCACTCCCCGTCTTCAAAATCTTTCAAATAATCCCCACAACCCGCACGGCGTGGGGAGCCCCTCGACCAGCGGTGGTATTGACGAGTGTCGCTGTGCGCTCGTCTCGCCATCGCTAGATCCTGGTGCTGTACGACAGCCTGTCGAGCGTGGACGTGGAGAAGGTGGTGAGCTACGTACGCGGCCTGCAGCAAGAAGACGGTTCGTTCGCCGGCGACAAGTGGGGTGAGGAGATGCTGCGTTGACCCCTCTCTTGCCATAGAAGTTGAATTTTATTGAAGGATGCTAAAGATTGTATTTCTGATGTGGCGTCTGCATTGAAAGTGACACCTTCTGCCGTGCAGGTGAGATCGACACGAGGTTTTCCTTCTGCGCTGTGGCGACGCTCGCACTGCTGGTAAGACGCGTCGTTTCTCCGTAGGCCGCATAACGACTCGACTTGTACAATCGTCTCTTCGGCCGACTCGAGCGGGCCCCGCACGAGCGCGCCGCTTTCCTTGTCGTCCTCGCTGTGCGCAGGGCCGCCTCGACGCCGTGGCCGTGGACAAAGCCGTCAAGTTCGTCCTGTCCTGCATGAATTTTGACGGCGGCTTCGGGTGCCGCCCAGGCTCGGAGTCCCATGCAGGCCAGGTGATCGATCCGCCCTCTTGCCCGACCTCTCACTCACTCACCCACCCGCTCACTCGCCCGCCCGCCCGCCCGATCAATCACCCTCTCACCTGTTTGCTCATCCACTCACTCATCTGCTTCCTCGTCCAATAATATTAATGCTATTATGCTATCGGTGTCATGTCATTCAAACTAAAAATCTATTCAGAACCCTTGCAGAGCAGTGCAACCCTAGCCCCCCCCCGCCACCACCGTATTAGAGAACAGTCCATAAGTGGATATCACAGAGTTACCTCTGAGATCCCTTCAAGTCACCTCTGGCTCGCATAGGGCAGGGCAGCACTTTTGTCTCATTTGTACGGATTTGTTTCGATTCCTGAGCCCAAATGTAACATTCTCAGTGTAGGGAGCGGAGTATTGGGTGTGACGTGACTCGCTCGCACGCGCGGGTCTAGATATACTGCTGCGTGGGCTTCCTGTCGGTGACCGGGCAGCTTCACCACATCGACGCCGACCTGCTGGGCTGGTGGCTCTGTGAGCGACAGCTGCCTTCCGGCGGGCTCAATGGACGACCGGAAAAGGTAACGCCACAATCATACCATACCGCATCACGCCACGTCACTTCACGGTACACCGCGTCACTCCACCCCGCACCACATCATGCCACCACACGGCATCGCTGCACTCCACAACACACCATGCCGTACCACACTGCGTCATGCACACGCCACACCACACCGCACTTCCATTTGACCAACAGTAGTGGTACGTTTCGCTCGTCAAAACCGCTGTTGTGAATATTTTTCTGGCCAAGACGAAGAAAGCCTCAGTTATTGTTGTTATTCATGAGGAATCAAATATTCCAAATGAATATCGCAACCAAATATCATCCACGATTTCAGACCTTTAAAAAGCCACGGACATTATTCTTGACCGACTCAGATCTTTAGGTGCACGGCGCAGCACACCATCCACTGCATTACTGCTCTGAAGAATAAGATCAATTTCACATTGCGGTCTTGTCTTTTTAACATTTTGTTTTAAATCTCCCATTCCTTGTGTTCACCCTAAAACGGTGCTGCCACCGCTGCTGCGCACTTGTTGCCACTGCCGCCAGCTGCCGGACGTGTGCTACTCGTGGTGGGTGCTCGCATCACTGCAGATGATCGGGCGCCTGCACTGGATCGACCCCGACAAACTGCGGCGGTTCATCCTCGCGTGCCAGGACGAGGAGACGGGGGGGTTTGCCGACCGCCCGGGAGACATGGTGAGTGCCTGGCCGCGGGTGAATTACGGTTGTGGGCTCTGTAGGTGTGGGTTTCATCACGATGTCCGATGTTTGGCTCCATATGCCTGGAGCTTTTTCAGTAACTGAATTCAACTCGATTCGTATTCAGTTCCTGAAAAAGCACCCAGAACACGGAACGAAACGTCAGACATCGTGCCTAACAACATGCAGTACGACCCGAAAACACGTTGGGAGAGCTCATCACAACTGATGCCAGCTGCGGCTGGGAATCTAACTAGAGGAGCTGGGTTTGTCGTGCACAGTGGGCTCAGCACTATGCTACTGTTGCACCCATACACATGCACAAAAATACATAGACCACATGGACTCTTGAGGCAATTGCTGTAAGCTAGAATCTATGAAGGCGTATTAAAATAACAGCCAAAGCTGCCATTTGCCACTAAGTGATGATGACGTCACCGTGGCTCTTGTGCCAAGCTAGGTGCACTTTTAAGCCGTCATGTGAAGCGTGGAAAGCTCTCTGCTGGCAGGTCACGGGACGGACCCAGGTGTTATGCGTTGACTGCGATGACTGGCAAATGCACAACCTGTGCTCCACAATGTGCCAACTCACTCTGCTTTGCAAGGCTTGCCCCGTGAAGAAGGTCAGTGGGCATGGGTAGAACCCGTCGCTGTCGAAGCGATAATGACCGGCGGTTGAGAACAACTACGGAGTGGCAGCCAAGAAAGGGAACACGAAATTGGTCATGGCTCAGCTTGGTGGTGTTTTTGTCTTTGACCAGGTGGACCCTTTCCACACACTGTTCGGCATCGCGGGGTTGTCCCTGCTGGGAGAGGCCCAGGTGCGGCCCGTGAACCCTGTGTTCTGCATGCCCGAGGAGACGCTGAGGCGGATTGGCCTGGATCCCGACATCTTGGACTAGGGCGCCGCCCCCCCACCTCGCACGAGTCACGGGACACGGGGGCGTCGCAGCCGCCCTGGTTCCAGGAAAGCCGGCTCCCAGTCACGTGACCAATCTCAGCGCCAACGCGAAACTTGACCAACAGGCATGTGAACGATGGACAGGGTTAATATATACTCTTGGGTTCTTTCGGTAAAGTCACGTAGGTATAAAATAAAATAAAATAGATCACGACGTTTCGGGCGCAACACAAGTGTCCGTCATCAGGTGGGAAAGCATGCTTTATTTTATACCTACGTGACTTTACCGAAAGAACCAAAGAGTATGGATTCCTGCTGTCACGAAAGCTTCAAATCAAGAGGGTTAATATAGTTTAACATTCATCATTGCACTTAACCTGTAATGACTCATCAATTAAAGTTAATGCTCAACTAAAACCTTGACTCGTGAGTCATTGATTGATCAATTAAAAATCTGTTAAAGCCATCAATTAATATGCTCACGGCACATGCATTGATCAATTTAGGAATCCATTTATGAATCCTGGGATAATTGGCAAATTGTATTCAAGCGTTACGTACAAGTTGGAACCAGACAGAACTAAAGAGACCCAGTACAAATGTATAGCTGTGACAATATTTTATTTTTTGGTAATCCAAATTATGACAATTCACTTTGTATAAGGTCACGCGGTAATCAAATAACGATGTAAGATTTGTGACGTTTGATTATGATTTTACACCACTGCCAACTCTACTCACGATTTATCCCCCACCGAATGATCCCACGGTGTGCATGAATGTATCTGCCCTATGATGACTCTGAAGCTTCATAAATGAGTGACGTTCAGGTGCATACTGGGTATGTCAGTCTTTGGTGATGGACAGGGTTCAGGCACAGACACTCCTCCCCCTCCCCCACTCGGGGGTCCATCAACAGGAAGGACACGGCGTGTGGTCAGGTGCTCATCGTGTGACCCGACGCAACAAACGATGATGAAGCGGAATTGTGCGATTCCTGTTGGGCATTGTTGGAATAAATATTTTGTGGACACGCGTTAACATAGCCGATGGTTATTATTGTGCATTGGGATTGAGATAAATGCTGAAGAGGCCTTTTTAAAAGAAAAAAAAAACACATTTTTTTGTCCTCCGAAAGGTAACCCCCTTAAATAGTTTCATTTATTTGTCAATTGTTATCTATGGTTGCCTGTGGTCTTGTCGACAATGTGATATTTACAATCTGTCAGTATGCTTCTGTAATTTTCGAGGTGCAGGATATTCACCACTTTAAGAAAAAAAAATGGCATAGTTAAGCTAATAATTCTGATTTTGGATGGAAAAAGTAAGATGTACTTCCTGATGTTCTTGAATATGTAGCAGTGTAGCATAAATGTAATGCAGGAATTCACTTTTTATTTAAATATATAGCCACTAGCTTTACTATTCAGGATTCACCATGAACTTGGCTACCTTAGTCTCCCCAGTGGCAATGTTCACACACCACACCAGTTACTCATTATACAAGCCGAGTCGACCGAGAGGGAGGGGGCCCAGGACTGGTTCTAATAATTTAGTTTGGTGGCCGTGAGTGGGAATTGAACTCGGGTCGCTGGGTTTGGTAGCGCAGCGCTCTAACCACTACACTACTGCTCCCCCCCCCCCCACACATAAGCGCGTCCATAGGTACATATACACGCGCTTGCTGCAGACACGCAACTTTCAGGGTGCGTACGGCAGTAAACGCCTAAAATAAAGCAATTCTGCGCGAAGAATGCCTTAGACCTGCAACACATTTGCATTTCACTTTACCCGCGATCAGCTTCCGCACACGGGTCACATGACAGATGTGACGTCACAGCTCACATGCCGTGCAAATTATGCTTTATTGCGCCCCCCCCCCCCCCCAAAATACAAAAGTCTATTTTTATAAATTTTGCATGGTGTAGTCTGGAGAGTACCCACATGGCAAATTTAAAGTTTGTTGCAATTTCGGGAAGTACGCTAAACATTATGAACAGACACAATCACAAATTTCCCTTTTTTATATATATACTGTCGATGAATATTTCGCCATTTTACACTAAAACGACATGGGTTAGTATGTCGATTTTATTGGGCGAATACATTTTTGTGAAATTTCCCACTTTTTATCTCACGTGTGGCATGGCACGGCCTACACACAAGGAGGGGATTCACTCTTGGATAAATGCAGCCATAACATTTTTGAGGGAAAATTCTTTTTGGTATTTTTTTTATTCTGGACACCGTATTTTCATGAATAATGCCAAAAACGCCAGGGCAGTATGTGAGGTTGGTTCAAGATGGGTTACTAATTTGTTCAAGTCAAACACAGCTTGCACAGAATGCCTAATTTTCATTTACAAAATGTATTTAGCATGCATACTTATCCAAACTCGAGTTTTACTTAAATAGTCAAGAACCTTGGGCCACTTTTGTCAATTAAGGAGGCAAACTCAAGAGATTCTGTAATTTTTATTCAGCACACAAGTGCGTTTGCCACGCATACAAACATTCATTCTCTGGTTTTTATTGACCCGTTCAGCTACCACTTACCACCGATGTTAGCCATGGCAAGGAATGAGCTCGGGTCGCCAAGCCCATAGTGCATTTCACGAACCATTGCTCCCATATGCATGACGCTGCGAGTGGTGACGACCTTGGAACGCTGGACACCGCTGCCACCGCCACACATGCACTTCAATCACCAAAGACACAAAAAAATCACCCGTATTGCCTTTTTAGGGCACGTGCTGTGAGCAAGCACCTATGAAGGCTGGCACAGCACACGAGGGTGTGTGTGTCTGTGCGTGGGGCCCACAATATAAACACGGCAAGCCTCAAATTAAAATAAACAGACGCTAAAACAATCCTGGCTTCTCTACAAATAAACCCAACGGGACACGGAGATGAAGGCGGCATCGCTAATTCAACGACAAATCCAGACGCCACTCAGCGCAGACTGCCCGGCGATTTCCACCAACGCACACACACCTTGATTCAAGCAAATTCTGCCACAGCAGGGTTAGAGTTTGTGTGTGGGTTGGGTGGTGGTGGGAGGTGGGTGTGACGATTCACTCCCTGGCGATCTGAGGAATTGCCACCACTTTGAGGCCCAGGATTTGATTAAAGAATAAAAAGAAAATTTTTACTCCATGCGATATGAGTATTTGTACCCCAGGATTCAAATATTATATAATATTCTGAACCCAGGGTCAAAACTATGGAGTCAAAAGGCTACCCCACGCTGGCACCACTGACATCCTGGGTTTAAATCCGGGTTTCGGCCACTGCCTGCGATTAAACCAGGTTTCAAGTGCAACCAGTTTGATGGTCTCAGCTCAGTCACCAGTGACTCACAAAGAGACCCGTACACTCACAGGGACCCAGACTCCCATTAGACCCATAATTAACGATAAAACTATCACTCGTCAACAACACTGCCTTAAAAGAAAAAGAGGTACAATCAGCGGCGTTCATACGCTATGAAGAAGGGCCACTGCCCCCGACTTGTGTCTTTATAGGCCATTGCCAACGCAGCAACACCAAACAGTTTAATCACCGGGGTCCAGAGACCAACTTAACCCGAGTTGTGGTGAAACCAGGCCCTTAAACGTAGTGAGGTAAGTGGTGTCAACCCGGTCACCAATGACTGCGCAAAACCCCCATCGAGCATGACCAACAGCGCACACCGCCGATCGGCACTCGTGCCAGGGTTTCCGTGTGACCCAAGACCCTGTTACCATGAGTGGAGGTCGCAACGTACACACACACACGCATGAACGCACAAGCGCACAGGCAGAGGATTTCCCGGGAGACGGGGAGGGAGAGGAGGATGATGTGGGGAGGAAGGGGGAGCGGCGATAATGGAGGGGGGGGTCTTCAGGAACGCGAGAAAAGCGCTGGCACCTGACCGAGGAAGTAAACAAACACGGCCCACGTAGCGCCACCGCAGAGGTGGGCACAGCGCCACGGCACAAGTCCTGGCTCAGTGCCCACCCCTGCCCCTCCCCACCGGTGGGAGGTGGGGAGGTGGTGGGGGGATGGTGGGGGGATGGTGGGGAGATGGTGGGGGGATGGTGGGGAGATGGAGGAGATGGGGGGGGGGGGGCTGTGTTCTCGCTCGCGACTCGAGCGCCCGGTTTGGATTTCTGATTTCCCCGGTGGCCAGAGCGGCCATCTGGCGAGACGCAAAGCCGCATAACGGCATACCTGCACCACGGTAAAACAGCATAACCAGATATCCAAATAACCGCATATACAGTACAAATGTGTCACCGCACAAACCTCGCGAAATAAATAATGCGGCCGAAGAATCTGCAGCCATCACAGGGCTCTGGAACCAATCATGTAACGTGGTGTGCAGAGTGTGCGGTGTGCAGAGTGTGCGGTGTGCAGTGTGCGGTGTGCAGTGTGCGGTGTGTAGTGCGCGGTGCATGCAATGCATAATGTGTGCGCGGTTCGTGTGGCATGGTGTGCAGCGACGCGGCGTGGGCCGGTTACGTGTGCAGCGTACTGTGGCGTCGTGTCGGTGCCGCGCGGATTTGCCAACGCGGTGCTGCGTGGCACGGTGCGGTTTGTCGGTGCGCCGCGGTGGGGCCGTACGCGAGGGGCCATTGTGGCGCTCCGAGGGTCACCGCACTCCACCGCCGCCGCCTGCAGCCGTGGTGGCGGCGTCGCTAGAAGATGAAGGGGAGGTGCTTGGCGCCATACGCCTTGAAGAAGACGAGCAGCACCAGCGCCCAGAAGGAGAGGATGAAGGCGTTTGGCGGGTGCCACTCGCGACGCTTGCCCTGCCACCGCGCAAACCGTGGGCGCGCCGGGGTCACGCACAAGGACTTCTGGTGGCTTGCGCTAACCACATCAAGCCCACTATCCATAACCACACAAACCGCTCCGACACGAGCCCAAATCACACGAACCACCCGGACACAAATCCAACAGTTCTCAACCCGCGGGGCCTTTAAAGGGGAGGGGTGCAGGCTGCGGTATGGATACCGTGCAGGAGAACTTGCTAACGAAGCCTCTGTAGCCTCCTGTATGCTATTAGTGAGTCACTGCATGCCACACTTCATCAATACTCCCCCACAAGTGGGGCTTGGGAGGGTTGTGGGGGCCAGTGGTCTCGACTGGGATGCACCATACACCCTGTGCTCGCCCTATCCCTACCTAACCACACCATCAGGGTCACTGGCCCTGAAGTCTGAGAAGGTTATTCCAGCCTTAATAGGTGCTCACTAACAGTACTTGCTCCGACAGCCTGTTAAAGGCGACATGGAGGATCTCTGCATATGGTGTGTGTGGTGGTGAGGGTGTGTGTGGTGGTGAGGGTGTGTGTGGTGGTGAGGGTGTGTGCGGTGGTGAGGGTGTGTGTGGTGGTGAGGGTGTGTGTGGTGGTGAGGGCGTGTGCGGTGGTGAGGGCGTGTGCGGTGGTGAGGGTGTGTGTGGTGGTGAGGGTGTGTGTGGTGGTGAGGGCGTGTGTGGTGGTGAGGGTGTGTGTGGTGGTGAGGGCGTGTGCGGTGGTGAGGGTCTGTGTGGTGGTGAGGGTGTGTGTGGTGGTGAGGGTGTGTGTGGTGGTGAGGGTGTGTGTGGTGGTGAGGGTGTGTGTGGTGGTGAGGGCGTGTGCGGTGGTGAGGGTGTGTGTGGTGGTGAGGGTGTGTGTGGTGGTGAGGGCGTGTGCGGTGGTGAGGGTCTGTGTGGTGGTGAGGGTGTGTGTGGTGGTGAGGGTGTGTGTGGTGGTGAGGGTGTGTGTGGTGGTGAGGGTGTGTGTGGTGGTGAGGGTGTGTGTGGTGGTGAGGGCGTGTGCGGTGGTGAGGGTGTGTGTGGTGGTGAGGGTGTGTGTGGTGGTGAGGGCGTGTGCGGTGGTGAGGGTCTGTGTGGTGGTGAGGGTGTGTGTGGTGGTGAGGGTGTGTGTGGTGGTGAGGGTGTGTGTGGTGGTGAGGGTGTGTGTGGTGGTGAGGGTGTGTGTGGTGGTGAGGGTGTGTGTGGTGGTGAGGGCGTGTGCGGTGGTGAGGGTGTGTGTGGTGGTGAGGGTGTGTGTGGTGGTGAGGGTGTGTGTGGTGGTGAGGGTGTGTGTGGTGGTGAGGGCGTGTGTGGTGGTGAGGGCGTGTGTGGTGGTGAGGGTGTGTGTGGTGGTGAGGGTGTGTGTGGTGGTGAGGGTGTGTGTGGTGGTGAGGGTGTGTGCGGTGGTGAGGGTGTGTGTGGTGGTGAGGGTGTGTGTGGTGGTGAGGGCATGTGCGGTGGTGAGGGTGTGTGTGGTGGTGAGGGTGTGTGTGGTGGTGAGGGTGTGTGTGGTGGTGAGGGTGTGTGTGGTGGTGAGGGCGTGTGTGGTGGTGAGGGTGTGTGTGGTGGTGAGGGTGTGTGTGGTGGTGAGGGTGTGTGTGGTGGTGAGGGCGTGTGTGGTGGTGAGGGTGTGTGGTGGTGTGGGCGTGTGTGGTGGTGAGGGCGTGTGTGGTGGTGAGGGTGTGTGTGGTGGTGAGGGTGTGTGTGGTGGTGAGGGTGTGTGTCGCTCACCATTCGGATGATGTCTGCCACCGGCAGTGGATCCACGAAGTCGACCTCGAGAGGCCCAGGGCTGGTGAGTGTCTCTTCTGACCTGAAGTGCACAGCAGATGAGATCAGAGGTTGTCGGTTCGAATCCCGTGAGCCGCCCCGGTTAATACTGCGGTGTAGTAATTTACCGTGAAATACGACACGCCGTCTCTGCTTCATTCTCAGCGGACGTCAGAGATCCCGTGACGTCACTCGAAGAAGAGTCGGCTATCATGTGCCATCATCCCGGTACAAATTTGCCAAAAATTCAACATGTAAACCCTAATTGGGAAACACAAATAAGTCGCCGCGCCCCCCTGCTGCCAAATCTTGGTAGGAACCTCCTGAAAAAGCCTTGAGCCTTTCCTCGGCAAAACAAGTGTAATAAATTTTAACGACCATCCGACAAAATCTAAAGAGAAGCCCTAGACATGCCATCTCAGATTATCAGACAAAACTCTCGATCTAGCACAATCCGACCCAGATATCTTGAAAAGTGATCCGGCACAGCGGCCAGCGAGCCTCACCGCGGGAGCTCGGCGAGCGGGGGGCCGGTTTGCCGCGGCAGCGCCACGGTCTCCATCGTGAGCTCCACGTTGCGCACGCTGCCGAAGAAGTCGGTGATGAGCACGGAGCCCGGGTCGCGCGTGAACAGGTCCGTGCGCCAGCCCGGCGTCGAGATGCAGTCGCGCGGAGGGCACACCTGGAACTATGGGGGAGCACATGCGGACACAAACACACACACACGCACGCAGACACATGGACACATACAGAACTATCACTTAAACACGCAAACACACACACAGAACATGGACAGACAGAGCTCGCATTCACACACCTGGAACTATTGTGGTGGTGGTAGCAGCAGTGATGGTGAAGGAAATAGGGATGATAGTAGTAGCTGTGGTTATGGTAGTTGGTAGTGGCGGTGGCAGTGACGGTGGTGGCTGTGGTGGCCGTGACGGTGGTGGTGGTGACGGTGGTGGTGGTGACGGTGGCTTTGACGGCGATGGTGTTGGTAGTGGTGGCGGGCGTGACGGTGACAGTGATGGTGGTGCTGTCCGTGATGGAGGATCGTAACACACCAGGTCGGTCATGGTCTTGCGGGTGGCTGGGTGGATGTTCTCCAGGAAGTCGAGCAGGTGGTAGGTGTAGCGGTCAATCACAAACACGCCGATGCTCGAGTCCATGTGGTGCTGGTCGACCCCGGGGAGGGGTGGACATCAGGGAGGAGACAGCGGTGAGGGTCGTTAGCGGTGGGACATTCACGCTAAAGAGCGTCCAGCGGTGGAACTGTTCACCCCCTTCCCGGCGACTGTTGCGATTCACAGCGTTGTTCTTGTTTCCCAGCGGTCTGACCCCAACTGCGCTTTTGCCGTCGCGGCGTCGTGAGACAAAGAATCCGTTTGGAACCCTCACAAAGCAGCGAGACCCTCCCTATTCTAGTACAGCCCATGGAAGTGGATATCACAGAGCTACCTATGAGAACCTTTCACTTTGCAAGGCCAGTCTTGTGAGCAAACTGGGACCATCAAACTTACCAAGTTTGCTTACTCAGGAAATCCTCATGACTCCCTTTCAGGAAGGTCCTGCCAAGTTATTATGGGAGAGGGCGATGACGATCGATCCGTGAATTGCGATCGAGAATTGTACGGGAGTTACACTTTGGGAACGCGGCGCTTCAGGTGTCTCCGACCCCACAAAACTGCCCGGCCACCTCGCCGGTCACTCGTTTTAGGCCTAGTCAACCTAGGGAAGGTCCACACCAGGGAAGGCAAGCGGGCGGGGAGTCAGACACCCAGGTGAGTTTGGGCGAGCGGCAAGGCGGCCCTCACCGATAGAGAGTCCTCTCCGACCTGGCTGCTCCCGATCGCCATGACGTTGGGGGAGTAGAAGCGTTGGTACAGAGACACGGCCTGGCACGTGTCCACGATGAACAGCACCTCGTGGTACCTGCGGGCACACATGATACCACGTGATACCTGGAAATACCTCTCACACCCGCGCCTCTCACCGTCTCTCTCGCGTCCTCTCTGAACCCTCAGATTACACGGAGAGCCGTAGACTCGCAAAGATACCCGGAGACTCGTGAAGCGATCGGTGATCGGCCGCCTCTATAAAGTAACATGGATACACAGAGACGTGCATAGGGACCGACACTCACACAGACACCCAGAAACTCACATAGGGTCCGGTAAGATGAAACAATAAGAATAGGCGTCACCCTTTCTGGCAATAACACACTGGTGTTAAGATGTTCAAACAACAAATAGACGTCCATTGCAAGGCATCAAGTCTGCATTAGCCACATAGATATTCACCGGCTCTCATAGAGCTCCATAGACTTGCACAGACACACAGAGACTAACTTAGGGAGTTGACAGACTCGCATCTTAGATAAGCAGAGACTCGCATAGACCTATGACTGGCTCTCTCTATAAGTGAAACATGTCCACTCTTTCTGCAGAGCATCTTGAAATCACATTTTTCAATAAATCCATGTATTGTACTACGTAAACTCACACGCAGCACTGTAAACTCCCAAAGAGAGCAAAAGGCTCACATAGAGTACCATAAACTCACAAAAAGCCCCATGGACTCACATAGAGACCCATCGATGCTCACAAGAGACCCATAGAGAGAGAGAACGAAACTGGGAGAGCGGAGTGAGCTGCCTCTGGGATTCGCTGCCGATTTCATTTCATCCCAGACAGTGTTGGTAGCACAGCATGCTGTCCGCTACATTACCGCTCCCCGCACGCTGATACGCACACACCAATACGCGCACACACAAGCAGTGGCTGAGACAGATTGAGACGGAGAGAGTGAAAATCCTGCACTACAAAAGAAAGGGTTTCACAAACGCTCTTTGGATTTTATTTTTTTCATCTACATCTGACGCAAGCTTTGCTGCAGAGAAGCACGGACACCATCACAGACGCCTTCCAACGGAATCGCAAACAAGACGCATGCATCAACTTCTGAGCATGCGTGCGTGCGTACATGTGTGTGGGCGTGCATGTGCAGTGGTTAGTGCACTGCACAACAAACCAGGAGACCCAAGTTCGATTCGAACTCATGCCCCATAATAGGGACGAATATTTGAACAGATCCTGGGCCTCCTGTAGGTCGACTCAACCTTAAATGAGTACTTCGTGCAATGTATAAACATCAGCACTCAGGAGACAAAGGCGGCCGGGTGTGATGCTGGCCACACCGCTGCATCATGAGTCGTGCCTGCCTTCACAGCTCACTAACCGCACTTGCCCCAACGGTCTGTTAACGGCTACATGGGGGATCTTTGTCTTTGTGCGAGTGGTGCGAGGTTCAGCCTCACCGCTGCTTCTGCCACATTTGCTCAAACGCGTCGGCGAGCTCCACGTTTGAGATCTCCTCTGCGTCCTGGAACTTCAGGAAGCCATCTCCACCGTGTCCTGAGTGCGTCAAACACACACATACCCAAAGTGAGCGTCACCCATACACCCACAGTGACCGTCACACACACATCCACAGTAAGCGCCCACGCACCCACACACCCACAATGAGCATCACACACACCGACATAAGCGTCACACACACACACACATACCCACAGTGAGCGTCACACACCCACATACCCACAGTAAGCATCACACACACACGCACAGTGAGTGTCACACACACACACCCACAGTGAGCGTGTGTGCCTGTGTATGTGTGTGCGTGTGTATGTGTGTGCGTGTGTATGTGTGTACCTGTATATGTGTGTGCGTGTATATATGTGTGCGTGTGTATGTGTGTGCCTGTGTATGTGTGTGCCTGTGTATGTGTGTGCGTGTGTATGTGTGTGCCTGTGTATGTGTGTGCGTGTGTATGTCTGTGCTTGTGTGTGTGTGCATGCGTCACACCAGTCATGTAGATGAGGATGTTGCTGCGATCGTCCGTGAGGAGCCGTTTGGAGCGGGGAGTGCTGGGAGGCAGCCTTCCCGTCAGCACGCGCAGAAAGTTCTCCACCGTCACCTGCCGGGCCCAGCGGTCGCGACGCTATCAACACGGCAATAGCCACTTTGAAATCGTTTGGCCCCAACAGATACACGTCGCCCCTCACCGCCAAATCAATAGCGACGTCACCCCACGCGATGGAGCGGCGAGCAGGAAGCTCAAGCGGCAGAGCGCGAAGGCGAATTGACGGTGGATGCGTGGTGGTGGTAAAGCGACGGCGCGTGGTGGAGTGGAGCGACGGCGCAGTGGTGGAGGTGGAGCGACGGCGCGTGGTAGAGGTGGAGCGACGGCGCGTGGTGGAGTGACGACGCGTGGTGGAGGTGGAGCGACGACACGTGGTGGAGGTGGAGCGACCGTACTAAAATGTAGACTGTGGGGGGGGGGGAGATTGTGTGGCGAGGTGGACCGTGCCGGCAGGACCTCGTATCCGCGGTAGTCCACCTCCACGTCGTCCCCGTACACGTTGATCTGCTCGGCCGCGTTGTTAAACACGGTGGCGGGGCGGGGGTTGCGGGGGTTGCACGCCATGTCGTCCGCCAGCATCAGGATGATCTGGCTGTGGGACGGCCACGCACAACCACAGCACTCAACCACAGTTCACCTCATCCGCTCCCCGTGCACCCTACTCCCGATACTCCCTATAGTTATTCGTGAAATAATGCGGACAGTTTAGTTAATTTGGCACTCCTCTTCGTAACCACTGTCAACCCTGCTCCCTTTTAAAAAGGCCTACGGGAAGGGATATTTGGATGCACTAATTGTAACATAAAATTAACAGCCATCTATTGTTGAAGATCTCCCCATGTTGTGTTGGTCGTGAGGGTTGTTTCACCATACTTCACCACGCTGGTCAGCGTGGGTTAAAGCCAGGGGTGGGGTTCCTAGGAATGGTTGAAATATCACTCGCTGCCACCAATGGCCGGGTTCACAGCGCAGCGCACCAACCACTGTGCCCCACCGCTCCATACTGGGTGGCTCTAACAAATGATACAATTACGACACCAATGGGGGGAGGCCATTCTGCCAGCAGCAGAGTGGGCAAGCAGTTAGAGGGTTGCATCTGCAATGTGAATACGACGCACCTGTCCGGAATGCCCAGACGCTTGACGCTGCGGTAGACAGACAGCACGTTGGCGACGTGGCGGTAGTTAAACCAGAAGCGAGATGTGCACACCTTGAGAGGAAAACACACACACACAGAGATCCCCACAGGTAGCCTCTATAGACCCACTGGGACAAGAGATGTAAACAAGCGATTGTTCAGGCCGTCACGGCACACGAGGGAGTGGTGTGACCAAACTTACAGCCGGCCACTTATTTCTCCCTGGCAAATGTCAGCTCATCTCAACCATGCCGGTGCCATGCTGCAGTCCAGCCGAGGGGAGTCCAGCGGCAGCTGTCCCTGTGCAGCGCCAAGTGTACGCGGCACCGACCTGCAAGCGGGCGTTAGTCCGCGTGTAGGGGCTGATGTTTCGGTGAGGTTCATCATAATATATGCTAGGTATTTATAAGATTTGGAAATGTTGGACCGTGGCAGCCACACGCGTGGTCTGCTCTGTGTAGAATCACGCCAGGTGATCTTGAACTTCCACCATGAAGCGGAGAGTGCTTGGCGTTTGTGGTTAATACGCACGCAGTATTAATGAGGGCGGCCTCTGGGCTGTAACCATCCAGGAGCAACACTCACCAGCACCGCCCAGTTGTTGGTATGGCCACTTTTGAAGAAATGTTCAGTTTGTCCCTGAATCACACAGACACACCACACGCAGCCGGCAACCTGAGTTAGATTCCTGGCCACAGGTAACATCAGTGGCGAGCGAGCGAGCGACACCTGAACCGGTCCTGGGCTCCCCTCCATACTTTACCAACCTGCACTGAACATCGTGGTGAAGTATGGTCAAACAATCCACATGACCGAGGCGGCTTGTGTGTAAGGGAGTTCTCAACACAGCCTGGGAGTGTAGCTACAAGAGTCGAGGAGTAGTCCTACACGGAGCCGGCAGTGTGGCCAGCCCCACGCCGACCGCCGCCTTTGTATCCCCACTTCTGAAATTCACCGCCACCCAAGTGGTAATCATGTATGTGCCAGTCAGCCCACGGGAAGCTCAGTGCAGATTCATGCACCACTCAGCCACACACACAGAAAGCAACGTCTGCCATCATTCATCACCATGCAGCGGTGATTTCAGCACGGCTCCTGTACCAGGCTAGGTGCACCTTTGCGTAGACGCATGTAGCTCGCTACCGCAGGAAACGTGTATTTTGCGGGTAGCGTCTGCCTTCACACCTGTACGTCTTCAGCCGTGGAGGCGAGGAGCCCAGGAAGAGGGAGGAGGAGGAGGAGGAGGGAGACGAGGAAGAGGAGAGGGAGGCCGGGCCCGGCTCGGCACGGCGAGCGACGAGACGCGGCCATCGCTGCAACCGGCAACACCACGGGAGCGGTGACGTCACGGAAGCCTCAGGCAGCCATCTTGGTCGGGGATAGAATCGATGACGGCCGCGCTTTCCATTGGCTCAGGCCGAGGATTCGGTAGTGACGTCACGGCTGTCTCGACCTATAGGAGAGGCGACAGGCCCCCCTCCCACTCCCTTAGTAAGATGGCCGCGCGACGCGGGATTGTATTTGCTAACACGCATGCGCAAAATTAATCGTCCGTGTTTGTGTGATGTGGGAAATGTGAACGTCTGCGCGAGACAAGCACAGCGACAGCAAATCGGCGATTTCGTCAACAAACGTCGCGACATCATCACGACGGTCACGTTTCATTCACAAGCTTCTACTTCGTTGTCCACCAGCGCCACGCCGAGTCGTGGGGCGAGTTCTCAGGAGGCTCCCGCTGCTGGCGGTTTTTTTTAAATGTGTAAGATGTTCACAGACAATTAACGAGGAGCCGTGCTGGTAATTATTAAACACGTGGGAGGGAGACGGAGCAGCCGGAGATGCCCCCCACGCTCAGTCAGCGTACAGATGGAAACCCCCGCGACCCCCAACAAATATGACAACAAATATGACGTGTACTATATTCTTGGTTCTTTCGGTAAAGTCACGTAGAAGGGAAATAATAAAATATAAATATAAAACAATAAAAATTCTCACGACGTTTCGACTGCAACACCTGATGATGATTGCTTGTGCTGCAGTCGAAACGTCGTGAGAATTTTTTTTGTTTTATATTTATATTATTTTGTTATTTCCCTTCTACGTGACTTTACCGAAAGAACCAATAATATGAATCCCTGCAGTCACGAAAGCTTTAAATCAAAATGTATGACGTGTACTGTTTGTCACTTACTCTTAGATTTTTTCACGTAGGTAAAAATAAATAATATAAATAATAATAGAAATAAAATAATAAATCACGATTTGTTAAAATAAAGTAAAATGCTTCAAAATTAAATACACAGATTTTTAATTATTGTATTGTTTCCCTTCTACGTGACTTTACCGAAATAACCAAGAATGTATTAGTTCTTAAGCACATTGTACGCTCACGTTACAAATACAACGGGGTTAAATGATGCACGTGCGACGGTGCCGAAGACCAGCGGCGTCAAGCTCGGCCCTCACAGCAGCAGCAGCAGCAGCGAGTTGGCAGTGTAGGGGGCACAGCTGCTGGTGGTGGTGGTGGTGCATCAGCCGGTCAACTCAATCAGTCGACCCGTGGCACCTGCAGGGTCTGTCCCGTGACCTCCTGCACCTAACCTGGCACAGCAGTCAAGCCGTGGCACCTGCTGAGTCTGTACCGTGACCTCCTCCTGCACCTAGCCTGGCACAGCAGTCAACCCGTGGCATTTACTGGGTCTGTCCCGTGACCTCCTGCACCTAGCCTGGCACTGCAGTCAACTCACGGCACCTGTAGGGTCTGTCCCGTGACCTCCTCCTGCACCTAGCCTGGCACAGCAGTCAACCCACGGCACCTGCAGGGTCTGTCCCGTGACCTCCTGCACCCAGCCTGGCACAGCAGTCAAGCCGTGGCACCTGCTGGGTCTGTACCGTGACCTCCTCCTGCACCTAGCCTGGCACTGCAGTCAACCCACGGCACCTGCAGGGTCTGTCCCGTGACCTCCTCGTGCACCTAGCCTGGCACAGCAGTCAACTCATGGCACCTGCAGGGTCTGTCCCGTGACCTCCTCCTGCACCTAGCCTGGCACAGCAGTCAACCCGTGGCACTTACTGGGTCTGTCCCGTGACCTCCTCCTGTACCTAGTCTGGCACAGCAGTCAAGCCGTGGCACCTGCTGGGTCTTCCCCGTGACCTCCTCCTGTACCTAGCCTGGCACAGCAGGCAACCCGTGGCACCTGCTGGGTCTGTTTCGTGATCTGCACCTAGCCAGGCACTGCAGTCAACCCATGGCACCTGCTGGGTTTGTCCCGTGACCTCCTCCTGCACCTAGCCTGGCACAGCAGTCAACCCGTGGCATCTGCTGGGTCTATACCATGACGTCCTCCTGTACCTAGCCTGGCACAGCAGTCAACCCATGGCACCTGCTGGGTCTGCCACGTGACCTCCTGCCAGCGAGCCTTCGACAACTTAACGTGGCTTCAAAGCGCCCCTAGCCTGGTACAAGCGCCGTTGTGGCGAATGTTGGTTGGTGTTGGTGTGCCTCAGCGTGCCACAGAGTCTGTTGGCGTGAGTGGGGAGAGGGTTTGCGAGTGTGAGAGAGTCGAGTGTGTGAGTGTGATTGTCCCTTCGAGTGTCAGGGTGCGAATGCAATGTGTGGTGTCTGTGCGTGTGTGCAGTGTTTCCGTGCGTGTGTGTCTGTGTGATGGGGAGCTGTAGTGTAGCGGTTAGCGCGCTGCGCTATGAACCCAGCGACACGGGTTCGATTCCCGCTCACGGCCAACACCAGTGACGATTATCTGAACCGGTCTCGGGCCTCCCCTAGGTCGACTCAGCCTCAAATGAGTACCTGGTGCGGTGTGTAAACATTGCCACTAGGGAGACAAAGGCGGTCGGGCGTGGTGCTGGCCACCCACCCCCTCGTGTGCCGTTCCGGCCTTCATAGGTGCTCGCTAACAGCACTTGCCCCTACAGTCTGTTAAGGCTATACGGGGGATCTTTGTCTATGTGTGTGCAGTGTTTCCATGCGTGCGTGTTTGTGTCAGGTGTTTTCACGTGTCTGTGTTTGTCTAAAACACGTGTATGGGTGTCTCTGTGGGTGTCTCAACGCGCGTTTAGATTATTTGCATTTCCACACGACGATCAGCCACTTCGTGGAGCTATCATTTGTGGCCATGTCGCTTCTGAGACAGAAGCTAATAGCTCAGTGGGCCTTACCTGGTAAGATAAAACAAAAAGTTTAGTTTCATCTTCTTGGTTCTTTCGGTAAAGTCACGTAAAAGGGAATACAAATAAAACATAATAAAATACAATTCTCACGACGTTTCGGCCACAACGCAAGCAGCCGTCCTCAGGCTGCTTGCATGGATATGTCTGTATGTGTGCATGTCTCTGTATGTGTGCGTGTGCTGCCCAACCACCCCCTCGTGTGCCGTCCCGACCTTCAAGGGTGCTCTCTCTCCAACAGCACTTGCCCCAAATATCTGTGCAGTCTATACGGGGGAACTTTGTCTTTGTGTGTCTACGTGGGGGAGCGGTGGTGTAGTGGTTATCCCACTGCTCTCGCAACCCGGCGACCCGAGTTCGATTCCATATCACGGCCACCAACGCCGATGACGATCATCTGAACTGGTCCATTGCCTCCCCTAGGTCGACTCAGCCTCAAATTAGTACCTGGTGCGATTTGTAAACATCGCCATTGGGGAGACAAAGGCGGCCGTGCTGTTAGCGAGCACCTATGAAGGCACGGCCTGTAAAGGCCACGTGGGGTGTCTTTGTCTCTATGTGTGCGTGTCCATCGAGAGAGCGAGAGGGGCCGGGCTTGTCTGCTGGCGGTGGCCCGCGTCTGCTGAGCACGCGGGGGCCCCGTGCGCTGGCGTCGTGGGAGCGAGAGGAGAGGAGGCTGGGGAGAGCAGAGAGAGCGAGAGGAGAGGGGGCTGGGGAGAGCAGAGAGAGCGAGAGGAGAGGGGGCTGGGGAGAGCAGAGAGAGCGAGAGGAGAGGGGGCTGGGGAGAGCAGAGAGAGCGAGAGGAGAGGGAGAGCGAGAGGGGGAGAGGGGCAATATGAATATCAAGAGGAGAGGGGGAGAGGGAGAGGGGGAGAGGAGCAATAGGAATATGAAGAGGAGAGGGGGGAGAGGGGGATAGTGTGGAATATAAAAGAGAGGTTGGGGAGCAGAGGGAGGGAGGGAGAGTTGGTAAGAAGGAGGGAGGGTGAGAGTGAGAGAGAGAATGAGGAAGAGAGGTGGAGAGCGGAGGGGTGAAGAGTGAGTAGAGAGCGAGGGAGAGCGGTTGCGAGACGCGGTGTGGAGAGAACGAGAGGGATAAAGTGATAGAGAGAGAGAGACAAGAGCCAGGAGGAGAGAGATGCACGGGATGTGACAGGGGGAGAGTGGCAGGGAAAGAAGTGAGAGCGGGGAGAGTGAAAGCAAAAGAGAGAAAAAAATACGAAATGATGAACGAAGCAAAGTGCCTACTACACCGAGCATCTTCTTGTTTCCACTGATCGTAAAAAAAGGAGAGACAGACGATGAAATCGACATTTGGAATAGGAGGGAGAGCGAGTCACGGGGAGAAAGGGGAGAAAGGGGAGAGACGGGGGGAGGGGGAGACGGAGGGGGGGGAGACGGAGGGAGAGAGAACAGCGAAACAGAGCGAGAGATGCACACAGCGAGAGAGAGGAGAGTGAGAGACACGGAAAGAGGAGAGAGTGCGAGAGACACGGAGAGTGTTAGAGACGAAGAGAGTGAGAGGCACGGAGAGAGTGAGAGAGACACGGTGAGAGTGTGAGAGAGAGTGTGAGGAGTGAAAGGGGGAAGAGACGGGACAGAGCGAAGAGGTGGACGAGAGGGGTGGTGGTGGTGGGGGGGGGTGACCCCCTGGTCGGTATAATCCGAAGCAGCAGGGAGACCCTGGGCTCAGATCGGTTCGGCTGCAGCGGAACTCGCCCCCAGGCGCCATGAGCACCAGCGAGGCGAAGGACTACCTGGCCAGGAAAGACATCCCCCAGCTGTTCGAGGTGGGTGGCCAGCACCACACCAGTCTACAAACCCCACCAGATACTCGTTTAAGGCTGAGTCGACGTAGGGGACGCCCACATATAATCAGATAATCGTCACCGGGGTTGGTGGCCGTGAGTGGGGACTGGACCTCGGCTCTCGCCCGAGTCGCAGCCTTAGTGCGGTAACCACTGCGCCACCGCTCCCCACACACACACAATGTACACACTGCAAAAATGTACATACGCAAACATGCAACACATACACACATGCACCACGCAATACATGCTCACACATACCCATTGCATACATTGCATAGGTACATGCACAATCATTACATACAAATCACACGTACACATTGCTATATATGCACCACACATCACATACACTATACCACTACAAATACACACATTATAAACACACATCAAATACATACATAGACACACACCACATACATCACATACACACATCACGTGCATAACATACAGACATGACTACGTACACACATTACATACACACCACATGCATATCACAAACCACATTACACATCATTCGTAGGTCTGTGCATGATGATGATTCAGTGCGGATGAGAACGCGGTGAGGTGGTGGCGTGAAGGAGGGGGTGGTGAGTGGGTGGTGAGAGGTGGTGAGTGGGTGGTGGGGGGTGGTGAGGGGGTGGTGAGGGAAGGAGGAAGGGGGCGGGTGTGGGGGGGGGGTCTTATCGCTGAATGTTTGGTAGAACCCATCAGCAATTACGACTGCATCTCGCGGGGGCGTCTGGGTGACAACATCTGTGTGTATGTCTGTGTGTATGTTTGTGTGTGTGTATGTTTGTGTGTGTGTATGTTTGTGTGTGTGTATCTGTGTGTGTGTCTGTGGGGAGCGGTAGTGTAGCGGTTAGCGCGCTGCGCTATGAACCTGGCGACCCGGGTTCGATTCCCGCTCACGGCTAACACCAGTGACGATTATCTGAACCGGTCCTGGGCCTCCCCTAGGTCGACTCAGCCTTAAATGAGTACCTGGTGCGGTGTGTAAACATCGCCACTAGGGAGACAAAGGCGGTCGGGCGTGGTGCTGGCCACCCACCCCCTCGTGTACCGTTCCGGCCTTCATAGGTGCTCGCTAACAGCACTTGCCCCTACAGTCTGTTCAGGCTATACGGGGGATCTTTATCTTTGTGTCTGTGTGTCTGTTTGTGTGTCTGTGTGTATGTATGTGTGTGTCTGTGTGTGTTTGTCTGTGTGTGTTTTTTGTGTGTGTCTACGTATTCATGCTGAGCTACGAACCCGGTGAACCGGGTTCGATTCCCGCTCACGGCCACGAACACCAGTGACGATTATCTGAACCGGTCCCGGACCTCCCCTAGGTCGACTCGGCCTCAAATGAGTACGTGGCGCGGTGTGTAAACATCGCCACTGGGGAGACAAAGGCGGCCGGGCGTGGTGCTAGCCACCCACCCCCTCGTGTGCCGTGCCGGCACTTGCCTGAACAGTCTGTTAAAGGTTACGCGGGTGATCTTTGTGTGTTTTTAGAGCGGTGGCGCAGCGGTTAGCGCACTTCGCCACGAACCCGGCGACCCGAGTTCACGGCGAACATCAGTGGCGGGTGTTAACTGAACTGGGGTTTGGACCTCCCCTAGGTCGACTCGGACTTAAATGAGTACTTGGTTCAGGCTGTAAACATCCGCACAGGGGAGACAAAGGCGGCCGGGCGTGATTCTGCCCACACCGTCCCCTCGTGCGCACTGTCGGCGAACAGAACCTGCCGCCAGTATTCTGTGAAGGCGATAAGGAGGGAGGGTCGTTGTGTGAGTGTGTAGGAGGTGTAGTGTCATGGCAGTTAACCAAGGCTTCTGCTAAGAACGCCACTGGGCAGGGGGCAGGAGGCAAAGTCACCCTCCAGCAACAGCTGAATGCACGAGGAGCGACGCTCACAAGAGCGAGCGGAGCGCCGGGCAGATAAAACTCGGCGAGGTAGCACAGTGGGATCGGTGCACCAGGTGGTGCGTCTCCCGGTCATCTCGTGGTGGCGGTGACACCGTGAACCTCCTCGTGACATCAGGCAACGAGAGCCTTACACACGTCTCGTGGTCGCCTCGAGGTGCACCTAGCCTGGCACAAGCTGCGTGGTGACGTTGCCGCCACTTCGTGAAGAATGGCGGCTGCTGTTGTTTGCATGCTCGAGTGATTAGATGGCAACATGTGAGAGTGTGTGTGTGTGCAGCGTGTGTGGGTGTGTGAGTGTACGGGTGAATGCATGTTGGTGTGTGAGTGAATGTTGGTGTGTGAGTGCATGTTGGTGTGTGTGAGTGCATGTTGGTGTGTGTGTGAGTGAATGTTGGTGTGTGTGTGAGTGAATGTTGGTGTGTGAGTGCATGTTGGTGTGTGTGTGAGTGCATGTTGGTGTGTGTGAGTGCATGTTGGTGTGTGTGTGAGTGCATGTTAGTGTGTGTGTGAGTGAATGTTAGTGTGTGTGAGTGCATGTTGGTGTGTGTGAGTACATGTTGGTGTGTGTGTGAATGTTGGTTTGTGTGTGAGTGCATGTTGGTGTGTGTGTGAGTGAATGTTGGTGTGTGTGTGAGTGCATGTTGGTGTGTGTGAGTGCATGTTGGTGTGTGAGTGAGTGAATGTTTACTGGGCAGGTGGAGTTTGATTCCCGCTCAGGGCTACCAACATCGGTGACGGATGTCTGAACCAGTCCCGGACCTCCCCTAGGTTGACTCAGTCTCAAATGAGTACCCCGTTCGGTGTGCAAACATCGCTACTGGGGAGATAAAGGCGGCCGAGCGTGGTTCTGGTCACCCACTACCTCGTGCGCCGATACGGCCTTGATGCTCACTAACAGCACTTGCCCCAACAGCCTGTGTAGGCTACACGGGGGACCTTTGTCTTTGTGCGAGTGTGTGTTTTCATGGGGGTGTGTGTGCGTGTGTCAGCGATCGTGTTTGTGTGTGTTTGCGTTGGTGGGGGACGGCTGTGTAGAGGTGAACTCACTGGGCTACGAACCCGGCGGGCCGAGTTAGATCCCCTCTCACGACTCGGGCCTCCCTTGAGTCGACTCAGCCTGAAACGAGTAAGCCTACCTGGTGCGGTCTGTAAGAACATCAGCACTGGGGATACGGAGGCAGCCTTCAAACTAAACGAGAAGTATTACGTCTGGTAGATGTATTAAATCGGTGTGCGTAACGAACCCGCCACCTGAGTTTGATCCCCGGCCACCGCTAATTAACATCAGGGAGAAATTGGTTTCTGAATCGGTCCTGGACCTCCGCTAGGTCGACTCAACCTTAAAATATTACCAGCCGTGGTGCGTCGTCAACACGAAGCGGCCGGGGCGTGTTGCTCCCTAACAACACTTGCCCCAACACGTCTATAAAGGCTACCTAGGAGACATTTGCCTTTGTATGTTGATGATTGTGTAAGTGGGTGTCTTGGCGTTGGTGGGTTACTGTGTGTGTCCGTGTGAATGTATGCGTGTAAATAAGTGTTTGGGAGTGTGTGGAGCGGTGGCGCAGCGGTTAGCGCACTGGGCCACGAACCTGGCGACCCGAGTTCAATTCGCGCTCACGGCCGACAATCAGTGACTAATATCTGAAACGGTCCTGGGACTCCTATAGGTCGACTCAGCATTAAATGAGGTTCTGTAAAACACCAACCAGCGCTGGGGAGACAAAGAGGGCCGGGCGTGGTGCTGCCGTGACGGCCCATTATAGGTGCTCGCATCGTGGTGTGTGTGAGTGTCGCATCTTGGTGTGTGTGCGTGTGTGAGTGTCCCATCTTGGTGTGTGTGTGAGTGTGTGAGTGTCCCATCTTGGTGTGCGTGTGTGAGTGTCCCATCTTGGTGTGTGTGTGTGAGTGTCCCATCTTGGTGTGTGTGAGTGTGTGAGTGTCCCATCTTGGTGTGCGTGTGTGAGTGTCCCATCTTGGTGTGCGTGTGTGAGTGTCCCATCTTGGTGTGCGTGTGTGAGTGTCCCATCTTGGTGTGAGTGTGTGAGTGTCCCATCTTGGTGTGAGTGTGTGAGTGTCCCATCTTGGTGTGTGTGAGTGAGTGTCCCATCTTGGTGTGTGTGTGAGTGTCCCATCTTGGTGTGTGTGAGTGTGTGAGTGTCGCATCTTGGTGTGTGTGTGTGAGTGTCCCATCTTGGTGTGTGTGTTAGTGTGTGAGTGTCCCATCTTGGTGTGCGTGTGTGAGTGTCTCATCTTGGTGTGTGTGAGTGTGTGAGTGTCTCATCTTGGTGTGTGTGAGTGAGTGTCCCATCTTGGTGTGCGTGTGTGAGTGTCCCATCTTGGTATGTGTGTTAGTGTGTGAGTGTCCCATCTTGGTGTGCGTGTGTGAGTGTCCCATCTTGGTGTGTGTGAGTGTCGCATCTTGGTGTGTGTGCGTGTGTGAGTGTCCCATCTTGGTGTGCGTGTGTGAGTGTCCCATCTTGGTGTGTGTGTGTGAGTGTTGTATCTTGGTGTGTGTGTGAGTGTTGTATTTTGGTGTGTGTGAGTGTTGTATCTTGGTGTGTGTGTGTGAGTGTTGTATCTTGGTGTGTGTGTGTGAGTGTTGTATCTTGGTGTGTGTGAGTGTCGCATCTTGGGTTGTGAGTGCGTCGCTGAGGCTCCCGCGCCGTAGCTCCTCCTCCTCCTCGCCGCTGACACTAATTGCTGATTAATTGGGTTAATGACTCGCGCGTTAGCCACCGCCGCTGTCTCTCGCGAGACAGCTGTTACGAAGCGAGCGTCGTCAACACCTCTGGGCTGAGTGCTCTCAGCGGGCACCTATTAAGATCAACTCGGCAGCGCCCTGCGCCCGTCCGCTTTTGTATCCCCCACATCATCCGTGCCGATCCCTTACACGAACCACAAACCCGCGTAGTCATATCGACGAGCTGACAAGACTTCATCATGTCACGGAGCGAATTGCCACCGCCAGTTGTAGAAATTCCACATTCCCATGATGGGACGACCACCTGTGACGTCGCGCAAATAATTTCTCAGTTTTATCGGAGCTGGGGTTCGTAACGGCCGTGTCAGAGACACAGATCCGGCACCGCTGTGAGCCTGGGTTCGACTCCGGGGTTCGACTCCGGGGTTAACCGGCCCAAGGAAGCAGCGACCGGCGGCCGAGTTCGCGGGTGGAGAGCGCTGGTCGCCAATCAGTGGCGCACACTCCGATCCATCAGGACGATCGTCTCACATTAAATCCACTTCACGGGAACAATACTTTCCACTTGAATTACGCGAACAGCCGGCTAATGATTTTTTTTTTGAATCGCACAATGGGGATTAGAAAAACATTCAGCCCGTCCGCACGACCAACCCAACCAACCACTCGCTCCATTAAACCTTCCCGTCCGGTGCAGTGCACCAGGCACGTGCGATGGAATGGGGCCTTTGGTGCAATGGATGGCATGCAGCCCCACCTCCCCACCCATCCAATGTGCCCCCCTATTTGTGTCGGCTCGGCGTCTGAGCCCCGACGCAGTTGCACCGCCTGCGCACTCGACAGCTACCCCGCCGCGTGCGCTCACCGAATGGCGCGCGATCCTTTTGCTGCCACGCGCCGTGTTTTGTAAACCCAATGAGTTGAGCTCACGAAACGCTCTCCCCCCCCCTCGCTCTCCCCCTCTCTCTCGCTCTCTCTCTCCTCCCCCTCTCTCTCGCTCTCTCTTTCCCTCCTCTCTCGCTCTCCGGTCTTTCTTTTTCTAATCGGTTGCCCCCCGTCGCCCCACCCGGAGTGGCTCGGACCCCACGTGGCGCCGAGTAAACAGCGCGGGACGCGACGCGAACATTGGGCGCAGTGCGAACCAAGCCCTGGGCTCGAGACGTGCGCGGAAGTTCCCCTGTCCGTCTCGGGCCAAGTTTCAAATATATTGATAATCTACAGAGTAATCGATAACCCACGTAGGCTCTGAATGTCAGATAAATTGTTGATTTTGTAAACAAATATGTAAATTAATGAAAAGAGGTAAAGGTGCAGCCCGGCAATTGCTTGCTCAAGGCCCTGCTGACAGAAGGGCCTCGTCTATGGCGAACTGTGGATGGTATTTCGGCCGACTCTGAGACGTGGAGCAGACGTGTTGGAGTCGGTGGGCGTACCGACATTTTACCCCACCATACGTGACCTGCCCATCAACTAAACTGCGATGTACCCATTTGTAGCACTGGGCAGAAGGGGGCGGTGGGTGTGGAGATTTGTGAGACTTTACCCATTCATGCATTCAACTGCCGCTACGGGAAATGGAATCGAAGCGGTGACCCTGTGGATCGCAAGTCCAGCGTGCTGCGAGCCATCACACCGCGTTGACACCTCCTGTGGATGAATGCATAGTGACATACTCACACACACAACGCTCGCACGTTCTGTGCCGGGTGTAACAGTGCGAGGTGTGTATCTGTGTGACTGCAGGATACTTACTGTGGAGTCAAGGCGACGGTCCACGGCCGGGCATAGACACAGACATCCGCGGAAGCTCGCGCGCAAAAGCCACTCGCGGGCCACGGACTTGCGCAGATTTCTAAAAATGGGCTCGAGTGAGGTTCACATCGACTTCTAATTAGGCGCGGCTGCTGTCCTACACGGAGAGATAATTATAATCACTCTAATTACCGATGCAGCACGCCTCGTATCAGGGTCAGCGCTGCGTCAGTGGGGCAAGCCCCAAGTCCAACCACAGCGCGGCCCAACGCGGAGATGAACCACAGCCCGAGTCCCGCTGCTACCCCCGTGCTATATTAACAGGGGGTTACATCATCGGCCGATAACCTCGACTCTGCCCAACATGGGGATAAATCATGGCCCCAACTCCAACCTAGAGACTGTCTAACACGGGGCTAAACCATAGCCCTAACCCGGACCCTAACCTTGACATTGCCCAACACGGAGTTAAACCATAGCCCTAACCCGGACTCGAACCCTGACGCAGTCCATCACGAGGCAACACGGGCCTGGTGGCCATTTGCACGAAACACCATGAGTGGAGTGTCTCTGTCAAGGCGTTAATGTCACTCGGCTGTCACGAACAGCGAGTGGCCTTGGGCAGGACGCGCCACGGGCAGGAGGAACGGGAGCCGGGGGTCGAGACGAATGGTGGAGCGGCAGTCGCAGCAGGGAACGCGCCCGAGAGGACGTGCACCGCGGAGATGGAGCGGTGCGCTCAGCCCGCGTGCAGTTACACACGAGAGGGATTGTTGCATCGCGGGACCGCGAGGAGTGGTGACGACTTGGGGGATGGCTTCACCCAGTGGATAGAGCACGGCTGATGATATTGAACCGGTCACCCTGACCCTTAAATCAGGGTTAGGGCCAAAAGTCCTGACCCTGACCCAGCCCAAAGGGGGGAGGTATAGATGTGAATTTACGATATTTGTTTTTATTCAACTGGATCAGACCGTTCAGCTGGTGGGAAGGCGCTGTCCCAGGTGCTGAATGCACTCACAGTGACCCCACACTGACCAGCGTGGCCTGCTGACGAGATACCGAATGTCTTAAACGATTCAGAGTTGAACCAATGCTGCTGAAACTATGCACTCATAGAAGGCCTTGTGGTTGATGGGATGTGCAAACCTACCTGCGATCCCGCACTGCGTAGGCAGCGAGAGTTGGTGGATCACCGCACGAATGCCAAAATATCACGACACTCCCTTCGCGTGCGCATCGGGGAGGTGCCGTGCCCCTGGCTTGCCAGCTGAACGCAGCACAGCGAAGTGTGGAATCATAACGCCTGTCCCCTCTGTACGGTGGGATCGAGTGTTGCCCCCTCGCATGCGTGGGTTTTCTCCGGGTGCTCCGCTTTCCTCCCACGTGTAAAATAATCTCTCCCTGCTAATTGCCTGGAAACATCTTAGTACGTAGAGAACAGCAGAGCGAGTGTTGGTAACGCCGGCGCACCGCCTGGCTGCAGCCTTCCAGCTCTCGTCCGTGGTTCCTCTTCAGCGATTGTCAGATGCGATTTGCATGAATGACGCCAGCTCAATATAAAACTACTAATTCTTTGTCTTGCTTTACAGTAGGGGCAGACTCGAATCGTATACTCGTTTATTGTCTAATATTCTCCGCAATGACGCGAACGATTATTTAGCGTGGTGAAGACTGGTCAAATACCTCTCCCCCCCCGCCACCACGACCCGCACAGGGGTGGGGTGACAAAGGGGGCTGTGCGTGCAGATTACACTCCGCTCAGTACCCGCCCGCCCGCCCGTGCCAATGCAACCCAGCGTCACGAGTCGGCTAATGGCGAGCGCCGTAAGGAGCTCTCGATAATTGCGACCGGCCTAAGTACATCGTTTGTCATTGAGACCCCGTGCACTCTCGCAGAGGGCGACGTGAGAACAGTTGCATTGTTCGGCTGGTGGCGGCGGTGGTGCTGGTGGCTTCGCTGCTGCGCGTGGCTGCCTGTTGCACCTGCAGCACTGTGGGGGCAGCGTGCCAGGGTTGGTGGATCACCGCACAGATGGCTGTGAAACTCGGTTCTCGTGGGCGTAGAGGAGGAGCCGTACCACGCCTCGCGGGGTAGAAGGCAGTACAGCAAGTGGACTAATATCATCCGTCCCATCTGTTCGGGATAGAGTGGTGCCGATTCGCATGCGTGGGTTGTCTCCGGTTTCTTCCCGCATGTATCAACAACTCATTCAATTGGCTGAAAACATCTTCAATGACACTCGAGCCAGAGTCTTTCGTCAAATGTATGTACGTTGAACTTCTTTCGCGCCGTACGCAGCCAACCGTGCTAATTGGAGCTCAAACGCGCATGGTGGGGCATCGCTTCATCTCAGTTGGCAGCCTCAAGCCAGCGCCGTACGTTCCGCATTCACATGACAGGAGCAAGTCCATCCGCGTGAGCTCGAACACACAATCACCTCCACCACCCCCCACGATTCCTCCATCAGACCCCCGCCCCCTGCACTTCCTCCGCATCCCTCCACCTTGGCCCACCTCTCATTCCCCCTTTGATGCTCATTAGGGTTGCCATGGCAGCTGTGGATGGGAGCGAGTCGGGCTGGAGGCAATCTCTGATTGGCGCTCGCGACGATCAATCGCCCGCGGTGATTATTCGACAGGAAGCGACTGTGGGCGTCGTCTGCATTGCCATTGTCTCTGTGCAAATTTTATTCTCAATGGTGACATCGGTGTCACGAGATGAAACACGAGGTCCATTTGGAACTCTCGCCGAGCAGTGCGTCATCACAACCACCACCAACCACACCACCGCCACCACCAACAGCACAACAACCCCAGCTCAACCACAACCACTACTCTCCAGGGTGACGCCACCGTCACCACCACGACCCCACTACCACAAGCAGCAGCAGCACCACCACCACCGCCGCTCCGGCTCAACCACCACCACTACAACCAAACCACCGCCATCCTGGCTACACCACAACCACCACCGCCGCTCCCCCCTTACAACCCGGCCCCCCACTCCCGTGCCCCCCTCTCTCTCCACCACCCCGTGCCCCCCTGCTGTGTAGAGCATGCTCACGGGGCTCATGTTCCACCGGCCCGACGACCCCCTGGGCTTCCTGGAGGGCTGCGTGCGCCGCGTGCGCGACCTGGGGGGCCCCTCGCGCGTGCGCTGGGACACCTTCCTGGCCGCGGCCTCCGAGCGCCGAGCGCTGCCCCCCATCAACGGCTCCCAGGCCAAGAAGGGGGTCTGCCGGCCGGCGGGTGAGGCCCCCCCCCCCCCACACACACGGGGAGAGGGAGGGGTCAGGGAGGAGAAGGGGACAGGGTTACAAGGTGTTCAGGAAAGACGGGACGTGCACGGGGTTCATCAGAGAGTTCAGTGGGATGGGGGGGGGGTACAGAGAGGGGGTTCATGGAGGTGCGGGGTTACGGGGAGAGAGGGGATTGGGTATAGGGAGAGAGTGGTCTTGGATAGAAGGGTCGGGCGGAGTGGAGATGGGGGAGAGAGCTCATTGGGGGAGGGGATAGCGATCAGAGTTGGGGGGTAGGGGGGGGGGCGAGAGGAGGCCCGGGAAGGAAGAGATAAGAGAGGAGGCTTGGGGGAGGAAGTGAGAGCAATGGTGCTGAACGAGTCATCACACAATGGTGGTGATGGATGATTATTACCATTCATAATGGATAGGTGACTAACAGATGATGATAAGAGGTTATATGACGATGGTGATTACTATTATTATTGTTGAATCTGGCCGGGTGGCTCAGCGGCAGGGCCAGTGGCTACCGATAGAAAGGTTGCGAGTTTAAATCCTGGCTGGGTGGATTGGCTTGACTCTGCCCATCATCCTACCCTGTGGGGTCGATAAAATGAGCACCACTTTGCGAGCGAAGTCAGCATATGAATGAATGAACAGGGGTGATCTCATGTATACTGGCACTCGCCATAGGAATGTGGAATGTCCACCATTGGCTCAGGACTGCAATCAGCAGAAGATCCCTCGACCGAAGGTAACCCGGTCTCGTGGCGTTCTCACTCGTCCCCCCTTTGTTCTCGTAGCAGCTGACGGGGGTCTGTCCGGTCTCCCCGGGCTCCCCGGGGGCGCCGGAGGAGTTGGGGTCTCGGGGGCATCCGGGGTGGGGTCCGGGGTGGGGTCAGGGGGGGTCCCGCACCGCCGGTACGAGCGGCTGCCCCCGATCCGGGCGCAGTTCTCCATCGACAGCGACTCGGACCTCACGGAGACGTCGGGCCTCATCCACGAATACGACGTGTTCGACCCGAGCGCGGCGCGGCCCAAGATCATCTTCCTCATCGGTGAGCGCGCCACGGGGCGCCGGTCATCGCCAGTGCCATCGTCATCATTAATGAAAGAACATAATCAACTTCGTGCTGTGACCAGTGCGGTGTCGCGACCGGGGCGGTGTCGTTACCGGTTCGGTGTCACGACCGGGCGGTGTTGTGACGGCAGGCGGGCCGGGCAGCGGCAAGGGCACGCAGAGCGCGCGCCTGGCCGAGCACTTTGGGCTGCTGTGGCTCTCCGTGGGCGAGATCCTGCGGCAGAAGCTGCTGGAGCACGCGTCCAGCGACCGCAAGTGGGGCCTCATCGCGCAGATCATCTCCAACGGAGAGCTCGCCCCACAGGTACCGCGTGACGAGGGGCGACGAGGTGCGACGAGGTGGGATGCAACGTGGCATGATATATGATGGGCACAGCTACGATGAGATGAGATACGAGGCAATAAAATACAACGACGTGGAAGATGCAACGCGAGAATGAGAAGCGATAATATGAGATAATGAGGGTTTGGTTAGTGATGCAAAAATTGGGTCTTGACCCGCGTTATTTGTCTGCTGGAGCGATGGGTGGGATTGTGGCGGGGCGCAGGAGCGATGCGTGGGATTGTAACGGGGTGCGCGAGCGATGGGTGGGATTGTGGCGCGTGCAGGACACGACCATTGAGGAGCTCAAGCACCAGTTCTTGCAGCAGGCGGAGCGGCGTGGCTTCGTGGTGGACGGCTTCCCCCGCGACATCGGCCAGGCGCTCGTGTTCGAGGAGCAGGTAGGGTGGGGAGCAGGGCGGTGGGGGGGGGGGGGGCAGAGATAATAATCATAATAACAATAATAAATCGGATCAACGTTGGGAGGACGTTGCGGTCAAGGCGCTGGTTTCCCCTCCTCCGCCAGATCCAGCAGTAGAGAAGCATAGCAGCGGCCTCCTCCATCTGCCTTGACTGTCGCGCAGAGACCCAGAGACTCGCATAGAGACCAATAGACTCGCAGAGAGACCCATAGACTCGCACAGAGACCCATAGACTCGCACAGAGACCCATAGACTCGCAGAGAGACCCATAGAGCTGCCCTAACAGTCTCTTCCCCTTGGTCACGGCACTCACGACGACCACTCCGATGCCTCTGTCAGCAATCTGTTCTGCACACACGAGCCGGTAATCGAACCCAGGCGGTCCGTGCCGCGAGGCACGAGCATTTTACCGCTGCGCTGGCGCATCCCTGCCTGCCTGGGGCCCAGTTTTGATTTGTGAAGAGCGACCGATTTAAACTTTGATTTTACGTTGAAAGTGACCCTGGCGGTCTCCCCCATCGGACGCCCTCAACAGCTGGGCTCCCCGGACCTCGTGGTGCTGCTGCGCTGCTCCTCGGCGAGGATGCGCGAGCGCCTCGAGCAGCGAGCGGCGCGGCACGGGCGGCCCGACGACAACGCGCGCGCCATCGAGCGGCGCGTGCACACGCACCGGCACAACATCGCGCCGCTCGCCAAGTACTACCGCGACAAGGGGCTCCTCGCCACGGTGAGCGCTCGCATCCCCACGCGCGCGGACTCGCCCTGGCCACAGCGGCTCGCTCGCTCGCTCGCTCTGGCGATCGCTCTCTCTCCTCTGTCTCTCTCCCCCTGCGCCTCACTCTCACTCTGCCCCACCATGCAACTCGCTCGCCCTCCCTGTCGGTAGCGTGGAGTGGTTGACCCAGTGAACTATATGGGCCTCCTCACCCCCCCCACCTCCCCCCCGCACCTCCCCCCCGCACCTCCCCCCCACCTCCCCTCCACCTCCCCATCCCATTTCACTCGTGGGGCTTACATTTTCACGGAACATTTCCTGGGGTCCCGAGGGGTGGGGGGGGGGGGGTTGGGCGGGATTTTACAGAGTGGCCCCACTGCATCCCGCGTATCACCACTGACGGTCGCCCATGGGGCCCCGTGGATCCCTGTGGGTCCCCGTGGCCCCCGTGTCTCCGCTGTGCAGTTCGACGCGAACCGGGACGAGGGGGAGGTGTTCGCTGATCTGGCCCAGGTCCTCGAGGAGAGGCTCTTCCCGCAGTGTCTGTCCTCGGCTGGTGAGCGACATCACACGACCTGACACATGACCTGACACACGTCCAGACACAACCTGGCTTGACCCGACCTCATTTGTTACGATCTGGTGTGAGCCACAGCGTGACCTTATCTGACCTGTGCATACCTGACCCAACGTGCCTCTCTCTCTCCCTTAAACGGGTTGGAGGACAGACGAGAGGTGGAGACATCGTGTTGACCGCTAGGTAAAGTGAGCCGGGCTTGGTCCGGACGCGTCACGGGGGGTCGAGACTAACGACGGAGTGGCAGCCGAAGGAGGGAACGCGTCCGAGAGGACGCCCAGTGTGGAGACGGAGCGATTAAGTGAGCCCTTGTGCAGGAGCCAATCGTCAGAGATAGAGACCTCCATCACCACGGCAACCCACATCACCGTGCTCCCTGGGGACCACAAGTTCAGACCGTGACCTCATGCATCTCATTTAGGCATGGATTGCTTGGTGGCTGTGGGGTGGGAGGAGAGAGGGAGGGAGGGAGGGAGAGGAGAAAGAGGCAGGAGAGAGGATGAATGGAGAGATTGGTTTGTCACTGAGAATTTGTTATTTCACCTGGTAAAGGGCCCACTGAGCTATGTAGTTCTTATTTACACGCTTTTATTTAACTCACTCTGTCTGTTGTTGTTGTCTTTGTTGTTGTTGTATCCTCAAATCTTGTAACTCAATTTTAACCCACTTCCCAATGTGATATCGACTGAAAACTAGGCAAACGTATGTTATACTAATGACAATACTATATTCTATCATAAAAATAAAAAACATGTATTTAAAAAAAAAAGAGAGAGGAGTGAGGGGGGACGGAGGGCGGAAAGAGGAGAGGGGGTGGCGAGAGAGGAGACTCAGAGAGAGTCGTGGTGGCTGGGGGAGGAGCGAGAGAGGTGAGGCAGTGGGAGAGGAGAGGGCGGAGATGGGGAGTGTGAGATGAGAGTGGGGTTCATGGGCGGGGGGAGGGGCTCGGTGGGAGGCGGTGGGAAAGGGGAGGGTTCGGGTGACGTCACGCATGCTAATGAGGGGGTGTGGCGGCACGCGGTACCGCCCCCCTGGCCAGGCTCACGGAGGCGCACATCCGAGCTCGGAATTCGTCAGAACTTTTACCAAACAAAAACATGTTGACGTCTGATGAGACTTAATAACAAAGTAGGCGTCACAGTGAAAATGAAATCACCGTGCCTCAAGTTCACGGCGAGCAACGTAGACGCTTTCCGTGTCGAATGTCGCCCCCTCGTGGTGCACCCCTCAGCTGCAGCGGCTCGCCACTGAGGGAGCCACTCAGGGGGCAGCAGCAGCAGCAGCCTCCTGCTGCGGGCAACAGTGGGGCACGGGGAGGGGAGGGGGGAGGGGGAGAGAAGGGGGGGGGGAGGGGGGGGGGAGGGAGGAGAGGAGGGGGGAGAGGGGGGGGGAGAGGATGGGGGAGGGGAGGGGGGAGGGTGAGGAGGGGGGAGGGTGAGGGGGGAGGGGAGGGGGAGAGGGGAGGGGGGAGAGGGGAGGGGGGAGGGAGGAGGGGGGAGGAGAGAGGAGGGGGGGAGAGGCGAGGGGGGAGAGGTGGGAGGGGGGAGGAGACGGGGAGAGGGGAGGGGGTGAGGGGAGGGGGAGAGGGGAGGGAGAGAGGAGGAGAGGGGAGAGAGGAGGGGGAGAGGGGAGGAGGGGGGAAGAAGGGGGGAGGAGGAGGGGGGGAAGGACACAGGATCTCCCGTTGTGGGAGTAGATGAGAGGGAGCATAGAGAGAGAGAGGCAGTGGTTAGAGAGGAAGAAAAAAAAGAGAGGAAGAGAGAGCGGCGGTGATGAGACAGGAGAAAGACAAGGATGGAGAGGGGAGAGTGTGGGAGGCGGGGAGAGTGTGGGAGGGAGACGGGGAGTGGTGGTGGTGGTGGTGGGAGAGGCGAGAGGGGAGAGGAACTAGGGGCAGCTGCTGCCAGCGGCGATGTTCGCCTCTCTGCTCCTGTTGCTGCTCGCGCCTATAAGGCCATGGCTGCACCGCGCAGGTCTCACGGTGTGAGAGAGTGTCAGGGTGAGAGTGTGTCCGAGTGTGTGTATCTGAGAAGGTGTGAGTGTCTGTGTGTGTGGGTGTGTCTGAGGGAGAGAGTATCTGTGTGTGTGTCTGAGGGAGAGAGTGTGAGTGTCTGTGTGTGTGTGGGTCTGTTTGTCTGAGTGTGAGAGTGTGAGTGTCTGTGTGTGTGGGTCTGTGTGTCTGTGTGTGTGTGGGTCTGTGTGTCTGTGTGTGAGAGTGTGTCTGAGGGAGAGAGTGTCTGTGTGTGTGTCTGTGTGTCTGAGACTGTAAGTGTGGCTGAGAGAGTGTCTGTGTGTCTGAGTGTGAGAGTGTGAGTGTCTGTGTGTGTGTGTGAGAGAGTGTGGCTGAGAGAGTGTGTCTGTGTGTCTGAGTGTGAGAGTGTGAGTGTCTGTGTGTGTGAGTGAGTGTGGCTGAGAGAGTGTGTCTGTGTGTCTGAGTGTGAGAGTGTGAGTGTCTGTGTGTGTGTGTCTGTGTGAGAGAGTGTGGCTGAGAGAGTGTGTCTGAGTGTGAGAGTGTGAGTGTCTGTGTGTGTGTGTCTGTGTGAGAGAGTGTGGCTGAGAGAGTGTGTCTGTGTGTCTGAGTGTGAGAGTGTGAGTGTCTGTGTGTGTGGGTCTGTGTGTCTGAGGGTGTGAGGGTGTCTTTGTTTGTGCGTGCGGGTCAATGTGTGAGACTCTTTAACAGTGCACCTTGTACAGTGTGCAATGGGGAGACAAAGGCGGTCGGGCGTGATGCTGGCACGCCACCCCCCATGTGCCCGTGCCGGCCTTCCCAGGTGCCCCTAACCGGCTCACAGGCCCCAGCAGTCTGTACGGGGGGTCGTGTGAGAGAGACAAGTGTGCGAGTGTGTTTAACCGAGGCTATACGGGGGACCTTTAGCTCTGTGTGTGCGCGCTGCATAATTCCTCTCATCTCGCACTCACCGATAATCCGCCTCCCGCACCAACTAATCCATCCACTAACGACGAGTGCGGCGTGGCGAAGCGCTCGCTGTCAACACGGCTCAGCCGTGGTCAATCCACTGCTGGACGAAGACACCCCCAAGCCCTGCTGACACCTCTCCCCATCTTGCGATGTAATAACAACCACGAACCCTCCCCCCGCCGTCTCACCTGTCTCAATAATTTAAATGATAACGGAATGCGCTGGACTGTAAGGCGTCATTGTTAATCCACGCTGGTCATTGCGGGTTGTTGGAAGGTGGGGATGGCGGGAGGTGACGCACAGGAACTGTTCCGATATCACCAACTCGCTGCCACTGGTGTTGGCCGTGAGTGTAAATCGAACTCGGGTCGCCGGGGTGGTTCGTGACGCAGCGCGCCAACCACGGCACCACCGCTCTCTGACCCGTCTCGCCTCCCTCATGGAATACTCGCTCGCGGTTGGCTGGAGCGGTTAAACCGGCGATAAATACTCTCTCGCGATTGGCCGGAGCGGTTAAACCGGCGATAAATACTCGCTCGCGATTGGCCGGAGCGGTTAAACCGGCGATAAATACTCGCTCGTGATTGGCCGGAGCGGTTAAACCGGCGATAAATACTCGCTCGCGATTGGCCGGAGCGGTTAAACCGGCGATAAATACTCGCTCGTGATTGGCCGGAGCGGTTAAACCGGCGATAAATACTCGCTCGCAATTGGCCGGAGCGGTTAAACCGGCGATAAATACTCGCTCGCGATTGGCTGGAGCAGATAAACCGGCGATAAATACTCACTCGCGATTGGCCGGAGCGGTTAAACCGGCGATAAATACTCACTCGCGATTGGCCAGAGCGGTTAAACCGGCGATAAAAACTCGCTCGCGATTGGCCAGAGCGGTTAAACTGACAAATTCTCGCTTGCAGTTAAACCGACTAAACAGCGTGGTGTGTGACAATCGATGCATGAATCGAATCCATTTTGAGTGGATTGCAGCATGGTACAGAACCAAAACAGAGTAACCCATTCCACATATATTCTGTACAACCGTCGGTGTGAAAAGTAAGTGTACTGTATATTGCTGATATATGAAAATGTGTTATCTTGTCAATGGTGCCATATGTAGTTATTAGTTGTTTATCATGTAAAGTCAGTTCACAAATACGTAAAAATAGTCGTTATGAATAGGATATGTGGCAAAAAAACATGTATGAGTACACATGCGAGAGACGATGACCAGTCAGAGACGCCATCTGGCGCCTGAATGTTTGCCGTTGAACGTAAAACATTTCGTGGCTTCATGGTTCAGTTCGTCAAATCATTACAAAATAATTATTAATTAAGAGATTGCAATTACGACGCGTTCAATGTTGTGTGTGCTCTGACCTGTGATCAATTCCCGACGAATTATTTTCCGGGGCTAAGTCCCGAACAGCTCCGTCCGGAGTGATTCCCTTCACCCTGCCCATGCCCCCCACCCCGCCCCCCTTCCCCTCTCGTGGCCCATTTCCCTTCAGGTTTCGTGGATCTGGACCTGAGTTTGATTGGGGAGGCGGGAGACGCGGAGACCCAGAACCCAGACTCAGAGGTGAGGGTGGCCAAGCGTCAGAGACAGTCTATATATAGACTGCATAGACTGTATACAGACGAACATTCCGTATATACACTGCAGTGCAATACAGCCATAGCCGCTGTTCGCCATTAAGTGGCGGCGACGTCGCCACGGTGCTCGTGCCAGGCTAGGTGCACGTTGAGGCCGTTACGTGAATCGTGGAAGGCTCTCTGTATGCCGACAGGAGGTCACGGCACAGACCCACGGGTGCCATGGTGCTGTTAGCGAGCAGCACCATGAAGGCCAGCCGGCACACGAGGGGGGGGGGGGTTCGGAGTTAGCCCCCCAATGCTGATGTTTTTTTTTTATACCGCACCAGGTACTCATTTGAGGCTAAGTCGACCTAGGGGAGGCCCAGGACCGGTTCAAATATTCGCCACTATTAATATTGGTCGTTAGCTTTGAAGCGAACGCCGGGTGCGTAGCGCAGTGCACCAACCACTGCACCACCACTCCCCCCCCCACACACACACGTCTGCGTGCACACGCACACACACGTGTGTGTGTGTGCGTGCGCGTGTCCACTGCTGCGCGTTAATTTGGGCCGCCCGTGACGCTGGAGTCGCCCGGACAGATTTGGCTCTTGGCTTCGATATATTCGGCCCTGCGCCTTATAGAGGCGTGCAGGGGGTGAGTGCAGGGGGTGCGTGCAGGGGGTGAGTGGAGGGGGTCAGAGACAGGAGGTGGGGTCTGGGAAGGGGTCCAAGGCGGTGTAGCGGGCCTTGGTGTCGGGTTCCAGGACACCCCGCACCCCTTTACCGCCTTGGAGCGGGGGGCAGATGACCTCCAAATGTGTAATCGCCTGGTCAGACAGGGACACTGGTCACTGTCTTGTCTTAGCGATGCACTGGTCAGTCAGTGGCCAGACGGAGACGTTGGTTAGGCGCGGGTCAAATGAAAGCATCACCCTGCCCGAGAGAGTGTTGGTCGTGGTGAGGAACGAGCGGAAATTCCACGTTACCCTGGCCAGGACGCAATAACCGTTGCATCGACCCCAGGGGAAGGATGGTTTGGTGATGATGCAACGACGATTGTGATGATGGCTTGAACCAAGGGTCAGCAGCCTGCGGCTGGGGAGGGAGCTTCGTGACTTTAGTTATTGACGACCACCGTCTCGCATTCACCGCGCATTGCGACTGCTCTTGAAATGTTGAGGGGGGTTTTGCACTTCCTCTTGTCATTTTGGTTGGCGACCCTCGGCCTAAGTGGGCAGCCGACTCTCAACAGCCTCGCGGAGTTGCTAAGGGGGACCACAAGGACCCCCATGGAGAGACCACGCGGCTCTTATACACCCTTCGGTGTTCGCGTGGAACGCATTTGCAGAGCCGGCGGGTTTAAAAATAGAGGCGAGAGGCCGGAGAGAGAGAGAGGATAGAGGGGGAGAGGAGTAGAGAGATGTCGAGAGAGGAAAGAGAGAGCGAAGGGAATGGTGCGGTGTGGAGAGGAGAGACGAGGCTGCATTGTAGATAAGAGAGAGAGAGCGCACGCGCGGATAGAAATAGGAGACGAAGGGACGAGAGATGACTGAGAGAGGGGATTGAGATCGAACGAGAGAGCCAGGAGAGAGAGCGGGAGAGAGGGGGGAGATCGAGTTGGACGTATATAGAGAGTGGGAGAGTGGGTGGAGAGTGGGAGGAATAGAGAGAGGGGGGGGGGGGGGGTGAGAGGGAGGAGAGAGACACACACAGAGCATAAAGGGCGGCGCCAGGGAGCATCTCGGTTCCCCGCTCCTCGCTCCGTAGCACCCGGCAGCAGCAGCAGCAGGTACCACCCTGCGACACGGCGGCGTCCTGCACGGGCCACGGGGTGCCGGGAGGGTGCAGGGGGGTGCAGGGAGGTGCAAGGGGCTGCAGGGAGGGTGCAGGGAGTCGTGTCGATAATCAAGGGTGTGTGTACTGTGTAGGCAGTGCAGGCTGGTGCAGGGAGGTGCGGGGAGGGAGCGAGGGGGAGATGTGTAACGTCGGAAACATGCAGGGCGGTCATCTCGAGGGAGATGATGCATGGGATGTTGCGTGGGGATTGAGAGAGTGCAGCAGGGAGGTGCAGCAGGGAGGTGCAGCAGAGGCTGTCGGCCCGCATGCACGCAGCGAGTGTGCGAATGCCTGTTAAGGTGGCTCGCCTCGGGTTTATAAACACAGCAATGGTAATGATGCCGATGCTGATGGTGATGCCGATGCTGATGGTGATGCCGATGCTGATGGTGATGCCGATGCTGCTGCGGCTGCTGCGGCTGCTGTGGAAGGGAGGGAGGGAGACGAGGTAGGCCAGCGACGCTGCGGCAGTGAGCGCGGGAGGGGCGGCGCGGTCCAAGGACGAGGGACAAGGAGACACACGGAGACAACCAGAGAGGGAGACAGAGAGACAGGGAGACATGGGGGGTAGAGAGCCAGGGACAACCAAAACACAGCAATGGATAAAGAGGGGCAAGAGACGTGCGGACGAGACCTAGACACGCGGACAGATGGGGAGACCGAGAGACAAGGAGGCACAGGGACACAGCGACAAGCGGGCGAGACGAATGCGGGTCAACAATGAGACGAGAGAGACGCGTCGAGGGGTAGGGAGACGGACCGGGAAACAGGACGAGAGAGGGCGGCCCTGGCATGGGAACGTCCAGTGGGCGGCTGTATTATTTATAGTCGGGGTCTTGGGCGGGGTCATGGGAGGGGCTCGTAACGTGACCCCCCGCGGGAGGGGAGGGGGGGGTTGGGGGGGTATTTGAGCAGGGGGCGGGGGAGCGGTGTGGGGGGGAGGGGGAGACAGGGAGATTAGACAGAGAGAGAGAGAGAGACACAGGGAGATAGACACAGAGAGACAGGGAGACACAGGGAGATAGACACAGAGAGAGACTGGGAGACACAGGGAGATAGACACAGAGAGAGAAGGGAGACACAGGGAGACACAGGGAGATAGACACAGAGAGACAGGGAGACACAGGGAGATAGACACAGAGAGAGACAGGGAGACACAGGGAGACAGGGAGACACAGGGAGATAGACACAGAGAGACAGGGAGACACAGGGAGATAGACACAGAGAGAGACAGGGAGACACAGGGAGCTAGACACAGACAGACAGGGAGACACAGGGAGCTAGAGATACAGAGAGACACACGGAGACAGAGACACGAGGAGACACGGGGAAACATGGAGATAGAGGCACAGGGAGACAGGGAGACACAGGGAGACACAAGGAGACACAGGGATACACAGGGAGATAAAGAGACACAGGGAGACACATGGGAAACATGGAGATAGAGACACATGGAGACAGAGAGACACAGGGAGACATAGAGACACAGGGAGACAGGGAGACACAGGGAGAGAGGCGGTTGGATGCTATGGGCAGCAGCAGAAGCTGTTGCAGCAGAGGGAGGAGCACGTGGCTGCGTTTTTGCGGATGGCATCGAGTTTCCCTGCATGCCGCAGGGGCGGGCGTGGTGGTGATAGTGATGGTGCACGCCTGTGGATCCAGCACTCGGCAGGAGGCGAGGGTTGATGGATCACATAGAGGTTTGTGAGACTCCCAAACCAGCTGGCCTGCTAGGTAGTTGTACAGCTTCTGGGAGTGTAGCAAGTGGGATTGTAAACCCGACTGTGTGAGGAGCGTTGGGCGTTGTTATCCCCTCGTATGCGTGGTGGGTTTTCTCCGGACACTCCTCCCACAAGCAAACATTCCATGAATGGGATTGGCCAAACATCCAAATGTAGCAGGAACCTCTGAAGAATGTATTGAGACTCAGGGAGGAATTTCCTAAATAAACAACATTATTAATATCAGTATTTTATATAATGGGATGCGTCTGAGAATACGTCCAGCGTAGCGATGGAGTGATGAAAATCAGTTGTTATTATTATTATTACATCGCAGATTCGTGATAGGTGGGAGGCGGCTTGGGGAGGCCTTCATCCAGCAGTGGATTGAACATGTCTTGCTGATCACGATGATTTTTTACGGATGCGAAAATGCCGCTCGGAAGCCTGAACAGTTGCAGCATGCAGCACTGACACTCACTTCCGGCTGCAAGTGAAGCGCAATATTCTAAGTACGAAGAGTGGCCACAGCGCTTCACTCACTCCCCCAGGGGGTGCCTCCCCAGTGACGAGGGGACATGGGGTGTTGGCTGGGGTGAGGTGGACGGGGGGGAGGAGGGAGAGATGGACCACGCAAGCATCCGCCCGCTCTCATCTCGCTCCGTTGCCATGGTTGCATTAATGTGATCCGTTGCCATGGCGATGGAGGCTGGGGGGTGGTATGTCACAGCCCCGTGCTCCGGAGACTGGGGAGCAATGCGTGTTTGCGGAGAGGGAGGTTTGAGGGTTGGAGGGCAGTAAACACGAGCGTCTGGAGAAAACCCACACAACGTCAGAGTGGATATCAAAACAACGACCCCACCCCCACGTATTCACAGAGTTGCTGCTGCAAGTTGCTCACAACAACCGGTTGCGGAGACGTCCCACGCGTGAGCGATTCGGGTTGCACGCGACCGCTCAGGCGTGGCCTCTGGCTGTCGGCCCTTGACTGGTCACTGAGACGGTTTCTCATTCATAAGTAATGACCTGCATTCATTCAGTAATTCATTCGTAGAGGCGCTGGCTATATATCCACACGCACAGCCCTGGTGTAAATCCACTGCTGGATGAGGGCCTTCCCACGCCCGTCTGGATCACGGCGGCTATTTGTCCATACTTCCCCATTCCGGTCGGTGTGGGTTGGCTGGTGTAGGTGGGTGTGGGTTGGCTGGTCTAGGTGGGTGAGCGTGGACGGATTTGTAGCGCAGCGCGCCAAACACCGCGCTTCCGCCACCGCAGAGAGAGAGAGAGTTCGATTCCCGGGCACGGATAACATCGGTGGTGATTACCTGACTCCCTAAGTAGACTCAGCCCTAAGCGAGTAGCTGGTGCGGTGCATGTAAACAACAACACTGAGACAAAGGTGGCCGGGCGTGGTACTGGACACCCACACCCTCGTGTACTGAGCCGGCCTTGATAGGTGCTCGATAGCAGCACTTGCCCCAACAGTCTGTCAAGGCTATATGGGGGATCTTGTCTATATGGGGGATCATGTCTATGTGCGTGTGTGTGCACGTGTGCGCGCCTGTGCGTGTGCACGTGCGTGTGCACGTGTGTGCGTGTGCACGTGCGTGTGTACGTGTGTTTACGTGTGTGCGTATGTGTCTGCGTGTGCACGTGTGTGCGTATGTGTCTGCGTGTGTGTGTGCACGTGTGTGTGTACACGTGTGTGCCCACATAAACTAGGGAGACAAAGGCGGCCGGGCGTGGTGCTGGCCACCCACTCCCTCGCGTGCCATGCCGGCTTTCATAGGTGCTGCTCGTTCACAGTACTTGCCCCAACAGTCTGTGGAAGCTTATGGGTGATCTTTGTCATTGTGTGCCCACAGCGATCAGACATCACAGCAGCAGCAGAGAGGGACGACAGAGAAGGAGCCATGGCAGGTGAGGCCTTGAGGGGACGGACGACAGTCGCGGGGTTAAACGTCTGCTCTTCCACTCACCACTCACCGCACCCTCTCACCACTCACCTCACCCACTCACCACTCACCTCACCCACTCACGCATCGTGGTCTCATTGATGGGTACGGCAGAGACGCGTGGCAGTGGAATCGTCTGGAGTTTGGAGGTGAGGAACGTGGGGAGGTGAGGGGCGTGGGGAGGTGAGGGGCCTGGGGAGGTGAGGGGCCTGGGGAGGTGAGGGGCGTGGGGAGGTGAGGGGCGTGGGGAGGTGAGGGGCCTGGGGAGGTGAGGGGCCTGGGGAGGTGAGGGGCCTGGGGAGGTGAGGGGCCTGGGGAGGTGAGGGGCGTGGGGAGGTGAGGAACGTGGGGAGGTGAGGGGCGTGGGGAGGTGAGGGGCGTGGGGAGGTGAGGGGCCTGGGGAGGTGAGGGGCCTGGGGAGGTGAGGGGCCTGGGGAGGTGAGGGGCCTGGGGAGGTGAGGGAGGTGAGGCGTGGGTGAGGGGCGTGGGGAGGTGAGGGGCGTGGGGAGGTGAGGGGCCTGGGGAGGTGAGGGGCCTGGGGAGGTGAGGGGCCTGGGGAGGTGAGGGGCCTGGGAGGTGAGGGCCTGGGGGAGGTGAGGGAGGTGAGGCCGTGGGTGAGGGGCGTGGGGAGGTGAGGGGCATGGGAGGTGAGGGCGTGGGATGTGAGGGCGTGGTGAGTGAGGCGGGGGAGGTGAGGGGCGTGGGGAGGTGAGGGGCGTGGGGAGGGTGAGGGGCGTGGGTGAGGGTGCTGGGGAGTGAGGGGCAGTGGGGAGGTGAGGGGCGTGGGGAGGTGAGGGGCGTGGGGAGGTGAGGGCGTGGGGAGGTGAGGGGCCGTGGGGAGGTGAGGGGCGTGGGGAGGTGAGGGGCGTGGGGAGGTGAGGGGCGTGGGGAGGTGAGGGGCGTGGGGAGGTGAGGGGCGTGGGGAGGTGAGGGGCGTGGGGAGGTGAGGGGCGTGGGGAGGTGAGGGGCGTGGGGATGGTTGAGGGGCTTGGGAGGTGAGGGGCGTGGGGGAGGTGAGGGGAGTGGGGAGGTGAGGGGCGTGGGAGGTGAGGGCGTGGGGAGGTGAGGGGCGTGGGGAGGTGAGGGGCGTGGGGAGGTGAGGGGCGTGGGGAGGTGAGGGGCGTGGGGAGGTGAGGGGCGTGGGGAGGTGAGGGGCGTGGGTGAGGTGAGGGTGGGGCGTGGGGAGGTGAGGGGCGTGGGGATGGTGAGGGGCGTGGGGAGGTGAGGGGCGTGGGGGAGGTGAGGGGCGTGGGGAGGTGAAGGGGCGTGGGGAGGTGAGGGCGTGGGGAGGTGAGGGGCGTGGGGAGGTGAGGGGCGTGGGGAGGTGAGGGGCGTGGGGAGGTGAGGGGCGTGGGGAGGTGAGGGGCGTGGGTGAGGGTGAAGGGGCGTGGGGAGGTGAGGGGGGTGCGTGGGACGGTGAGGGGGCGTGGGGAGGTGAGGGGCGTGGGGAGGTGAGGGGCGTGGGGAGGTGAGGGGGGGTGGGGAGGGTGAGGGGCGGGGGAGGTGAGGGGCGTGGGGAGTGTGAGGGGCGTGGGGGAGGTGAGGGGCCGTGGGGAGGTGAGGGGCGTGGGGAGGTGAGGGGCGTGGGGAGGTGGGGGAGGTGGGAGGTGAGGGGCGTGGGGAGGTGAGGGGCGTGGGGAGGTGAGGGGCGTGGGGAGGTGAGGGCGTGGAGGTGAGGGCGTGGGGAGGTGAGGGGCGTGGGGAGGTGAGGGGCGTGGGGATGTGAGGGGCGTGGGGAGGTGAGGGGCGTGGGAGGTGAGGGGCGTGGGGAGGTGAGGGGCGTGGGGAGGTGAGGGGCGTGGGGAGGTGAGGGGCGTGGGGAGGCGGGGGGCGTGGGGAGGCGAGGGGCGTGGGGAGGAGAGGGGCGTGGGGAGGTGAGGGGCGTGGGGAGGTGAGGGGCGTGGGGAGGTGAGGGGCGTTGGGGAGGTGAGGGCGTGGGGAGGGTGAGGGGCGTGGGGAGGTGAGGGCGTGGGGAGGTGAGGGGCGTGGGGAGGTGAGGGGCGTGGGGGTGAGGGGCGTGGGGAGGTGAGGGGCGTGGGGAGGTGAGGGGCGTGGGGAGGTGAGGGGCGTGGGGAGGTGAGGGGCGTGGGGAGGTGAGGGGCGTGGGGAGGTGAGGGGCGTGGGAGGTGAGGGGCGTGGGGAGGTGAGGGGCGTGGGGAGGTGAGGGGCGTGGGGAGGTGAGGGGTGTGGAGGTGAGGGGCGTGGGGAGGTGAGGGGCGTGGGAGGTGAGGGGAGTGGGGTGAGGGCGTGGGGAGGTGAGGGCGTGGGGAGGTGAGGGGCGTGGGGAGGTGAGGGGCGTGGGGAGGTGAGGGGCGTGGGGAGGTGAGGGCGTGGGGAGGTGAGGGGCGTGGGGAGGTGAGGGGCGTGGGATGGGGGGTGGGGAGGTGAGGGGGCGGGGTGAGGGGCGTGGGGAGGGGGTGAGGGGCGTGGGGAGGTGAGGGGCGTGGGGAGGTGAGGGGCGGGGTGAGGGGGGGCGAGGGGAGGTGAGGGGCGTGGGGAGGTGAGGGGCGTGGGGAGGTGAGGGGCGTGGGGAGGTGAGGGGCGTGGGTGAGGGGCGTGGGGAGGTGAGGGGCGTGGGGAGGTGAGGGGCGTGGGGAGGTGAGGGAGGGGGGTGGGTGAGGGGGTGGGGAGGTGAGGGGCGTGGGGAGGTGAGGGGCGTGGGTGAGGGGCGTGGGGAGGTGAGGGGCGTGGGGAGGGGAGGGGCGTGGGGAGGTGAGGGGCGTGGGTGAGGGGCGTGGGGAGGTGAGGGGCGTGGGGAGGTGAGGGGCGTGGGTGAGGGGCGTGGGGAGGTGAGGGGCGTGGGGAGGTGAGGGGCGTGGGGAGGTGAGGGGCGTGGGGAGGTGAGGGGCGTGGGGAGGTGAGGGGCGTGGGGAGGTGAGGGGCGTGGGGAGGTGATGGGGCGGGGAGAGGTGAGGGGCGTTGGGAGGTGAGGGGTCGGGGGTAGGTGAGGGGCGTTGGGAGGGTGAGGGGCGTGGGGAGGTGAGGGGCGTGGGGAGGTGAGGGGGTCGTGGGGAGGTGAGGGGCTTGCGGAGGTGAGGGGCGTGGGGAGGTGAGGGGCGTGGGGAGGTGAGGGGCGTGGGGAGGTGGGGGCGTGGGAGGTGAGGGGCGTTGGGGAGGTGAGGTGACGTGGGGAGGTGAGGGGCCGTGGGGAGGTGAGGGCGTGGGACGGTGAGGGGCGTGGGGAGGTGATGAGGGGCGTGGGGATGGTGAGGGGCGTTGGGGCGCGGTGAGGGGCCGTGGGGAGGTGAGGGCTGCGTGAGGAGTGGGTGAGGGGCGTGGGGCGGTGAGGGGCCGTGGGGCAGGTGCGGGAGGTGAGGGCGTGGGGAGGTGAGGGGCGTGGGGAGTGTGAGGGGCGTTGGGGGAGGTGAGGGTTAGCGTTGGGGAGGTGAGGGGCGTGGGGGAGGTGAGGGGCCGTGGGAGGATGTGAGGGGCGTGGGGGGAGGTGAGGGGCGTTGGGAGCGTGAGGGGCGTGGGGCGGTGAGGGGCGTGGGGAGGTGAGGGAGGTGAGGCAGTGGGTGAGGGGCGTGGGGAGGTGAGGGACGTGGGGAGGTGAGGGAGGTGAGGCGTGGGTGAGGGGCGTGGGGAGGTGAGGGAGGTGAGGCGTGGGTGAGGGGCGTGGGGAGGTGAGGGGCGTGGGGAGGTGAGGGAGGTGAGGCGTGGGTGAGGGGCGTGGGGAGGTGAGGGAGGTGAGGCGTGGGTGAGGGGCGTGGGGAGGTGAGGGGCGTGGGGAGGTGAGGGAGGTGAGGCGTGGGTGAGGGGCGTGGGGAGGTGAGGGGCGTGGTGGAGGTGAGGAGGTGAGGCGTGGGGAGGGGCGTGGGGAGGTGAGGGACGTGGGGAGGTGAGGGAGGCGTGGGTGAGGGGGTGGGGAGGTGAGGGAGGTGAGGTGAGGTGGGATGAGGCGTGGGAGGTGAGGGGCGTGGGGAGGTGAGGGAGGTGAGGCGTGGGTGAGGGGCGGCGTGGGGAGGGTGAGGGGCGTGGGGAGGTGAGGGAGGTGAGGGCGTGGGTGAGGGGCGTGGGGAGGTGAGGGAGGTGAGGCGTGGGTGAGGGGCGTGGGGAGGTGAGGGGCGTGGGGAGGTGAGGAGGTGAGGCGTGGGTGAGGGGCGTGGGGAGGTGAGGGGCGTGGGGAGGTGAGGGAGGTGAGGCGTGGGTGAGGGGCGTGGGGAGGTGAGGGGCGTGGGGAGGTGAGGGAGGTGAGGCGTGGGTGAGGGGCGTGGGGAGGTGAGGGGCGTGGGGAGGTGAGGGAGGTGAGGCGTGGGTGAGGGGCGTGGGAGGTGAGGGGCGTGGGGAGGTGAGGGAGGTGAGGCGTGGGTGAGGGGCGTGGGGAGGTGAGGGAGTGAGGCGTGAGGTGAGGGCGGTGAGGCGATGGGTGAGGGGCGTGGGGAGGTGAGGGAGGTGAGGCGTGGGTGAGGGGCGTGGGGAGGTGAGGGAGGTGAGCGTGGGTGAGGGGGTGAGGGAGGTGAGGGGCGTGGGGAGGTGAGGGAGGTGAGGCGTGGGTGAGGGGCGTGTGGAGGTGAGGGAGGTGAGGGCGTGGAGTGAGGGGCGTGGGGAGGTGAGGGGCGTGGGGAGGTGAGGGAGGTGAGGCGTGGGTGAGGGGCGTGGGGAGGTGAGGGGCGTGGGGAGGTGAGGGAGGTGAGGCGTGGGTGAGGGGCGTGGGAGGTGAGGAGGTGAGGCGTGGGTGAGGGGCGTGGGGAGGTGAGGGGCGTGGGGAGGTGAGGGAGGTGAGGCGTGGGTGAGGGGCGTGGGGAGGTGAGGGAGGTGAGGCGTGGGTGAGGGGCGTGGGGAGGTGAGGGGCGTGGGGAGGTGAGGGAGGTGAGGCGTGGGTGAGGGGCGTGGGGAGGTGAGGGAGGTGAGGCGTGGGTGAGGGGCGTGGGGAGGTGAGGGGCGTGGGGAGGTGAGGGAGGTGAGGCGTGGGTGAGGGGCGTGGGGAGGTGTGGGGCTCAGCTGTAGTGAGCAAGCGGCAGCTGCGGATGGAGGAGCTCGGGGTCAATGGCCACCCCAAGGTGCCCATGCTCTCTGCCCGCGTGCCGGGGGTGCGCGCCCGTGGGTTTGATGGACGAGAGGTTGGAGCCGATCCACCGTGAGACCGCGTCAAGGCCGGGCGTGAGTGGGGTCCATGGCGGAGGGGGGGAAGGAGGGAGGGAGGTCAGTGGCGATACAGGAGCTGGGTGTGATCGTCGTGGAGACGATGTTCGATATTACACCTGGAGGTGACCTCGTCGGGCAGAACGGGCACCCGGGGGTGGAGCCCCGAGGGATGTGGCGACGAGGGCGAGACGGAGCGGGTTGAGAGGTAGGAGAGGAGCCAGGAGATGAGGTGCTCGCGGAGGTCGGGCTGAGTGGTGTGAAGAGCCGCAGAGAGGGCCAAGGGAATGGGGAGTGGGAGCCAGGTGGGGGAAGTTCCACATTTCTATGCCAGGGGGCAAATATATCCGTAGCCCACGACTCACAACCTTGTGATTGATTGCGAGGCAGTCGCTCGACCGCTGAGCTGGCCGGGTTAAAGGCAAACGAACTCCATGAACACCGATGGGGATGTCCAGTGCAGTACAAAAATTGTGGTTAACAAAAAACACTAAATACTGAATACATACTTAGCTAACGAACGTATCCATCCCTGATTACCCACAATCCACTGAGACAGGACGTCACCTGTGCTCGACTCCTCGCGCCGCACTGCATCTCCTCCACTTCCTCCTCCGGGAAGGAGACTCGCTCGCTCACGGACGACTTCTGCCGTCTCCCTCTCGGCGCTTTGTCAATCCAATGCTGGATGGGTGCCTGCCTCCCCGTGCCGCGTGGGTCGTGGGGGTTTCTCTCCATCTCAGCAGAGTCACCTCCACCCTCTGCTCGGCTCCACGTGGACCTTCCTGATCCTCCTGATCCTCCTCGTCCTGATCCTGATCCTCCACCACCTCCTCCTCCTCCTCGTCGTCGTTCCATGGCTTCTTCTCTGTGACCGGATCCACTTTATTTTCAAGTTTGTGTTCCTGCCGCCTTCCAATTTTTTGTTGCTTCATCCTCCGCGGCCTCCTTCTCCTCGGTTCGTTGCTCCGCTCCTTTCCATTTGCCGTGACCGGAGCGAGCGAGCGAGTTAGCGAGCGCGCAGCGAGGGGGGGCCCACCTCCCCGCTCGCTTTCTACCCCCAAGTCCCGACCGAGCAGGCCGCGGCGGCCACCACCAGGGGGTCCACTCGCGACGGTCCCGACGAAGATGATCCCGCAAGTCCCGGCGTCTACCAGGACCTCGTCGAGCTGGCGCACGAGAAGGAGGAGGCCTCCGCCGCTGCCAGAGCGAGGCGTGGGGGGGACCCCGCGGCACGGGAAGACGCGGTCGCGGCCGACCGAGCCTCGGGCCCTCCCAGTCTCCAGCCGGACGATGGCGACGACGACGTCGACGACGACGGCGAAGATCTGTCGTTTGACGACCCGCCTTCACCCGAGATGCCCCTGGGGGACGGGGACGGGCAGGAAGAGTCCCCCATCGAGGCGGTGCACGTCTTCCCGCTGGTCGGGAACGAGGACGCGGCAGGTGAGGAGGAGGTCACGAGGAGGAGCGGTTGATCCTGGATGGGTGGACTCCAGATGGACTGCAGGAGGATTCTAGGCGGGCCGTTTGTGACTTCGGCGCCGTGAGACGAAGGGAGAGGAGGGGCGGTGCATCGCCCATGAGGTGGGCGATGCACCGCCCCTCCGCGGGAGTTCAAGCGGGTGCAGAATGTGGCAGGCGGCAGGGAGCGATGGCGCGGAGGCGTCGGTGGCATCTTCTCGAGTTTGGCACTGCATGTAGTGACACACGCTTGCGCGTGTTCACGTCTACGTATCTGTATGTGCGTCTGTATCTGTGTTCATGTGTCCATGTGTCCATGTGTACGTGTCCGTCTGTCTGTGTGTGTGCCTGTCTGCTGTCCGTGTATATCTGCGTGCGCCTCTCTCTCCATCCGTCCATGCGTCCGTGTGCCTGCCTCCGTCTGCGCGTGCAGAGAAACTCAAAAACACCAAGATCGTGTTCGTGGTCGGTGAGTTCCCAGCTTCTCTTTGTTCAACTCGCACACCCTCACGGGCAACACACCAGCGGGGTTCGGACGACGGGGAGGTTCGAGGTGACCTTTTAAGTGGTAACCGGTGACCTCCCCCCCATGACCCCACAACCCGTCAGGTGGCCCGGGCTCGGGGAAGGGCACGCAGTGCGAGAAGATCGTGGCTAAGTACGGCTACACGCACCTGTCCACGGGCGACCTGCTGCGCGCGGAGGTCATGTCGGGGTCGGAGCGCGGGAAGCACCTGAGCGACATCATGCAGCGCGGGGAGCTCGTGCCGCTGGTATCGACTGCGCCTGAACCATCTCTCCCCTCGGGGTCTCGCTTCACTACCTGAACCGTGTCACCTGCACCATCTAATCCCGGCCTCGCATGTGAACCACCTGACCCAGTCTCTCCTGAATGTTCAAATGTCAATTTCCTCACCTGAACCGGTTAATTCCTAACCATCTGGCTTAAACCACATTAACTCAAATCATCTCACCTCAACTCGGGAACTTTAACCATCACACCCGCACCACGTTACATGAACTCAATTCTCACGCCTTAACCGCAATTCCTCCTCCCACCCACATGTGCTGTGCGTCTCAACTGTCGTACCTAGGACACGGTGCTGGACATGCTGCGCGACGCTATGATCGCTAACGCCGACAAATCCAAGGGTTTCCTGATCGACGGGTACCCGCGCGAGGTCAAGCAGGGTGAAGAGTTTGAGAAGAAGGTACGCCCGTGCCAGGCTAGGTGCTCTTTAAGGTCATCACGTGAAGGGCTCGCTAGGTGTTATGGGCTGACCGACTGGCAGATGCATCACCTGTGCTCCCCACTGTGCCAACTTACTGTATTTTAGCTGACCCGGTGCTCTGCTCGTTGTTGTGAGCGTCGCTCCTCCGAACTCCGCTGTTGTTGGGAGGGCAACTGCCTCCAACCGCCCAGTAGCATCCTTCACGAGCCTCCTCCACAGAGGCCCACCTTGACACCTCTGGTACCGGTCATCGGCAAGTCGACTAAGCTCCACTTCCTGCTGTACCGCATCAACCCAAATCTTCTCTAGCCCGTGTCACGCCCATTTAGCCCTCTCTAACCGGCCAAACAGAAACTGCTTGGGCAACCGGTGGTTGGGCATACAGGCAACATGAGCCAGCGAATGCAGCCTCACCTGCCGGAGGAGCTCACTGATGCAATGCCCTGGGTGTTCTCGGCCACAGCTATGCCCTCCCTTCTCTATGCTCATGAAACGTGGAGCTCTGTAAAGTAACATCCATGTCTGCTTGAAAAATCCAAGCTGGCCCTGCCTCGGAAGTTCAGAAGTTTATTATCCGAGTAACTTACCCATCGAGCTATTCAACTCTTTTTCAAGGGTGACTCAGCCAGCAGACAGACACGGCAGCAATAATTTAAGACCCATGATCACAGGGTGAGGAGCTTGCAGATCTATGAATGACGTGGACACGCAAAGCAAAACACCCCCCTGTACAGCTATAACATACTTTTATGGCAAGTGCTGTTAGCGAGTAGCACCTGACGGACGGCACAGCGCACAAAAGGGATGGAGTCGCCAGCACTACGCCTGGCCGCCTTTGTCTCCCCAGTGTCGATGTTTACTGCGCCGTACCAGGTACTCATTGGAAGCCGAGTCGACCCGAGTGGTAACGCGCACGCACGCACACACGGTGCTCTACACACACCCGCCCGCCGTAACGCGCCCCCCGTCCCCCCCGCGCAGATCGCGCAGCCGGCGCTGCTGCTGTACGTGGATGCGGGCAGCGAGACGATGGTGAAGCGCCTGCTGAAGCGCGGCGAGACGAGCGGCCGCGTCGACGACAACGAGGAGACGATCCGCAAGCGCCTGGGCACCTACTACTCGGCCACGGAGCCCGTGATCGCCCTCTACGAGAAGCGCGGCATCGTGCGCAAGGTGGGGGGGGGGGGGGCGCCAGTGCCGTGGGGGGGCTGGCGGATGGCGGGGGTAGAGGCTGGGTGGTGATCTCAGTGCCCCTCCTCCACGCCGCTATCGCCATGGCTGCAGCGATGGCCAGGGACACGTGGGGGGTACAGATGGGTGTGCCGAGTTTCCCCTGTGCGTGCGTTTGGTGGTATCGGTGGGTGCTGGGCCTCCTCGAGATGAGCTCAGCTTCAAAATGACAACCACGTGTGCTAACCACACGGTTAAGTACCCAAGCAATCCGCGCGTTCATTCAGATAAATTGAATCGTAATCATGACGTCACTGCCGCTGCCCCTCGTTTTCCTGCTGCCCCCCCCCCTGCCACCCTTGTCCCCTCGCCCCCTGCCCCTGGGCAGATCAACGCCGAGGGCTCGCCGGACGAGGTGTTTGCCCAGGTGTGCAAGGCGCTGGACTCCCTGAAGTAGCGGCGTCTCGACGAACTCGGAAGACGACCCAGATCATCGTCATCACCTGCTCCACCCAACGAGAATGATCCCTATTGCCACCGTCTTGCCGAGAGGCATCATCGTCAGCATGAGCACTATCTCATCGTTTGTCATCATCGTCATCGCCCCGTCACCTTCATCGAATCACCATCAACCCTATTGGCATCAGCATTGTCTTAATCACCATCATCATCTTCACCACCGCAACCACCATCATCAACACGATCACGTATGGCTTCCATCATAATCGTCATCTCCACCACCACCATCATCGTCATCATCACCGTCATCGTCCGTACAAGATCAGCATCGATTAAAAACCGTCCATCTTATGGTCTCAGCGTCTGCTGTTGCTCCGAGCGCGCGCCAGCGTCGCGGTGCCAACACGCCCGTCGGAATCATCTGGCGTCGCTTCCTTCCCCGTGTCCTCCCCAAACAGATTCCGAGCGGCCTCCAGACGCGACCTCAGCCAATTTTGCCGACAGTCTTAACTCTACCGCCTCCACTGCGTTTCGGAGTTTCTGTAATAAAGGATATTTATTGTTCTATACACAAACATTGGTCCTCGGTGTGGTCTGGTGAAGGTCTCCTATTCAATCCCCTGGTCCCAGTGTGGTCTGGTGAATGTCTCCTATTCAATCCCCTGGTCCCAGTGTGGTCTAGTGAAGGTCTCCTATTCAATCCCCTGGTCCCAGTGTGGTCTGGTGAATGTCTCCTATTCAATCCCCTGGTCCCAGTGTGGTCCAGTGAAGGTCTCCTATTCAATCCCCTGGTCCCACTGTGGTCTCGTGAAAGTCTCATATTCAATCCCCTGGTCCCAGTGTGGTCTCGTGAAGGTTTCTTATTCAATCCCCTGGTCCCAGTGTCGGCTCGTGAAGGTCTCCTATTCAATCCCCTGGTCCCAGTGTGGTCTGGTGAAGGTCTCCTATTCAATCCCCTGGTCCCAGTGTGGTCTCGTGAAGGTTTCATATTCAATCCCCTGGTCCCAGTGTGGTCTCGTGAAGGTTTCTTATTCAATCCCCTGGTCCCAGTGTGGGCTCGTGAAGGTTTCTTATTCAATCCCCTGGTCCCAGTGTCGGCTCGTGAAGGTCTCCTATTCAATCCCCTGGTCCCAATGTGGTCTGGTGAAGGTCTCCTATTCAATCCCCTGGTCCCAGTGTGGTCTGGTGGTCTCCTATTCAATCCCCTGGTCCCAGTGTGGTCTCGTGAAGGTCTCATATTCAATCCCCTGGTCCCAGTGTGGGCTCGTGAAGGTCTCCTATTCAATCCCCTGGTTCCCACCTCTTCCAAATTTCTTTCCAGCATGGCAAAGTGGGCAAAAATACCCTTTTGGATGGCTGGTGCCAGGGCCATGGAGGCCCTGTCACCAGCAATTGCAGGGCTGCACCTTGACCTGAATGAACTCTCACGATTCAGTCATAAACCACGCACGCGTTACGCTGTCGCAGGTTTCCTTTAACGCTCAGGCGCTGAAATGTTTTCTTTATTTCAGATTTTTTTTATTTTACACGTGACAATATAAACATGTCTAGTGCTGTACAAACGTCGCTATGGTCGCTACGATTAATGAACGCAACTCGCGAGAGGAAGCTCTGCCAGTCACAAACGCCGCTGCCACCTCTCAAAAACAAAGTCGCGGCCAATCGGAACTCGCTGTGGCCGAGGGGGGCGTGACGAGGGCGGCATGGTATAACTATATATGGGCAAAGGTGGCCAGTACAGTTAGTGTTAGCAGAAGCCGATTGGCTGAAGTATGGTCTTTCTTTTCTTTGAAGGAAAAAACGCAGTAGGAATGACTCCATGATTGTCGCCCCGGAGAATAGCGCGGCTGTCCTAATGCGTTTTCTGGTCGTACCACGCGTTGTTCGGCGCGACGTCAGACGTTTCGCCCCACGTGCCTGTTTGCCCGCCTGAAGAAGCTCCCCCGGCACGCGGGGGCGAAACGTCGGGCGTCATCGCTAAAACCCGAGCGCACGCTGGGGGAGGAGCCACGCGGCTGTGCCAGCCGCGAGGAACCCCAACGCAGATCAGTAGCAGCATTGATGGGGCAGGCTCATGGGCGTAGCTGGTAACCATATGGGAAGAAAGGGATCGGGGCACCCGATTGGCTGTAACGGTATGCTTCAGAGCAGCGGTATTTGGCACCGCAGCGCCGCCCACCGTCGAAGGCGGGCAGCCCATCGCGTACCGGGTGGCACCGGGGCAGCCACCCATGGACTCGTGAGCTCCTCGCCGCTCGCTCTCCCTCTTTAACACGTTTTAAAATCTTTTTTTTAATTAGGTTGGGTTAGGAAGGGGGGGGAGGAGGGGTGGCTGGCTGGGATGTGCGCCGGAAACTCACAGAGACTCCGCTAAGCGGAGGGACACGGTCAGTTTTCATACAAAGGTTCTATGTACAATTTCAAACTCTTAAGATGTTATTCATATTAACTTTTTCAATATACTTTAATTTCAATTTATACTTTGTTTTAAATAAACAGTGCGCAACTGCACAAAGTGTGGCTGGCAAAAAAACAAACTAAAGCCATGGCACCTTCAAAGAACTTCGCGCACACATACGCACGTGACAAAACTCATTAACCCAGAGTCTGGACTGATCACAACCGCGGGTTATTAATAAAAATACCCGAAGACTGGCGGCAACAGCAGCAGTAGCCGCCTGTTGTTGTGGCGATGGTGAGAACCCACGTGGGACGCACGACTCGGCGGCGCTGAAGCTCCTAAGGCAGCCGAACCCCTTCCAAGTGTTTTGGGGCAAGCGCCCCGGGCAACCGAGGGGGCAGCTGCTGAGAAAGGATCGTCAGCGGGAGCCGCAGCCCAAAGCGAACACGGTGGCTAGCGTGCAGGCACGTGCCGCGGGCGTGTGCCCGTGCATGTCCGCCGCAAGTCCGAGGGTTCGTTAGCGAGAAGGAAACTTTAAAGTGACTTTTAGATGGGCTTCCGGTGACGTCGCTGTTTCAGTACAATAGTTCACTGCGGGCAAATGAAACGTCGCAGTGATTTCCTGCTCAAATGAGCATTGAGATGGAACTCGTATTCTGTTTGCAGCCAAGCGAGCAATGGAAATTCCAGGTTCATATGGTGGGGGCGAGTCTATCCATAGGACAAACACCGTCGGCTTGCCCACAAAGCGGTAGTCCCCAAGAGGGCTGATGGGCTGAATCACAGCAGTGGCGGCAATAGGATGCTACTATGGTGGCACTCCTAAAAGTCGATTTAAAGTTGTTCTCGTGAGTGAACATTAGAACTCGTGTCGGTCAGCCCGGGACACAGGGCAAAGGTCTACAAAAGCTGTTTTGGGCCGAGTCTTCCTTGAAGAAACCTCGATTATTTGTAGATTTTGGACAATACCGAGGGTTGCGCGCAGTGGCCGAGGAATGTAATTTAACCACGTCTGTCGTGCATCGCGTTCCTTCCGACCGGAGCCTGAAGGCGTCACCCGAAGGAAGCAGTTCCTTCTACAGATTTTTACCTTCTCCGTAATAACACCGCTTTTTTTCCACAGCACATCCGAGCCGTGCCGTGGCCGTACCGAGCCAGTCCTGGGCGGCTCAGGAGGGTGCCAGGTTGTTTTTCGAGCCGTGCCGCGAACGTCACGTGCCGATAAACGATTACAGTTTCGTCTAGACGGCACGGTGACACCACGCTCAAAACGAACTGACCGATGTCGCGTACAACGGACGCATCATCATCATCGCTGGCCCTACTTGGCCACATTCAGATGTCTTGTGAGGCCAGCGTTCTGGCTCGGCTCAGCACGGCACGAAGCCAGCGGTCAACACCCCGTGAAGCAAGGGTCCCCCGCGCTGGCTCGGCTCCGACGCGCCGGTGGAAAATGGGTACACAAGTTGCGAATGTGACGGCGAGTGAAATGTTTTAGACGATACGAAAACACTGCTGGGCAGATGCAGGAGAGGGGGGGGAGCTTGGGAGCGGGCGGGGGGAGCGAACGTACAGGGGTAATTGGGGAGTAATGCAGCGCGTGGGATGAGCGAAGAGAGCGCATGAAGCGAAAGAGAGACGGGGGAAGTGTCGTAGTCATCACCGGCCGTAACACCTCGTTTGACAACACTGAGAGCGAAGGAGATCGGAAATGACGTGAAACGAAATGTGAAATCGCCCGTCGAGGCAGCGAGACCGAGGAGAGGAACACACAAAGCCCACAGCAAAGGAATGTCTGCGTCGTATAAAAGGTACAATCGGAACACAAGTTTACTGCCAAAGGCTTCCGAGTAGCCTCTCGGTCATGGAGTAGAGTAACAAAACACACACACACACGCGCGCCCACTCACACAGCCCTCTCGTACACGCTATATACACACGCACGGTACAGCACACCGATCACTCGTACACACGCACAAATACACACACCCCCACTCAAACGCTATGTACACACACACACACATACAGACAACAACAACGCACACCCATACATACACTCCGTAACACACACTGAATATATACATACACACACCACAACACACCAAGACACGTCCACACGTAAAGATTTTCCCTCCATTCACACTCACGCACTCACACACACTTGAGTCCCCATGAAAAAAACGAACTCCACACACTCGCCCATGCGCCCACACAAGTGCCCACACGCCTGCCCGCCCGCCCACCCGCTCGCCGGCCCGCCCGCTCGCCACTTTCGGAGTGAACACCGAGGTTTGTGCTCGGCATCCCTCAACCACGGCCACTTCTGTCCGGCGCGGCCGCCACCGCCACGACCGGAGTGACGGCTGCGCGGTCGCTGGAAATGGGCGAAACCACGCGGAGCGCGAGTCCCAGATGGGCGTCCAGAGTCTGGTCAACGCTGGCCGAGAACATCGACCCACCGCCAACCACAACCGCCGCCGCGACCGCAACAACCGCGACCGCGGCGACGGCCGCGCAGGCGTTGCGGAACAGCTGACGCCAGAGGTGGGAGGAGCTAAAGTCCCGGTCGGAGTTCGAGTCGGCTCACGGCGGCTCGCTCTCCGCAGGTCGGGCGGGGTGGGGGGGCCGTGGGGTGGTGACCTCCAGCGTTTGTGGGGGAGGTGGCTTGGGAGGGGCGTGGCCGTCCCCCTTCACCTGTTGGCCGGGTAGTAGTTGGGGTCCAAATAGTTGTAGCTGCCGCTCTCCGCCATGCAGTAGTCTCGGTCCAGGAGGCCGCACTCGGCGCGGTACACGGGCTCCAGCCTGTGCGCCGCCTTGTGCGAGTCCGTCTCGTACAGGCTGCAACACACCGCGTCGCGTTAAAGAGGGGTCGTCGGGCGAGTGAAAGAGTGAGCGAGCGAGCGAACGAGCAAACGGGGAACTCACCAGTCGGCGCAGGAGTCGCAGAAGTCGATGGTGCGATCGGCGGGGCACTCGCTGCAGCGCCACCGCACGCCCTGGATGGGCTCCGCACCGCACGCGTCGCACTGCACGCACACGCGAACACACGGACGCGCACACACAGAAAGACACATACCGCTGAGGGGTCAAATCCAGTATGGCAACACACTAGCACACAACAACAACAGCTGCCATTCGCCATTAAGTGGTGGTGATGTCATTACGGCTAAGTGCTCTTGTGCCAGGCTAAGTGCACTTTGAGGCTATCATGTGCAGTGTGCAAATCTCGCTGGCAGGAGGTCATGTAACAGACCAGGGTGTTATGGGTTAACAGACTGAGATGACCAGCAGTACATGTCCAAGCTGGACAAAGCTCCCGTGTACAACCTACAGAGACTGTTAAAGCCGGTTCTGTCCAGCACGCCTCGTGCCATACATCAACAATTCGCCATTCGCCTCCAACTCCTCCTCTGAGTGAGCCGCAATTACCAGGTCATCGGAATACATAACGTGGTTGACCAATAGGGAGCCATCCCTTGACCGCACACGGGCATCGATCAGCCTCCCATTGTATCTGTACCAGATGGAAATTCCTCCGGTACAGCTACTGAAGGCTTCACGAACTACGTGGTTCAAATAGATGTTAAATAATGTTGGAGCCAGAGGACATCCCTGCTGCACCCCAAGGTGTACAGGGAATGGCTCTGACTCCCGGCCACGTAGTTTTACCCGGGCCCGCTCACCATCATGAAGGTCCTTAATGAGCGTGAGCAGAGGGTCAGGGACTCCGAAAGCACAAAGGACAACCCAGAGCCCAGGCCTACTGATGGTATCATAGGCCTTGACCAGGTTAATAAAGCAGAGATGTAGGTCTTGTTGGAATTCCCTACACTTCTGCTGTAGCAGACAGACATAAAATATGGCATCTGTGCAGGACCACCCACACACACACAACGCGCACTCACACACGGACATACCCACTGTTCCGTCCAGGGCCACTGAACCTCAAATATAAACACATGGCCCGAGCATGTAGCTACAGGGTAAGAGCCGTGAGATTCCGTGGGTCGCTCTTTCTCGTTGAATAACTCCCCACAGCGGCATAGTGGTGAGGATTCGGCGCTGCCCTATCACTGTAGCAGCCTGGATTCGCTTCCCGGAACGCGTTGGGGGCAGCGACGCGGCCCAGCACTCGCGTGTTCGCTGCTCGTTGCAGAAGTTCGCGATTTTAAACCGGCAGGCTGTCCTGATTAATAGTGCAGCACGTATGTTAACCGTACAATGATATTTGTAAACACATGTTCAACTAATGCTATTTGCCATCTGCTTCACAGTGGACATTACAGATTCCCCTGATGTCGATTGAAACGAGGAATCTATTGCGTGCCAGAGTCTAAAGTTGCCAAATTTGAAAAAAATTGCTGCACAAATTACTCGATTGGGATGAGACGTCTCCCCCGACTGTAAAACTACTAAACACAGCAGCGCCTTCCATCGTGACCGCCTTGTGCAATACAAACAACAGTGCCAACACCAAATGTACTCAATTATAGTGATTAATTATGATTAAATGCATTGAATAAATTATCTTACAGGTCGTTTGACTTATTGCTGGAAATCAAAAACACAGCTCAACCCGTCTCGTGATATTCAACCGTAAACGAGTTAACCAGGATAACAGGAAAGAGATGTACGTGACGACCGGTAGCAGCGGTGGCGGTGGCGAGAAATCATTTCCGTTGCTACGATGAGTGATGACTCACTTTGAATCCAGCCTGGAGCGTTCCACGCAGAGATTGACCCCGGTCAGCTGCAGCTGAACAAGTCTCGCTCAGACACGGAATTCTAATTCGGAGGTGTTCGTGTGTGTGTGTGTATGTGGGTAGGAAAGCGGTAGTGTAGTGGTTAGCGCGCTGCGTTACGAACCTGGCGACCCGAGTTCAATTCCCGCTCACGGCCAACACCAGCTATCTGAGCCGATCCTGGGCCTCCTCTAGGTCGACTCAGCCTCAAATTAGTACCTGGTGCGGTGTGAAAAACTTCAGCACTGGGGAGACAAAGGCGGCTGGGCGTGGTGTTGGCCACCCACCCCCTCGTTTGCCGTGCCAAACTTCATAGGTGCTCGCGAACGGCACTCGCCCCAACAGCCTGTTCAGGCGATACGGGGGATCTTTGTCTTTGTATCTGGGTGTCCATGTGTATTTGGGTGTACATATGTATTTGGGTGTATGCTTGTGCATGTATGTACGTGTCCCATGTGTGTGATCATGTGTTTGTGTGTACATCTTCTGTCCACGTGTGTGTCTATGTGTGTGTCAGTGTGTCCGTTTCCCCGTTTCTATGTGTGTCCGTGTGAGTGAAGTGGTTAGCGCATTGCGCTATGAACTCAAGACCAACATTAGTGACGATTATCTGAATCGGTTCTGGGCCTCCCCTAGGTCGACTCAGCCTAAAGTAACTTCCTGGGGCTATGTGCAAACATCACTACTCGGGAGACAAAGGCGGCCGGGCGTGGTGCTGCCTCCCCCCCCCTCACTTCATGCGCCGTGCCGACTTTATAAGGTGCTCGCTAACGGCACTTTCCCTGGCAGTCTTTTAACGGCGACACGGCGGATCTGTGTCTTTGTCTACCGTGGGTGCCTCGGTGGTAAGGCGGCTCCACACGTGGGTGTGCGCGGGGGGCGGGAGCGAGGGGGGGATTAGCGGCGGTGGCCGACGGCACAAATCCTCCTCCCACACGCTCGGCTCGTGCCGCAGCCCGCTCGCCCCCGCGGGAGGGGTGCCGGCAGTCCCTCGGAGATCAATCGCACCACGTTCCGCTCGCGTCACGCGCTGCGCATTGCGTCGCACGCGGCGACCCTCGCAAGCCAATTTGTATTCTAAATTATTCATCGCCATCTTCGTCATCACCATCGTCAAAAACGGCGCTTAATTGCTCAGGGAATATTCACCGGCCCCCACCCCCACTAAATCGCCACAACCTCCCTGAGAGTAGGGAGTAGGTAAATGTTTTCCGGAACTCAGCCCCCGACAGCTCCAGCTGAAATTAAGCCTGAATAATAAACCTTTTCTATCACAGAGACAGAGTTGGTGGTAGTTATTGAGGAGTGAGATTGTTAGTCTCTCCCGCAAACCAGACGGTGTTGTTCGATTCAAGAGTTCACTGGACCGAGTGTTCCAGCTAACATGATCTCCCGGCGCAGCAGCTAAAACAACGGTGAAAATTCCTTCAATCCGCCCCCTCGCCACCACCCCACCCCGCCCCTGTCCACCCCGCGGTATAAGCGGGTTCCACCGCAGCCACTTGATCGGCAGGTGGTGTGTGGTAGGGTCAAGTCTGGGTACTCCCCACCTCTTCCAAGAAGAGGAGCGAACCAACCCCCCACCTCTCGAGGGGCCCTCTCGCGCTCCCCCGAGTGGAGGCCCTCACACCGGCAGCGGCGTGAGCGACCGTTCGCAGGGGCTCCGGGTCGTAGCGCGTGACGCACAACCCAATAACACATTCGTCAATAACACCGTGGCCTCTGACAAGAAAGCGCACATCGTCAAAAGTCAACTCTACCTCCTCTGTGAAGAAGGGCCATTGACCGAAATGTTGTCCATTGAACATTTTTTAAGGCCAGACTGTTTTTAAAGACGAGCGTGTTGAGAGTTTTCTTGTTTGTGCTTGTGCACCACTCGCTGCCAACGCAGTAGCAGCAGCAGCGTCTCTAAATAATTAGTTTAGCCCAAAAAGCACACGGGAGATCCATTCAACGGCGACAACTCCTCTGGCAGCGGGAGGAGACGTCGGCGAGACTCGACAAGTCGCGCGCCTCTCAATTCCAGCCGCGTTTAACGATGCGGCACCACTCGTGAATCGGAGACAACGGGAGGAGAGAGCGAGCGAGAGAGAGAGGAAGATTTGAGATGGACAAACAGGCCGAGGACCAGACGCAAAGAGAATGAAGAGGAGAGAGAATGAAACGAGGGGAGAGGCGGGGGTGAAGCGGCGACCGGGATGGGCTTGGCAGGCGACGCAATTATTTCCCATGAGCCGTTTACGAGGGGCACATTTTGTTACGCACTTGAACAAATTAAATGTGGGTCCTATTCCGCAAGATCCATTAGCCGGGAGGTTTCACGCATTTGTTGTGTGTGTGTACGTGTGTGTGCGCTGTGAGAATAAAGGGTGAAAAAAGGCACGACGACGAGGGATCAATGGAGAGTACGCACTCGGCATGGCGGGGGACACAGAAATGCCTGCAGACGGACGAGCCATTAGCGCGCCAACCACTCCCCCACCACTCCAGGGCTCTGTCCCCTCCTCCCCCTCCTCCTCCAGCTATTCATTCTCCACCACCTCATCCTCCTCCTCCTCCCCAGTTCTCATCTCCCCTCCTTGCCCCCTCCTCTCCTCCCCTGGTCTCATTATTCAGGAACAGACGATCGGTGCCCGAGGGCACACGCGACCCGAGTCACCCTCTCCTCACCGGCATGCTGCCGGGAGCGCCAGCAATGGTTTTCTCTGCACCCCGCAAGCTTCTGCGAGTGGCTGCCACAGCACAGCACACACTGCCTTGCTAACAGCCAACATCGTCGTCAGCCATGGTCAATCCACTGCTGGATGAAGGAAGACACAATTCATCCCGCTCCTACGCTCGAGCTAGTCCCACCGCTCCATCTCCTCCGGGGGTCGTACTGCATGACCTTGGCGTGCTCTGCGAACTGGGTAAAACCGAATTCGATTCCCGGCCATGGTTAGCATCAGTGGTGAGCGATATCCGAATCAGTCCTGGTCTTCTGCCTGTTTGACCAGGCGACGGAGGACTCATTTAAAATAAAGTTGTTGACTGTACTGGAAATCAATACAGTTATTCAAATTCTCGTCACATAAAAAGGCCACGTATATAGATCTATCTAAAAGACACCCTCCCCCCCCACCGTTTGCTTTAGAAAACAGGAGAATACGGTACTTCTCCTTCTTACCACCACCACCACCATGACTGCTGCTGCCATGATGACGTGCAGCGTGTAAATGTCAGCAGGCCCCCTGGGAGGCGGCCGTTTGACTGAGAGATTGACCGGCGGCTGGGGCCACCTCACCCGGATGGGCGTGCGGCTGACGGCGAGTAAAGTAAAAACTCAATCTCCGTCTCTGTCTCTCTCGTGCCCGCGCGCGTATGTGTGTGCGTGCGTGCATGCGCCTGGGTATTTACGACAAAGATGTACGGGGGGCAGGTGGTAAGTGCCCCCGATCACGCCCGCGCAACACCTCAGCCGTAACTGAGGAATGGGAGACGGAACAGTAGGCCTCCAGCGCAGAGCAATCCGCACCCTTCGCTGACGCCCGATAATCCAACCCTCCCCAACCGCACTCCCGCAACTGTGAAAAACACGTCTAGCAGAGTGCTTGTGACGCTGTGTTAGTGAATGTTGGCGCAGTGGGGAGCACAAGTGGTGCGTCTGCCAGTTATCTCGGCCAGTCATCCCACAACACCTGGGGTCCTCCTCCTGGCAGCAGCGCGAGACTTCCACACTTCTCAGTGACTCAAAGTGCACCTAGCCTGGCACAAGCGCCTGGTGACGTCGCCGTTACTTAGTGGCCAAGTCCGACTGTTGTTGTTGTCGTTGCACGTGTGCGTTAAGATGCGCGTGTGTGCGTCTGTTTGCGTGCGAGTTACCTTGTATCCGTGGTGCTGCACGTACGCGCTCTGCGCTTGCATCGCCTCCAGCCTCTGCCTGCGCAGGCGCTTCAGCTGCACCAGCTCCTGGTACTCGGGCGTGAGCCTGAGCGCCGGCGGGATTCCCTCCTCATCCTGACGGCGCAGCACACAAGGCAGAGTTACGGGCGCCCGGCTCTTACTTTCCGGCGGGGGCGTCTTCCGCTCCGGAGAATTTGGTGAACGTGGCAGGGGTTGCGGCTCTGCCGCTGCCTCACCGACGAGTCGTCGTCCACGGCCGCCCCCATGCGGCCTCCCACGAGGCCGTGCATGCAGCCCTCGTCACCCTCCTCGTCCTCCTCCTCCTCCATGTAGACGGGCGGGTGGTGGGAGCTCATGAATGTCGACGGCCTGAGGAGGTGGCGGTTGAGCGGGTGGTGGCGGCGGCTGGGGCCCTGCTGCTGCACAATCACGTTGCCAAGTAAACGACTGACTGTTAAGCAGCAGTGACAACAGACGATGCGTTCTCCCTCTTCGCCCCAACGCTACACAGAAAAACAATAAACGTGCGTTTAAACCCAACGTTACACAGGTCTTGCATTATCCCTGTTTTTTATTTCATCCAGCAGTGGATAGGCCATTACTGATGGCAATGAGGACCGTGATTGTGAGCAATGAATCAACGAATCACTACCTGCCTAAATAATGAACAGAGTAATTGGCAGACGGAGCGAGACAGCCCTTGGCGTTGTGCGTTAACAGATCAGGATGATTGGCAGGAGATCAGAGGACAGCCTCAGGTGCTGCGAGTTAACGCACTCGGCTGACTGATGCTCACAGACACAACTGCGGTGACTCCAGCTCACGGGAACGCAGCACAGCACAGGCTTAACGGGGCACAGTGGGTCTTTTTGGAAATAGTTTTGTGGCTTTCCCCAATTTGGCCGCGACTGCGCCATCGCCGTCGTGTCATCAGTGCACGACACGCTATGAACTCGACAACCAATGCTCGATTCCTGGCCACAGCTAAATTCGGTGGCGAGCAATATCTGAACCGGTGCTGGGCCAACTCCCTTAGTCAACCCGCATTGGCCAGTGTAGTGAAATATGGGCAAACAACGCCCATGACCGACACAACGTGGGTATGCCTTCATTCAGCATTGGATTTAACAATGCTGATGATGGTGTACACGAGTGCAGGAACACATGTAATCATGGTTTTTGTGCGGTCATTGGTGACCAGGTTGACACCAGTATCTCGCCACACTTGAGAACCCGGTTTAATCACAGGTAGCTCAAACCCAGGATCTCAACAATGCCGACTCAGTGCTCTGACCTCTTAGCGACCCAGCAACCTCGTTGCAGGCGAGTGTTGCAGCTGAGTGCTGCAGATGAGCGGTGCAGCTGAGCGGTGCAGGTGAATGTTGTAGCTGAATGGTGCAAGTGAGTGTGTAGCCGAGTGTTGCAGGTGAGTGTTCCAACTGAGCATTGCAGCTAATTGTGCAGCCGAGTGGTGCAGCCGAGTTGTGCGGCTGAGTGAGTGGTGCAAGGCGCAGGGTGGGGGAAGCAGGGGCAGCAGGCAGGGGCTGGGCCGCGGATTGCGAGCGCACCTTCTTGGTGTACATGAAGAGGTTGGGAGTGCGCCCGGGCACGGGCAGGCCGGCCTTAGCCAGCTTGATAAAGTACTTCTGCACTCTGCTGGCCACCTGCGGGAAGCACACAGAAGCCCCAGCGCAGCCGCAGTCACGACACGGACGCGCGACGAATCTCTCACCGTATTCTCCACTTTCTCTTCCTCTCTCTTTACAACCCTAGCGACCGTAGGAATGTAATATATTAATTTATACAAGCCTCACAGAGGAGTCTCAATCTCTTGTTCAGAGGGGTCCTGCATTGGGCTATCATTATTTTGTACGACTGCTTACAATAATAATTCACAGCCCCTTGTTAATCCACTGCTGGTAGTGGAGGCCGTGTCAGTGATGCTATTTTTTAACCATACTTTACCATGCTGGTCAGTGAGGGATGGTGAAGGGGTGGGGGGGATTACTCTGCCAAGACCGGTTCAGATGTCATTCACTCGCTGCCAATGTTAGCCTTGGCTTGGAATCAAACTCAGGTTGCCAGGGTAAGAGGGCAATACACAAACTGCTGTGACACTCCTCCTCCAGCAGCAGTGGTGGCACAGTGGTTAGCGCACTGTGCGACAAACATGGTGACCCGAGTTAGACTCCCACTCAGACTCCCACTCACGGCCAACACCAGTGACGAATATCTGAACCGAGCCTAGGCCTTCCCCTAGGTCGACTCAGTCTTAAATGAGTACCTGGTGCGGTGTGAAAAACTTCAGCACTGGGGAGACAAAGGCAGCTGGGCGTGGTGTTGGCCACTTAACCCCCTTCGTGTGCCGTGCCGGCCTTAAGAGGTCCTTACTAACAGCACTTGCCCCGGCAGCCTGTTAAAGGCTATATGGGGGATCTTCGTCTCTGTAGATATAAATGGAATGCTATGGTAATGCGGCTGCAGGCACAGGGCGGCGAGGTAAGACGTGGAGTGGAAATTGGCTTCCTTGTGTCATCATAACAACCCGCTGTGCAGGCATATGCAGAACCCATTAAAAATCAATGCAGACTCCTGGTCCAATTCATGTTTATTAAATGCGTGTGTGCTCTGTTTTGTAATCATGTTAACCTCGAATAGAACATTTACATTCACATGCATCACGTGTAACGGTACACATACATACATAATATATACGATGCTTCCACACCTTTGCTCCCCGCCTTTATCTATCCCCAACGAACAGCGTGGTGAAGTATGGTCAAATAGCCTTGCGAGTCACATGGTGTTGGCATGCCCTCATCCAGCGGTGGATCAACACAAGGGCTGTACGTGTACACATTAACCCAATCGCTATAGCTGCACAGCATCGGCTCACACCTACTAGGTGGTTGGCGCACCGCATCACGAACCCAGCGACCCCAATTCAATTTCGCGGCATCAGTGGCGAGTGATAACTAAACTCGCACCAGTCCTAGGCTTCCCCGAATATAACGTACAATAATCATCCCTGGGAAGACAAAGGTGGCCAGGGGGTCGTGCCTGCAAGCCACACCACGCCCTTGCGGTCTTTCAGGCCTTCACAGATGCTCGCTAGCAGCCCTTGTCCCAACAGTGTATTAAAGGCTACGCAGGGGACATTTGTATTTGTCTGCGTACATGCACGTGCGTGGGTACATAAACATGCGTGCTTCTGTACACACACACACACCTGCTTGGGTGTGCGGTTGCCAAGGGCGGTGGCGATCTTCTGCCAGCGCCGAGCCTCCACTTCCTCGGGCGGGTGCTGCACCAGCAGCTCCTCGAGCCGCTTTCTGCAACGGTCGCCATGGTCACCATCGCCACGGTTACCATCGCCAGGGAAACAATGCAAGCTCTCTCTCTCTCTCTCCCGCACGCCCTGTGCTCCACTCCCCAATTACTGCCGAGGCAGCAAGAATACAGCTGGCACTTTGTGGCTGAAGGAGTGTACTGGTGGGTGGGATGAGTATATTCGGAGGTACTAGAGGGTGGGAGATGGAAAAAAACAATGCTGGGAGATGGGGGATCAGGCTGGGAGGTGGGAGATGAGGCTGTTAGAGAGGGGAATAAGGTGGAAGACGGAGGGTCAGATTAGGAAACAGGAGCTCATATTGGGAATGGGGGATCAAGGTGGGAGATGATGAATCAGGTTAAGAGGTGGGAGGTCAGACAGCAAGACTGGGGGATCAGTCTAGCAAGTAAGAGCCTATGCTGTTGGATTAGGGAGCTGGTTGATGGGTGCAACGATGAGAAAGCAGGCGAGACAGGAGGCTGGTGGGTCAGACGGAGACAGCAGGTGTGACACAGCAGGTGAGACATATGCTGGCGGCTGGCGTACCTGCTCCTCCACCGTCCACAGCTGGTTGAACGTCTCAGGCTTTTGGCCCTCGCACAGACGTCCCCGTACCACGAGCCCCATGTGCGATGACCCCGGCGTCAGCCCGTCACCCCCCAGACTGCACTCGCTGCCACTGTTGCTGCCACTGTTGCTGTTGTTGCTGCAAATGTTGTTGACGTTGTTGCTGCCGCTGCTGCCGCCACCGTTGTTGTTGCTGTTAGGGGGAAGAGCGGCCGAGGAGCTGGCGGCCTCGGCGAGGGGCGGGAACAACTTCGGCACGCCCTGAGACTCGCCCTCGGCCTCCCGTGGGCCCTCGATGCACGCTTTCCGTTTGGAAACGTCGAGAGGACTTGCCGGACGTATTGGGTAGCCTGCGCACACAAAGACCAAGATCCCCGTATAGCCTTAATAGACTGTTGGGGCAAGTGCTGTGAGCGAGCACCTATGGAGGCGATCGAGGCACACGAGGGGGTGGGTTGCCAGAACCATGCCCGGCCACCTTCGTCTCCCAAGTGGCGATGTTTACACATTGCACCAGGTACTCATTTAAGGCTGAGTCGACCTAGTGGAGGCCCAGGACCAGTTCATACATTAGTCACAGTTATTAGCCATGAGCGGAAATCGAACTCGGGTCGCAGGGTTCGTAGCGCAGCGTGCTAACCGCTCCCCACTACCTGCGCACACATGCACACTGATACATGGGCAAAACAAACAAGGAAGAATACTCACGCTCACGCATGGATTCTATCTCCCTTTCAAACCTGCGTTTGCCCCCCGGTTCTGGCCATCTTCCCAAGCGCCCGTCTGCGGATTTCCGCACCCCCTTGCGAAATCTGTGCCCGTTACAAATTCTACAGCGTCTTGAGATGCAATCTGCATAAACGACGATGCTGTATGAAAATAACAGAAGATTACTTGTCCTGGGAAATGTTTAGCGATAATAACGTGACGCTTCATGCCGGACAACAAGGTGACGTCACGCGTCATAGTGTCATGTTATCTCCTTTGCCAAAAAGGCACAGCCATTTATCACCGTTATTGTATTATTAATTTTGCTGTTTTTAGAGGGTATGTGCCTTAGCATGAATCTTATCATACATAGTATGTATTATATACACTGGATATTTTTATTCTGTAGATGTTTCATATCACAGTCAGTTTTTCCCAAAATTGATAATCAAATATGAATCGGGTCGCCTCACTGAACAACGTATTGCTTTGATTCGCACGGTTGACTACATACGGTGCAAAAGATATTCAACATACACATTTAAAAAGCTACCCCCCCCCTCACCTTGCTATTGCACATATTTGTAACTTCGGATTAAAAGCCATGTTTGGGCCAGTGGCTCTAGGGTCAATGGTGTACCAAGCCCCACCTTTGTCGAAGCTGAGCTTGAGTCTGCGTGTGCAGTGCCTCTTGCCGGAGGCCTCCTCCATGGGGAAGGCGGCGACCCCCGACGTGTAATGGTCCCACGCCAGCGGAGGCAGCTGCACCACCCTCTGTGGTGTTGGCAAGCCCAGAGGTTCCTGGGAACGCACAACAATTACAGTTGCTAGTGCCAGGCTAGGTGCGCTATCTTTATAACGGATGCATTTGCCCTCCGAGTGGTCCGCACACCCATCCGCTTGGATGCACATGTGAGGAACGCGTAACAATTACAAAGACAACTGCAACACTTGTGCCAGGCTATGTGAACTTTGACGGCAGAGGTATGGCCCTACGAGTGACCGGGTTGGCAACCAAAAATGTTCCTGGACGGGCGTGGCGACAACAACAGCTGTGATGCACCTACAGCAGCACATGCGCCAGGCGAGAAACTTTCATTGCAGACTCACAGTCCCAGGAGCTAGTAATGTCATCGAGTAGATTCCAGGTCGCTAAACTCTGGGACGTGCAATGTGATTAGCCACGGCCATATTGAGGGGTATACTGGATGTGGAGAGCCGCAGAAACTTGGCTGAAATTACTCCCTCGGGGTCGGCAACCCGAGTTGTTCAATCATTACAAGCCGTGCTAATGAGCTCAGCGACGAACGCAGGCAAAAGATTTCCGTCGTCGCCCGCGCACCTTGTTCTGTATCTGCTGCACGAAGGTGATGGGGTCAGCTAGCGCGGCACGCTGCTGTGCTGTCATGCTGTCCACGTCGCGGATGGCCTGCGCTCGCTGGGCCTCCAGCACCACGATGGTTTGTAGCAGCCGCTGGTAGCTGCCCGGGACGAGACATGGCATGGGGTCGTTAACGGGGATGATTAGTGCAGCGCGCGCCACGTGCACCAGAGTAAACAAACGGAAGTTGACGCGGGCGTTCGTGCGACTGTTATACAATGACAACTGCAGCACTTGTGTTGACACCGGCAACGCCGTACCAACGCCATAAAGCGAAAGCTCGCTGAACGAACCTTGAATCGTCGCGAGAGAGATTCCAATGATGTCGCAAATGCCACGAGACAATTTACAAAGTATAGAAAAAAGTGACCTGATACTGGATCATGTCACTAGACACTTTACCAATTTTCTCGTGGATGTTGGAGCATTGCACTGCTTCCAATGGAAACGTCTGCAACTCAACGTATGATGCAGAGAGCGCAAGCGCTATATAACTTCTATCAAAATATGAAATAAAAAATATTTCACGACAAACATTAATCTCTGCGAGCAACCCACCCAATCGTGACCCAGCAAACTCACTCCTTGTTGTGTTTTAAGGCCACGTGATCCGACTCGAAGTAATACACATCTGGATCCTCCTCCTCTTCCTCCTGCTCCTCCTCCGGTTCCTCTACCTCTGGCGCCGGCTGCACTTTGCTCGCTTTCTCGCAGGCCTCTGCTTGCGCCACCATCGCACAAGTCGCCTCGCTCACCGCCTCCGCCTTCTGCGGCATCTCGGTAGGGCCGGGCGATGCTCCGGCCACACTGTCTGCCGCCGCAGCCGCCTGGCCCGCGTGCCGACCTTTGCCCTTTCGCGGCGAAGTCCTCAGCGGCGTTTTGGGAGCTACCGGTGGGGCGGCGGTGGTAGCGGGAGATGCAACCACGGTGACTCCAGGTGCTTTACACTGCTGCTGCTGTTGTCGGTCAGGAGAGCTTGGGCATCCCTCCGTGACCGCGCCCACATGGTCCGGGGCTGGTGCTTTCACACCGTGGGGCTGGTGCGCCGTCGTGGCACTTGTACCAGCTGTGCGAGCCTCCTCCACGCACAGCCCCACCGGTGGTGACGCGGCACAGGGGGGCGCGAGGTGTGGTGTGGGCTCGGCGCAAATGCTGGCTCCTCCGTTCGCGAGCTCGCTCAACTCGGACACCAGCTCGCCCGTCACCAAGACCGCGCCCCGCGCGTCGCTATCGCATCCGTTCGTGGTCTCCGCGTTGTCGGCGCTGGCAATGGGGGTGGCGCTGGCCTTTTCCACAGCGTCCAGGCCACCGTTGTCCAAGCGGACCAGCAGATTGTCCTGTGCCTCGCATTTGTTACCACCACCACTGCCTTCGTCGTCATCATCATCATCATTGGCGCAATCCTGGATGGAATTCTCAGTTGTTCCAGCGTTTTTTCCGCCGCTGCACACACCGGGGGTAATCGGCAGCGCCTCCTTCTTCCTGTCCCCACTCGTCGGCTCAATGGTCTCCGAACGAGAGCAGCGCTTGGCTCGCTTGGGCACCGGCGGAGGCACGGCCGCCGCCGCCGCCACCGCCACCACGGCAGCCGAGGAGGGCGACAGTTCCGTGTCCTTGGAGGAAGGCGTGCGCTTGCGCGTCCCGGGGGTCCAGCACGAGCCGTCGCGCCCCCCGGCCGCTCCGCCTCCGGCTCCGGCTGCCGGTCCGGGCCCCGTGGCCGCTGGCGCCACCCCAGACTCGGGCCTGCACCGCGTTGGCGGTGGCGCCGGCGGCGGCGGCCCCGCCGCGGCGGCCTGCGTCGTCCTGGACGCCTGAGAGGCCTCGTCCTCGCCGGGGGGAGGCGGCGCGGGGGCCGGCGGCGCGAAGACCGGTACGGGCGGCGTGGGCACCGAGGGGGGCACCGGTGGGACCGGGGGAGGGAAGCTGACGGTGCGGTTGCGGAGGCTGCGGCCGCAGAAATTGTCGTCGAGGCCGTTGGCGCCGCCGCCGCTGGCGGTGGAGCGCGTCAGGCGCTGTGGTCTTGGAGCGGCCATCTCCCGCCCAGCGCCGTCAGCATGCTGCAGTCCGCGCCGCTCACACAGATGTTGAACCTGCAAGGGTCCGGGACGACATCAGGGTTGTAAAGAACAGACAACAACAGGGTTCTTTAGCTAGAGTTTATCCGGAGGCCGACATGATTTAATCGGCATGTGCTTGCGCGCCATCTTATGTTATGGCATTGCGCGGTATTGTGACATTGTAACGTCTGCACACTTGACTACTCCAGGTTATTCACCGACTCTTACACAAAGCAAACGAATGTAAATAATTTACAACTGACTTCCAATAGTTGCTCTTCATAAGCCAAACGAAAGGTGAACACCACCCCAGGTCTCTCACCTCTAACTCTTGTAAACCTCTTGTTCATCTCCCTAATCTTTATCTCTTGTCTACAGCTCTCTCCTGCCTCTATATCTTGTTAATCTGTCATCTCACCAATTTGTATCTCTTCTTGTGAGCTATATCTTCAAGCAATCCAAAGCCTGGCAGGATATTCCAAGAGCCTTCCACAAGTCACATTTGACCCAGATGTCGCCAGTTTAAGAAGCCAGCTCGAAAATGCTGATTGGGCTCATAAATTGTCGAAAGGACACCTTGGCCGTTGTGAGCAATGCTGTACTAATGTGTCAAAACGATGCCGAAATTACCCGCAACTAACATTATTCTTTACATGAAAAACACAGTCGAACATTATTAACCTGTACTCACTCAATCATCAGTTTCCTCAGGACAATAAAAAGTGAAAATGGTGCCAAATAATTTTATTTTAACAATTGTACTGTTCATACACTACTTACTTCCTAAACGGTTTAATACAAATGTTTGATTGTATGCCATTACCAGCACAGATGCTAATGCCAAAACAGAATTTCATCATGACTCTGGGGTGTTAGTTACGCTGAAAAAAAATGGCACGTCACTTTTACAAGTTGAAAAAGTGACTTTTACAAGTTGTACTTGTAAAAATAGCAGCAGCGTGGCAGAACACATGTTTACATTTAGTAGGACACATAATTCAATTTGACACATGTAGTACTATAATATCCACTGACAACCTTCCACTGCAGACACTCACCACCAAATCACCCTGAATGCACCGGGTCTTGTAAGAGCAATGAAGCTAATGTCTTACCCAGGTTAGTACTTGGATGGGAGATTGCTGAGTCTACAGTACCAGGTGTCACACGATTGAACTATTAAGTGGTCAGAACATATCGCTGTGTCGCAGTGGATTAATGAGATCTATCTGTGCTGAGCTTTGAGTGTTACCCCCCTCGTATGCATACGTGGCGAGTTCTTTCTGGGTTCTCCAGTTTCTTCCCACATGAAGCTGAACAATCATTGATGGAATTGGTCAAACATCCCAGAGTACCAGTATCCTCCTGACAGGAGCCTCGAGATTCAGTGAGGCTCTTCTGGAGGCGCTTGGCACCACACACACACACGGTTGCATGCGCATGGGCCCCACACGTGCACGCACGCTGAAGCACAAAACACACAACAGATTCATGCCACACCCTCCTCCTCCTCCCCTTCAACCACGCGCTCCACGAACACCAACCAAGTCCACACGCACAACACCATCCCACACCTCTCGGCTCACACCACCAAAACACCGCTCACGTGGACCACGCGCCCCCCCCCCCCACTCTGCACACCCCACTCTGCACCCCCCACTCTGCACACCCCAACACCGTGCCCACTTCTCCACCCAAACCTCGCACCCACCGCACTCCACACGCCTCGCAGCATGCACCTTCACTCTGCTCACTCGCACCCTTTCCATGCACAGCCCTGACACCACGCACACACCACCACCACTGCCCCCCCCCCCACCTCGACCGCCCCCACCCTGCCGCCCTCCGCGCGCCCCATCCCCGCCGCGCTTCTAGCCGAGCCCGTGGTCTCGCCGCGATCCCCGGGGCTCGGCTAGGCCGCACCACCTCCCCGCCCTCCGCGCCCCCCTTCCCCAAACCCTCGAGGTGGCCGCGTCGGCCGCCTCCCTCCTCCTCCTCCTCGTCGTCGTCCCGCTTCTGGCCCCCGCGGCGCGCTGGCCACCTCACCCAAGACGGCCGAGAACGACAGCGAGCAGCGAGGAGCGGCGACGACGAGGAGGAGGAGGCGGCTGCTGCTGCTGCTGCGAGCGGGCAGCTCAGCGCCGAGACGCGGGAACAAAAGCCATAGTGGCACAGGCCGCGCCGCCTCCCAGCATGCACCGCGCCGCGTATGGCGGCCGGGGGGGAGGTAGGGCAGGGCGGGGGGGCAGAGCGGGCGGGGGGGCAGAGCGGGGGCGGGGGGGGGCGGGGGGGGCAGGGCGGGGGGGGCAGAGCGGGGGGGGGCGGGGGGGGCAGGGCGGGCGCGGGGGGGGGGCAGGGCGGGGGGGGGCGCGGGGCAGGGCGAGCGGGGGGGGCAGGGAGCGGGGGGGGCAGGGAGCGGGGGGGGCAGAGCGGGGGGGGGGGCAGGGAGCGGGCGGGGGGGCAGAGCGGGGGGGGGGGCAGGGAGCGGGCGGGGGGGCAGAGCGGGGGGGCAGAGCGGGGGGGGGCGGGGGGGGCAGAGCGGGGGGGGGCGGGGGGGGCAGGGCGGGCGCGGGGGGGGGGCAGGGCGGGCGCGGGGGGGGGGCAGGGCGGGGGGGGGCGCGGGGCAGGGCGAGCGGGGGGGGCAGGGAGCGGGGGGGGCAGGGAGCGGGGGGGGCAGAGCGGGGGGGGGGGCAGGGAGCGGGCGGGGGGCAGAGCGGGGGGGGGGGGCAGGGAGCGGGCGGGGGGGCAGAGCGGGGGGGGGGGCGGGGGGGGCAGGGCGGGCGCGGGGGGGGGGGCAGGGAGCGGGGGGGGCAGGGAGCGGGGGGGGCAGAGCGGGGGGGGGGGGCAGGGAGCGGGCGGGGGGGCAGAGCGGGGGGGGGGGGGGCAGGGAGCGGGCGGGGGGGGCAGAGCGGGGGGGGGCAGAGCGGGGGGGGGCAGAGCGGGGGGGGCAGGGAGCGGGGGGGGCAGAGCGGGGGGGGGGGGCAGGGAGCGGGGGGGGGCACCGCGGCAGTGGGAAGCGTCCCACTGCCGCGGTGCCTCTTGGTGGTCGCGCGCTCGTTGCGAGGCGAAATGAATGAAAACAAAAGTGAAATAATGAATGTGCCAATCGATTTGTGAGGGGACGGTTTGTTTTGGTGGCAGTGGGTGTAAACTCATTTAATCATAAAACACGTTATATTGACAATTTTAAAGTAGATTTTTTTGTTTAGGGAAAACAACTCAAACGTTGTTGTTGGGGAAATATCACTTTTGTTGAGAACAAGCGTCAGACTTTTGTTTGGGAATGGTCCCTTTTTAGAAACTAGAATATTTAGTTTTGCTGGAAAATGTAAGTCTTTTTAGAGGGAATACATTTGAGACTTTTGAGAAACTTTGCTTGCCTGGGATCTATATTTTTCTAAGGGAAAATAAAAAAATGAATCAGTTTTTGCGGATACTTTGCTGTTTTATTGAAAATACATTTGAGTTTGTGTTAATTTCAATCCTTGGTTGGAAACAAAATGCAAATCTCTAACTTGGAAATTCTTCACTATTTTGCCTGGTTTTGTTGTAGACAAAGGTCAATATTGAACAAGACATCTCAATATTCGTTTCAAATCTCAACATTTTGCTTTGTTGGGAACCAATGTCGACTTTTGGGAACACAAATTGCTTTTTATTTTAGAGGAACAATTTTTTTAAAACTCTGCTTTTTTTATAAACAAAATTTCACACCCGTTTGGAACTTCTCGGTCGCTCGTTTAAATCTCTCCAATATTTTAATTTAGTTGAGAACAAATGATTGCTCATAAATGTTTAAAAATTTTAAAAACACACGTTGGGAACAAAACGTCAATCTTTTGTTTGGAACAACATTTTCAACCTCAATCTTAGTGTTTTTTGGGAAGTCTTCAACATTTTTTGTTTCACTGGGAGCAAATGTGAGCTTGTTTCGGGAACATGTTTTGAGCAAGATAAATATGTTGATGAAAAAAAAAGCAAGTTTTTTTTCTAATTATTTGGTATTTTTCTGAGGGAAAGAGCTCCCGTCTCCGACGAGTGGTTTGTTTGGAACTGGCAATGTCCCCGTCTGTGACTGCTGTACACAACGCGGACGCCAGACTGTTTCACTGACTTTATTAAGCGATAATGCGAGTCCCATACACAGCGGGCGATGAGATTATGATGACGAGGCATTGCTCGGCGCATGGTGCCGAGGAGCGGAGAGGCCGTTCGGTGAGAATGGACCCTCTAATTCACAAGCCCAGCTCCATCAGTTCCAAATGCACATTAACAAGTCCGAGCCGTTATCCCAACACCAATAACCATAAGACCAAACTTGGGCGAAAGGCTGCAGCCTTGTAGTCAAATAGTGATGAGATTAAAGCTAGAATCTCATCAGACTGCCTGCCTCGGGTTTATATCAGTCAACATTCAGAAGCCTTAGCTCGCGAACAGACAAGAGGATGTCACGGGGTCATTCTCTCATTAAGACTCCCCGTGGCAAACGACCGACAACATCAATGAGTACAGGTCACAACCGCGCTGCGTGGCAAAACGTCCCCGATAATCCGGACCAGCGAGTCGAGCCTGGCCAACCTTTGCCCTACAAACCTGGGCACAAACCCACAGCCACACGACGGATGCACAATTGGTTCCATCACCATCAACAGGCCAATTGTGCGATTCTTGAATCGGCGGCACAAACGCTACTGGAATGTCAATAAATTCAGCTGTTGGCCAACTCGTACTATAAATGTGGACTCTCAATGTTCGTATAAGGTGCCATGTGATACAAAATTAGGATTTGGAGGAAGGAAAAAGAACAAGAAGTTTGAGAGTTTATACAAGCACCGTTTCTCCCCCTGAATCGTTCTCACGACAAGTTCTGGCAAAATCGTCCTCGCGAATTGTGTGAATCAAGCTGAACTGACTTCACACGCTTCGAAGCTACCCTGTGCGTTTCTGGTGTCCGGAATGACGTCAAACTTGGAAATGAATTATGTATTTTCCAAGTTCCTCGTTAATCCACGAGAATATCCTGGCATCCACAATACAATAGTGTTTTCAATGAACCCCAGCCACCTCCTGAGACTGTACTTGTAATTACTGCCGTAACAAAGCACTACTTTGCGACCAACACAGACGCATGTTTAACGATAACTGACTGCAACTGTTAATTTGGCTTAATAATAAAATGAACCAACAAGAGAGCGTAATGCCGCACCGAACGGTAAGTTCGACGACTAAATACAACGCAAGACGTGTTATTATTTGCACTTGTTCTCTGTTGGTTACGTCACAACCTCTTCCCCCAAAAAAGGCATTGCCACCTCATTTTTGCAAACCGGCCTGGAAGATCGGCAACGCTCATTTGAAAGACAACCGGTCCGTCTGCTGTCAACAGCGCTACCCTCGGTCACGTGCCATTCGATCGAAACCTCACAACGTAGAGATGCACAATAAATAAAACGTAGAGAATGCGTACATCATAGCATATCGTTTATGCACAACGACCGGATATCCGTCAAATTCACCTCCACATCAGCACTGCACCAGCGACAATGCACACACGCACGCACTCAACTAGCTGCTTAGTCGGGGCGCACAGTATTTGCTAATAAACTTCGGAGCATTCTCATGGTCCCTTTCTCCAGTAGCCTGGTCCTATTTCACAGTACGCTGTAACGTCAAGTGCTCGACAAAGATCATTCTAATTGGGTTAATTGCACGTCACTCATCCCCTCTACTATAAATTACTTGCTTTACTCAGTCACGCACACTCAACTTGCACACAACTCGACAGCGCAGCACTGCAAAACAGCCCAGGTGATGGACTGCCACGACCCTGCGTCAAGGGGCACGCAATGGAAAAAAACCCACCACAGGCGCGGGGAATAAAGAGGCAGCAGGGGTATGCAGGTAGACGGGTAGGTGGCTAGGCGGCTAGGCAGATGCGTACACCCCTGCTACCTTTATTTAACTGCTGTAGTAGCCACCATGATTCTACCTGAAACCACTTCTCTCCCCTCCACCAAACACGAAACAGCAGGACCTTCGCCTCCTTTCACGCCACATCTAACTCCACTTCCATCTTGGTCTCCAAAGTGGAAGTGTCTTCACTGTCTTCACTTCCAGCTGTTCCTGCTGCTGCTCCTGCTCCTCCTTCTGCTGCTGCACCTCCTACTCCTCCAGCTCCTCCTGCTGCTACTGAGACCAAGGCTGGCCGCACCACCACCTCGGAGACTTGCGAGGAAGGTGGCGGTGGTGGCACGTGCGGTGGCAGCTGGACCGGCACTTGGGTCGATGTTTGGACTGGTACGGCCTGAGCCGTGGCTTGGGCCTGGGCCGCCAGCCCCTGGCCGGAAGAACCCTGCGATGAGCCCTGGCCCAGCGTGATTTCGGGGCCGCCCCCGTAGAGGGAGACCAGGTAGTTCCAGGTCTCCCGGGAGATCTGCCCATAGTCTGCACCTGTAGTGGTAAGAGGGGGTCGACAAAGGTTCACGATTGTCAGCTGTTGCTCGGAGTTGCTCGGAGTTATTCACATCCACCGGTAATTTAATTAAAGCATTACACACGTGACTGTACTTATACAGGAGGTACAGATGTTACATATCGAGCAACTCCTGATGCCATCGAAAGAATTACCAGATTCGACACAGTTACAATTTCGTCAGTTGCTTTTCAAAATCCATGTGATTGAAAGAAAAGATTACACACAACACAAACTAAAAAGCGTGCATTGTTACAATTGCGATTCAATGCATGTATCACGAACTTTTAAACAATATTCATGCTTGTATCACAAACTTTGAATCGATATTCATGCATGAATCGACGCACGGCTACACTGCTTAATCATGCCATCTATTATAATACAAGTAGCTGCAACGTGAGCGCTACATTCATGACGGTTGGTTATTTCCCATCACCTGCTTTAGCTGCGATGTGGCCGCCCTTGTTAACTGCAATTTTGCTGTTGTCGATTGGCCCTGGTGCTTCTGCAACACAAACGCAAAACACACTCAACAGTGAACAGCAACAGACCATACTTCACCGTGCTGGTCAGCGCAGATTGAAGGGGGCAGCAGAGATATTGGAGCACAGAGGTACAATACAACACTTCGATTTTGCTGCACTGCTCTGTACTGCCCACAGCATGCATGGTGGTAACCACCCCCCGTGGGGGTTTCAATATTGCTCACTGCCGATGTTAGCTGTAGCTAAGAATCGAACTCGGGTCGCCAGGTTAAAAGTGTAGTGCACTAACCACTGCGCCACCGCCAATGGCGGAGCCAGTGGGGAGGTGGGGTTCACGTGCCCCCCCAATGATCCGATCAAAATCCCTAATTTCGATCGAATCATTGGGGTTTATTAGTAATACATCGGCATCTTGCGACCCCCACTGCCACTGTGTAGCATATTATCACGTGCCAGGGACACTCTGAGATGATAGGACAATAGTCCGAGTCCATAATTGGCAATAAGTAACGGCAAAGCAGTTATAAGTGACTCACATAATTGTGCGCAGTTGTGTATACAGGACACGACTTCCCTGAAGGCAAACACCTTCAGCGAGCGCAATGGCGATCACACACGGTTCGAATTCGACCCTCGATCGATGGCTGCGCCCATCGCCGCACACGCGTCGGATAAAAAGCAAGGGACAAGTCCTTACTTACTAACAACTCCTCTATCATTTTTCATTGCTGGAAGGTTTGCCCCCCCCCTACCTGAAAATCCTGGCTCCACCATTGGCCACCGCTGCACCCCCGATAAGTATTGTTGCATTTTGTCACTGCAATTGTAATGTGCCTGCAAGAACTAATTGATATTTATTTTCCTTGTATCAACTTTGTACTTTTAACCCAAAGAATGCCTGGATATCCAGGCGAGCCGCAGTCTAACGCGTTAAGATTCTCGCACGTGATCCCACACACACATCGCACTTCTCAAAGAGACCGACATTACGCACATATGGAGGCATCGGCCAGGGGAACTTGCGGCAGCTTACACAGCCAAACCCTAAGCCGCCCTCCTCGGCGATAATACTGCTGCTGGTGTTAATACTGCTGCTGGTGTTAATGCTGCTGCTGTTGATGATGCTGGTGGTGTTACTGTTGATAATGCTGATGTTGGTTTTTCTGCGACCGCCACTCACCGCTGTCTTTGCCTTTGACGAACCCCTCCCACTCACGGAACCACTCCATGCTGATGCAGTAGATCACGCCCGGGTGCTCGTCCGCCTGGAACGCCTTGTTCTTCTGCTCGCACCACACACAACGAGTCTAAATGGTGTGACCACACCTCAAGACTTTGGGACACATGCCCCTCATCTCTAGGGTAGGTCCCGAACAGGAACAAAACTTTATACCCAAGTTTTGCTCGTATCGGATCATCTTTACGAACATTATCGTGGGCCCCCCCCCCACCCCCCGTTAGAGTCAGACAAATGGGCAGACCAAAAGGCAGGTTGACTGAGCTAATGCATTAAAGCACTTTCAACCTGGACATTAAAAAACCCCTGACATCATTTGAAACGGGCAGACCATTTGTATGCCGGCATCATGGTTTGCCAAATTCTAAATATTACCCGCATATCAAATTAGGATTACACGCACGGGAATCATCGCCCCTGACTGGCAAGGCAAATGTCCGCTTGCAGGCCAGGTGCCGAGTGACCTTGCGCCGCACAGGGACAGCTGCTTTGAGATCCGGACATCTGTGAAAAAGAGCTTTCCAGCTCATCAGATGTCCTCTGATTCTGAGATTAAACGTGGCACAAGTCGCTTATCGCGTGCAAAGCGCTCCGAGACGCCCCGGCCGTAAAGGAGGGTGCTCTATAAAAACACAATAATTCTCATCAAACCTTAATTATCCTGATTATCATTAACCTCATTGGCAAAGTAAGCATGCATGTTGAACTTCTTTCTCACCGTACGGAGCCAACCGTGCTAATCGCAGTTGCGGGACGCTGCACAAAGAGGTAGCAAGTCTTAGCGAGTCTTGGCGACCTCACCCTGATGAAGGTGTCCATCTCGGTTTTGCGTCGTCTCTCGAGCCGGTCGATCTCCACTTGGCACACGCTGCACACGTACAGGTGGTTCACGGCTGGACCGCCCCCATATCTGTGCGTTGGTGGGGGGGGGGGGGGAGACAAGCAGAGATCCGCTATCAGCATGCAGAGCTCGTGTTTTTTTGTTACAGCATTTGAGAAGTATGATTTTAGACGTACAGTATTACCTCGTTACATAACGAACCGTGCTTGTAACCATCTCCCCATTTCGAGCAAACGTAGCCATAACAACGTGGATTTCTCCCTCCACATGGCGATTATGTTACGTCAGGGACCCCGCGTATCACGATCGCACGCAATGGCAAATGTCTAATTATTGCGTTCTTACACTATGCGGGACTGTATAGTACACATTAAAGTAAATAAGGACATTAAAACATCATCACCGCAAATGTGTAAATGTGTATGTGCACAGCTCTCCTGGTCAAATGCAAAAAATTAAAAACATGTACGTGTACAGTATTGCTTGTACAGTGCACACACATGTAGTTGTGTCGTGTTTTTGTATTTGTAGAACTGACCAATAACAACACCACACACGCCCAAAGAACGATGTTGACACCAACACCACCAACGCTGTTGTTACTGCTCGTTTTTGTACGTTTTAGCGAGTCGACAAGCCTCACCTGTTGTAAAGGTAATCCCACACGTTCTGCGGGAGGATCACCACCAGGTCGTCTATATAGCTCGACTTGTGTGGTGGAACACCTGGTGAAACACACACAAAGACAGAGATCCCCCGCATAACCTTTACCAGACTGTTGGGGCAAGTGCTGCTTGCAAGCGCAACGCACACTCAATGTAACAATTTGACAAATAATACCGACAGTTGTGTGTGTGAATGTGAGAGAAGCAGGTGACTTTCTAACTCAACGACCAGCCACACAGGGTCAACGGCGGTCACAGCCGCACCTCCGTGGGAGCACAGGAAGTCTTGGTTGGTGATGGGCCCAGGCTCGGCGAACGTGTTGAGGCGGTTGAGCCACTGGCGGGAGATGTAGAACTCGAGCAGACTGGGCTCCTTGAGCCCCGCGAGCGACATCACCTTCTGCCGCTCGCGCATGGCCTCCTCGTTACTCTTGCTGCAGCGGGGAGGAGAGAGGCGAGAGAGGCGCAGAGGGAACAGGAGGAGGGAAGTGAGATATGGAGTGGGGAGGGGAGAGGGGAGGTGCAGGGAGGAGAGTGAAGGAGATTAAGAAGAGAGGCGTGGGAGGTGAGCAGTGATGATGAGTGGGGCGGCAGAGCGAGTTGTGGAGAGGGGAGTGGAAGAGAGGGGAGGAAAGATGAAGCGAGGTATGGTGAGCGGGAAGGAGCGAGACGGAGAGGGAAGAGAAGGGAAAAGTTGAGATGAAGGGGGGGAGGAGAGGGGAGGAGTGGCACAAAGACAGGACGAGTGGGGAGGAGGGCAGAGGAAAGGGGAGGGGTGGAGAATATCCGTCTCAGGGTCATTCCAAATTGACTTCAATAGAATATCCGTAATGATCAGCGTCATAATAAAATCGTGATAATTTTTGTTTAAATGCACAGCCCTTTCGTCAATCCACTGTTGGATGAAGGCCTCCCCACGGCGTATTGGACACAAGAATTTCTTTGTGGCGGGCTTTGGATATAATCAGGTGGTGAGAACTCAAAGAGGCCAGAGTGAGTGTCATTTGCAAGTGACCTGGGGCATTGGTCTGAAAGTGTGAGTTCTTGTGACCTGCAGTGTGATGGTTCAACAGTGTAGAATAAAACCAAGTCCTCAAAAGTGTGCATGAGGAATCGACGAATCAAGCTCAGGGGAACAGTAAACCACGGCAGTAGCGATTGAACAGCGTCAAGGAGGCGACGGACAAAGCGCTGGGTCACGGGTTCTCGGTTTGCACGCGCCGTGAACGTTGGGCGGCACTCACCGGTAGAAGAGAACGTAGGCCTCGGCGTTCTGCACGACGGTCTCGTGAACCTCGGTGACGCACTGATCGTCGAACTCGTACCACTGCCCGTTGATCACGTTCTGGCAGTACGCCACGTAGTGTCCGCCTGCGGGGTCACGGGCAGGGAGGGTGTCCGTGAGCCGTCGCCCCCTGTTACTCGAGGCCACGCAGCCGGTGCCGATAAATGGATACATATTTATAATGTACAGACACGGCTAGTTGACAGGTGGCTCAGAGATCAGAGCACTGAGCTGGCATTATGATACAATGTGGATTTGTATTACGTCTAATTTATAATTATAATTTTAAAAAATTGATTTATATAGCTTCATTGTTCATGCAAATTGCATCTCACAATTGCATGAACGCTGAGGAAGCAAGATGGAAGGCGGCGAGCTGTCACAAGCAGTATATGTCCGAGATCTGCAATCATCTATATATATTAAGACGTTATGAACCAATTAATGCGCAAGAGGTGGGACCCACTTCCAGCTGTTCCGTGGTGGCAGATGACGGAGAGGAGGTCGTAGGTCGTAACTTGGGACTGGCTCTCCTTGGCCAGGAAGGGCCGCATCTCAAGGCCCTCGGTGGGGAACGCCACATGGCTGCCGATTTTGGTGGAGTACATGAGTTCGTGCCGGAAGCGCTTGAGGTGGACGCAGAGGATCTGAGAGGGGGCACAGAAGTAGGGGGGGGGGGGTGCGCGAGTGGAATTGTTTCATCTCAAGGAAGCTCTCAGATTCATTTTTATAACATGACAGTGAACGTAGCGGTCGCGTGACACAGCGGGACCCAGAGGAGAGGCGGGGGTCCAGGTGTAACGTGCAATGGACGTGAAATGTCGTCGTTCACCGACCTCGGGCAGCTTGAGCACCTTGCAGTACTTGATGCCGTTGCGCAGCCTGCAGGCACAATACAAACACGTGGGGGTCAGAGTTCAGAGGGCAGCGTGAAGAGCCTAGGTGGTTCCATGCTCCCTGGATCTACTTGGGTTGAAGCTCAGATTAATGGGGTCAGGATGCTGTTAGGGATACGACTGGGGGCAAGGGTTAGAGTTAGGGCTTCCACGATGGTTAGGGCTTTTCATCATCATCAGGCCTTCTCCCACCTCCCCCTCACCCCAAGCCATTGCCATTACTCATGGTCTCTGGATGCAACATCCATCCAATTACTGCACACAATTTTATCTCATCGGTGGGTGGTAGACTGTGGTGGATGGTGGGTGGCAAGGTAGTGGGTAGTAAGTGGTGGGTAGTGAATGGTGGGTGGTAGGTAGATGGTGGTGGGTGAAAGATAACAGATGAGGGCAAGTCAAGAGGGCAGCGGTTGCGCTTGAGATGCAATGTGAGCAGTGGGAGTCACTCACTTCTTGCACCGCTCACAGCTGTACATGTTGTCTCCTATCCCACCGGGTTGGCGGGGGGGGGGGGACGGGGGTGCAGTGAGAAAATGTGAGTGCAGGGTGATCATCATTGGAACAACATCACTGTCATTATCATAAATGTTATGGGGCGGTCTAGGCTTTGGTTCACACGCAAAACAACAATTCCCATCGCGTCCAAATGTGAATGCAACTCAAGACATTTCACATCATGCAACACAAAGCCACATTGCGGGAGAGGAGGACGGAGGAGGCTGGGTGGTTAGAGCAGGGGAAAACAAAACTCCGGCACAGCCCAAAGGGCAAAATAACCGGGGCAGCACCAACGAGTTCCAGGGCATCCCTTAGGGGGGGGGGGAGGGGGAAGGGGGGGTTAGGGCCTTCAACAAAGTCGAGATCATCCCTTGAAAGGGGCTTGCACCATGCAATAACAAATCAACGATCCACCAATCGATAAGAAAAAGCCGTTAAATGGGAAGCGGCTGGTGTTGTGGGTTCAACTCCCGTCCCATGCTGCCGGAAACGGCAGCCTCTCCCCCCAACCGCATACAAACCCCACGGACAGCTGTCACGGGCACGGGCACTGGCGATGCGGCGCGGGCGGCCGCCCCAGCAGCAAGAGACAGCGCCGGCTGGACCTAAGTGAGCGCCGGCGGCCGCTCCCTCACCCTTGAGCTCGTCGGCAGCGAAGAAGGCGGCGAGACAGTCCTGCAGCGTCACCACGGGGCCCCAGAACCAGCTGGGAACGCAGGACACCACAAACCTGCGCGTCACGGTGGGAGACGCGACATGTGACATGCGCCCTCCGCCCCCGCCGGGCACTCCGCGAAGGGCACCCGTGCGGCCGGCTTGCCACAAGGGCGGCCACGTGGCACGTCAGCCGTGTGCCGAGCTCGCCGCTGCCGCGAACGCGTCCTCTAGCGATCACACGCGGCACGGGGGACCCTGCCCCCGGCGCGATAGGCAGCACGCTGGACTCACAATCTAGGGGTGGCCGGTTCGATCCGATCTCCCGACGAGGCAGTCGATACAATGGAGTTTTATCCGGACTTTCTGCCTGGATCTTGTCCTGACAACGCTCGACGCAATTTCAAACAAAACGGATTTGCAACATTTTGTTGTGAGAATTCTGGGGAGATGATATAATGATAATAAATACTGGAACACCACGTGACAATTTAATTTGTGTGGCCGTGTCAGGTGGTGAAAGGTCGTAACGACACAAATTTGGCCAGATAATGTACGTGGCCTCGACTACAAATCTATGATTTATTATCATTGTGATGTGTGTTAACCCAGAAAAGTATAAACGAGTCTCCAGACTGCATAATCAGGAGGGTCCCGCCAATATTGCTGTGGCTGTGTGTGATCTCAATTGAGTAATTTGCAGGTAATTGTTGCAGCATTGGCGATGCTTAGGCCAATACCAGTTATATTGTACAGTTTAAATTAGCTATGGGTGGAAACCGGAGAACCCAAAGAACAGGGGGAGAGAACCTATAGACTCCACACAGAAAGGTCGCCCGACTCGTGAATTAACCCCAGGGCTCTGAAACACTGCACCACCACCCTGCTGTCCAGACCCCTGGCAGGCGTTCCACCCACCGGCCCCTCCCGCCCCCGTCTCACCTCCGCACCACCCCCCTCAGCACCCCCGTGCCGCACTCACCTGCGTATGTAGTCCATGAGGAAGGTGAGCCAGCTCTGGGAGCTGTACGCGTCAGAGCACGCGCCGCCCACCTTGACGGCGGCGCCCTGGTGGGCTGCCGAGTGCAGCTTCGCCAGGTCCTCCTTGCCGGGGATCGGCAGCGAGATGTCCTGGAACGTCTCCACCGTCGCCGACACCTGGGCCGCACGCAGCCGCGCGCCACCGTCCACCGCCGGCGCCGCACCCACAGCCACAGTCACAACCACGGCCGTGACTGCCCTGCCTAGACGGCCCCGCGCCTCGGCGTCGTGGCTCATCGACGTTTTCAAACAACGCTGCCCGAAGGTCGTTTGAAAAATCGACGACCCCTCGCACTCGACCGCGGTTTCCAAACGACCCCCCCCTCTCCCCGACGTCGATCACCCGCTCACTTGGCCAACGCAATGGACCACTCCCTGCCACTCATTTAAAGCCGAGTGCGACCAGGTGTTTACTTAAGGCCGAGTCGACCTGTACGCGTGCATGTATGGACGTTGAACTTCTCTCGCACCGTACGTAGGCAACCGTGCTAATCGGAGGTGTAGGGTAAGGACCTAAAGGAGCTGCAAGACCGGCGTGGATATCGCTCACCCCCGACATTAGTCGTGGCCAGGAATGGAACCGAACTCACGTCGCCGAGTTAAGGGCACTGCGCGCAATCAACAGCACCACAGCTCTACCTCTTCTCAACCATCAAGCTAAAGGTGCAGCCCTGCAAGTGCTTGCTCGCGCTACTGCAGGTGCAAGGGGCCTCCACTAGAAGCAGCTCCCGAGATGCACCTATGGAATATATCTTGGCTTAATCTTCGACGCTGGCCGGGCGTCTTTCAAGAGGCAGGAGCGCCCACACTTGATCCCTACATCCCACACGAAGGAAAGGAACCACACAGTTCTACTCGGGCAAGGGGAGGCAGTGGCAGGGGCTCACCCTGTCGCACGTCAGGCACTGCACCGAGCTGAGGATGGAACCGTCAAAAATGTCTGAGATGACGCTCCGGAACTTTGGCTGCTGCCGCTTCTTCGACATGAAGGACGAGCCTGCGACACGCGCACACGCACAAACAACAGAGGCAAAGGTCCCCGTGTAGCCTATACGGGCCGTTACAGCAAGCGCCGTTAGCGAGCCGCACCTATGAAGGCCGGCACGGCGCACGAGGGGGTGGTGTTACCAAAACCTTAAGCGCTGTTGGCGAGCACTGATGGGTTTGGACACGTGCACTCACGTACGCACGGGCGACATCGCCCCCCGCTCACCCCCCCCCCTCTCCCCCTAGTGGCGACGGTGCGTACCCTTGCCGTGGGACAGCCCCGGTGGGGCACGCACGGGGCTGGCGCGGGGCGGGCTGCTCGACAGTTTGGTGTAGACGCGGTCACCGGGAGCCGGGCTAGACGGCCGCGACGGCGTGTACGCGCCGTGCTCACTCTCGGGGTCTGCACGGCACACGCAGCACGTCGCAATGTCCGATCCACTGCAGTCGTCGTCATCGTCGTCATCAGCCATTGTCTATCCACTTCTGGATGAAGGCCTCTCTCTCGTGCCAGGAAAAGCCCAACGAGTCGAAAGACTCGTTCTCAGGAGGGCCCTGCTACATTGGGATGTTTGGCAAATCGTAATAAAACTCGAGAACCAGGGATGAAACCCGCGCAGAACAGGGGAGAAACAAACTGCACGCAGAAATGAGCCCGAGTAGCGAGTGAAACTCAGGCCCTCCTTGATGCGAGGCACTGCACCACCACGCTGTGTACAAAAAGTTTCCCCGGAACTGGGAGTCGCACACAGCTGAATACCGGCCACGGGACCGGCAGCGCGCAGAGCCATCCGCGTCGCCAAGCACAGCGACGGAGCGACGGAGCGAAGCAATCGAACCGCCGGGGGGCGTCTCACCGGAGTGCCGCGGAGGCACGGGCGAGCTGCGCTGCGCCGGCGGGGAGGTGCGGCCGCCGCAGCCCAGCGAGTCGCTTGCACCGCCGCCGCCCCCCCCCTCGCACCCCGCCTCCCCCTCCGTCCCCTCGGCACTCTCCGAGTCGGCCGAGCTGGAGCGGCGCAGCCGGCGCTTGCGGTCGCGGTGGCGCGTGGTGGGCGGCAGGTGCTGGTTCTCTTGCGCCGCCGCCGACGACGCCATCGACGACGACGCCGTCTCGTCCTGCATGAGCATCTCCATCTCCTGGTCCTCGACGAGGTTGGCTCGCTCGCGGCACTGCACGGCGCAAGGGGTTGGCGGCGGCGGGAGGGGAGGAAGGTGACAGTGATGAGCACCGTTGCACGCACGTACGCTCACACGCGGCACATTGTCAGTGCACCCTCGCTTCGCTTGGTCTGCTAGGGTCTGGTGCGTTGGTTCACAATGAACGCCGAATACGGCCTCATCCAAAATCTCACTGATGTACGTATGTGTGCATGTTGAAATTCTTCCGTGCCGTACATAGCCAACTGTACTAATCGGAGGTGCGGACAGCTGGTGGTAGCAGTGGAGTTATTAGCAAAGTGGTGGACCCAAGAGAGCGAAGGGCGACCGTCAAGTCTCTACAAGGTCGGTGACGGACGTCTGCCTCATCTTAAACAATCCATGGGGGGCTTGAGGGCTCTACGATGTTGATGGCGAGTTTAGTGGTTTCATGAGCAGGGGTGGACTCGTCCATGTGTGCAACACGCCCAGAGAGTGAGTCATTCACATGCGACCAACAGTTCAGTGCGGCATAAATTACATCACTGACAACACATTGCACGGCCCACTAACGCTGATGCTGGAGGGCGACTGCCACCAACTGTACAAGAACATCCTGCACGAACCTCCTCTATAGAGGCCGATCTTGAGACCGCTGATAGCGGTCATCGGGAAGTCCACTCAGCTCCACATCCTCCTGTACCGCATCAGTCCATCTCCTCCCTAGCCCACGCAACGCCCATTTTCTTCCGTTTGATATTAGGAAGCGACTAGAACTATGCACTTTTAGATCGAGATTAAAAACTAATTTCTTTCTAACTGCTTTTTTGATTAGTTTGTCGTCCTTCCCCCACACCTCCGATTAGCATGGTTGGCTACGTACGGTGTGAACAAAGTTCAACATACTGTACGTACATTTAGCCCCCTCTATCTGGCCACGAACAACAATATCTGGTTTAACACACAAACACGCGCGCAAACACATACACACACGTACCCCAGATCGCGGGGGGCGCCCCCCCCTCACCTCGCTGCTGATGCCCGAGTCGCAGGACACGAGCTCGTCGTCGGAGTGGGTGCGGTGCTGCTCGCACGGTGCCAGCTGCTCCATTGCGGGCCCCGGCGCAGGGGCATCATCCGGCTCGGTCTCCTTGAGCTCCTCGTGCAGCTGGTCCATAAGGCAGCGCAGGAACTCCTGGGCGTCCTGCGAGAGGCAACCTCCAGTATAAGTAAATATTCTGAGCTGCCCTGGAACCGCAGTTTGTCATCAACCGGCAGTGGTCACCGAACCGCCATTGCTGGCCTGCCGCTACCGTTACTGTCACTGCACGCAGAAGTGGCGTTACGTAATCGCCACCACAATTGCATCACCAACGCACGAGCTCTATCGATGCCCCATCAAAACAGAATCGCGCTCATCGCTCCACCACCACCACTACAGCAAGATCAGGGTGCCGCAACCACTGCATCATTCCATCACCAAACCATCGCAATAGCATCACCACTATTGCCCAATAGTCTCACCATCACAAAGCCACGTCCTACTCAATGTGACCATCGCCATCTCTCCAACGTCATCAGGGTTCCAAAATCACAGAATCATTCTCCCACCAAACCACCCCAATCGTCACTACCCCACCAACGCAGTCTCACAATCACCAAGCCATCGCCCCTATCGGTGTGTCACAATCATCACTCCTATCATGTCACCACCGCACCGCCACGGTCTCATCATCACCCACCGCACCATGACCAGTCCACCGTCACCACCATAACTGCCGTGTCACCATGGCCACCCTGCCAGCACCACCACTGACCCTCGTGTACTGTTCTATAAGTAGCCACACGTACCTGCTGTGCGTAGCCCCGGAACATGGGGTTGATGAGTTTGATTCCATGAGCCAGAGTCGTGGGAACCAGGTAGCCGTGCCTACGATTGATACAACACACGACATGACGTCCCGCGAAATTGATCATTATCATCATCGGTCATGATCCATCCGCCGCTCCTCCTCCATGAAAGAGCACGGCAGCCACTCATCTTGTTTTCTCTAGATTGTATACTCATCGTTCCGATGGCGTCACTTCACTAGACAATGACATTTCTATTTGAAACCTTTGCAGGGGGGAGCGCACCACCTTCTGATCCCGACCCTGACGCACGCTCCCTCCCGCTCTCACCTCTTCTTGTTCCAGATGTCGGAGACGAGCTTGTGGTAGCTCTTGCAGAGCGCCGGCTTCTTGTCGGTTCGCACCAGCCCTCCACACTCGAGGAAGAACTGGGTGAGCGGAGGGCTACTCATGTCACACGCGCACAGACACACAGAGACACAGAGACACACACACAAACACAGAAACACAAAGATCCCCCGTATAGCCTGAACAGACTGCTGGGGCAAGTGCTGTTAGCGAGCACCTATGAAGGCTGGCACGGCACACGAGGGGGTGGGTGGCCAACACTATGCCCGGCCGCCTTTGTCTCCCCAGTGGTGATGTTTTACACACCACACCAGGTACTAATTTGAGGATGAGTTGACCGACGGGTGTTGGGCATGAGCGGGATTCGAACTCGAGTCACCGGGTTCGTAGTGCAACGCACTAACCGCTACACGACACACACACACAGACAACGACACACACACATGGACACACAAACAAGGGCAAACATGCAAGCAGAGACACATACACGCGCGTACACACATGTACGCACGCACACAACACTGCATTATTGCAGGTACATGATGTTATTCATTCCTCGTGATTAATTTCGGTTCGGTCTGTCCAGGTCAGCGACCTGCAAGATATTTAGACACCCAGCACACCACACCCAGTTTACTTCCTCCGACTATGGCCGTCGCTCTCAGTCACCCTTCATCTCAAGCACCGGAACGTAGGTCCACGCCGCCGATACCCCGCACGAGCTAAAGTGCGCGAGGTCAACGCCCCGCACGCCGAGTTTGGAGGGCCACTCACCAGTTAGACAGCGCCTGCAAGGCGGCATTCATGTAGCACGTGTTCCCAATGTTCTTCAGACCGGTGAGGCCTGTAAGGAAGAGGTCGCTCACTAAAACTCTCGTCTCCGCTGGCGCAACGCTTCCCTGCCTCTGGGTGCATTCCACGAGGCAAGCGAGCACATCGCAAGCCCAAGAATCGATTTGAATTGACGTTAAAATCTTTATCATCGTCAGAGTCATCGTCACGATAATTGGTGACCTTTCCACCGCGGCCCTGACCTCGGGGTCGAAGGTCGTCATCGTCGACCTCGGACTCTCCCTCCTCGCCGGATGTCCCAGGGATGGTCTTGATGGGCGAGGCTCCTCGGATGCCCCCGTCCTGGCGAGTGATAGTCCACAAGACAAAGATCTCCCATATAGCTTTTACAGACTTTTGGGGCAAGTGCCATTAGTGTGGGCACACACACCAATGCTGAAAAATAACCTGCAAATGACACAGCAGCAGCAGAAATATCACCCTCCCTCCTGCGAAAACTCGGCAGCACCCTCCTGAAAAATAGGCTTGAGACTCATCAGTGAGGCTTTCCTGGGTAAACACACATCAGTGCTGGCTGGTAAAGGTGAATGCCCAGGACCAGCTAAGATATCACTTGTCACTGATGTTCGGCATGGCCGAGAGTCGAACTCCGGTTGCCGTGTTATAGGGCAGCGTGCAAAATGTTGTTCTTCTTTAATATTGCAGATTGGCAACGTTTAAATGTCTATATGAAGTTTGGTGAGCGAGCCAGTGAAACTCTGCCAGCGAGTGATTGAAGCGGGCAGTGGCGTTACTATGAGGTCCATGGTTTAAGATATATACTAACATGGACAGCCATTAATTTACATAGAAACCCACAGATTGACATTCACCCATAGACTTGCATAGAGACTCATAGACTTGATGGACACGGGGAGTGGCGTTACCATGTGGGCCATGATATGAGGTTTGTGGCTCGCAGTCGCACTACGAGCTAATTACGAACTGCCCATCAGTATTGGAGAAGAGGGCTAAACATGCCTGCGATGTGCCGATGCGGTCGTCCAATAACGACCGGGGAAACCTGAAACCGTGACCATCTTGTGTGGGGTTAGCGATCAAACGCTCCCGTGAGCAACGCTGCCGCTGCTCCAGCTCAACACCCACTGCCACTCACGATTGAATGAGGACGCTGTTGAGTGCTTGCGCAGAAACCACTTGCGACATGAACACATGAATTTGTTGCAATGCCGATTGTCCCGATGTTGAAGTCCAGAATACACACCTCATTCAAGACCCAAACATCACATCTCCTGGAGCTGACATTACTCCTCGAAGAAGATGGAGTAACCATCAACCGCATCAGAACATCAACAGGCCGATGCGCGAGCCTCCTTCATGAGTGTAATAATAAACGACAAGGTGCAGATTGGTGGCCATGCAACTCAAAATATGGACCAAAAAGATAAACCACTGTACTCTGCACTCTTTAACAGAGGGATAAAATAGCAAAGCTACACGAATGATCTCTCTCCTCAAGCCCTCTTGTCGTTGGCAGCAGACCTCGACTGAACATATTGCTGGTGCTGCTGCTACTGCTGCCATCATGCACGTGAATATAACGGTCTTTACTCAAGACCTTCTTCCACGAGAGTGAGAATTTCTGAACGTTGCCAAATGCGTTTCCGGGTCGTACCGCACGTCGCTCGGCATGAGACAGCATCGGAAGAGCCGTGCACAGCACAACTGTAAACGCCGACACGGGCAGTATATTTTCCCAAGACGTCTCCACATAACTGCTAACGCAATCTTTTAAACAAAAGAATCGCAAACGTTTAAACGTCAATTACGCTTCGCATGCAATCGGCCTACATGCAGGCGAAGAGCCGCACCACTTAGTTTGCGTTGCGGCGGCAGGCGGTGTCGACAGCCGCTCGTTACATTATTCATTGACCCCGCACTGCACCTTTTATCTTTTTGCTTTTAATTTCACGAGGCCACGGCTGACGACCGACATCAAGGGCAACCGTGGCAACATGCGCTCCGTCAATAAAACTACCGCAAGCGCACAGACACACACGACATGAACGGCACTGGCCAAAACGGTCAAAATGCTAATAAACACATTACCGGAAAATTATTCAAACGCGATAACACATGGCAACATCGCAGCCCACTCTGCGAGAACTGGGCAGGACCATCCTGAAAGGGAGTGTTGAGACTCAGTGAGGCTTTCCTGGCTAAACAAGTGTGCCAATCATGATAATACAAAACCTGCAAATTATTTGGGAAACTTTCTCGGGTACGTAAGGTTTGTCGGACTACGTTTTATGTACCGCAGTACTCTGGTGGTTTTTACAGCAGTTCAAAGTAAAACTGCGATAAGCATGTTAAGGCTCTGGTGGATGTACACCTCATAAGTTAGCGTTGCAGAGTGAACGGTATTTACCCCTGTGACTCGCGACTTCATGGCAACGTTGCATATTACCAAATGGAAATACATTTCGCTCGCATCGGGTCAAATGTGGAGGGTGAGTTACTCATCGACCCAAAACCTGAACTGCATGCACACGTAGGTGCTATGGAGTTCGCAGCAGACAATGGTGCAGCAAATTATAATGTTGTACTGCACCGCCATGCCGGCCCATCTATGCTCCGAGCCTTCACCCACCCGTACTGACCGTGGTGAAGGATGGTCAAGTAACCCCCACGACCCACATGGCGCCCTCCCTCATCCAGCAGTGGGTTGACAAAAGGGTTAAATATATATACGCACGGCAGGCGTACACTAATTAAAATCTGCATGTACGATTGGTTGCATTTTACAGCGCTTGAAAACGCATCCTACTCAGTGTCATATTTGGAGGGCAAATTATTCTCAAAGCCCCAAACACTTTATCTGGAGCGTCCCACGTGAGCATGGACGGGGAAGCAGAAGTGCGCACACACACACGCACACACACACACGCACACACACACACACGAGGGCACACACACAAGCGTGTGCATACACACACACACACGAGCACGCACACACACGAGTGAGCACAGACACAGACAGACAAGAGCGAGCACGCGCACACACACACACACAAGAGAGCACACACACGAGAGAGCGCACGCACACACACGAGCGTATGCACACACACACATGAACGCGTGCACACACGCACACGCGTGCGAGCGCGGGTGCGATCGTACCGGCATGGGCTGCGCGGCGGCCGGCGAGGGCTTGCAGGGCGCGGTGCCGCCCGCCGCCACCGCCGCCTGCTTGTCGAGGAACACCTCCCGCTCGCACACGTAGCACCACACCCGCAGCGTAGTGAGGTTCACCGTCAGGCTGTGCTTGCTCGTCTGGGCACACGCACACACGCACACACGCGGCGCAATAAGCCGTCGGCACGAACGGCCGAAACCTCCCCGGAGTACGTGCGGCGGTAGCGGCAAGATAAGCGGGTTTGAGCCTGGATAGTGCTAGTGTAGCGACATAGAATGGGTCACTACGGCGCATAGCGCTGGTTAATGGTAGACAGTGGGATGGTGGGTGTAGTGGCCCGGTCTAGCAGCAGGGCAGGTGAAGTGTGCCCAGGAGTGTGTAGCGCCGGTTGCTCACAGTGAAGGGCATTTGAGGATACAGTGGCCGGTCTGACAGTTGGGCACGTGACAGGCACGGATGTAGGGTAAAGGTGACAGAGGGGACACGTGGGGCAGAGCCCAGAACCTTCTGGTAGGTTCTAGAAGGGGGCGTGGCCGAGGGCGAGCCAGGCCACGCTGGGGAGGATAAAAGGGAGGCCCCGACGCTGGTTCGAGGCTGCTGCGGTTTGGGAATGGAGTCGTCGTCCACGAAGTCTTATATAGTTATCCCCTAGACTGTGGAGAGTGTAGAATTAACGTGTATGCCTCCTACTATTAGTGTCTCCGAAGTGACTCGCTACACGTGGAAGGGGCCACTCCCACCCAGAAGATGCTGTTGGCTTCTGGGTGGCACAGCGGTGACACTTGGACTTCACAGAATGAAGGAACTGGGTTTAATTCACCAATTGGGCACCTTTGAGTGTGCAAGTTTGTATGTTCTCTCCCTGTTCTGCATGGACTTCCACCGGGATTTACGGTTTCTTACTATAGCTAAAAACACACAATATAATCGGTTTGACTGAAACCCCCAATGTAGCAAAACTTAAATAATACGTCTTCAGACCGAGTGTGACTGTATATTGTTGGATAAATAATAATATTATAATCACTGCAACTCAAGACAGTGATGCTCCAAAAACAGAAGTTGAAATTACAAATTTATTTTAATTTATCTCGGCTGCCTATTGCAGTGACAGCCGATGCATCACCTACAACTGACACACGCAAACTGTTGAGACCACATAACTCACGTGCATGCTGGATTGACGCATCATCATCACAACCACAGCCAACATATACACTCGATGCACATCGCCACTGCATTTATCTGAATGCACTTCGTGATCATGAATAAAATGGTGGGCGCCTCAGCACCACCAGTCAAAGAGAAACCATCATTTCCCAGCACCATCGTTTGCAGCGTACACAAACAAGGCTGTGTCACTCCACCCATGACTACATTTTCAGTTCCCCTTGGTGCGAGTCTATGCCTTCAGAGATGCTTTGTTTAGCCTCGTAGACTATTGGGTTAAGTGCTGTTAGCAAGCACCTATGAAGGCTGGTATGGTACGCAACGGAGTAGTGTTGCTGGCACCGTGATCGGTTGCACTGGTCTTCCCAGTGCTGATGTACACACCTTACCAGACACTCGCTTAAGGTTGAGGCAACTTAGGGCAGGTGGATGAGTTATGCTACCACTTGCTACCGATGTTATCCACGGCCGGGAAACTAACGGCGGTCAGCAGATTCGCAGCAGGGTGTGTCGACCATTTTGCTGCCACTCCCGATACATCCAGAGCAACAGTGATGTCAACATCGCTCTTGTGCCAGGCTAGGTGCAGCAGTTTGAGGCCACCAATGTAGTGGTGTCCTGTGACCTCCGGCAAACCCTCCCTCTCATGCTCGTGCACACAGCACGGGCACTCCCATGCGTACCTGCGCATGCAGAGTGCTGTGGTCAGTGAACGATTCTCCACAGCCCACGTATGTGCAGCCATCCTTTCCGGTGAGATGAACAGACGCACACAGACACGCGGGAGTGTCATGGTCAGGCGGGAGGCATCAAACACCTTTAACCATCGCGATCAACTTCATTGCTGGTGACGCGCGTACGATCGCAAGGTCCACACTCGGTAGTTGGCTCGAGTTGTAACATTTCTGTTAAGCTTGGATGAGTAATGCAGACGTGCGTGCACGTGTGTGTGTGCACATGTGTGTGTGTGTGCACATGTGTGTATGTGTGCACGTGTGTGTGTGCACGTGTGTGTGTGCACGTGTGTGTGTGCACGTGTGTGTGTGCACGTGTGTGTGTGCACGTGTGTGTGTGCACGTGTGCACGTGTGTGTGCACGTGTGTGTGTGTGTGTGTGCACGTGAATGGTGTTCACCTGCAGGCAGGCCCAGAGGTTGGGGCCAGTCGCTGCGCACGACTGGCAGGTTCCCTGTAACACACAGTGGGGCCACAGTGTTTAGCTCCACGACCAGAGCGAGTGTCAAGGCTAGAGTTAGTATTCAAGCTTATAGCCATCTGTATGTCCATCAGCAAAGATTATAACTTGATACATTTTGAGCTGTTGGGTGGCTTCAGGAGGAGCCTGGTAAATATCTGAAAAGTTTCCAGTGAATGAGCTTGGCAGGCAACGGTGTTACTGTGCGCGATTCGGTGTTTGAAATCGGCAATTGCGATCGCACAGCGGGATGTGATCATTGCTTTGAATAAGGGTGTCAGAGCTACGGTGACAAACTACGAATAGGGTAAGAGTTAGCGTTGAGGCTTTGGTTATTCCGAGAGTAAGAGCTGGGATTGGTGCGAGTGCCATGTTGCGTATGCACGAGGTGTGCGGAGACATGCTTTTTGGAGCCACCTTGGACTTCTGGATGAGCTGCTCCTTCGTAACCTCCCCAACGCTGCCGAGGTGCACACACTCCCCCTCAGAGCTGCCCATATCGTCGGCCACACGGCCCTGCTAGCCGCATCACAAACACCACACGGCAGTTAACCTGACCCCACAGCACACACACAGGACAGTTAGCCCAGCCGCACACCATGCATATACACAACTTCCGCGCCACGGTTAACCCAGTCGTGCACCACCACGCTCACACACACCAGGTGACACCACACACACACACCTGGACACAACCCCATACTCCCCATCCAGGTAACCTCTTTAAACGCAAAACCCCAGGTCTTACCTCCACACATCATGCTCACATCACTCACACACACCCCAGGTGTCATCGCCACACACCATGCTCTCTCACACACACACACACATCACGTGACCGACCCACAACACACACAGCACCCTGGTGAACCTTTCAAACACAACACACTCACAAAATAATAGGTGACAAAAACCACACACAGACCAGGCATCCCCTACACACACAAACACAGACTCTGGGTCTCTTCTGCTCCCACCTCCAGGTCTGCATTGCTCACCGTGAACATGCGACCTGGCTGGGGGAGGGAGCCTGGTCGGAGGAATGTAGCCTGGCTACCCGCGCGTTGTGTCTCGTGTACCCTCGCCTCAATGCCCGCATGCCACGCCTGCCTATGGGCAGCAGGCGAGGATTATTTTGCGATGGTGGGGCTGTGTTTTGTTGACGGTGCTGTACAGTGCCATAGTCCAACTACATCGAGATGTCGATTCTGTCCACTCCGAGCTGTCTTCCTCTTCAAGTTGCTGCATGCTCCCTGCCCACCCCCTTCATTCAAATTGTCGAGCAGCCTCCATGGCTGGTCTGCCTCCTGACCTCTACACCGACATTCACAGCCCTTCCGGAGATTCCTTCATCACGCTCTCACCTCTGTGAAAATGTGCCCCGCAGATCTAAACATTTGACCTTATTCTGGGTCATCATCATCATCACACATAGCATCATCAGCACCGCCAGCATCATCATCACACATAGCATCATCAGCACCGCCAGCATCATCATCATCACACATAGCATCATCAGCACCGCCAGCATCATCATCATCACACATAGCATCATCAGCACCGCCAGCATCATCATCATCACACATAGCATCATCAGTACCGCCAGCATCATCAGCACCGCCAGCATCATCATCATCACACATAGCATCATCAGCGCCGCCAGCATCATCATCATCACACATAGCATCATCAGCACCGCCAGCATCATTATCATCACACATAGCATCATCAGCGCCGCCAGCATCATCATCATCATCATCACACATAGCATCATCAGCGCCGCCAGCATCCTTTCGTAGCGAACTTCCTTCATCACGCTTTCACGTCTGAGAATGTGCTCGATTCTGGATTGCACTGGACGCCTCACTCCTCCTGAACCCGCAATAACATCTCGTTTCGTTCCTCGTAAATAGGGGCACTGTAAATGAGTAATCAGAGGTACAATTGAGATAAATTAATTTAAATGGATTTCTACTGATTGGCATGCTTTGTTAATCTCAAAGTAGTGTTTGACGTTGTCTGTGGGTTGGTGAAATGTGCTCGCGAGAGCGTTAAGCAGCAGTAATGAGACCCCTGCAGTGAAATGTGCCTGATCATCATGATCATGGGTGCAGCGACGGTTCGTGAAGCTGTAATCGCGACAATGTGGGTGCCGAATCTTGTGTAGCCGGTGCTAAATCGAGGGCGAGTGCAATGGCTATCGTTAATGGTCGGGCTAGTTTTAGTGGCAATCTTAGCTTTAGGAAGAGTGCGATCGTCAGTGCTACGGCTGTGGTTAGCGACAGGGCTACAACGAAGGCAAGTGTTAGTGCCACGGTAAGTTGTTATTGCTGCTGTTGGTGTCAGTGTTAGTGCTACGGTTTGTTTTGGCTGATGTGACACGTCTGGTGCCATGGCTCGTGATGGCATGGCTCGTGTTGGGGGCGAAGCCAACGCTCGTTTCGTTTCAATGCGAATCGCTGCCGACGCCACGAACCCAGACGCGAAACAACCGCGAGCTCGCATGGCTGTCGGTATCAACAACAACCAAACAACACTCGCAACACAACAACGTTGTTATAGAACAGACGTGACAATGACCTGCTGCTGCTGCTGCTGGTGGTGAAGAGGGCTCACCTCCTCACGATGACGCGGCCAGGCCTGATGAGGCAGGAGGAGGTGGTGATGGCGGAGAGGGGCAAGAGAAGGAGGAGGCGATGGTGGTGGTGCTGCTTGGGGGAGGCGATGGAGAGGAGGCGGAGAGAATGAGGAGGTGGTCAGGAAGGGGAGGACAGGAGGAAGATACGGGGGTGGAGGAGGGAAGTTGATGATGGTGGTGATGATGGCGAAAATAAAACGAGGTGAACAGAGGTCGAGTGGAATTAGAACGAAGAGTAGATCAGACCAGAGGATGAGAGAGACGAGGTTGAGAATCAGTAGAGGACGAGGTTTCTGATGGTGATGTTTGCGAAGATAATGCGTCTGCTTATGTCAGTGATGATGCCAATGATGACCAGCGATGCTGATGTTTTTAACGATGGCGATGCTGCTGATGTTAGTGATGCTGTTGCATGACGTTGTTGATGTTTGATGATGATGTTTTTGACGATAGTGATAACGCTATCATTGATGTTGCTGATGATGCTGTTAGTGCTGATGCTGCTGTTAGTGCTGATGGTGTTAGTGCTGATGGTGTTAGTGCTGATGATGTTGCTTATTCTGTTCGTGCTGCGAATGATATTGCTGATGCTGCTGATGAGGATGATGATGTTGCTGATACTGCTGTTAGTACTGACTACTGAAGAGGATGTGGATGTCGCTGATGTTGATGCTGCTGTTAGTAGTGACTGTTGCTGATGATTTTGTTGATGTTGCTGCTGTTAGTATTGACTGCTGCTGATGTTGCTGATGATGTTGTTAGTACTGACTGCTGCTGATGATGTTGCTGATGATGCTGTTAGTACTGACTGCTGATGCTGCTGCTGTTGTTAGTACTGACTGCTGCTGATGATGTTGCTGATGATGCTGTTAGTACTGACTGCTGTTGCTGCTGCTGATGTTGCTGATGATGTTGTTAGTACTGACTGCTGATGATGATGTTGCTGATGATGCTGTTAGTACTGACTGCTGTTGCTGCTGCTGTTGTTGCTGATGCTGTTGTTAGTACTGACTGCTGCTGATGATGTTGCTGATGATGCTGTTAGTACTGACTGCTGTTGCTGCTGCTGATGTTGCTGATGATGCTGTTAGTACTGACTGCTGATGCTGCTGCTGCTGTTGTTAGTACTGCTACTGACTGCTGTTGATGATGTTAGTACTGACTGCTGCTGCTGATGATGTTAGTACTAACTGCTGCTGCTGATGATGATGTTAGTACTGACTGATGATGATGATGTTAGTACTGACTGCTGATGATGATGATGTTAGTACTGACTGCTGCTGATGATGATGTTGTTAGTACTGACTGATGATGATGATGTTGCTGCTGCTGATGTTAGTACTGACTGCTGATGCTGCTGCTGATGATGATGATGTTAGTACTGACTGCTGCTGCTGATGATGTTGTTAGTACTGACTGATGATGATGTTGCTGCTGCTGATGATGTTAGTACTGACTGATGCTGCTGATGATGATGTTAGTACTGACTAAAGCTGCTGCTGATGATGATGTTAGTACTGACTGATGCTGCTGCTGCTGATGCTGCTGATGATGATGTTAGTACTGACTGCTGATGCTGATGCTGCTGATGATGATGTTAGTACTGACTGCTGATGCTGCTGATGATGTTGTTAGTACTGACTGCTGATGCTGATGATGTTGCTGCTGCTGCTGATGATGATGTTGTTAGTACTGACTGCTGCTGCTGCTGATGATGATGTTGCTGCTGCTGATGTTGCTGAGTCTGCGGAGTCTTCCTCTGCGCAACGGAAATGTCCGCACTGCAGCGCGCGCCACTTCCGGAACGGAAACGGAATCGGCTCCGGCGGGAAGGAGGGAAACAATCTGGCGGCCACAAATTTGTTCCGGTTTTGTGATGTGTGTTCCCCCTATCGCCCTGACGTAAATTTTGACTTAACACGCCCTGACCCTCTTCATTTGACTTGTGCAGTATTCACGGTTAACCGTCGATACGCGTATGGGAACTTACTGTATGTTTATCAATCGATGAATGCAATAGAGTGCTGCATGTGCTCTCGATGCGCAAATCAATGTGATGTTTCGAATCGTTTAGGGTTCCATAGCGGGGCTCGCCGCTCGATGTTCAAGGTCGGTGACGGAACAGCAGCCAAGGCATGGAACGCGTGCAGAGGGGTGGGAGCGGCCCCCGAGGAGATGGAGCGATGACAAAAGAGAATTCTCGTGGGTAGATTGTTACATCGCAGCATCTTGAGAGGTGGCGGTGACATGGGTTGGGAGGGTTTCATCCAGCAGTGGATTGACCATGGCTGCTGCTGCTGATGATGCTGATGATGATGATAACGCTGCTGTCCAATAGAAGCGACGTGCACAATCGCAGTGGGAGAATGCACTTGCGAATCTCATGGAGGAGTGAACAATCGTCGCCAGATCAACAGGGGTGACCACGAGGCGGCAGCACGACCCACGTGTGTGTGTTCGTGAATCCATCTGTGCGGATCTGCACGCCGAGCACACTCGGTTCAGATTTTGTATTTTTTGGGTCTGATCGCGAAATAATCGTGGATTAGAGTGGATCATAATACGAGTTGAATACTGCACCTTTTTACACCATGGCGCCTGATATTAATTTAATTAAATAATGTTTTTAATTATGACCAGCAATTAGACGGGCATACCTACTGTAGTCACCCAGCAATGTCTGTCCTTAACGCAGGTGACGTCACTCCACGTCGACCAGCCCCCCTCATTAATATTCATGAGCAGGTGACGTCACTCCACATGACCCCCCCCCCCTCATTAATATTCATGAGCAGGTGATGTCACTCCACATGACCCCCCCTCATTAATATTCATGAGCAGGTGATGTCACTCCACATGACCCCCCCCTCATTAATATTCATTAACAGGTGACGTCACGCCACATGGAGCATCCTCAATAATCATGAGCAGGTGACGTCACTCCACATCGAACAGCCCCTTAATTAATAATCATGAGCAGGTGACGTCCTCCAAATGGACCCCCCCCCTCCATCAATAATAATTAGCGGGTGACGTCACTCCACATGGGGGGGGCGAGGCGCCTCCTGCCCCCTCCTCGGCGTCAACTCACAAGCCTCACTACAGAGGCAGAACCCTCACGTCACGTGATCTCTGTGACGCTGTTGAGACATCAAAGTAAAACGGACGTCGTGATGAACAAGGGATTGTAACCTTTAAATGAAATAAGTCTGTGTCACCGCGCCCTTACAAATTGCACACTAATTGATGCAATGAATATCACGTCGCGGTCTGATTTTCGCTTGCAAATTTCAGATTTACTGCAAAACACCCGTCCTTGGACGGGCAAAAGGCTAGTTTCAACATAATTAACATATAATTAAACAATTTCACAATGGTACAGGCGTCTCCCCAATCTTTCCCTACCCAAGATGGCCACCAGATCCCTATCCCTGTCCAAGATGGCCGCACGATATCTATTCCTGTCCAAGATGGCCGCACGATATCTATCCCTGCCTAAGATGGCCGTGCGATATCTATCGCTGCCCAAGATGGCCGCACGATGTCTATCCCTGCCTAAGATGGCCGCACAATATCTATCCCTGCCCAAGATGGCCGCACAAATATCTATCCCTGCCCAAGATGGCCGCACGATCTCTATCCCTACCCAGGATGGCCGCACAATCTCCCCCTGCCCAAGATGGCCGCCCAGACTTCACGATGACGTCGCCGCCTCCGACACGCTACATCGCCTCGCCTGCTCTGCCTCGTCTCTCCCCCCACGTCTCCCGCTGCTTCTCTTGCCAGTGCCGATGCTGCTGCCGCCGCCGCTGCTGCTGCTGCTGTTGCTGCTGCAGCGGGAGACGGTTCCGCGCGAGGCCCTGACCGCTGCCGCCCGGCCCGGCACCGCCCGGCCCGACCCGACCCGACCTTGCCCGCGGTGAGAGAGAAGGACGGAGGTCGCGGGGCCACGGGGCCACGGGGTCACGGCCTCCACACAGAGACCGGTGACGGGGTCACGGACACAGAGGACCGAGGGTCGTGGAGACGCAGAGAGAGAGACACACACACACGGGGACAGTTTCACAAGAGAGAGCGACGCGAAGGCGGCAGACTTGGGGGAGACACGCGGTGAGTGGTCAGCCAGAGGGGGAGACGCGCCGAGGTATTCTGGCATTAGGCAGAGACACAGAGACACGCGGGGAGAGGCGCGCACGTAGAGGCAGGAACTGGAGGGAAGACGGAGAGGTGAGGAGACCACACTGAGACAGGGGGTCGGGACAGAGACGGGATGAGATCGAGGAGACGGACACACGGAGACGAGGAGGAGATCACAGGGAATACACCATGTCGTGTACTGTACATGCCCTTTGTATGTCCACTGCTGGATGAGTGCTTTCGACGGCGTGTTAATCAGAGCAGCTTTGTGGCCACATCTCACCACACTGGTGAGTGAGAGTCGGTGGTGGTGGTGGGGGAGGTCACAACAACCAGTTCGGATATCGCTCACCACTGACGTGAGCCGTGGCCAGGAGTCGAACTCAGATCGCCAGGTTCGCAGCAGTGCGGTGGATACAAGCAGCAGGCGTCACTGATGTTCCTGTGCCCTTCCATCCACTCAAGCTCCTCGCTCGCCTTCGTTCAGTCGCCTCCTCGCCACTCGAGTTACGCTCTTGCCGACTTACACGACCCGTGCCGCCGCACAGCGGCCCTGAGTGGTGCTCGCTAACCCCTGCCAGGCTAATGGTGAGAACCCCGGTGTGTGTGTGTGTCTGTGTGTGTCTGTGTGTCTGTGTATGTGTCTGTGTGTGTGTCTGTGTGTGTGTGTGTGTCTGTGTGTCTGTGTGTGTCTGTGTGTTTGTGTGTCTGTGTGTTGTGTGTCTGTGTGTCTCTGTGTGTGTGTCTCTGTGTGTGTGTGTCTGTCTGTGTGTGTGTCTGTGTGTGTGTCTCTGTGTGTGTGTCTCTGTGTGTGTGTCTGTCTGTGTGTGTGTATCTGTGTGTGTCTGTGTGTCTGTGCGTGTGTCTGTGTGTGTTCGGGTTTCGTGTAAAATCTCCCAAGGGCCCGATGCCCCGCTCCAGGTCCTGACATCACCATGTCGTCTCTCCTGTGAGGCTGCGCGGCATCGTTTTTCCTCGTCAACTTCGTCGACCTCGTCGACCTCGTCGTCACCATGGCCGAGTCGACGCTGCACAGCTCGTCCGTGCTGCGAGCCGTGGTGCTCACGGTGGCTGAACTGCCGCTGTTCCTGCACGCAACCTGCTCACAGGTGAGACCAGGACTCACCTACTCACAGGTGAGACCTGGTCTCACTGGTGAGACCTTGTCTCGCCTACTCACAGGTGAGACCTGGTCTCACCTACTCACCAGTGAGACCAGGCCTCACCTACTCACTGGTGAGTCCTGGTCTCACCTACTCACAGGTGAGACCTGGTCTCACCTACTCACTGGTGAGACCTGGTCTCACCTACTCACTGGTGAGACCTGGTCTCACCTACTCACTGGTGAGACCTGGTCTCACCTACTCACAGGTGAGACCTGGTCTCACCTACTCACTAGTGAGACCAGGTCTCACCAGTGAGTAGGTGAGACCTGGTCTCACCTACTCACAGGTGAGTCCTGGTCTCACCTACTCACTGGTGAGACCTGGTCTCACCTACTCACTGGTGAGACCTGGTCTCACCTACTCACAGGTGAGTCCTGGTCTCACCTACTCACTGGTGAGACCTGGTCTCACGGGTTAGTACGACTCATAGGTGAGTCCTGGGCTCACCTACTCACAGGTGAGTCCTGGGCTCACCTACTCATAGGTGAGTCCTGGGCTCACCTACTCACAGGTGAGAGTGAATAGGTGAAGGGTGAAGGGAAGAGGGTTACATGGCCGGTTTGGGTATCCTGGTCTCACCATCACTCGCCACTGATGTTTAGCCGAGGCCGGTAATCGAACTCTGGTCGCCGGCTTCACAGCGCAGTGCCCTAGCCACTGCGCAGCCGCTCCACCTCGTAATCATCATGATAGTGCTATATTTGAGCTATGTTTGTGTGTTTATTGGTGCTATCCACCCTCTTTCCCTGGGTTGAGGACTCCTTAAACACAAAGCGTTGTGGCCGCTCTCCACGCTGTTGCAATAGACGGCTGCTGGACCGATGCCCTTTTTGGATTCAACTTTTGCCGGACCGCGTCCGAGAGTGCCTGGGTCTTGAGTAAATCAGTAAATGGGTGGCGGGTAAATGAGAGAGTAAGTCAAAGGACATTACATAAGACCTTGTGCAAAGCAGCTAACAACTCACACGGCTAATTGGAAAGGCGCCCCAAAGTGTATGAGATGTTAAGACCACTGACAATCACGTGCCAAATATGGAACGCACAAGCTCCCACCGTGGCGGGGAGTGCACGGTGCAGGACTAAGCTGGAAGTGATTTTGAGCACCGACGCTGTACTCTGCTAATAGCAGGGCCCATCATCCCGCCTTGTGCTCCCTGCGTCCCTCCGCACATCGTCAACACGCCCACGGCCCCCACCAGGTGCGTCTGACCCCGGGCCTCAAGCGGCTGCTGGTGGCCAGCGCGGTGGGCAGCATGATGCTGTACCTGGCCGCGCGGCACATGCGTCGCCGGCGCTGTCGCAAGAAGGGGGGCGCCGTCGACTCCCCCATCGCCGACGCCGCCCTTAACCCCCTCGCGGCCATCGCCAGGCTGCCGGCCCCCCGGAAAGGTGACCCCCACTTCCCCCCTCCGACCCTTCCTCCCTCCCCCTTCCCATGCTCCCCCCCCTCCTTCCTTCCCGAACATGGGCTCATGGGACACGAGTCAGATTTTTGGCAGAAATGTGTTTTCCCTTTAACTTTGTGGCAGAAATAGATTTCCATCAGGTTTCGCTAAAAACTGATTTTTGGCGGAAACCGCTTGGCATCGACTTGCGGTGAGAGCAAATGTGCGTCAATCATTGGTGAGCACCGAAATCCACCGATCTTTTCTCTGCCACCGTGTTGATTAGAGTGTCCGTCATCTTGAGTCAAAGTGTCAAACTCAACATGTTTGTCAATAACACTGTGGACTTAAAAGTAAAAATATATTAATAGACAATGCTGCAGGCAATGGCGTTTCTTCATAGCACATTATGCGTTGTGATCATAGCTTATAATAGGCGATGTTCTTGCTCTGAAGAAGGGCCGATCCCCGAAACGTCACAATTGAAGGCCACCGTGTTATGAACAATTGTTGAGTTTTTTTGTTAATTGTGCTCGTGCACTACTGCCAATGCAGCATCACCAAGTTAAAGCATTGTACTGTAGTTGCTTGCACAATAAATCAGGCTGTAAAATAATTATTAAACAGTAAAATAATTTAAATCTCCCCAAAGTGCTCCATTGTTTAGTGTTTGTTGAAGGGCTTATTCCTTGAGCTGTTTCGCATGACTCCTGGGCGGGTGAGAGTGAGTGTGGGGTTGTGTGAGGAGTGTAGCGATTAGCACGCTTTGCTCCACTCACTGCCAATACCAGTGATGATTGTCTAAGCCAGTCCTGGACCTCCTCTAGGTTGACTCAGCCTCAAATGAGTACCTGGTGCGGTGTGTAAAAACTTCGGCACTGGGAGAGACAAAGGCGGCCGGGCGTGGGGCCGGCCACCGCCACACGCGCACACGCGCGTACGTTTACCGATTTATCTTGCGTCCGCACGTTGTGTGTTTGTGCGCAGGCCGAGCAAGCGGCCTCAGGTCGGCAGGGGCCATGCCCCCCGCGAGGGGACCGGCTGGAGCCTCCTCCGCCAACGCCGCCAACGCCGCCAACGCCGCCGCTACGACGAGCAGCGCAGGAAGCGTCGCGGGGAGCGACGTGAAGCACTCGACCTCGGTGCAGAGCCTCGCCTCGGTACGGTCCGGCGCGACGCCGCTGCCACCGTGCTCGCGACGCTCCACTCGCTCGCTCTGCGTCGCCGCGGAGAGAGAGAGAGAGGCACCATCGAAAACGAGATGCAGTGGAATGCGGAATAACAACGGGAGTGTGTTTCCCACCGAGTAAAGCCCGGAGAGCTAAGAAACTCCTTTTCAAGGGCGATTCGGCCGGCAGACAACATCAAAGCATGAAAAAAAACGTCATCGTAATAGCAATTAGGTTGTAAAATTACATTCACACTTAAAATTAATAGTCGGTGTAAATAAGGCTATAGATGGCAGAATGGAGATGCCAAGAGACGAAACCAAGTAGTTACACAACTTTGTGGCAGCTACATTAAATGCATTTGATCCGAGTTATGTGTGAAATCTGGAAACTATTAATAGACAACCAGACGCGCGTCGCAGATTTTTAGGATTGCTGGTTGGTTATAACAGGTCATGTATTTATGTATGTTGAACTTGTTTCGCACCGTACGTAGCCAACCGAGATAATCTACGGAGTTCACTTCGGATTTACCGAGTGCCTGCGACCGCATCTCGCGACCCTGCACGGATAACGTGGGGGCACACGTGCACACGCACGCACATCTGTCGAGGCTACATGGGAGGGGGGATCTCTGTCTCCGTGTAGCTGCAGGCGGAGAGCACCAGCAGGGGCTGCGACTCACGAGCCTCGGCCAGCCGGCCCTCCCAGCTGCGCTCGCGCCACAGCTCGGTGTGCGCGCCGGCCGGCAGCCCCTGGGAGCCGGCCGCCGGCGGGGGGGAAGCGCCGGCCGTGGGCAGCCACACCACCCCGGAGAACCTGTACCTGAGCGGTAACGCTCGCACGCTCGCACGCACGCACAGGGCCGTCCCTGGGTAGACAAGCGGAGTCGTGACCGAGTTGCCGTGCCATCACGGGCGTTGTCGTTTCCGGCGTCCAGGCATGGAGCTGTTTGAGGAGGCTCTGCGCCGGTGGGAGGAGGCGCTGTTGTGCCGCAACCGCAGGGAGCCCGTGGAGGAGCCGTGCTCCGACCCGGAGGTGATCCGCGTCGCCGCCGGAGACGCCATCGCCGAGGAGAGCACCGAGGTGCGCCGGGTGACCACAGATTTTCTCTTCGGCGCAACGGCACCAACGCGCACACGCGTGTGTGTGTGCGTGCGTGTGTGCGTGCGTGTGTGTGTGTGTGCGTGTGTGTGCTCTCTGCGAACCTGGTGACCCGAGTTCGATTCGCAATCACGGCCAAAACCAGTGGTTATTATCTGAACAAGTCTTGGGCCTCCCCTAGGTTGGCTCAGACTCAAATGAGTACCTGGCGTGGTGTGTAAAAACATTGCCACTGGCGAGACTAAGGCGGCCGGGTGTGGTGCAGGCCACCCACCCTGTGTGCTGTGCCGGCCTTCATAGACGCTCACTCACAGCACTTGCCCCAACAGTTTGTTGAGGCTATATGGGGGATCTTTGTCTTTGTGTGTTCTCCTCCGGCAGGACGTGATGGACGGGGAGTTTGTAAACAAGCTGGAGACGCTGCTGACGCGCGCGTACCGCCTGCAGGAGGAGTTCGAGTGCACCATGTCGTCCGCCACGCAGACCCCGACGCGCGACCTCGGTGCGTGCGTCTCTGCGTGTGTCTCTGCGTGCGTCTCTGCATGCGTCTCTGCGTGCGTGTGTGTGTGTCTGCATGCGTGTGTGTGTGTCTGCATGCGTGTGTGTGTGTCTGCATGCGTGTGTGTGCGTGTCTGCGTGCGTGTGTGTGAATGCATGCCAACATGATGTCCCCTCCTGATGGCTACCCAAATCCAGCCCACATGCAAGCCTGCATTCAAGCGCTAGCCTAAATCCTGTCGCCTATAATCACTCATCAATTGGCTGAGAATATCCTGAATATATATAGAGGACCACAGAGCTTGGGCAATTGTTTGTAGTGCCGGCTCATCGTTGCCTGGCTGCTGTGTTCCAGCTTCGTGGTTCCGCAGCGATTGTGATGTGCAATCTGCATGAACAACGATGACGCTATAGATAAAAGTAAACATTCTTATCCTTAACTCTGTCACTAACCCAAACTTGAACCCATAAACCATAACCTGAACACGTAAACCCACCAAACCTAACTCAAACCCACCAACCCTTACACTAACCCACAAACCCTAACACTCACCCACAAACCCTAACACTAACCCACAAACCCTAAAACTCACCCACAAACCCTAACACTAACCCACAAACCTTAATACTCACCCACAGACCCAAACAAACACTCACCCACAGACCCTAACACTCACCCACAGACCCTAACACTCAACCACAAACCCTTACACCAACCCACAAACCCTAACACTAACCCACAAACCCTAACACTAACCCACAAACCCTAACACGTGCACACAGCAGCACACATACATACAAACACACACACACACGTGCAAACTCACCGTGCCACTCTCACGGTGTGACTTGATGACCGGGTGACCTCTGACCCTTCCCGACCCTCCGTGGCACCTGCAGAGGGCGACATGTCCCTGGCGGACCACTCGGGGCGGCTCTTTGGGCTCGACACCCTGAGCCTGTCGTCCGGAGAGTCCTTCGTCTCGGCGGCAGAGGTACGCGTGGAACCACCTCCCTCCGTGTCTGCCCAACAAGCCCTCGCTGTCCGTGTGCACATGTGCGTGTGCTTGCATGTGTGAATGTAGGTGCGTGCGTTTGTGCACGTGGGGAGCAGTGATTGCAGTGGTGAGCGTGCTGCGCTACGAACCCGACGACCCGAGTTAAATTTCCCGCTCACGAGCAACAGCGGTGATTATGTGAACATCGCCACTCGGGAGACAAAGACGGACGAGCGTGGTGCTGGCCACCCACACCCTCATAGCCGTGCCGGCCTTCATAGGTGCTACTCGCTTCCAGCACTTGCCCCAACAGTCTGTTGAAGGCTACACGGGGGATCTTTGTATGAACGCGTCTGTATACGGACGCGCGCGTCTACGTGCGGACCTTTGTCTCTGCGCGTGAAGTTGGTGGAGGAGCTGGGCGTGGAGGCCCAGCGGGGGGCGCGGGGTCGCCTGGCGCTCTACGAGGAGGCGGCGCGGCTCGTCAGGGGCGGCCACGTCACCTGCCGCAGTCTGAGGTCAGCGCGGCGCCGACCCCGTGGCCGCTAGCCCAGCACAGCAACCACGAGCCGCTAGCGGCCGACCAATGGACACTCGCTCGGCAATGCACAACACAGGAGCCCACCGCTAGGCCGCCGCTAGCCCACCACACCACCGTTCCCCCCTAGTAGTGTTCGCTCGAGAAACGAGCAAAAACAACGGCAGCCGTATTAGCACCACCGGCCGTGTCGGTCGGCTGCAGTAATATCTGCCGGACGTTGTGACGTTGCGCGCTCCGTTGAGTCTGTTACGACGGCGCGCGTGACGTCGATGACGTGGAGATTTGTCTAATCGTGCGTGCGCGTGCTGGCAGGACGGAGATGCTGGACTGTTACAGCGACATGGACTACCTGGCTAAACTTCACTGCGTGCGGCAAGCCTTCCAGGTGCCTCTCGATCGCCCGCGCCGCGCATCCGCTCCACCGTCCCGCTCCGCTCACTAGCAGCGCTTGCCACTTGGTAATATAATTCTACGTGGGGATCTCTGTCTCACAGCTGCTGCTGGAGGAGGAGCTCAACAAGAAGATGTTCTCCAACATGGGGCGGCTGATCATCGCCGGGCTGCTAGTCAAGGCTGGCAAGGTACCGCTGACGATCACGAATAGCGCCAAACCCCCCACCACCACACCCCCCTCCCGAGGCGCGATCGCTGCCCAGGAACTCCCGCAATTCGGAGACCGCATTTAGGGTGAAGGGAAGAGTCGCGGAGGTTCTTCTTGCATTCCCGTCACGTGGTACATCATCATCGTCGCGATGTGCGTCGTGTGCACGCAGCCCAGTTGGGATGATTGAGAGTGCAGGCGGGAGGTGTGCCGGCCGTGTAGATGGGATGGGTGGACACTAGGGGGCGAGCGTCGGTTAGAGTTGCGGTTTACAGGGAGATCCATATTGGCTGATGAGGCGTAATCGGTGGAGCGCTGCCGATCTACGGAGTTCTGCTGAACCACAGAGAGGCGACAACGCGACTGAGTGTTCACCAAAAATCGCTCAAAAGCAGTTCCCATCGCCAATTGCGAGCGTGTCCTTGGGAGCGTGGCGGTGTCGCGGTGCGCCGGCGTGTGCTGAGCGCAGGCCCAAAGGGGCAAGCGGCCAGCAACAACCAGCGCTATTAAACATCGCAATAGGTAAGAGTTCACGAGTCTCTTGATTTAAGCAAGGTTATTATTGTAACAGCTTGGGGAGAAGAGACAATGATGACGATGATGATGGGAGGAGGGGAATCCAGAGTGGAACAGTGCAAGGGAATAAGCCGGAAGGGAAGTGAGGTGACCTGCAGTGTGGCGAATGATTGGGTGAGTGGGTGAGAGAATTGTTGTGAGTAAACCTGGGTCTGTCCCGTGACCTGTCAGCAAGCCTTCGACACTTCGCATGGCCTGTACCTCGCCTGGCACAAGGGCTGTGGTGACATCACCTCCACATAGTGGCGAACCGCGACTGTTGTTGTTGTTGTGTGTGCACCTCTCAGGATCCCAAGGGCTTTGTGGAGTCCTACGAGGAGATGCTGCGCTACTCAGAGGAGGCCGAGCACTGGGCCACAACGCAGGCCGAGCTCGAGGGACGTGGGGTGAGGGCGGCACCAGCAGCAGCACCACAACCAGCACCACAACCACTACCACAACCACGGCCACCATCACGACTCACTGGCGAGGTGCCCCACCCCTCCCGCCCCGTGCCCGTGCAGGTGCGCTGCATGAACTTCTTCGACATCGTGCTGGACTTCATCCTGATGGACGCTTTCGAGGACCTGGAGAGCCCACCGTCCACCGTGCTGGCCGTCGTGCACAACCGCTGGCTGTCCGACGGCTTCAAGGAGACGGTAGCGCTCGCTCCGGCCTCTCTACTCTCTACCGCCTCCCGCTACACACCTCCCACCCTTCACTCCCTGCCCTCGCGCGCACCGACACGCACGGGGGCCGGATCGCTGTGTGGCGGAGCCTGCGTGTGCGACGCAGACGCGACGATCGATTCGTTTTCCCGACCGGCAAGCGGCGCTTCGGCGGTCGGTCCCAGAGTCGCGCTCGCCCGGCTGCGCAAACCGCAGGCAGCCTCCCCTAATTGGCAACGGGCAGCGGTTTCTCCCCGCATCCCCTGGGCCTCGAAATACTATTGCCGCCACTTACCGCCCTGCCGCCCCACCTCCCATCGCTGCCCACCCCCCCACCCCTTACCTACTCTCACCTTCTTCCCCCCTCGCATCAGCGCCATCCTGTGCCTAACGCTACCCCCCTCCCCCTGCATCATTGCCCCGTGGCACTGCCGCCCTCCTGGACCATTGCTGCCCAGTCCGTACCGCTACCGTACCCTCCCTGTCCCGACCAGCGCTGACCTCTCCGGCCCTTGGGTTCCAACCCAGCTCCATTATTAAGGAGCCGCGCTAACACGCCACTGAGCTCCGGCGAGAGGTTCCCTGTCGGGCGTCGTTCGTCCCTACCCCCGGCAAAGGGCTCCGCCGGATTCCGTCAGCAGAACCGGCGCTGCTAACGAGGCCTCATTAGCGCGGCGCGGCCATGCTCGGGGGGGCGGCACGTCGCGCGAATATTGGCCGTTTGTCCGGATCTTGCCGAGTCGGCGGCACGGGCGCGATGATTGCCACACTCATCATATGTTTTTTTTTATTTTTGCACAGCATCGCTCGTGAAAATTGCAGCGCAGAGCGCCGCGCAATTTGTAGCGCATGCGGTTTTTGCATGGAGGCGCGGGAAACCGCAAGCAAGCCGCTTGGCAAGGCAGCCAGATCCGGCGCCAATCGTTGCCTGGAGCATCCGGAGAAAACCCCGCCATGCCTCTTGCGCCAGGAGTGGCGCCGTTGGCACAGGCGGCCACGCAGTGGCTCAGCGGTAGCGGCACGATCGCCGCTCGACACAAAAGGCTCGCGGTTTGACTCTAGCGGCCCCCTATCAAACATTGCGGGAATTGAACCTGGGCCCTTGGCGCCGTGAGGCATGCGTGTCACCACCGCGCGCCCGCCCTGCCACCCGTGACGTGGCTCTCGAGTAACGACCGTCGATCACGCGCCCAAGACGTGTGGGCGAATCACACGTTCGTGTCCTTGCTGAAATTGCTTTTTGTCTTGATTAGAAAATATGTTTCGCCTCGATTTTCTGAGTGACAAATTTCACCCTATGATTCTGTTTGCAGCCCAATTTGTCCCACGCAAAATAATCTTGTGTCTCCTTGGGCTCTCGCGTGGTTCGTTATCATTGCCTGTGACAGGACTCGCCCCTTCAATCTGTTACAGATATACGGAGGTAGGAAAATTGTCTTTTTCCTGATGACGACCGCTAGTGTTTCGATCGAAGATTTTTTATTATTTTCTTTGAACCTATCTCCAAAAGACCCAAAGAATATGAATTACTGCAAGTCACGAAAGCTTTAAGTCAAGATATACGGAGGATCATTGATCTTTGTCTGTGTGGGGGTAGTGTAGCGCTTAAGCACGCTGCGCTGTGAATCCGACCACCTGAGTTGGATTCCCGCTCACGGCCAACATCAGTGACGGATAACTGAGCCAGTCCTGGGCCTCTCCTGGGTCGATTCAGCCTCCAATAAGTACCTGGTGCAATGTATAAACGTCACCACTAGGGAGAAAAAATTGGCCGGGCATGGTGCTGGCCACCCACACACGTGTGTGCCGTGCCGGCCTTGTGCGTATGTATGTATGTTGCACTTCTTCCGCACCGTATGTAGCCAACCGTGCTAATCGTAGGTGCTCCTCGCTAACAGCATTTGCCCCAACAGTCTGTTAAGGCTACACGGGGGATCTTTGTCTTTGTGTGCGTGCAGGCGCTGGCCACTGCCTGCTGGTCGGTGCTCAAGGCCAAGCGGAGGCTGCTGCAGGTGCGAGTGCCGGCGACCGTCCCAGAGCCGTGCCGAAGCCCTGCACGAGGGATTGACATCGGGCCTTTGTTTGGCGCTTGGCTCTGGCTCGAGTGAGCCACGCGGCTCAAAGCCACGCGGCTCAAAGCCACGCGGCTCAAAGCCACACGGCTTAACTTGAATTCGGCTCGGAACATGGTCTCCGGCCGTGCTCGGAGCTGAGTTCCGTGGGTTGAGCCCGGGCCGGGGCGGGCCCCTCGCGCGAGCGCCTTTAGGAGCAGCCGAGCGGCTCAAGCCTGAGCTGGGCCGTGTTGGAGCCGAGCCAGAGCCGAGTTGAGCCGTTACTGCGAATTCAGCTCCCCGGGCTTTAAGACAACGTCAAATGCGTGTCTTACTAACACCAAACACACCGATGATTCACAACATGGAACGCATGCCTTACTAACACCACATTGTCTCGAGGCATTGAAGCGCGTCCTCTCTTGAGCATTGTGACCATTTGTGACCTTGGTTTTGTTTTTGCAGCTGGGGTGGATGGGGGGGGTTGTGGGAGGCACGGGGTCCGAGCGGTCTGAACTTTGGGGGCCGGTGTACCAACAATGTTGAGCACCACTGATTTACCCGGTGATCTGCATGGCAGGAGGCACGGTGCGAGGAAGGGGGGGGGGGGTGTGGGGCGACGCGGCCGCCCAGTCCAATCTGTCTCACGCCGCTGCCACCGCGCGCAGCCGTCAATCGTGGAATGAATCCACGAGGCACGGCGGTCGTCGCGCCCCAGTTCACGGCTGGCATAGCCAGGCTCCCCGCTTCACTCGGCTCATCCCAGACAGGCTCCCCGCTTCACTCGGCTCATCCCAGCCAGGCTCCCCGCTTCACTCGGCTCATCCCAGCCAGGCTCCCCGCTGCTCCCAGCCAATCCCAGCCAGGCTGCCCGCTGTTCCCGGCCAATCCCAGCCAGGCTCACCTGACCTCTGACCTCCGGCATCCACCGCCGCCACCTATGCCCTCACAACCACCGACATGACCACCAATCACCATGACCGCCACCAACGCTCCGCTCCCCGTAGGTCCCGGACGGATTCATCTCGCGTTTCTACGCCATCTCTGAGCACGTGAGCCCCGTGCTGGCCTGGGGCTTCCTGGGGTGCACGCAGCCACTCCGCGACCTCTGCAGCTTCTTCAAGGTCAGCCTGGGGTGGACTCGCGGATTCCTCCACCCCTGTTGGAGACTCGGTCTACCAGACACTGATTTTCTCTCATCCACGACCACCATGCTACTGAGACAACAGCCGCCATTTGCCATAGAGTGGCAGTGACATAACGAAGTTTGTGCCAGGCTAGGTGCACCTTGCGGTTCAACATCACACCGCACACTCGCCACACTGCAGGTCACCTCACTTTGCTTTCTACTGGAATTCCCTCCTCCCATCGTCGTAGTCATCATCACCACCATCGTCTCTTTCCCCCCAGATATTATAGCAATAACCTTGCTTAACTCAAGAAACACGTTCATTTGTCTCTTACATCAATGACTTTGAGACCCAGCGACGTGCACAGAGAGAGCTGCGTATCACCTCTGGCGAGCAGATGGCCCGGAGGAGGATTTCTCGCACCAGATGTTCGCGTGTTTTTTTTTGTTTTTTTCGAGCCGCACGTCCCCCCGGCGCGCTACGAACCCGGCGACCCGAGTTCGATTCCTGCTCACGGCCAGCATCGGTGATGATTATTTGAACCGGGCCTCCCCCTAGGTCGATCCAGCATTAAATGAGCACCTGTTGCGGTGTGTAAACAACAAGCACCGGGGAGAGACAAAGGCGTCCATACGTGTGCGGTTCCACTTTCGTAGGTGCTGCTTGTTAACAGCACTCTGCCCAACTGTCCATCAAGGCCATCCGGGGTATCTTTATCTTTGTGCGTGCGAGCAGGAGCAGGTGGTGTCGCTGCTGCGCGACGTCTTCGACGCGGAGAAGGTTCGCTACTCGCGCCTCGAGCACCTCGCCGACGACATCATCTGCCTCTTCCGCCGCCGCTCGCAGATCCTGTGCGCGTACCTCGAGGTGCCGGAGGCCGCGGTGGGCCCCGGCGAGCTCGACGCCGCCGCCGCCGCCCCAGAGGCCGGCGGCGCGACGGAGGCCACGGTTCGGGCCAACGGCTCGGTGCGGCCGGGTGGCGCGATGCAGGGCCGCGGGGACGGGGAGCTCGCCAACGGCCTGACGTGGGGCGACTGAGACGACGACGGCGACGATTGTGAAGGTGGCGGCGGCGTCGTGGCGGCGACACTTGCGCCTAACGGCAAGGAGCTGGGCTCGATTCCCCGACGAGGGCGCCTCTCTGTGCGGAGTTTGTGTGTGCTCTCTCTCTCTCTCCCCCTGTTCTGAATGGGTTTCCTCCGAGTTCTCCGGGTTTCCTCCCATGCTGAAATAACCCACACTCACAATGTAACCGCTATTCACCGAAACATCCCACTGCTGAGAACTCACGTTGCGAATTACTCGATTGGTATCTCAGCAGCAGCAGCAGCAACGACGCCCCCTGCCCATGAGTCTTCAGACTCTGCTGGGTAATCGAGCGTAAGGAAGAAGATGGCAACGACGATGATGACGACGATTAAGATCCAGGGCTTAATAAACTCAGCCGTGTCTGTCTGTGTGGGCGAGCCCACAATAGAATTCACACTCCGTCAAGCACCGCTCCTCTCGCTCGCTCCCCGCCGGCTACGGGTCGCGTGCCACTTATTCCGCTAGAAGATGCCAGCGACGAGCCCTGATGGAGCGGGATGGTGGGATCGGGGGGGGGGGGCGTGGACAGCGTTACAACTGCCCGTCTTGGTATTCCCCGGCACTGATTGTTGGCGTGCCGGGACGGGTACTCGTTTAAGATCGGCCTACGACAGGCGCAGGATATTTTTTAACGCTCGCCGCGTGTAACCGGGAGTCGAACCTCGACTTCCGGGGTCAGAGTTCAGCGTGCGACGGCTACATCGCCCGCGACCCACTGCTGCGGGGACGTGTCACACACGCGAAACGCGGCACAAGTTCAAACCCAGAACGCGCACGTCGGCAGCAGTCATCGGCCCCCAATGCCAGACTAATGTCCGCCTGCAAGGCCAGGTGCTGAGTCACCTTGTGCTGCACAGGGGCAGCTGCCACTGAGGGTGCCCTTTTGCGATGTAAGTTGGGGCAAAGGGTGTTCTATCAAAAAGAAATGATTATTGAGAGCGAAATGATTGAAAAGTCACCGAACTTTCGATCGCACGTGTGTGTGGTTGACTTCTCGTGGAGCACAGAGGGGCGTGATGAAGCTGGCACTACACGCATCGACGCGCGTACGTCACAGAACGGATGTTTATTATTTGCGAATGTTATATTTAATAGGGGGCGCTACGCTCACCCTAATATTTATCTGCAGAAGCCGTAGAATCGGTTCTTCACTTGAATCGTGACCATAATTGCCGACTGAGGCTGTGGAATCACGAAGCCTCTGTTAAACGTGCACCCGACCCACCCACCCACCCTTGACCGCATTCCGGCCGCCCGAGTTCTCGTCCACTGCAGCCAGGACGAGAGTCCCCCGGTGGGTCTGCCATGGCCCTGCTGCCCCGCTGCTCCCACCCCCACCGAGGCGTTTGCAAACATCTGGGTTTTGTCGCCGGTTGAATTTTTTTTTCTGACCTCTCGCTTGACTTCTTGATCGGGGCACAGGGACGGGTGCGCGATTGCCTGGGCGGTGGGAGGGGTTGGCAAAGAGAGAGATGGGCAGCATTTAAATGTCATGTAATTCTAATTTTAATTACATGTAATTTTAATTACCTGTAATTTACATCGCGGGGGAGTGGTGGCTCTGCACGTGGCTGCTGTGATCCAGCGCTGTGTGGAGGCAGTGGCGAGGGTTGGTGGATCGCTCACAGGCAGAGCCCTGGGTCGCCCAGTTTCCTCCCACGTGAATAATAATCACGACTCATCGTTAACTCATCAATAATAATAATCATGACTCATCGTGATTGGCTGAAAACATCTTGCAAATAAAAACCCAACGTAGCATCGGGACCCTCCTGAAAAATAGTCCTACGGCTCGGTCTGTCTCTCCTGGATGCATAGATATTGTTACGTAATGAATTTACATAGCAGTATAAATATGCAATTTCATTACGTTTGTAATTGTTATCTAAATCGCACACCTAAAATTAATCCGTGTTTAGTATCTAAATTCCGGGAGACTGTGTCGATCGGTGTGGCTGTGGCCACGTTACATTAGCCCAGTGGGTTGTCATGAGAGCGTTTGCCCCATCGATGTCTGCAGCGGAGGCAGCGAGTGGTCAAGTTGCCGGGCCTCGTAAACTCTAAAACGATCAACTATATTTTATTAAATCAGGTAAGGCCCACTGAGCTACGTAGCTCTCTTTCAGAAGCGACCTGGCGATCACAAATGATAGCTCAACAAAGTGGCTCATCATCATCACGTGGACATTCATAGCAGTAGCCAAATACTCTGAACGCGTGGTGACGTTGATTCTAAATGTGGAGGGGAAAACCCGGAGGACCCGGAGAAAAATCCACGCGACCACGGGAAGAGAGACACGCAAGGTGTAGGCGCCAGGGTCGGGATCGAACCCACGACCTGTAAACCAGGCGAGGTCGTTAACATCTCGTGGTGGAGTGGACGTGCCTTTGTGAAAGTGGGCCAGAGGGAGGGGCTGCCTTCTCGAGTGGGACACGTGGAGAAACCGTGTCGGTGGGGTCACGGCGCTACGTGCGTCCTGGTTCGTCTTGTGATTGAGTGGCCGTCTTGTGAGTGCGTGGCCGTTAAGAAAGCTGCTAATTGTTTTGTGATCAAAACCCTGGACGACGATGCGTTCCACGCAGAATGATTGTATCGCACGCATCCGCACCGTGAAGACGTGATTAGAAACATGTAATAGTGTAACCACGGTTACTGGGCACAGGCCCAACACGTCAAGCGGTCGGCAACAAACAGCACTACTGAAGGTGTAATATACGAGTTGGTGCAGCGCAGTGCGAGGAAGTGGAAATAGACGTCTCTTGTCCTGTGGTGTGGTGTGTGAGTGGGTGAGTGGGCGAGCGAGCGAGTGGATGGTTGAGTGAGTGAGTGTGTTGTGACCTGCAGTGGGATGGTGGTGGTGATGGTTGAACACTGTGGTGGCTGAAACCAATGAGTCGGTGTCCGGTGTAGAACAAGTCCTCGAAGTGGGTGGATAAATTAACGAGCGAAGTTCACGCGGGCTGTAACCATGGCGGTAGCGGAGCGATTAAACAAAATAAACTTTAAACTTGAACGTGACGACGAGGGCGTCTGAGCGCTGCATCACCGATCCAACCGGCGAGAAATCCCCGACCCGGGTTCCAGGTTCCCCGGCCTCCCGACCTTCGCCGCGGCCTTCCCCCAAGACGCCGACCCCGCGAGCGGTGACCACGGCGAGCCAGACCGCCCGCCGAGACGGCCGTGGCGGCCGTGGCGGCGAGGGCTCGAGTCCCCGCGAGCTGCCTAGACGCGTGGGGCATTCCGCGACCGACGTTACGTTTGGGTCGGGTCGCGTGAGTAGAATGCCGCCGTGCGTGTCGTCGTCTGTAACCCAGTGCCGTGGGGGCAACGGCGAGGGTTAGTGGATCGCCGCACGCGGATGGGGTGCGGGAACTCTCCTCCACCTCGCGCATGGTCACCGCCACCGCCCGGCTTGGCTGTCGGCGGAACACCACGCGGCATGCGCCGATCTGTGGCCGCGACCGGTGGATGAGGGGTTGGGGGGATAGTGGAGATGAGCGAGACCGTGATTAGAGGCTGCCACCCGCTCTCGACCGCCCCGCCGCGAAGCGCAGGGGAGGAGAGGTCTGACGAGCAGGACATTTCAGGCCTGCACATCTATCTCCGTTCTGTGGCTCCGCATAGCCGGGCGGTGGTGGTGGTGGCGGCTATGCTGCTGCTGCTGCTCCACGTGGCTGCCTGAGACCCAACACTGTGTAGGCACCAGCCAGGGTTGGTAGATCACACAAAGATGTCGTGACACTCCCTTCCCGTGAGCGTCGCCAGGAGAAGGCAGTACAGCAAGTAGACTAACCACCATCTGTACGGGGATAGAGTTGTACCCCCTCACGCAAGGCGTGGAGTTTCTCCGGGTGCTCCGGTTTCCTATCCGCGTGAATAATAATAAACACCGCTCGTCATAAATTATATTATATTTAAATATCTTACAAATAAAAGCCCAATGTGGCGAGGTCTGTGTTACACCTCGCGATGTGCTCCCGATTTTAGGATAAAAAAATAAAAAAGAATTACTAAACCTCGGGCCGAGGTACCGAGGCTCGGATCTGGTTCGGGCTCGGATTTGGCTCGGATCTGGCTCTGGCTGGGATCTTGCTCGGGCTCGGATTTGGCTCGGATCTGGTTCGGGCTCGGATCTGGCTCAGATTTGGCTCGGATCTGGCTCTAGCTGGGATCTTGCTCGGGCTCGGATCTGGTTCGGTCTCGGATCTGGCTCGGATCTGGCTCGGGCTCGGATCTGGCTCTGGCTGGGATCTTGCTCGGGCTCGGATCTGGCTCGGGCTCGGATCTGGCTCGGATCTGGCTCGGGCTCGGATCTGGCTCTCGCTGGGATCTTGCTCGGGCTCGGATCTGGCTCGGATCTGGCTCGGGCTGGGATCTGGTAGGGCAGGATGAGCGACCGGCTCAACGCGCACGCTCGCACCTCGGGTAATTCGATCCAAATAAACAGCCAGGCCAAGGGCATCTGCCTCATCGCCTCGGCCACTCAATCTGTGGTAGCACCCTCCCGAAAAAGAGTATTGAGTGAGACTGTTACGGGTAAATTGATTAAATAGCCGATGTGTCGTAGGCAATATGATCTTACAGACACGTTGAGATGTCAACAATTTGAGCGTCTACGTGAATTCTAATTGGGTCCCTTTCTCTCTCGGCATTAATCCCCGACACTCACGCGCGAGTGGAAATTCACGGTGCGCGCGCGAGATAGCGAGAGATCGAGAGAGAGATAGAGAGATCGAGAGAGATCTAGAGAGAGAGATCGAGAGAGAGAGATCGCATCGCACGTTTGCCGGTCCGGCTCTTGCCTCCCGCTCTGGGCGATCGAGTGGCATCGGTACCAACGGGCGGGACGCCGCCTGGGAGCTCTGTCCTGCCGAGACGATGACGAATGCGGCGCTTTGCTAATTGCGTTGGAGCCTCAGTCCCTCGATGTTGTTACCCTCGCTGAAAGTGCCGGATGAAGCGCGTGCGGAGCCTGCAGCATATGTTTATAAAGGAGCCCTAAAATGAAAATAAATTAAAACACATTTGTAACTTGCATGGTAAAGCTATTGTATTTTTTCATTTGCTATACAGCCAGATAATACGACATAACGCAACCTTAAACACCCAGTCGTTCATGAAAGTTGAAGGCGGGACAGTACTATAGTAATAGAGCAAGTGCAGAATCACTAAACCGGAATTGATAGCTTGAAAGCATTTAGCGCGGGGCCCTTGAAAGTGCGAGGCCGTAGTATTTGCGACTTGTGCTACGAGGATAATCCGGCACTGATCGCTGAGAGCCTCGGCAGCTTCGCCGGCCTCACTGCTCACACGCGGCCGCGCCCTCGGAAGGGGCCGTGAGCGGGAACGTCGTGCGGTACCGGCCGTCGAGTCACGGCCATAACCCTACAGAGGCGCAGAGAGTTACAAAGAGCCAGGGAGTTAGCGATACAGAGAGTCGCATGGAGACACAGAGAGTCGCATGGAGACACAGAGAGTCGCATGGAGACACAGAGAGTTGCATGGAGACACAGAGAGTCGCATGGAGACACAGAGAGTCGCATGGAGACACAGAGAGTTACATGGAGACCCAGAGAGTTGCATGGAGACCCAGAGAGTTACATGGAGACACAAGAGAGTTACATGGAGACACAGAGAGTTGCATGGAGACACAGAGAGTTGCATGGAGACACAGAGAGTTGCATGGAGACCCAGAGAGTTACATGGAGACACAGAGAGTTACATGGAGACACAAGAGAGTTACATGGAGACACAGAGAGTTGCATGGAGACACAGAGTTGCATGGAGACACAGAGAGTTGCATAGAGACACAGAGAGTTGCATGGAGACAGAGAGTTGCATGGAGACACAGAGAGTTACATGGAGACACAGAGAGTCACATGGAGACCCAGAGAGTTACATGGAGACACAGAGAGTTACATGGAGACACAGAGAGTTGTATGGAGACACAGAGAGTTACATGGAGACACAGAGAGTTGCATGGAGACACAGAGAGTTACATGGAGACACAGAGAGTTACATGGAGACACAGCGAGTTGTATGGAGACACAGAGAGTTGCATGGAGACACAGAGAGTTACATGGAGACACAAGAGAGTTACATGGAGACACAGAGAGTTGCATGGAGACACAGAGAGTTGCATGGAGACACAGAGAGTTGCATGGAGACCCAGAGAGTTACATGGAGACACAGAGAGTTACATGGAGACACAAGAGAGTTACATGGAGACACAGAGAGTTGCATGGAGACACAGAGAGTTACATGGAGACAGAGAGTTGCATGGAGACCCAGAGAGTTACATGGAGACAGAGAGTTGCATGGAGACACAGAGAGTTACATGGAGACACAGAGTTGCATGGAGACACAGAGAGTTACATGGAGACCCAGAGAGTTACATGGAGACACAGAGAGTTGCATGGAGACACAGAGTTGCATGGAGACCCAGAGAGTTACATGGAGACAGAGAGTTGCATGGAGACACAGAGAGTTGCATGGAGACACAGAGAGTTGCATGGAGACACAGAGAGTTGCATGGAGACACAGAGAGTTACATGGAGACACAGAGAGTTACATGGAGACACAAGAGAGTTACATGGAGACACAGAGAGTTGCATGGAGACACAGAGTTGCATGGAGACCCAGAGAGTTACATGGAGACAGAGAGTTGCATGGAGACCCAGAGAGTTACATGGAGACACAGAGAGTTGCATGGAGACACAGAGTTACATGGAGACAGAGAGTTGCATGGAGACACAGAGAGTTACATGGAGACAGAGAGTTGCATGGAGACACAGAGAGTTGCATGGAGACACAGAGTTACATGGAGACAGAGAGTTGCATGGAGACACAGAGAGTTACATGGAGACAGAGAGTTACATGGAGACACAGAGTTGCATGGAGACACAGAGAGTTACATGGAGACCCAGAGAGTTACATGGAGACACAGAGAGTTGCATGGAGACACAGAGTTGCATGGAGACCCAGAGAGTTACATGGAGACACAGAGAGTTGCATGGAGACACAGAGAGTTACATGGAGACAGATAGTTGCATGGAGACCCAGAGAGTTACATGGAGACACAGAGAGTTGCATGGAGACAGAGAGTTGCATGGAGACACAGAGAGTTACATGGAGACACAGAGAGTTGCATGGAGACACAGAGAGTTACATGGAGACAGATAGTTGCATGGAGACCCAGAGAGTTACATGGAGACACAGAGAGTTGCATGGAGACACAGAGTTGCATGGAGACCCAGAGAGTTACATGGAGACAGAGAGTTGCATGGAGACACAGAGTTGCATGGAGACACAGAGTTGCATGGAGACACAGAAAGTTACATGGAGACACAGAGTTGCATGGAGACACAGAGTTGCATGGAGACACAGAGAGTTGCATGGAGACACAGAGTTGCATGGAGACCCAGAGAGTTACATGGAGACAGAGAGTTGCATGGAGACACAGAGAGTTACATGGAGACCCAGAGAGTTACATGGAGACACAGAGAGTTGCATGGAGACACAGAGAGTTGCATGGAGACCCAGAGAGTTACATGGAGACACAGAGAGTTACATGGAGACACAAGAGAGTTACATGGAGACACAGAGAGTTGCATGGAGACACAGAGTTGCATGGAGACCCAGAGAGTTACATGGAGACAGAGAGTTGCATGGAGACACAGAGAGTTACATGGAGACAGAGAGTTGCATGGAGACACAGAGTTGCATGGAGACACAGAGAGTTACATGGAGACACAGAGAGTTACATGGAGACACAAGAGAGTTACATGGAGACACAGAGAGTTACATGGAGACACAAGAGTTACATGGAGACACAGAGAGTTACATGGAGACAGAGAGTTGCATGGAGACCCAGAGAGTTACATGGAGACACAAGAGTTACATGGAGACACAGAGAGTTACATGGAGACAGAGAGTTACATGGAGACACAGATAGTTACATGGAGACACAAGAGAGTTACATGGAGACACAGAGAGTTACATGGAGACAGAGAGTTGCATGGAGACACAGAGAGTTACATGGAGACACAGAGAGTCACATGGAGACCCAGAGAGTTGCATGGAGACACAGAGAGTTACATGGAGACAGAGAGTTGCATGGAGACACAGAGAGTTGCATGGAGACACAGAGAGTTACATGGAGACAGAGAGTTACATGGAGACAGAGAGTTGCATGGAGACCCAGAGAGTTGCATGGAGACACAGAGAGTTGCATGGAGACACAGAGAGTTACATGGAGACAGAGAGTTACATGGAGACACAGAGAGTTACATGGAGACACAGAGAGTTACATGGAGACAGAGAGTCACATGGAGACACAGAGAGTTGCATGGAGACACAGAGAGTCACATGGAGACCCAGAGAGTTGCATGGAGACACAGAGAGTTACATGGAGACACAGAGAGTCACATGGAGACACAGAGAGTTACATGGAGACAGAGAGTTGCATGGAGACCCAGAGAGTTACATGGAGACAGAGAGTTACATGGAGACACAGAGAGTTACATGGAGACAGAGAGTCACATGGAGACACAGAGAGTTACATGGAGACAGAGAGTTGCATGGAGACCCAGAGAGTTACATGGAGACACAAGAGTTACATGGAGACACAGAGAGTTACATGGAGACAGAGAGTTACATGGAGACACAGATAGTTACATGGAGACACAAGAGAGTTACATGGAGACACAGAGAGTTACATGGAGACAGAGAGTTGCATGGAGACACAGAGAGTTACATGGAGACACAGAGAGTCACATGGAGACCCAGAGAGTTGCATGGAGACACAGAGAGTTACATGGAGACAGAGAGTTGCATGGAGACCCAGAGAGTTGCATGGAGACACAGAGAGTTACATGGAGACAGAGAGTTACATGGAGACAGAGAGTTGCATGGAGACCCAGAGAGTTGCATGGAGACACAGAGAGTTGCATGGAGACACAGAGAGTTACATGGAGACAGAGAGTTACATGGAGACACAGAGAGTTACATGGAGACACAGAGAGTTACATGGAGACAGAGAGTCACATGGAGACACAGAGAGTTGCATGGAGACACAGAGAGTCACATGGAGACCCAGAGAGTTGCATGGAGACACAGAGAGTTACATGGAGACACAGAGAGTCACATGGAGACACAGAGAGTTACATGGAGACAGAGAGTTGCATGGAGACCCAGAGAGTTACATGGAGACAGAGAGTTACATGGAGACACAGAGAGTTACATGGAGACAGAGAGTCACATGGAGACACAGAGAGTTACATGGAGACAGAGAGTTGCATGGAGACACAGAGAGTTGCATGGAGACACAGAGAGTTACATGGAGACAGAGAGTTGCATGGAGACACAGAGAGTTGCATGGAGACACAGAGAGTTACATGGAGACAGAGAGTTGCATGGAGACACAGAGAGTTGCATGGAGACACAGAGAGTCACATGGAGACACAGAGAGTTACATGGAGACAGAGAGTCACATGGAGACACAGAGAGTTACATGGAGACAGAGAGTTGCATGGAGACACAGAGAGTTGCATGGAGACACAGAGAGTTACATGGAGACAGAGAGTTGCATGGAGACCCAGAGAGTTGCATGGAGACACAGAGAGTTGCATGGAGACACAGAGAGTTACATGGAGACAGAGAGTTGCATGGAGACCCAGAGAGTTGCATGGAGACACAGAGAGTTACATGGAGACACAGAGAGTCACATGGAGACACAGAGAGTCACATGGAGACACAGAGAGTTACATGGAGACAGAGAGTCACATGGAGACACAGAGAGTCACATGGAGACACAGAGAGTTACATGGAGACAGAGAGTCACATGGAGACACAGAGAGTTACATGGAGACACAGAGAGTTACATGGAGACAGAGAGTTGCATGGAGACACAGAGAGTTGCATGGAGACACAGAGAGTTACATGGAGACACAGAGAGTCACATGGAGACACAGAGAGTCACATGGAGACACAGAG